CCAGCGAGCTCCGGCCACAGCGGCCTCTGCCAAAAGTACGAGTCGACGGGCACAGAGAGCGCGAGCGACGTGGTGAAGGAGCCGATGAAGACGACGATGAGCTCCCACAGCCCGAGGAGCCCGTTGACAAGCAAGAGAAGGCCCGTGGCGGCGAGGAGGATGGCGAGCTCGGAGCGGAAGACGGCGGTGGCGAAGACGAGGAGGGCGATGGCTTGGCGGCGGCGGGCGTGGGCCTTTTTGGAATCGTTTTTGGGGAGGAGGAGGGCTGATGCGAGGGTCGCTGGTACGTTTATGTGAGCATGGTGAGAGGAATATGAAGAAGTAATGAGAGATGAGGGCGGGCGTGAGTTCTGAGGCAAAGGTGTGTGTGTGTGTGTGTGTGTATACAGGATTGAGTATACAGCTGTAAGAAAAGGGGTGATAAGACTCACTCAATCCAAAGGCAAACATGTTGGGCAGCGTCCTGCTCAAATAAAACACCACATGAAACTGGCTCACGCTCAACACCACCCACCACCTCGCCGCCCCCTTCCCAAACGCTTCCCTTACCGCCCTCCCAAACACCACCAAGCACACTGCATTAAAACACCCCAGCACGGCCCTCACGATGAATTGCGCATGCTCGAACCCGACCAGGGCAACCAGCGGCTGGCTCACGCCCGCCAGGAGCACCGACCCGACAAACGTCCGGGGCACGGCGCCGGGGAAGGTGAAGTGGTCGTACGTGGACGAGAGCCGCGCGTGGACGTCGTGGGTGGGCGTGCCGTAGGTGAGGATGTCGTGGGTGGCCTGGAGGTTGAAGGACTCTTCGACTTTGGTGTAGGGCGCTGCGAGGAGGTGCAGCAGCGGCACGGCGAAGAGGAGGAGATCTGAGCGTGCTCTTGCGGTTAGTATATCGGTGTTGGATATGAGAAAACGACAACAACAACTTACCTGTGAATTCCATTGTGGTGGTTTAGGAGGAGGCACTCATATCGTTATAAGAAACTGAGCTGCTTTGTTAGACATGAGATTGCTGTCTAATCTGTCCTCTTTAGAGCGTGTCCGGGATGACAATCGATAATGATGGCGAGTAAAAAAGGTCAATTATGCATTGACTGGAAAGCTGGCAATTTGTAGTGTCAGCAATGGACACTTGTCTCATTTCTCGATCCAGGGTCGTTGGATTTGATGAGATGTTGTTGTACTTGGCCGGCCCTCTCCCTGAACACAGTGAGAGTGCCCAGCGTTTCGGAGCGGCTCAACCATCCCCCCGCATCATGTATATCGCGACCAGCATCTCATCTCAATCAGCATGCGCCGGTATCACTTTAATTTCATTAAAGTTCAGCATAATGAATTCATAGAAGCAATTTTCCTGATTATTAAGGACGAAATGGACATCGTTATTACATCTACGAGCTCTAAGTACAATTATCCTCCGCCGGAACCGCCAATTATCTCAGCTCTATCAGTGATACTGTGCCACTGATATATCAGTGCCCCCAATCCATAGGTAGACGTTCCATAGCTACTTACACCATTCCCTACTAGGATCATCACTTTTTAAACACCTCGGGACATACACAAGCCATGAAGCCTTTGCTAGCTCAATAAGATTGATATTTCAGATAGCCAACTCTGAGGGTCTTACTACACGCAGCCACTCCCGTAATATTATCACCTCCTAGCGCTATGTCAAGTAACGAAGTGTATGGTACAGCCCTTGAAGAAATAGAAACAATCAGAAATAGAAAATCGACAAGGGCGAGCCGTAAGAATAATAGAAAAAAATAGTAAAAGTAGTAATAATCAACGTATTAGCCCGCCGTAGTGAGCCGTACATTACCCATTGCAACCAAAACAGACCCAGTGCATGTTGTCGCCCTACCACGTAGAGCATATATCACCGTTTGTCCTTGGCCCTTTGCCATTTTGAGGTTGAAGAGGGCGTAAACTGCTTCAAAGGCAGCCCAAATGCCATTTATCGACAATAAGATGGCCTCTCATGCCAGCTCTCTCTTTTATCGTTAGGTGCTGAATGATTTCCTCTCAGATAAAGGCTGTAAAATGCATAATATTCCCGTCATCAATCGTACATACGAATTCGCCATACGCCGTCATCGAACACCCTCCTAGATGCTTAGTTGTCTGTCTGTCTGTCTCGCGCTTTGGAGTATATTCGACAGCTGAAAATTCCAAATCAAGGCCACTGGATCCCTGCTTTTCAAGAAAGGAAAGATGTGCTCTTCTTCCGGCCTAGGCCCATGCTGATGCGTCCTCCTTTCTTATCCTTTTCTGGAGCATCGCCATTCATGGCGCCATCTGGTAGAGCGCCGTTCTTGTCTTTGAAGAAGCTAAAGCTGCGCTTCGACATGGACTTGCTGCCTCGCTTGGACCGATTCAGGAATCCAAAGCCTTCGCCTTCTTCCTTCTTTCTAACGGCTTCTTCTTGCGCTGCGGATTTCTTACTGGCCTCTAGCGCCTTCTGCAGCTCATCTTGCTCGTTTCTTCGGGCTTGCATAGCTTTGATGTGATCTTCTCTGCGCTTCTTCTCATCTTCTTTGAGTTGCTTCTCTTTTAGTTTCTCCTTCTCCTTTTCGGCTTGCTTGGCAGCCTTTTCTGCAGCCTTTTCTGCGGCCTCACGTTCCCTCTTTTCTTTCTTCAAGTCATCTTTGGACCTTGTTTCCACCCTAGTTGTACTAGTCCTTGGCAGGCTTGCAAATGGAGCTTCGTTCACTGCTGGCATTTCAACGATCGGTGATGTGGGTACATGTGCCAGCCCAGGAGCAGTTGCAGCATGTGCGAGACTCGCCAGCGACTCATGTTCCGGCATTACGACAGGTTGTGTCACTTGTCGCTTCAGTGGAGTGGTTTCCTCCTTAGCCACGCCGTCCTCTTGCGCGACATTAGCAGCCTGTGTTGCGAGCTTCACTTCTTCCATACCCTCCCTCTCTTGCTCCTCTCTGACCTTCTCAAAAGTAGTTTCTTGATAAAAGAGGACATAGGCAGTCGCCATACCAGGCTTGTCGCCAAAGAAATTGCGCACAAAGTGCTTATCAACGGGCTCCACCATCTCGTCGTCGAACAAAACCCACCCACGATCAGGAGTCTTGATAATAGAGACGTAATGGCCGTGGTACGCATTGCCACCGATGTGAACAACGACAGCGTAGAGCTCGTACATCCTGTCGGGATCCTCTGCATCTTCTGTGGTGTTGAACATGCGCAGGTGATAGGGGTATACAACACGATGGAAGAGCTTCTGAAGGCGGCTATAGTCCTCGGTGTACTTGAATCGCTTGAGATGCAGAGTCAGTACTTTCGGTAGCCGCTTGACCTTCATACGCTTCTCGGCCTCCTGTAGGCCGCCACAGTGGTCGCAGTGGAATTTGTTTCGCTCGCAGAGCATCTCCTCGGCGGAGAATTTCCGTAGGCAGGATGTCACAGATGAATGCTCTTCGAGATCAATGGAAAGATCGAGGAAAGTCTCGTCTCTCTGTGATGCCGTCTCGCAAGTAAGGCACTTTGTTTCCGAGGTCAGTACGCCCTCAAAGATGTCGTGGACCCAGCCCGTCCCAGGAGTGCGGTAACCCGTCGGTAAGTTGTTCATCATCGCAGAACCCAAGGCATTCTGTACCGACTGCGTAAGGTCGCTTGAACCCTTGATTTCCAGACGTTCCTGGATCTTTCTCGCATTTGCCTCGACGTTGGCAATGACGTCATTCAATACGAGGCCATAGAATTCATGAGCGTCCTGGTGCATCGAGTTTCGGAACATTTCGTTATCGCGTTTGAAAATCTCAAGGAAGCGCTGAGGACTCAAGACTCCCGTTCTGGTGCTGCTCTGAAGAACTGCCAGGAAGATGTCCTTGAGACCCGTAAAGGTACACTCGTCCATGCCGTATGCCATGCCATTTTCCTGTGCTAATTCTAGGATTGGCCCCTTGAGCATGGCCTGTTTCTTCTTGTATTCAGGGGTGTCTGGCTTATCCTCAGGCTTGACAGCAGGCTGGCCAGGTGCCGGTTGCCCATTATTGAGCGTCTGTCTCTGTTTCATCGCCTCCTTGGTGCTAATACCCTTCTTGGTCGGCGGCTGCGCCGCTGGAGTGGGGTTCATGGGTGGGCGTAGGGTGACGTTGACCTTGGGCCGGCTGCCATTAGGGGTATCCGATGGTGATAGTGATGGGTAGTTGATTACATTTTCTCGGAATAGGTCGGAGTAGAATAAGGCCTGTACGATGGAGTTACAGTAGCTAAACAAATTCAAGTTAGTGAGATGCGGTTCTATGCCGATTGGGTCTACAAGATGAAGCGAACCAGGTGTTTCCAAACTACGGCGCGATGTTAGCATGGTGACAGTCACACAAGAAAGGGGCCTAATCCATAGATGAACGGGATGGTCGACATACATTTTCGAAGCCAAAGAACTTGTCAGCTGCATCCTCTCGTAAGGGTCCCGCATTCTGCAGCATCTTCTCAAGCGGGGTCAACTCTGGTGCGATCTCATCTTTCTTCTTCGCCACCACTTCCTTTGTAGTTTGAGCGGTTGATGGCTGAAGGAGAGGGTTTGTCAGCAACTGTGCATATCTAGGTACGGGGGGTGCCAGCATTCTCCTCAGGAGCATGGCAATCGCTTCAATAGTTCCCTCGCGAACGAAAGGAACACGGCCGTCGGTAGGGAAGGGGGCATACCGTGCTCGCGCCTTTAATCTTGTTGAAAAATCCGGCCATGATGTCGTCGTATGTTGTCGCTGCCGGATGTCGGGTATAATATAAGGGAGGTGGGTCAAGGACAAAGGAGTTCCAGCAGCCAGAGCCGCGCAACAGCCGCTCAACGAATTCGAAGACGGCGGACGAGGCTATTCATTCGAAGGATGCAGGCGACGAGCGGGCGACAAGGTCGGATGAAACAAACGAATCAATGGTCGAAGCCGGTGAATCAACGAGACGGAATTTGGCGGAGAAGCGCCCAACCCGCTGTTTCGGGCCTTTTCCCTCTGCGTGAGGGTTTGCTCGTGATGGCGACGTGGGAGGCTGAAGCGCCGCTTCGGGTGGAAGAGAGCGTACGAGACAAGAGCGAGTCCGGTTCGGCGCCGACGAAAAGGAACCGAGAGCGAGCGGGAGACGAAAACAGACGCCGCACCGAGTTGAAGACAGCAAAAAAACGGGCGAAAAAAGGCAGGGAGAGCAAAAAGCGCAGGTCGAGGAAGCGGGAGAAGCAGAAGCAAAAGAAGCAAGAAGCAAGAAAGCGATGGGGGAAGAAGGCAGAGATGCGTCTGGACGCGGAAGACTCGCACAGCAGGCATGGAAGTGGTCCAGTTGGTTTTCTGGAACCCCCCCAGTCCAAAGTCCGCTATCCGCGACTCACTCCAGGCACTTTCTTCGGGGCTCCCCAGCTCGCTGTGGGCCGGTGGGGACAGGCCGCTTGCAGGGCCCAGGGCTGGCACTGGCTGGTGGCCGCAATACTTTGCGCAGCACGCGCGCGGCCGCGGAGGGCGAGGTACCCCAACCAGAACCTTCAAGTTAGCGCTCCGTACCTTCAATTAGTCCGTGCTAGTGCTAGCAACTGCTAGGGAATGTTAGGGAGCCCAGCACAGTTACTCGTACGGGCTCTCGCACCCGACACCCTTCATGTGGCACACGGCGACTCGGGCGACTAATACCGCAAGTGGTACAAGTCTGGATGGGCAGATTCTGCGTGTTGGCCTAGGTTCCCATGCGCTGCCAGAAGGGCCCTAGCGCCGAATTTAACGGAAGACCAGCAAAGAAACAGGCAAGGCTAGACGCAGGCTTGGGAAAGCTAGCAGTGGGCTGGTCTGCGCTAGAGCGGCGTCTGGCTGGCCGCTCAGAACTCACTCGCTGTGGGGGAGGGGAAAAGAAAGCCCGGTGCGGTGTCGAGGCGAATGAGAGACGCTTCTCTTTTGCTGGGGGACGGAAGTGCCTGGCGTTGCAGGTTGCAATTACGAGTACTGTATGTATGTTACAGGTTATGATTTCAGCCCGGCGGGAAAATCGCTTCCCGATGGAGAGCAGCTGAAGAGGTGGTGACATTGTAGTCAAAGGCTATGATGCCAGATTGATGCTGTCTAAGTTGTTGAATGGGCCGGCAAAACCTCGAGTCAGGCCAGTTGTTGGTTCCATTGCTCTGTAATCAATCCATCCATATGCCGTGCCTCAGGTGACTGACTGACTTGCGCATCGGCGCGCGAATACAATTGCCAGACTGGTAAAAAGCACGAGTAAGTGTGCCCACGGGAGGAGATTCCCAACGGGCACTGATCAATTTGGAAACCTTGGCATCCCGATCCCTGGCGCCTACGCAGGCTTGGTAAATTACAGTTGCGCGTGGTGGTCGGCAAAGCTTCAATACCACCTACAAGATGCTTAAAATATCCAGCCCGCAATCCAGTTGCTACCTCAGGTTACTTTCTTTACCGTTTGAGCGCAAGGGAAGAACCGACGAGTATTGTTGAGGGATTCACCCTTTGTCTCTAACAGCATGTCTCAGCCGTGTTGCTATTCCTGTACCCTCACTCACATGTCTCGCAACAGGGCAGCAGGAGCTCTTTGCAGCATGCCATCTCAAAAACCAAATCTCGGTTTTGGCCCCCAGCTCCTCGCTAGCAGCAAAAAGCAACTGGCCCTCATCGATCGAGTGGAGAGACCGAAACACGCACGCACGAGGCACAAGAGACGAGACCCATCCAGCTGGGCTGCGTTTGTCGTATGATATATCCGGGGTAAGCCACGCGGAGGCATCTCCCTTTGCTGCATGCGACGCTATGCACACCATGCAGCGTCTTGCTGGGTTTGTGTGGTCTGTACGGCACGCTTGCTCCAGCACTAATGCATCAACTATCTTCAGTTCGAGCACTTCATTTGATTCCCCGTTCGAGTACTTGCACTCGCACTCATACTCGTACACGAGGGGATATCCCCAACTCCAGTCTTCTTGCTTTCTTGCTCTCGTCGGGAAAACGAGGAGAGGGCTGGAAAAAGAAAGTCAATTCTCGCGAAAAAGCTTTGCCACACTTTGATTTGTCTGCTCCGGCAAACGCCTCATTTCGTCAGCGCGCCAGAATATGTCGCCGGACGTTTACGAAAGAAGAGAGACAAGAGGGAAAAAAAAGTTGGATATTAGCCGAGTGGGCTGGCAGAAGATGACGCCAACCCGGGCAGCGAGCGGTTTTCGTTTCGCCTGAGCTCCGCCTTTTTTTCTTCTTTCCAATGGCACAGCGGGCGAAACAAGCAAAGCAAGGCACATGTACCGTATTGGTACTCGGGGCTCGAATGCAACAGTGCCTCATGGCGATTGATTGCAGCGTGCAATAAATTGCCTATCTGCGGAGCATCGCATCGCATCGGTGGTTTGCGTCTATTATGATGCTATCAATCCCTTAACTCTACCGACAGATTCGCCTATCGCCTCACATGACTAGGCATGTTTTTTTTGCCCTCTCGCTGTGGGTTTTCAGGTTATTTTTGCCTAGCCGTTACGGAGCACGTTGATACTGGTATGCAGGCACTTTGACCTCCATCTGCTCGTCCCATCTGCTCGTCCTGGCCGTCTGATCATCGCCCGCGATCCTCCTCCTCCACCCCCGCCTTGTCAATCATGCCAGCCAGCCTTGGTTCAGGCATGGATCCTTACAGTACAGCGGGTACCTCCAGGCACTACAGTGTATAATACAACGTACTCGAGCGGCCTCTTAGCACTAGAGTCGACTCTCCCAAACAGCCGCAACGAATCGCAGCGGTTCTTGCTCGCATCGCCATGGTGGTGTTGTGGGGAAGAACCCCTTGCTAGCCAAGAGAAATAACGTGGCTTTGGACCAAAAAAGGGCCCCGGCCAGACACCAGGGAACTTTGCAATGCAGGCTCCTTCAGGTCTGTCCAAAGCTCCGCAGGCAATGACATGAATGGGCGGCGCTTAAATGCCATGCAGCAGTAGCTTGTGTGGAATGCCTGTACGAGCGCTGTAGCAGCATCAGTTTCACCTGCGTGCATGGGCATTTACTGTACAAGACTTGTTTCTGACAGTTTTGTGGGTGCTCGTGCATTCGTTCCATATTACCAACTGGCAACAGCCTTCAACCGTCTGTCTGGAACTTTGAAGCTGAGCTGCTGTACAGTAGTGCTTCGTACAAGCGCTCCAGTGCTGTCCAACCAACATATTCACATGGACCCAAGCTAGTAGCTCATGGTAAGGAATCTTCACAGGTCGTGTGCCTCTTGTCTCCCCATTTCTCGCTCTAAAAAAAGAAACATGACCTTTACTTCGTGTTGCGCTTCTCAGCCGGATCACCATAGCACAGGCATCCACTCCACCATCCATACCTTTGTACTGTAGTACAGCAGGTAGGCAACGACAAAAGCTCTGTTTTGCAGCTTCATACCGTCAACACATGACCGTTCGGAGAACAAATGTGGAAACAACCGTAACATGAAATCCTGCCATCCTTCTAACTCAAAAGACGGAGCGCAGATTCAACGCCCAGGCAACTCGTGCTACTCCGCCGGAACGTCATCCCACAGATCGATAATGCGACGATAGCCTGACAGGACCCAAGCACATCATCCCCACCAGCTCCTCCGTTCCGTTTGCTAGCCCTGAAGGATGGACCTGGACCTGGTATCTCTGCTGCAACCCAACACGCCATCCGGCTCGGAATCGAACACAATGACAAATCCCTCTCGGCATCCAGATCTAGGCTTTCTCAAAACGCACACCGAGCCTCGTCCACAACCCAACAAAAAAAGAACAACAGGAAACAGACAGAGAAAAAGGGCGAAATATTGTAGATCCTTAGCTACATAGGTAGATTAGATGCAGCTTACCTTACACACAGTATATGCCCAACCTAACCCCCCAGTTTGATTCATCAGCCAAATGCCCAGCTTTTTCTACTTTACCCGTCCGCCGCTGCTCTCTCGGCCAACCAACGCCCTTGGCAATCCCTCCATCCATCACAAATCTCTTTTCTCTCTTTCGCCCGTTCAGCCCAGTCGGCCCTTTCCCTTCGCTTCTTTGCTCATCATTTTCTCCATCTGCCGCTCGTTTTCTGTGGAGCGTATACCCGAGTCTCACACCTGCAACCCGAAAATGCATCGGAGACCTTGCCCCGCGGATTTAAGCAGCCGATTTGTGCCAGCACTGGATACATCACGCCCGTTTACCTTGGTTGAAGAGGAACCAAGAATGCATGTCTATGGCTGTATCCAATCAAAATATGAGCCAAACAGGTCCAACGTATAATATTGAACTGGAGGGAGTAAAGAAACGCCAATCGGACATTCTCTCTCGGATATCCATTGCCGACTTGGCCGTGGCTTTGCCAAGGCGTTGGTCCAATCCCAAGTCTCCAATGAGAAACTACGGAGTGCTCAAGATGCCATTATATCTCCGCGGTCTTTATTCCGGCGTTCTGGCCAATCGTGGCAGTCGTGATTGTTTACTCCGAATTCTCCGTCTCATTCTAGATTGTAAAGAGAAAGCGTTTCAGCTAGCTCCGACATGAAATTGTAAGGGAACACTTGCCGCTGCCGCATTCGGATGACATACGGAGATATAAGAGTATAGAGTTGGCCTGCAACCGCCAGAGAGGATTTTGTAAGTAGTGGTGATGCAATACATGGATATATTCTTACAACTATATAACGACTTGAGAGGTGTAAAACTCGCAAGACGATGTTCCCCTCCCTTTTTAAACTCATTAATGGAACGGACCACAACCACGTTGCAATATAATTCATGAGACAAACTCAGATCCGACCTCAAGAAGCTCCCTTTGACCTACCAAGCCTTGTCCATCTATACTCTCTATTTCTTCTCCTCGGGAGGCGGGGCAGCGCCGCCGGTGGTGGGCAAGCCCATGAAGATCTTGAAGTAGTCCTATGATACAAGGTCAGCACGATGTCTACAATCCCCCCATCTTCATCAAACAAGATACTTACGTAAATCATCCACTGGAGACCAGTCAAGGTGCCAATCATGACAATTCGCATAGGTAGGCCGTTCCACAGACCTCTGAAGCCAATGTCCTTGTAGATACGACCCACGGCGGAACCGAAACCCTCTCCGGGCTCGCGGACCGAGTTAAGCTTGCTGACCATGACATCTGCCGGGTGAGAGACGATAGCACAAAGAATACCAGCCAGGTAACCAGCAGTGAAGGAGACACCAGTCTGCGCAGCCTTGCCGTAGTCGTCCTTTTGTCCAGGCAGACGAGCGTAGATCATCTCAACGATAGTTTCAAACGAGGCAAACTTCATCATCGTGTAAGGGATTTGACGGCCCCAGAGGGGATAAAGACCTTTGTAGAGACCAGCATAACCTTCCTTTGCAGTGATTTTGCTGAATCCATCGAGAGCACCCGTGTAGGGGTTAGGCGAGCCTCCCTGCATTCGAACCTTGATAGCTTCCATGGGGCAGAGGGCAATGTCGGCCAGGAATTCAGCTGAAGCCGAGGCGGCTAGATACAGACCAGTCTTATACTTGTGGGCAGCTTCCGGACCAGCAAGGTCGGAATATGTTTTCTTGAAGTACTCATACCATCCATACTTGAAGGCACCTTGGGCCGAGTAACCAAAGAAGGTGGGGCTCCAGCCAGTGAAGATGCCACGGAGGCCTTGAGCACGGTAAATCTTTCCCCATGCTTCGAAATTGCTCTTGTATAGGGATGAGTCGACCTGACGGCGAGTTTTGACGAAATCAAGAGGTGTGACGGCAGTGTGAGTGAGACCCTGGTGAAGAGATATGTGAGTGAGCGCAGTGCACAGACAATGAGAGACAACGATCAATTACTCACACATGCCATCAATCCTCCAAAAGTACACGCCGCGTAATACTTTCCAGAGTACAGCTCAATCTTTCCGGCCTTGGCTTGCGCTGCGGAACTGGCCTTTTCGAATTCCTTGGTAGCTTCATTGCTCAGTTTCACGGCCTTATCTTTGGCGTTGTCCACCACGGACCAAGCTCCGTAGAGTTCAGGGCGAGCCTGGAGAGGAGTCGCCGTATTCTGCGAGTTGTGATTTGTAGATGCTGGGCTGAAGAAGGCGCCCTTCAAGGCATCAGCCTTGGGATAGAGGTGTGCCATGGCGAGAGGTGGATTGGCGCGCCGAAGTTTCCGACAGCAGAGGTTTGCCTATGAAGCCGATTGAAACCGCAATTAGAACGCTGCAAGTGTCCAATTGCCTAGGTAGGATCGTGACATGTACAAGGACTTGGGAAGGAGGAGGGAAACGTGGGAAACGTGCTAGAAGCGACTACGCTCTTGTGGCTAAGCGGAGAGGGGATGAAGAAAGGCCGTAGAAGAGCAGCTGGCGCAACTGGCAGCTTTAAGAGCAGCCACTTCTGTCAATGGAGAGGAACTCACAGGGCCACACCTGTCACTTGTACCTATAGATAGTAAGTAGCCGACTCGCACGCGACAATTGCCTATGCAGCGAGGGTCGCGAGATGGAATGCAAGGAGAGGAAATGAGGCAATACAGACAAGTTGCGTAAAGGATTCAAGAAGTTATAAATGTCGCAGGAAGGAACAAGCCCAGTGATACTCCCGGATAAAGTCCGCGGAACCAGGCATGCCAGGCCACCACGGACGGGAAAGCAGCAAAAAGCGTGACATCACTCGACGTCAAGATAACGGCTTCTCAGCGCCCGAGCAGCGAGCGATCAATGACGGCCGCTCTAGCAAAGTCGAGGTACTAAAACACGGCTTAGAGGTACGGAGCCGCTATGGGGGTGGCTCTCCGTAGTGGAAGTAGCTCTCTGCCCCACCAATGTCCAGATTCAAGAAGCATAGAATAATCTGTCATGGGAGCTGTCGGATCAATCGCGACTTTGATACAGCTGCTTTTCAGGTACAGAGTTTAATGATAATGGAAGCCGAATCTCGTGGCTTTTTGACCGAAGCTGTATGGCTTTCAGCATGTTCGTCCATATAATACCGAGGCTGCAGCATCGGCACAAGCTGCGGTATTACTGGGCAATAACCAAAGATCGTCATCCATAAAACCCGATAGAAATCGATCGAGAAGCCGCACGGACCGGCTAGGAGCTTCACATGAAATACTCCACTTGCCAGGCGTGCCGGAGAGCCATGCGAAGGCGAAGCGGGACGATTCGGAGTTAAAGATGGTGTCCACAAAAGACCAAGGCGTTGCAGACGATATGTATCCCGAAACAGACGCATGCATAGGGGCTGAGAGAATGCGATAAGGATGCACTCATGCGAATTGAGTTTCGAGTTGGAACTTGTTCTATCCATCATTCCTCTCTTTCCATGCTATCAGGAGAGTTTATGGGAGCGATTCTGCTGCGAAAGTGGAAACCCGATGTCGCATTCAAAGCACAAGACAAGAGAATATATAATCATATTTCTAACCTTTGTTCGAATCTCCCACTAGGATTTAAAACTTACATCTAGAAACTAATGTAGTATGAGAAAAATATCCAGAAGATTGATGACATGAAATAGGTCATCACATGAAATTATACGGGCAGTTCCAAGCTCAGCGACAACCCCGCCGAAATAGGCCTGGATGCTGAGCTAATCACGCCCCGCGGTGGCTCAATTGACCCCAGCGATTTGCCAATATCTGCCGCCAGAGTCATCTTTGCTTCAAGGCCAGACAAGGAAAATCTTCGTTTCTACAACACCATCGCATTCGGCCCCAAAACAGAGCGAGCATCAGACATTAGCCATGGCCACCACATTGACGCATCAGCCCGCCTCGGCTGGCCCCGTGGCGACCGCTCCCTTCTCCACGGCCTGGTCTTCAAGATATCGAGGCGTAAGTTGGACAACGATCTTTGGCGACTCGGCATGCGCCTAGACCATCCTATGTATTCAAGGAGTCTTCAAGCTTTGCCAATGCGTCGTTTTACATCAATCGAACCCCTAGCTGACAGAACATCTCATCTCGCAGGCCACAGTCGAAGATCTTGACCCTCCTGCCGCCCTCTCTCTCAATCCATCTGACGCAATCTCCCTCGCCATGATGTCAGCCTTTGAGCGCGAATACACACACCTCACCATCGTCGACTCGGAAACCCGTGCCCTGCTCGGCTACATCTCCATCCCCCACCTGCAGTCCCTCCTGGAGGCCGGCCGCGTCCAGCCCAGCGACCCCCTCTCCGCCGCCATGACACGGTTCCAGCGCAAAGGCCGCACGTATCGGGTCATCACCATGCAGACCCCGCTGGAGGAGCTCGAAGCCTTTTTCCGCGGCGACAAGAACGACGGGACATGGAAGGAAGAGTTTGCTGTCATCACGGATGAGAACCGGAGATTTGTGCTGGGTGTGGCGACGGTGCAGGACTTGGAAGAGTTTGTCAAGAGGCGGCCTGCTTAAGTGAGTTGCTGAGGGATATGGAGGGGGCAGCGGGTTGAATTCGAAACAGGGCAGACCCGTATCTTTACGACGGGTAAGTGGGTGGGAAGTATGTGCGCTTTTTGAAGCCCTAGACGGCGTTTGGAAGACATTTGGCCATATTCAACATGCGTTGGAACTTCTATTGGGCTTGTTTGCTTGCACTTGATGAGGGGAGCTGGGAAGTCATTTGTGCAAAGCGTGGTGAAAAGGACTGTTTTGCTCATGAAGAAGACAGGCTGCAGTGCACGCAGATATAACTACTCATGATGCTGGGTTCAACACTATATCAGAATAAATCACGTCTTAAAAATATCTTCCTCGAAAGGATGCCTCTTGGTAAAAGTTATGTGCTCATTGAAGGGGCAGCTATTCAGATCGTCAAATTGAATACCAGGCATCCGATGTTTAAGTTACATAGCACACAATATACGGTTACCTAATACTAACCAGTATATGTATTAATATCACGAAGATGGCGAAGCAGATCCCAGAAGAAAGTCGTGGAAGTAGCAGACACTTTGGAGGATATGGCAGACAAAGGACACTTCCTCAGCATCTTGTTACGGCACTAGATATGACTTCACTCAGTCGCTAGGGCTTTTGATAACCCAGTTAGGGTGTTGTATAGCTACTCTCTTTATTTATTATTGAAGAAACAAACACGAAGGCCCTCAGCTCTTCTATATGATATCAAAATAAGCACCTGTCACACAAAAGAACCCCCTTTACTCTTCGTTAAAGTCGTAGACGAGTCGGATCTGAGCCCGCTCCTCTCCCTTAGTCACAACAACATGTCTGCAGTATCTACGCTCGCCATCAACAATCTGAAAACCCCAGACCTGCTCAGCAACCCAGCCCTTCTCCTTGTTCTCAGCAATGTTGGTGATGAAGCTCTGACCCTCACCCTCAACCTCCCAGCCCTTCTTGAGGAACTCGTCAGTGACCTCGTCCAGGCTCACCCAGCGGCTCCGGCCCGTCACGGTACCAAACAGCCAGTCGGTGTGGTCGCGCGGGAAGTTGTCGAAGCAGCGGTTCTCCTGCGTGCTCGACAGGCCCGACGCGGACTGCTTGATGTCGATGTGCGTGACGACGTCGGCGGCGGTGTTGGGAGGCTTGGGCGGGCCCTCGTACTGCTCGACCTCGATGGTGATGGTGGCCAGGCTGATGCCCTTGCGGATGAGGTAGCCGACGCCCTGCAGGGAGAGCACCGGCTCCGAGGAGTCGGAGAGCGTCTTGTTCTATGCGTTGTTGTGTGTGCCGTTAGTGGAGATGCTCTCTTCTTCCCGTGCTGATGTCATTTTATCGAGACAATCCCGTCGGAAGACACGGAGGTGTAAAGCGAATACACAATCACTTTTCCGGGTGTACACATCGTCACTGCCCATCACGATGCCTTCCGCTCTACTGCTAGCCAGCTTCCCCTTCCCAGCTAGTAGAACGAGAGAAGCTCATCGTCCTCATGGAGCGCGGTTGGCGCTGGTTTTTTTCGCCAGGTGACGAGAGAAGCTCTCATAGTGGGGGAGGGGTAAACCAAATCCCCCTCTTGGCGGGCGCTTCCGCTCGAGACAGGGGTGACCAAATGCGAGTGACAGTGAAATAGGCAAGGGGGATGTCGGGGAATTGGAATTCTGGAGCTTCTTACCATGGTCCATTTGCCATTGAGGTTCTTGGTGGTCTTGCTCGAGGGGGCAGCCATGTTTGCGGTTGTTGAGCTTCACTTAGCTGGTAACCAACAGAAAGAAGAAAAAAAAAAAAACCAGAGAGAGGGTGAGAGTGAGAGAGTGAGAGAGTGAGAAATACAGAAAACAAAAAAGAGTTGGGGCTCCTTCGACAAAAAAGAGGGTGGCCTAAAGAGGGTGCAAGTCGTGCGCATTAAATGCAAGCTCTGGTGGGAACTATCACAAGCTTGCAGCGCTTTTCCGCAGCACCAACTGGTCGCCATCTTCCGAGGCGCTGCTGGCTATTAGTCCTCACATGCAATGCACACCCTGGCGACACTCTCCCAAACAGGCACTAAGCCATGAGCTGAGTAACCGGGCCTAGTCCGCTAAAAGATTCCCCCATCTCCCCAAAGTACCTATGGAGGCCAATCTCCTCCCCCATTTCGACTGGTTGCTCGTGCCCCTCTTGCTCGAAATGACATCTGATGGGGTTCAATTACCCGTCGTCAACAGGAATTGCGCCGGATTTTGACAAGATTTACAAACTGAGGCACTTTTATACTTGCTAACTGACGGGTCCGAGGTTGGTACGTCCCTATTGATCCGGCACTACCAAGCTTGGGCCTGGATAGCATGACCCCATCTCGGTCTTGATACCAGCAAGTACACCGAGCGTACGCAAACATCACACGAGATGCTGGCATATGGTAAAGTAGCTAGCTTCCTGAATTCTCTACCATGGGGATATGATATTTGCAAAAAATGCTCAGAGTACTAGATATAGAGTCATATGAGAGGAGCCGTATTATGTCTAATAAACATCATATTGTTGGCAAAGAAAAGCCACTAGGAACATGTGTAGAACAGCACGGGTAAACAGCATACCTCCTCACACACTCGGCAATTGCCACCAACAACAGACCATAACCCATTACCCGTATTCCATCAACCCCTTGATATCTTCAGAATAAATGTAACAAGAATAGAAACCAAATGGGGAGATATCCTGAAATAAAAATGAAAAAGACAAAAAAAAGACAAGCCCTGCATCTGTATTTGAACTCAACCCCGGGCGGATATCGTGCTACTTCTTCCGGAACCATGTGGATATCTAATGATACATCAACCAGAAGTCGCTTCCTGGCTCGTTTAAATCCTCAGTCATTATCGCCATGAATCCCAAGACTACCACGCCTGGTGTTGTTTCCTTACTTCAGGGGACCATCCGTCCCCTTCCATAAGCTGTTCAGCCACGAAGTCTGCTTGGGCGTCAATCGGCCGCTTGCTTTTCAGATATGCATACCTGTCAAAAAGTAATACGATTTCGGCGTCGAATCGGCCATTTGGCCATGCTTCTGATTTCTCACACTCCAAGTGCCGTGTGAGGGCCTTCTCAACCTCTCTCTCATGGCCACCATTTCATCTGCTTGTAGCTCTCAATGACTTCTTCGATAAGCTCTTTTGTGATGACTGGCTTCTCGTACTTGAAGCCCAAGATTTCCTCCAGCCTGCTGCCATCCATGCTGAGGTCGGTATCTTTGAGGAGTTCCTTCTCCATGAATGGCGTCAGGGGACCTGGTCGTGTAATGCCGGCGTCGGATAGCAGATCGGCCCAGGGGCCAAGAATCTCGTCATTAACATCATCCACGACGCTGTCAAGGTTCATTCTCGCAAAGGTGCTGATCAACTGTCCTTGGAAGCCCGTCTCGATTTTGAAGATTTCGCCGATAATGTCAGCCATGGTTCCTTGCGTAGTGGCGCCCTTGTCCACCACGTTGAATATGGGCACCTTGCCCATCTCGCTCTCGTTCCATTTGGCCTTGCCGGCGTCATACCAGGTAGCAGTGTCCCAAAGGGCTCGGACTACATCGTGGATGTGCGCTGTGTTAGTTCGCAGGTCCTTGGTCCACAGCCACTTCATTTCCCCTTCGAGATGCTGATAGACGCGGGCCATGCAGAGTGCTGTCGCAACCCACTGAGAAGCATAAGGGCCGTACACATGGGGGAGACGGACAACCGCGAGGTTAAGCCTGTAGGCACACCTTTGTTAGATAAAACAAGACACGGAGCCAAGAGGGGGACCCAGTGTGGCTTACCCTTCAATTTTAGCCAATGCCTCCTCTGCCTGCAGTTTGAAAACGGCAATCTTGCTCCACGGCTTCAGCTTATCCCCTTCTTTGCTCGGTGACGAATCCGACTTGTACACCATGCCTGTGCTTAGTTCGATAAACGCCTTGACCTTGCGTTTGGCAGCTTCCTCGGCAACGGCAATGGAAAGATCCAAAGACCTCAACTTGTAGACCTCGTCTTCCTGGGAATATCTCGTCTCTCCACCGCAGTTGAAGACATAGTCCCACTGCTTGCCATCGGGTCGATCGAACACTTTAACTAGAGCCTCTGTTTCAAGCAGCACAAATGTTGTTAGCCATGATGGTTCGTGGGCAGAGGTAGTAGCCCCGAAGAATGAACAGAATGAAAGACGGTTAATTACCCGGCTTGCTAGCATCGGCCTGCATGAACTTGCTCTGGGCGCAAGCTTCCGAAAACTCGGGTGCCAGCCAAGCGAGCTGGGGCAGCACCTTGTCGACAAGGCGGACTTCTGAGGCAAGATTGTTCTGGTGGATGTGCTGGGCGAGGAAGCGGCCGATATAGCCCAAGCCCCCAATGATTAGGACCGACGGCTTCTCGTCAGCCATTTTCGAAGCTGCTGCTGTGGCGGTCGACGAGGCGCGAGACTGCGTGGCAGCGAGATGGTCGTTAGAACGCGCAGTGGCGGGCCACGGTTTCGAATTAGCGGCTGCGTTTCACCCTCCCCTACGCTCTTATTTTTTTTTTTTTTATTCGAGTTGGGAAAAGAACAGCGTCGCCAAGGGGGGAGGCTGATCGGATGTCGCTGCTCTGGTGTTTGGCGAAGTAGCAAATATGCCGAGGGCTCAAGATGGATAAGAGAGAGAGAGGGAGAGAGGAGGAAAAGAGGGAGGTCGCAGGCAGCCTTGGGTACTAAAAGCAAGGTACGGGTAAGCTGTTGACCTGTTGAGGAGTCGGTTCGGTACAGGATCCCGGATCACCCACACAACTGCCGGAGGAAAACCAAAACCTGAGACTGCGAGACACGAGAAGAGAAACGCACTGTGCCAGGAAGCCGAAGCGGAAGCCGAGGGCAGAAAGGCAAACTTTTGTATCTCGCAGGTGAGACCAAGCCAAGTGCCTGAGACGGAGGGATGGGTGGATAAGGCAGAGCAAGGCAAGGAAGGCAAGGTAGCTTGGACTTGGATGGACGGATCGAGGGATTGGTCATGGAGGGGTTTGGCCTATTTACCGCCGCCTTGAAGAATCCAGTCCAGGTGCATCCATACACGTAAAAGTGCCCGTTACGGAGCCACCAGCCAGCGCCAAAGGCCCCCCACTAGGTACAGTAGCAGACAAGAAAACGCACCGCCGTGTCAGTGCAGTGCAGTGCTGCGTTATGCTGCTTGCTGGCTTCCACCGCCAAAGCTGTCGTGTCATGTCATGTCATTGATGCTAGGTAACCCGCCAAGGTAATTACGGAGGTACTCCCAGGTGGGCATGTTCATGTACTGTATCTGCCAAGCACCTGTCAAAATGGCTGTGCCGGGCATCATTCGCCGTCTTGTCTCGTCTTGTCTTGTCCTGCTACTGTATCGGCGACAGTGACGATGTCCGGTGGTCCATAGGAATTTGATGAGTATGGGGTAATTGGAACTTGTCAGCCATTACACAGGTACGAGGACAGGCTCTGGTCCGCGGGACAGGGTGTTAGCCGAAGCTAGGCCGGGCCACTCTTGTCAAGGTAATTAGCAGGCCGTCATCTTTGTCACCGTCCATCCAAGCCATACTCGTAACAAGTACAAGTACCGAGCGAGCATTGCGGGAGTGTTCCAGGCACATCCAGGCACGCATGGGCTGTGACTGGACAATGAGACAGGCATGACAGGGCCTGGACAAGACGACACGACACAGTGCTGATGATGGCTTCAAGCCACTATACAGCAGGACTCACTCGGTCCAAAGCAGGACAGTTCCGAGGCGCTGGACCTTGTCAACTTCCCTGTTCCCCGGGTTGGTCACCCACACAAAGACTCACCCAGCAAACAACTGACAGCTACAGTGAGCGAAATTGTCCAGCCCAAGTGCTCTTCTGTACGAGGACGGATGTGTTACTCGTACTTGGTCCTACCCAGTACTTGACATCTCGAAGCGGCTAACCGCTGCCAGGTCCCAGCATCCCTGCCGACACCCCACCGACGTAGCGGGTTAAGCGGACTGTTATTATTTGCCATACAGCGCAGTCGGCCGAGTTTTCATGTCTCGAGGAGCTGCTCGAGTCTGCCAAGCACAGCGAAGCGTCTTGCTGCTCTTGTTTAAGTGGGAACCCATAGGTCTAGGTTCACCGCAATGCGCATCATGTCTCACCTTTCCCTCTCCTGGACGGATCCTGCGACTCAGCCAGTATGGCATCCAGGCACCGCCATAGCAACAACGCTGTACTTGAACATGGCTCCCTTATCGTTCCGTCATTACACGGCTTGTTGCAAGTAATTCCGGGCTGCATGCTGGTACCCATAGGACAGGTCAAGATTGTTCACTAATACGACCGGATATTGAAATCCGTCTGCGAATCCCTTGATGGCAGCAACTCCGGCAACATGACATGTGCAAATATGTACTTTCTGCATCCAATCTGCGACCCGACCCGACGCCGCCGCCCGACCGGAATAATGAGTGGCGCCACCACCTTTGAGCAATCGCTTTCTGGCCTTTGCCCTTGTGACACTAAGCAGTGGGACTTTGTTGCGCCATGTGCAGCCTTTAGGTGGGACGAACCGCTCCGAACGGGCGACTGGCGGCCGTAACATGGCACTATTGCTCTCAGCAGAGCGATGGATTTACTACTCGTACTCTTCTGCCTTGCCTATACTTGGATCATCGCCGGCCGAGTAATATAGAGGGCCCGCCGGGACGGACCCCAGCGCTTGGGACGGGCAACGAGAGCCCAAGGCCAGCTGGCGTGAGTACGTGCATATCAAGTGCTGTCAGCTTTGAATCCTTTGACGTCTTCTCATCTGAACAAAGCACTGGCGACGTGGGGTGCGGGGTTCACTGCATATGTTCCAAGCGTCGTTCTAGAAGAGGGTGCTTTCAGCCAATGACTCGACGTCTGAGACAAACGAAACAGACCGCATTTTGTCGGCCAACTTTCTCTTCATGCGCTCTGTCTACTCGTACATCAACCACAGGATGGGACAGTGGAAGTTGGACATAGTAGTGGTATGTTCAAACACGATATGGAGCCTATGTTTCTTGTCCCATGTCTCTGCAGAGTACAGTTGGAGAAGCACGGTGGCTTACAAACAGTCAACCCACAGGCCTGTTTTACGAAGCGCAGGGAGGGAAATCCAAAGACCCACACCCATGCCTTCGCTCTGCGTCTCGTGGATTGTACGGAGTCAAACACACGTTTTGAGCCCTCCTTGACTGCCACATGCAGGAGGCGTCCCTTGGATGGTGGGCTTATTCGCCTCTTGCCAAGGATGCAGTGCACATACGAGTGAGACAGGAAAACGCGGGCGTTGAAGCAGGGAGACCCATTGTTCGCCTCTCAATTATTACTTACTAGTGTGTTGGTGTCCTTGTGTATACGATACTGGTAGTAACACACGATGTTGGCACCTGCGGAGGTAATATACACATGCCAGCGGAGGACGGAGTTTACTCATACAGGCATGAGGGAGACTGGCAAGGATAGCACCTTATCCTCCGGGTTGGATTTTGCCAACTCTCTGCTTGTGCTCCTTGCAGGCTCTTCTTGGACGCCACCGAGTCCAAGGGTTGGCCGTCCCCCAACTGCGGGCTTGCTCAACTCCACCACACTTTTCATGGACTATCTTCTCACCTGCAAGGCACCAATGCAGCAGATATCCAACGACGAGTCATGAACAAATAGCGCCATGCTTGCGTTGTGTGTTTCATGCTCAGCTCTTTGCCTTCTCCGCTGCGTCTGAAAGCCTAGACCGAGATGTAGAAGACGGAAGAGCATAAGTTGAAGCTGCCAACTCGGTCCACCGTACTACCTAGCACCGATGACATTGCCCCTACTGCTGTATCTGTACTACTGTACTACGATACAAACACAAGGGTGAAGAAAAGAGAATGGTTAAAGGCGCAGCCCCAGCAGACAGATCGCCCTCATCCCTGGACGTGTGGAATACTTTTGTCACTTTGTCAAGGGTGCCGCTTGATCAAGCTGCACGCTAGCATCAGCCGCAGAACTGCTACGGTGTGATGATGTCCCATCTCGAGCGGCATGTCCCAGAGCCTCGCGAATGAAAAAGAAGAGCAGCATGGCAAGGATCCGCTCCGGTGCAGCACCCAATCTACCACCCATCGTCACGGGGGCTGTCCAAGCCTTTCTGGTGCCCTCAGGGGACACGGGGACTTGGTCGGGTATATTTCCGCGTCGGTTGCATTGTGCATACGGCTCCCTTTCTTTTGCAAATCAAATCCATATCTGGACACGTCCGTATGGCGATATAGACAAGCAGTGCTTTTCGTATGCCTGGTTTACAAAACCTTTTGCCGTCTGGATCATGCCTAGGATGTGCCGGAAATTCAATACACTCCGGTCCGTCCATTTTGGCAAGGTTCTGCCAGCCACAATGACATGGGTAGGGAGATGGAAATCAGGCCGATCAAGGACGAAGTAACACAAGCAGTAGTAATACCCGTGTTGCCTTGTTAACTTTGTTGCAGGCAGTTATTCATTGGCAAAAAAGAAAAGAGAAGAGCAAACAAAGGGACGGGCTGTGCGAGCCGTGCCGCTGCAACTACATGTAACATGTACAAGCGAGTGATGCTTGCGAGAATCCTGGTCCTGCCTGCAAGGGACGCGCACGTCGTGCATTGGGCCGTCGTTGCATGCAAGTCATCCATTTTCCTCGGCCATTTTCGCTGTCTTGTGGTGCCCCGGGCTCGTAAAAAGCCCAGAGCAGAAGGGATATCAAGTGCAGAAGCAAAGCCAGTTCCGGGGCCGTGACCCACAATCTCTTCCGTGGTGATGATGCCACAATAAGATATATGGACTCTTGATTTGTGAAAAGCTCGTGTCTCGCTTAATTTGGCATGAACTCGTTAGACTTGAAGAGCTCAATATGACAAAAAGAGGAATTACGGAGTAGAGAGGATTATGGTATACCAGGTTCGGAATTATACCCGATACATTGATGGCCACGGACTTCATATGACAAATTCGCAACGGACACTTCTATGCAGCCCATGGCGAAGTTCAGATTTGCATTCTCACACTGGAATTCATGTGGGATGAGTGTGAAGCAATACATTCCATCCTTCCATCCGATCCAACTACCACGGCTACTCCGTCAGTTTTGATGCAGCATTTTCTTCCATGAAGCAGCCATCTATCCCACGCCTCGAAAAGGCTAGATGCTAAAGTGTATGAAAGTAGCTAACGAGTGGAAAAAGGAATTTTGAATGGGCCTCTTGTTAAACAGCATTGATGCTATACGATCTTCGTTATTCCCCATGACACAAGTATTCGAGATTATATATACACTAATAAAGTAAGGTAGTCAAAGTGTCTTTATACCACCCTTATTAGACTCAAGATGCTGGATTTCTAGACTATCAACTCCGGGGACTCTGTCAATCAATCTCTCGGGACCAATATGCTCCGTCCACACTCATGACGGTATGATTCGGAGAAAGATTAGACATGAAAAGAAAGATGCGGTCCTTTAGCACGAGTCTATTGCGGTACAAAGGTCTTCACATTCGTATCCAAATAGGTAGAAACTAAGAGAGTTCCTCTCGATAGATCAGACCGATGCCCTGCATAACCATGCTACAGGACGTGTAGGACTACGGAGCGATCAGGATGAGTGAGATCGTCAACACGTCAAAGACTTCAGACTCATCCCACAGGAGGAAAACCCTATTCGCCCCTAATTGCTACCTTTAAAACCCCTAAGATAGCATGTCGATAGATCCTTCCATGTCAAGGGGAGGAAGAGAACGCTACATTTTAGAAACTCTTTCAATAGACTGTTTCGAACATTTTGTTCAAAGATTTACAGACGCGTAATTTGCTTTCATATATTCGAGCGCATACTCTTTCATCGCTGTCAAAAACACACTAATATTTGTATCCTTCATCAAACTGCCTCCTCGTCATCGCTTCATGCTGCCAATGAGCTCCCGCTGCGTCTCCCGCTCCTTCGCACCATCACTCAGGCTACCCACACTCCGCAAGTCACCAACGACATCCTTGGCCTTGCCAAAGTAGACGTCCTGCAGCAAATTACGCATCTTGAGCTCCATGTCCTCCACCAGGCGGCCGACGTTGGCAATGTGGCTGTCGTCGTTCTCCACGGGGAGGTCCTGCTCCACCTGGCGCGTCATGTTGCCGCTGAGGTCCATGTCGCCGACGGTGCCCTCGACGTTGGTGGACAGCGAGAGTATCACGGTGGATGTGAGCTTGTAGTGGGTTGTTCGGCCGCGCTCAATGGCCTCGAAGACGTGGATCGAGTCCCAGACGCCCTCGGTGTTGGTTCCGGGGGTGGCAGCTAGAAGGAAGGAAATTGAGTTGTTAGCATATTGATGATATACATGAGACTTGGGACCGGGTTGGTGTGCAGTAGTAGGCCAAAGACAACGAAAAAGAGGGATGCAATGCATGCAGCCAACGCACATTTCTTGACCAACACGACGCCGGCGAATCCGTCGTCCAGGTTCCACAGGTACACGCTGCTCACGCCCCCCTCGTAGTACAGCTCCCTGTAGATGTCAAAGGCCTCGTTGGCCTTGATCTCCATCTTGCGGACCCTCTCGTTGGGGATGGCGCCCTCGCCCGCGCCCTCGCTGCCTCCCGGGCCGACACCGCCCACGCCGCCCTCGTCCAGCGGCGGGTCGAACTGGTTGCTCCATGGCGAGCGGTAGCTGTCGCCGTCGCGGTTGTAGTCGCAGAGGAGGTAGTCTCGGCCGGTCTGCCTGCACCGCTTGACGGTGAGGGGCTGGTCGACGGACGAGAGAAGGTCTTCGGTCAGGTCAGGGGCCAGGGAGATGATTGCGTTGAGGTGCTCGCTCGTGTGTTTCGGATTCAGGCGGCGGAGGAGATCGCTGCAGGACACGTCAAAAAGAGAAGATTTCGTCAGCTTCAGGTCAGAGATTGGGTGTGGGAGAAGGATTATTAACAACGGGCATCAGGGGGGAGAGAAGCGAGAACAGCGGATGGGATGGTTTGGGCGTGGTATGGAGGAGGGGGGAGGGGAAAAGGGGAGGAGAAGAACTCACAGCGCCGAGTCAAAGGGATCCGCAGCCATTTCAATGCGGATGTGCTGCAACAAATGCAGACTCGAATATCAGTTGGAGATGGAGTTGGAGGGTTGATTGCGGTGATACTCCCAGGACGAGGTCGGTAAAAGAAGCCCAAGATATTGTCGTCGCGGGGTTTCGACTTGTCGGGTCGCCAGGGGGTCACGTCACCAGTAACGGGCCTCTAAGGAGCCAGTAGCTAGCGGCAGCTATCAGCTAATTGGGGCTCTGTTGGAGCAGTCCAGCGATTAACCCCACCAGATGGGTTGGGAGCTCGAGCTGCTTAGTAGCTTGGTGCTGCTTAAGTTGAGTTATAGACACCCGACAGCTCTGCTAACTCCCATCTGTGTAAGCTGCATGATTCCTCAATTCCATGATAATTGAGTATATGTAACAATCTTCAAGAAAAGAGAAACCAATGATTGTTAATTATATAAATAATATAGTTATATATATGCTTTCATATTCACATTCTCACTGTTATAATTGTCATTATTATTATCATCGTCATCATCAATTCTCATCATCAAACATCCAATTTGTCTGTAAATCTACCTATCCAGGGCAATAAGAAACAACACAAAAGAGAGCACGCGATACTAGCAAACGCTCCCAAGACAGAATATCCCTCCCCGCCTTACTTCAAGCAGCCAAGGTCGGAAATCCAACAAGACCAAAACACACACAAATCCTGAAATATCAAGCGCCCTTTTCCAGACCCTCTATGAGAGAGAACAGACAAACGGTGTTCCGCATTGCTATGCCCCTGACCATATAGTCCCGGCCCGTACCGTAAAATCGCCCAAAACGCCCCGCCAAGTCCTTCGTCCTCCCTTCTTCGGTGTCGTGTCACCTGGCATGGTGCCGTTTCCCGCTGCCGTGATGTTTTTTTGTTTGGTTATATTCGTTTTTTGTTATCTTCCTTCCTCCCCTAACATTATGTTGATATAACCAGTTGTCCAAGGTGTCTTGAAGAGCTGAGCGAAGCAAACGCTATTACCGCCTTTCCAGAAAATAGGAATGCTGACGTAAAGAAAAAAATCCATTTCCAGTGCCTGATATTACCACGGAAAGAGTATCCTGCGTGCGGGTGCCTCACCGTTTACTCAATGAGAGTGTCGCACAATAGGCAATATGCCGGCTCTGTCCACTTCTTCTCTCCTCCCTCGACGCCCTCTCTCAAATCCGTCACCTCCCAGACCGTGGGTCCTTCGTTCATCTTGAGCGTGGCTTCGAAAAGGCCCTCCCAAGGTTTCTTAGACGACTTCTTGCGCCTTCCTCGCTTTGCCAAGACTGATTTTGAAGACTTATCCAGAGAATTTTGCGGTGCCGGTGTTGGAGTTTCCGTGTCCTTGGACGACTCGTCATCTCCCTGCTTCACGAGAACTTGATCCTTTATCTCACTGTTGGCGACGATTGGCGACTTTCTGTCCTCTCCCTCGACTGAGGGGCTCAACAGGCGGTAGGGCAGGTCTCCTTTGGTTCCTTCCTTTGGCTCAGCCTTTGTATCCTCCTTGGCCTCCTCCTTGATGGCCGGCTTTTCCGATTTGTGAGGAATATCCGTCCCTAGTCGATCGTACACTCGGGTGAGGACATCGTCGAGCAGGCAATCGTAATGCATCCACTCTTCGCACGTCTTGTTGGAGCATCCTACTAACGTTTTGTCGGGATTGGCGGGAGTCCTGCATTTGCAGACGAGGGCGACCGACTATTTGCCAAGATGTTAGTACTGGCCGTGCTGAAGGCGGAACGACAGTTATAGCAATTGCATACCGATAGCTCCGCCGTCCTGCAGTTGAACGCTTGTCTCCAATACAGAGATTCTTGAATGTCATCATCGTTCGATTCGATCCACTGTTTGACATTGACGCCCATTACGACGCTCACGACATTGATAATATCCACTACTCCGGTGTTAGAGACCCAACAGGCACTCATTGGTGCTTGGATGCTTACTATGATTAGAGGCGACCAGCTCATGCTGCCCATGATATGGCTGCCGACCAGAAATTTGCTTCTTGCCGTCCATAGTACCAAGAGGTAGCTCCTCAGGCCAATACATCCAGTACACGCGGGCATATACGTGATGTTCATCCGAGGCCCGAACCTCCAATATCCGGGCTACCCAGTAATCTGCTTTCTTGGCAACTTTGCTGGCGCCGGCAGGCAGAGAGTTTTGCCGTTCCATGGTTGCCTCGTTCGCCACATAGACAAAGTCTTCCGTGTAGTATTTGACGCCATTGACTATACGGGTTCCGCTTGGTTAGCTGCTCGGGGTCCAGATGTTGCCCGGGAGATGCGGGAAGTGGCACTTACGAACGAAGCTGTTGTAGCGTGTCATGTCGAGCCATTGCTTGCGGGGGTCTACGGCGTAGTAGAGCTTCAAGGATTGGCTCGACTTGAATTTGCCTTCGGGATGGAAGACGGCGTTTTGCGTCTGGACCTTTTTGTTGTTGTCCTCCTCGGATTTGTCATGCTTCCTCTTCTTCGACTTGGGGCCGTCCCTCTCATTGCGCTCCGGCTCCGAGACGACAGTGACGGTGAAGGGACAGTCGGCACGATTCTCGTCCAGGACAGCACCATCAGGAGCTGAGGCGCCGTCTGGAGCAGGGCGAGAGCGCTTCCGAGGCTTGGAACTCATCGCGGGCCGTGGGCAGCGCGCCGTCGGTGTCGCGCAAGCTGGGGCGTCGCGCGTCGATGGAATTCGGACGGCCGGCAATGGGCGCAGCGACTCTTTTGGCGAGCTGTTGCTTCTGACAAAGCGAGAGATGGGCCTTGGATCTGGTTCGGTCTATCTCGATGTAAACACAAGCGCCCGCCCCGATAAATAGCACAGGCAGTCTGCAACAGCGGCACGGGCCCTGGTAAATCGGGAGCAAGATAAGGTAGGATTCCTGCTATGCACCGAATTCTAGATGACAGCTCTAGCAAAGGAGCGGGCTAGAGCTCAGCGGGCGTAGCCACCGCAATCCGGGGGGGACAGACAGACAAGGGGGAAGAGAGGAGCAGGTCGAGGACAGGGAACCGCGCAAAAGCTATGGATATTTTTTTGGACTTTTTTGCTTTTTTTTTCTGCTGCCTTCCAAAGTGGGCTTGTATCGACAATACCCGTTGGCGGGGGATCAAGCGGCGATCCCAGCGGCGCGCAAACCGTGCTGAAGAGAAAAGGAGGGATTAAGAAGAGAAAAAGAGATGAAGAAAAAAAGAAAAGCGTTGCTTCTGCTTGGGCCGCCGTCCTGTCGAACCAACGTGTTCTGCTAGGCAAAAACAGAAGAGGAGAGGAATAGGAATAGGTGAACGGTCACTAAGGTGGAAAAGAGTGGAGGGGAGCAGGGTCATGTACCTACGCAGGCACCTTGCGCCGACCAGGTACTTACTTGGCCCGGGTTACGTACAGTATATAGCACTGGACACGCGAATACGCACGCAAATGAACGCGCAGAGGGAAAGGGAACGCAAAAACCCCCACTGTAATCGAGCTGTTGCTTATTGTCTAGCGCGATGGATTGGGGAAATGCCAGCACGTTGCTGCATGGAATCGGATCAATTATTGTGGCAATTTAGCCGTTGTTCCTTAGTGCTTCTAGTAGCGGCCTAGATCGTCTTGGTAGTGGCGTTTTCAAGATGGAATAGTATGGGTTTGATGTGTGAGTTGAGTCGTGTCGACCGGGCTGATTTCATGTTGTTGGTTCGTTGTCCAGGTATAAGACGCCCCCGGAGTGGAATGTCACTGGCACTACCTAGGTAGGTACAAGGGGATTCGAGTCGGGGACGTTGCCTATCATGGATATTTTGTAGGCGTCAGACTGCCATATAGTTTACCAGGTATGTAATACTGTACTCGTATGTAGGTGGTTTGGGTTCCGAGGTTGCCTTGCTTAGATGCGGTGTGCAAGCCAGCACAAGGTCTCAGTTGAGTCTGGGCAACTCTATTAGGCAGCGGATTAGTTGAGCAATGCATTCAATGACAGGGGAATATCAGTTGTTCGACGAATAGAAACAAGAAGAAAATCAAGTTGATACCCCAGCACTTATCAATCCCACACCTTTTCGAAATAGCAAAGTATTATTCACCCGAGTTAAACCCAGCCCTGTTTCCGTATTACTACCTAGCCCTTCAGCTCCAAACTTTCGCAGACAAACGAAATAGTGGCCAAGTAGCCTCCGAATCAAGCTCTGCCGGAGTTCCCAAAGGCAAAATCCAGAGTTTACTAATCAACCAAAACGCCTACGCTATGCACACTTGTAGTATTAGATTGTTGACAAGCCCTATCCAGTCAGAAAGAGACAATAACCAAGAGAAAAGGATCCCTGGCCGCAGCATAATCAATTGCAACTAATATCAGACAAACATCTCATCGTCGATGGGTTGCGTTGCCATTGCCCTCGCCGGCTTCATAGTCAGCCAGCATTCCGCGGGCCGCTTCCTCGTCTTCCTCGTCTTCTCCCGCAGGACTGCCGGGTTCGAAGCCCTCGATGGTCTCAGCGAGCTTCTCGCCTTCTCTCTTGCCACGCTCAACGTCGATGAACCAGATGAGCGGAGCAGGAAACCCAACAAGAGCACCGAGGAACCAAAACGCAGGCCGGATGCTTCCAGTCTTGTCAATGATGGCTCCAACAATAGCTGGTCCAAAAACGCTAGATCCTTTATCAGTGATGGCGTAGAGTGCGTAAAACGCGGCTTCGGATCCGGGTGGAATCAGCTCTCCGAAAAGCGAGCGGCAGTAGCTACTCAGCCCACCCATGACGAGGCCATACACAGCCGCCAGCGGATACATCTCCCAAGGCTGCTGCAGTCCAATAACGCCCCAGCGCTTAATGAACGGGAGGTAGCCCATCAGGCCATAGATCGGGATGAGTTCAAACAAGGCAATGCAGACGAGGATCGTCTGATGGGGTTTCAGGTTGAAAGTTCTGGATACCCAGGACCAGCCGAAAGCGCCGAAGATTCCAGCCATTGTGGCAATGACGTTGATCATGCCCAAGGCCCATGGTTTCATGTGAAGCTGGGTCTTGGCAAACAAGACAGCCGTGGAGGATGTCGTGGCAATTGCATCAGAAAGAAGGAACCAGCTGCCCAGGAAGAGCATAATGTCGATAAGACGCCTTGCCTGCTGAATTGTGCGAAATAGAGATTTCCATGCATATTTCAAGTACACCCACCATGAAGCGCCGTCTTTGCGCCCATCGATTGTCAAAGCCGGTCCTGGTCTGGGCCTAAGCCACAGCGCAGCAGGGATGGTGAAAATAGACCACCAAGCCCCAATAATAAATAGTACAACCCTCTGTGACCATGTCGTGTTCTTCATGGCGATGAGGATGCCAATGGAGGCACACTGCACAAATAAGGCGGCACTATAGCCAATACCAATGCCCAAAGAGGATATGCGCGTAGAGAGTTGAAGCTCCTTGGAAGTGATTTCTTCATGAGTTGCCACACGCTTCAGTCCGTTCCTGTGGTGCCGATCATCAGGAGGAAGTAAGCCTGACGTGGAATTAACCATATCACCCTCCAAATCGTCGGTTGAATCCCCCATCTGACGGGCATCTTCAGATGACTCTGTTACATATGCCTCCGTTACTTCGGGATGGTTTCGAACCAGAAGTGGGAGAAAAGAGTTGAGCAAAACGAATGACGCGCCAAAAGACGTGTTAGAGATGATGGTTAAGAAGGCACCGATGAGGTAGTTGGTCTTGCTGATGAAGATGAAACACATGACGGAGAAGCCACCAATCCAGGCAAACGCCAGGAGAAGCCGCTTTCTATAATTGCCATGGTCTGCAGCACAGCTGATGCTGACAACAAGAAGGGCTTGTAGCAGGACACTGGCTGAAAAGGTATACATGGCAAAGCTAGCCGTGTTGACCGGGATGCCCAATACGTATACGACACACTGGCCGTCATCTTCTGATTTGCTGTCGCTGGAGCCGCAAGGCTTGTCTGGGTTCGAGAGGAGGACGCCATTTTCTCGAGCAAGCGTCTCTAAGAGAATTGGGATGAAAGAAGCTGTTGTACAGGATTAGCGAGACAGCTCGTTTGATGGGGATCCAGAGCTGACAGCGGCCCAACACAACAAGAACAGGTGAGGTGAAGGCGGTGATGTGATATTGGAGAACATCAAGTAGGTGATGAAATCCATTGAATATAAAAACCAATGCAAAGAGAAGAACATGACACGCGAAACTCACCAATTCCGCAAATGACATATGTCTCGGCCGCGAAGCCATACATGTACCATCCCCAAAGCTCTTTCTTGCTTGTCGGTCTGACATCGTGCCCAACATATGCCGGCACGCCCGGCCGCACGTCGCTGTCGAAGCTATCGCGCAGACTCATCTCGTCGTCGCTGTCGGACCGCTCGTCGTCGGCTTCAAAGGACGATGTCGCGTAGGATCTCTTGGACAGGATGGACAGACCCGACCAGAAGCGCCGTCCTTGGAGCTCCGGGCGATGCGGCGTCATGGCAGGCAGCTAATCAGAAGCGGTGGTCTGACCAGTGACAAGACCCACGTGATTGACCCAGTCGGAAGCGGTACCTTGGGCTTGCTAATGCACCCCGCGCTTCTCCAGTACCAGCAATTCACAGTGGGCACAAAGAATCGACAACAGGCGCATCAGGCCGTGAGATTTGTCGCGCAAAGGGGGCTGACTGCCTATAACCGTATCGTATTATCAACTGCTTCTATCCGGGTTGGTCTGGTCTGGGCCATTTGAATACGGGCAGCTCCGCCTCTAAACTGCTGGCCTGACGGTGGGAGGTTGCTGGCGAAGCTGAGTAGGCTCGCAGGCTGAATGGCAGGCCTGTCTCGACTAAGCCTTCAAGTAGTCAAGTCGAATCTTGGGCCTAACCGAAGGATCTCAGGCACGTTTTCTCTTTCTTTTTGCCGACGGGCGACATGCAGCTCTTTATGTGCCCGCTGCACGATGAAACAGTTCATCACATCCTCCCCCTCTTCGGTGCATATCGCGCATCCGGTGATAGCTTCTCTTCGCTTATTCGCTCCCAGGTTGGCCCCAAAAGCCTGAGCAAATCTACACACTTCTAAATATGGACGTGGCAAGCGTCGTTAACACCTTTTTGAGGATGGCTAAGCTTTAGCATTGATCTAGGTGGAGAGCTCGCGCGTCAGAGGCCCAGTTTAGCTGATGCTAGTACTCTCCAGCTAACAGAGTGACGCGCTGTTTTCTCTCTTCTTCGCAGGTCAGCTGAGGTCAAACATGTTTTACTTCAGGCGTGAAAACAGGTGTTGAAGAAAACGTTGGAACGCAAGACGATTATTCCCGAGATTGGCGCCCACGACTCCGGAAGGTTGTTGCTCGACGGCGACCCAAGTGGGGACACATGTGAAGCTATGAGAATATGGGAATGATTTGCAGTGACGATGTTACCCGTCTCTGGCTTGTGGCGTGATCTTCTGAAGATGCTGCCAGCATCCACTATGTGACTGTGAGATGTCACCAACTGCTCTACAGTATGGAGGTGCGGTAGATTGCATATCTCCAGAAGGGGAAAGGTATTAACAACATCTCTGGTGAAGAGATAAAGAGAGCTAAAGAGGAAGAGATACATATGCTTATTACAGCCTCGATCAGCTCATCTTGCGCTTGCCCGATTCACCTCTGGCAGGCTTATGTGCTAGAACGCATGGCGCATATTGGCTGAAAAGTTTATTCTGCGTATTATCTTGCATCGGGTGTCATTCTCTAGCGACTGACAGCGTCGTGATAGCAATCTGCCATCTAAAGCAAACGAAACTCAAGTGGGATATCATATGTGTTGTCCAACAATGGTGACCAGACCCATAACCAAAACATCAGCACCCCGAATGGTCAAATGCTTTTCTCTCGCACTGCGACGGCTTCGCAGACTTAGTGCTTGAACGCGCCAAACAACTTTGTCTTGAGCTTATCCGCCAGCCCAACCGGCGCTTTGGGGCGAGGCTTCGCATCAGCATGCTCCCCCTCGGCATGATGCTCATTGCCTGCGCCGCCACGACCCGTGTGATACCCCTGGACATCCTGGCTTGCTCTCACAGCAGCCTCGGGGACGAAATCTGTATCTTTGCGCTGAGCCGATGTGGTTCCGATATCGGTGATGTTGCCGGCGCCTGTGAACAAGTCTTAGATGAGGCTGCTAGATGTCAAATTACTCGCATTGAAAAAACTCACCTCCTCGGCCGGCACTGAATGCGCCATCGCCATGACTGCCCACCTCTCCGGATCGCACCACTTCGCCGTCGACGTATTTAGTCTCATCGGGCTCTATGTTTCCCGCTCCGCCGCGGCCGTGGGATACTTCAGCCGCCATGAGAGTAAGGGCGGTGTTGTTGTCTGGGTGAATTGATGGTTGACTCGAGTTCAAGCGAGAAGCTCACAGTGAGTTGCGTTGGACGCTCTGAGTTGTGTGGCTTCACCTAACGGCAGAGAAAAGCTACTGTGTCTATTACAATCTACGACCCTGACGATTTAGCGGCCTTGTCAATCTTTTATATCATCGCGCGACACACACGAGCAACATGCGCCATGAGATAATCTGAGCGATAAGACCCGGAAAAGGGCGTGTAAACGAAGGCGCCAGATGCGCCACATGGCTGCTCATGGCGGAAAGTCAGTCGACGATGAACGGCACTAATGACGGAATAGCATGTGGGAGAACAGCCGTTATCAGCTCTCTTTCAGCCGCGGCCATGGCCATGCCCTCGAGAGATAACATTGGGGCGCCTCTTTATCGCTGAAGATGTTTGCGCCAAGCGTTCGCGGGGAGCCAGTGAGAGGCTGCGGGGGCAGTGTCCATTTTACGTACCTGAATTTGGTGACATTCGGCGACAGGGTTCCTTATCAATGACCCGAGCACTCACTATCAGCTCTCTCTGCAAGAGGTTCAATATTGTCATGCACTTCACTTGCACGGGTATAGCCTACGTCAGGGACTTTGCAGTGCGCCTTTCTAATGGATGAATGGTACATCTGATAAAATCTACTCCGTCAAATGGCTGAAATGGGGTGGCCGGGTAGCATTAAGCTTATACCAGAGCGCAAAGTTCTCTACACGCACGTAGCACACCACGGCCGTTGCACTTTCAACGCTGCGCTGTCGCTTTTATTTCGCCTTTGTTTAATCTTTTTTTGTTTTGTTTTGTTTGATTTGTTTTACATGACCCCAAATCAACCTTCTCTCTAGACTTTGCCCGCCCGGCCAATTTGAAGAATCTCGCCCGTCAGTTGCTCATCGCTTCGCAAAACCGGCCAAGAAGATCCGTCGGCCTTGACGAGCGTCAACTCCAGCTTCGTGCCGAGAATCTTGAAAGATGACTTTTCCGTATCAATTTCCGCAAATAGTGGCACAGTCGTCGTGTATCTCTTCGGGGTTGGGTCGCTAGTCGTAAGATCCAGGTCAATCTCCTTCGCCTTGAAGTCGACCTTTGCTATTTCCTTTTTAATCTTCTTCAAGAATAGTGACGCAATGACCGACGTGGGGGTCTGGTAGAAGTCGTGCCTAAGGAACCAGTTAGGGGATGTGCGCCCTCGTAAATCGAGCTTCAAACGGAAATCAGAAACACTCACCGGACTGTGGTTAGGATCTCTTCGTTGCCTGCATCGGCCTTGTCCTTCTTTCCGCTGCCAACAAAGAGATGCCTGTCCTTGGTCTTGCAGCCTTCAATCTTCATGAACTGGTCAAACTCCAGCACCCTCCTCTTGCAGCACGAATAGCCCTTGCTGCCCTCGTGGAAGATTGGGACGCCGGGGTGGTGCACGCACTGCTCTGCCTCCCTTGCAGCTCCCTTGCTGTATTTAGCGCCGCATGCCTTTCGGCGACACTCGGCTCCGTCTGGAATGTCCAAGCTCGGATCATCGTCTTCAGAATCCGGGGGAGGTGGAGGCGGAGTAGGAATGTGCTGTGCTGGCTGGATGGGCAATCGTGCTGGAGCAGATACGCTAGCCTCTGAAATCTTCTGTGCCAAGGCGGCCTCGTCGATGGGAGGCTTCTCGTCCACCGGGGGAGGCTTCTCAGTAGTTGAATGTGTGCCGGTCGTACAAGGAGGGATGTTCATGAATTCGTCAAAGGTCAGCACTCGCGGCTTGCAGCACTTCCATCCTAGAGTCGGGCCAATCAGTTTAGTAGACACGCAAGCCGAGAGAAGGAATCATCGTGCGCATCGTGAATAGGCGTAGACGAAGCAATCTTACCTTTCTGCCCCTCGTGGAAGATGGGTGGGCCAGGGTGATAGTGACACTCTTCCTCTGCGTCCGTGAACTCCTTGCCACAGCCCTGGCGGACACACTTTTGCGCCATGGTGAGCTGTAGAGATGACTGTTTATTGTAAAGAGCGTATATCGTGTAGCTTCAGGAATGATTGCAAGGGCGATTGGAAGCTATTGTGCTTTGCTTGGGAGAGTGGGTATCTGATGGGATCTTCTAGAACTATCAGGATGACGGAGCTGTGCGCTCTCACCGCTTTCCTATTCTAATGCGGGGTTGTCGGAGATCAGAACGGCCGGATCGGGATCGCAGCCGAGCAAGTGCAGATTGTTGAAGATAAATCAGCATCATTCACACAGTCCTCTTTTTTCTCTCTTTTTTTTTTGCCATTCAATGCAAAATACAAATTTGCAACGAAAGAAGGAACCTAAAATGATGCTGTCCACTAGTCATGTACGATAATATCAAAAGAATACATAGTAAAAAATACGCAGCAAAGAATTATCATGTAAGTGCGATATAACATAGTTGTTCAATATTTATATTTGCGTTCAATTTTCAATTTAGCCTGTAAGCTCTTTAGTGGTCATGTCTCTTTACTTCCTAAAAAATGCAGCATGCTTCTTATCAATCTACCATATATATACATATCGGAATTGACAGTCATCTTATACAGACTGCCTATATCTGTGTTATATGCAAAATTTCATCAACGGGCAAGGCACATCGACACCAGAGGCTGATCAGTCCAGGCACCGCTTGAAGCCTGAACCGGAGTCTCAGCCAGCGGGTATCCTGGATCGAACGAGCCCGCAGCCCATCCAACATATCCCATATAAACATCGGCGTTCTGGTTGAGGTATTGGATCTGCTGGCACATGTACTGTTCGCACGACGGAGTATTGCCACCACCAGTCTCGGTCAGAATAGCTTGACGCTTGTTCGTACGAAGCCAGGTAGCCAATGGCGCGAATGCACTGTCGACATTGTCCGTAACACAGATCGAGTTGGTACCAGAGTTATCCGAGTCCAGGTACTTGTGAACATCGAAGATCAGGTTGGTTGTTGAGCCGTCTGGGTTCTTGATGATAGATAGAGCCGCTGCACCACCATCAGATATGATTTGTCCAGCGGATTGATAGTCAGTGCCCGGAAGTGAGATGTATTGTGAGGCAGCACCCGCATTACGGATTGCAGTAACAACAGCCTGTACGGTACCCGCCCAGGTGGTGATGTTAACATCGTGCGGCTCATTCATAGTACCAAACCATATCCTGGGTTCCGAGGCATACTTGGTCGCTATTTGGGTCCAAAGGCTAACAAATTGAGCGTTTGTAGGGCCTCCCTGGCCAATGATCTTGCCATTCCAGCGAGCATAGTTGTGGATGTCGATGATGCAGTATGCACCCGTTGCAAGACATCCCTGGACGAGTTGATCATAATAGCCCAGATTGGTGGCGTCCAAGGTGCCGCCAAGGTTGGCATTCACCAGATACTGCCAGCTGACGGGCAAGCGGAAAATATTGAAACCATCGTCCTTCACAAAGTGTTGCATCTGACCAACACCATCTGGATAGTTGTTTGCGCCATCATAATTCTTGAGTGGCGGATAGGCACCAGATACATTGCAAGTTCCATCGGTTGAGCAACTGAAGTCGAACCCAGCAATGTTGATACCTGCAAACCGGACGCCCGAGCTAGGCGGGGGAATTGAAGTTGCTGAGGTGGTTCTTGATGCTGATGTAGTTGTTGTTGCTGATGTTGATGCAAGAGTGGTCCGAGTGCTTGTGATAATGCCAGTAGCAGGGATACATTGGGCGTAATATGAGTTCAATGTTGAGCAGCTCGTCCCCGAAGTACAGCTCGTTGGACCACTGTAGCCTATTCCTCCGCATTGCCCCCAGGTGGTCTGTTGCTGTGCTACGACACCAGTTGCTCCGAGATATAGATAGGCTGCGAGCAGCCGTGAAGCCTTGTTGTTTTTCATGGTAATTCCGGTGGTAGAGATGATATGAAGAGGCTACGGATTCTTGGCGTTCTGAAAGATTTCAAGATGGAGATCTCAATGACATTATCACTGCCTCAAGAAACATTAGACTCCAGCATTGCTTTATATATACCTGTTTAGGCTATTAATATATTAAGGTGACATTGAAGAAGCGTCTTGGATACTTGAGATCCCTGCCTGAATAGCTGCGTGGAACAGTAGTGCTGTGGGAATGTTTCAAAACGAGTTGGATTGTCAATACTCTAGCAAAATACATGTCTCAATAGCACCTCATTCGAAGATATTCGGCGTTTTCACAACGGCGGCTGGGAGAATTATGATTATGGCTGAATTCAAGTCATTCAGCCATTGAGCCTCGGACAGAAGGGCGGCCCCGAGTCACATCGGCCCTGGCTACGGAATATTGCCGAAATTAAATAGTCTTCATGTGGTAGTCAGAGTTGAGGTTTTCCCCCAAAGAAAACGTAGAAAAGAAATGCGCTTCGGAGTAATACACCATAAACCCTGTCGCTGTCGACGGGGCGGCAAAATTGTTCAGGTGATAACCTGTAACCCTACACGGCCTTTGATATCCGATTCAGAATTAGCCAATTAGAAAAGTCGTTAATTCTTGATTCAGCCAAATGAGACATCGCTGGCTAAAGCTCATTCTTCTTTCTCCTGCTTAGAGTGGCTAGGGCTGTGAAGGACAGTTAATGCGTTTCTTCTTATGAAGATGAGAGGGGTATTTGTAGCCCGTAGCAGCAGACGTGAGAATCTTGTGCTACAATAAGAACCAAATAATCGTCGCAATAATCTAGGCGACTTATTACCCCAGAAGTTGGTATCTAATTACATGTATCATTCATGCAAAGCGTTTGTGAGAAGAATCTAAACAAATACGACAATATGCAATTAAAATTGCAAGACATGATCGCGTTCTTAGTTCTGCCATTCTGAGGCCTTGGGGTGGTTTATTTACGGTCCCGTGGTTCCCTTTTCAGAAGTAAATGAACAAACAACTCAACTACTTGCTATGGAGTCAAATGATATATCCATTTCAACGGCAACGCGTCTTTGCTTGAATTTCCTCTAGCTAACCTCCCGGTGGCAATGACCTGCCTTGATGTTTACAAGCTTCCATCGCCAAGAGCAACCGTGAAGGCATTATGCATGGAATTACAAACACAAAACTCAGAGTTGTAAATTGCAGACTAATATGTAGACAAAGAGAGGTACTATAAAACTTGAACGACTAAAGAAAGTCTAAAGAAAGCACAAATTCACTACTTTTAAAATGAGAAATCTCCATCCTTCTGACGTTTTGTGGACAGCTGTTCGTCCTCTACCGCTCTCTTTCGCTTCTTTGTCTGGGTTGTAAATTGTGAAAAGCCTGCTGCCATCTGAACGAGCTCCAAGGTGATCGGCTGCTTCTTCTGCAGTGCATAAAGACGTGCGATGTTGACAATGTTTTTTATCTGGCGGCCGTTGAAGTCATATTCAGCAGCCAGAATATGTCTCTGTTCGTCGGTGATATCGACTCTAACGCCTTCTGATGCGCCTGCCTTGGCCAAAAAGGTCTTCCATACTAGAGCTTTTGCCGTCACATCGAGATCATCGTAGTGGAAACAAAAGTGAATACGACTTTGAAAGGCACTGTCGATGCTTCTGAGACGGTTAGTCGTGAGCAAGATAATGCCGCGGTAGTACTCGAGCTCTCGCAGGAACACTGATGTGATGGCATTTCGCTCAATATGCTCGTCATCTCTCTCAGCCATGAACACATCAGCTTCATCCAACAAAAGCACAGCTTTCCAGGCCTCGGCAAGCTCAATCTCAGCCTTCAGACACTTTTCCACTTCACCTACACTAGAGCCCATCTGGCCGGAGCTTACGACTAGGAGAGGCCGTTTCGCCACTTCAGCAACGGCCTCTGCGGTCAAGGTCTTTCCCACACCAGGAGGGCCACAGAGAAGCCCAACGAGACCCTTGCCTTTGTCCCGGACAATATCATCGAATGAGTCATCCCTTAGAGCGACATGACTTTCAATTACGGTTTGGAGGAAAGACTTCTTTGTGGGGTCAATCTCAACAGAATCGAGGATAGAAGTATCCCATGTGACATCAGAAAGTCGAGAGACCGCAAAAGCTCCTGGGATAAAATATTTCTCAGTGTTTCTGAATCATGTTTGGATTCACAGAAGTATGGAATTTGGCATACCCCATGTTTTATTGCGTAGACAATAGCCATACACCATTGAACTCATGGTCAATTTCTGGTCCTCATTTAGGTTGTCTTCTTCCAAGAACTCGGAAGACTCCCCATGATGGTCCTGCGCTTTAATCGGTGTCTTGTAACGACTTGGATGTATTTTGTCGTAAAGCACAGGATCGATCATCACGCGCCCATTTGACTTGTTGAATAATTAGTAAGAAGCTAGGAGAATAAGAATAAATGGTATGAGAAAGCCATTGGTGCTTACGTTGAACTTCAGGGAGGCTGAACGGCCTTCGAGGGCATGGCCATAGTAGTTCTGTATATGTCGTCCTTTGAGACGCAATGTCTTTTGAGCGCGTAAAAGCAATTGCTTTCGCACCTCGTCGCGATCGGGATGCAGGCTAAGAGGATATAGCGGTAACCCTCGGATAGGCTTGGACGACTTGAATAATATAATAGACTGGCTCCTTGTTCTATACCCTATTCGCTCTCCATCATGATCCAAATGGTCAACTTCAAGGATGAACAGCGTCACACCATGCACCGTTTTATACTCGAAAGAAAGGAGACGATAACATCGAGGTTCGCTGAGTTCGTCAAGTCCGTATAGGAGGCAACCAGGGAAGAATAAAGTCCAGAGCGTATCAAACTTTATGAAGCCCTTAGGAGTTAACTGGAGATCTCCTATGACGTGATCCCAATGCTCATAAATGAACGATATACCAGCATTAAGCTCAAAACGAAGATCGTATGTTTCATCGCTTTCTTCGAGGCCGTCCAGACGATTCTTGAGGAACGGCAGAGCATGATACATTGTCTTGAGGCTGCCATCAGACTGAGGAACCAAAGCAGTTTGTTAGTAAAGCATTTGAGACCAAGTATTACGATGATAACAATAAGAAAAGGAAGAAGAGAAGAGAAAGAAAGAATCTCAAAGGATATAAAAGAAAACATGAATAAAGAATAAAAGAATCCTACTAGCGTTCTGTCGTGCTGAAATTCCAGTTTTTTCTGGGGGAAAATACGACCCAGTTCCTCGCATAGTAGGCGACCACGGATAGAGACCTCGTAACGTCCGCTGAAAATGCCTTGCGCTGTGATAACTCGTGCAGAAACAATCACAAAGCGCTCAAATCTTTCCAACGGCTTTTTCTTTTGAGATCGTTTATGAAGGCGGAATTTTCGCGTTTTTCTGGACTTTGGAGTCAGCTGCTAAATCGTCGCAAAGCGGATGTCTATCCTGCTCACTTGTCAAAACTTTCCCGGATAAATTGTTAATCAAATGAATCAATTGATAAAGATCTAAAAAGGGTCGTTAGGCGATGACGTACACTTTGTCTGCTCTCCCTATTGGTTCCCGACGAAGAGTTACGGTAGACTTCTCTTGACAGGATGCATCATTACTGGCGCCTTGTTTGCCATCTTGCTGGTGACATGGGGCATCATCCATTCTGAATTATAAGCTGGAACTAAGACAAATGTATAGGCAGGGTCAGTCGAGACGGGGTTTGCGGACTGGATTTGTAAGACAGTTTCTCTCACGATGAATTGGTGAATGAAGTTGGTCACTTGGGATGAAGTTCATGCAGGCAAAGACGCTTTGGAATAGAACAAATAGAGCAGTAGAGGAACGGAAAGAGGTATGGAAGAGTTTGCTTTTGTAATAGCGCCATATACGCCCATAGCCACCACGAGGAGCTGAGTGAGTTGTGTGAATAGTGCGGCGCATGCCGTCGTAAACATAAGGTACCTACATACAGGTATGTACCTACAGGTACCTACGTGCTTGATCTATACTTCGGTGAATGGGTGGAGCATTATATGTAGGGGATGGACAACCTAGGCACATGCATACTCTGCGCTGTCTGCACAATGCACAATAACCACCTACATGTAGCTAGGTACTTTACCAATCTTCATTCTGTGAGAAATAACTATTCAATTCCATGTTATTTTTAATTTTCTTGTCAGTTCATGATAACACATGTATCAGATTGATACAAATGAAGCACTCACTCATCATCATAGAGATTTTGCCCTCTCTTTCCACATAGGTAATCATCCCTCGGGGAGGGGGGTCAGCAGCTAAGCAAGTACCTAGGTACGGAGCGTGGCATTGGGGCTGTCACTGAGACGCATGTCTCAGCACCTGGATGATTGGACGAGAAAAAAAGTCGTACAACCAATGGTGGTTAGACACGACACTGCGTTGGCATAATTATTGATATCCTGCGTTGTGGACGAAGCTGAATGTGAGGAGCTGAGGTAGGGGTCGGTGGATTGCCATGGGGTTCGAGCTGACATGGGTCATTGATGCCCAGCTTCCAGAGGGCTGGTAGCTGAGGTTACGATTTCCCAAAACTGAGACTTATCCGGAATAATCACCCATCAGGTTATCTACGGCAGTCCAAAGTTTTGCTATTTGTATGAAAATTTGCATTGACGTGAATTTCCAAGATTTTTCATCTCACTGTATGTGTTCAGCAGCTCCAATATTCTTTCTGTCTTCTTTTTTTTCCCCGCAAAGCCGTGCCACCATTGTAGAGCAATTGGCGGCTGGTATTCCGACATATTCTCTGAGTTCGTGATCTCGGACTACCCGAAACATCGAATAGTTCTCTGGCTGGTACCAATCTATATCCGTCAGTTGGTATTTCCAACAGAGTCCTTTTAAGCTGCTTAAAATGGACACTCCGTAGGTATTTCTAGGTCTTATACAAGGGCCTTTTATCAGTCTAGCGTGTCTAATGAAAGGTCATGGCTTTATTGAATGGCTTAACTCTGATTTATTTATTGCATACTTCTGCACCAGATCGAACTAATGAGTAGTACTTTAGGCGTCTCACATATGATGAATATACCGTTGGATGGATTGCTGTACTTCCTTGCGAGATAGATGCGGCCAGATTGCTCCTCGATCATGAGCACCCGGACCTTCCCGCTCTTCGCGGAGACACAAATAGCTACATTCTCGGCGATATGGGAGGACACAACGTTGCTATTGCTTTCCCGGGTGCTGGGAGGAAAGGCATTGCCTCAGCAACTGACACCGCAACCAATATCATCCGCACTTTTAGCAAAATTCGCTTTGGATTACTAGTCGGAGTTGCTGGTGGTGTTCCTAAGCTACCCTCTAATAAGAACACTATGAAAGACATCAGACTCGGTGACATTGTCGTGGGATGTCCGGACAGAGGTACAGGTACGCTTGGTTTACGTCTTCTTACGAATCTGATTTAAAGATACTAGCAACGAATAGTAGTAATCTGACCTTAATTGATGACTTAGGTGGCGTGATTCAGTTGGATTCAGGGAAATGGCTCCAGCCTGACAAGATCGACGTACAATCTCACTTGAACAAGCCTCCCATCATCCTTTTAACTGCCGCCGAGAAGTTAAGAGGTGATTTGAAGTTCCGCAAAGCGAAAATTGAAACATTTATACAAAGTGCAACCGACAAGGCTTTCGAACTTGAGATGGAAGAATATGCCTTTCCTGGTCGACAGAACGATCGACTATTCCAGTCCGAGCATCTTCATGTAACGCACGAAGAGGATGAAAGCTGTTCACAGTGTCTGACTGATTGGGAAGTCCAACGAAGTACTCGAACCTCCGAGAAACCTGCCATTCATTATGGGTTGATAGGATCATCAAACCAGGTTGTCCGGTCTGCTGATTACCGCGATCAGATGCAAAACCTTGGCATCTTATGCTTTGAAATGGAAGCTGCTGGTTTAATGGATACGTTTCCATGCCTAGTTATCCGAGGCATTAGTGATTATTCCGACAGCCATAAGAACAAGCTCTGGCAGCCATACGCGGCTTTGGCAGCTGCAGCATATGCCCGGGACCTGCTCCGCGTGATTCAGGTCATACACGTGATGGAGACAAAGATAGTGATGGAAGTGGTTCAAAAGCGTGAGTCTAATAAAGGCTAATCAAAGAATGCTGTATATACAAATATAGACGCTAAATTGAAATTATTCTAGTCGATTCTATCACGGATGCTGTTGAAGGTGTGGGTACTAATATCGTCAATGCTTATAATCAAGGCAAGTACCAGATTCTCTTTGCTAGGGAACATCGATTCTATCTCTGTTGAATCGATATCTCCTTTCCTTAACATTGAAACTCAACGATATTTTTTGTATCTACTATCTAACTAGGAACGAAAACAGGTCAGGCATCTGAAGAGAAACGTGAGATTCTGCGACGGCAGGAGCGTGACAATGACAAATTTGACAAAGCCCTGAACAAACTGAGGGATGAGTTACTGTCAACGAATGAAGCAAGCGTAAATCTAAGTCAAGGATCCAGGCAGGAGCCACACCCTGGGACTTGTACCTGGCTATTTAATGACTCAAGGTTCAAGAAATGGATTGACGAAAAAACTGACACCCCTATATTGTGGCTATGTGGCGCTCCAAGAGCCGGGAAAACAGTCCTGTGTACAGCCGCAATCGACCACGTGAAAGAGAAGCGAGGTACAGAGTCGACTATATATGCTTATGTATCAGACTCCGCTGAATTCTCTCCATCTCAATTGCTGTCAAATTTCGCTTTACAGCTCCTCGACAATCTTCGAAAATGCAAGTCATGTCTCCACGAACCAATAGACTTGCAGCAATTCATAGGTGTTTCACGCAAAGATGACAAAGAGAGAGAAAAATTAGTCTCACATTTGATTAAGGCCCTCCCGGCCACATACATCTTCCTTGACGGCTTAGATGGGGCTGATCATTACACTGTTCGACAGAACTCCATGAGCCTAGCAAGTTACGAAAGAGGGCGCCCAGAACAGAACATGAAGCGAGTTCTTAATTTCCTCTGCATTCTTACCGAGCAATACAGTCCAAAGGTGCGGCTCTGGTGTAGCTCACAGTTTGATTCTACGCGGCGACGAGCCTGGATGAGTAATTATGAGAAGCTCACGCTGGATTTCCAGCTTCAGCTGGATGACACTAAGAGTGATATCGTAAATTATCTCTTAGAATGCATCGAGAGTACATTTCCCTCATTAGGTCGTGTTAAAATCTTTCGACCTTTATTACTGCAAGTAATCAAGATTCAAGGGAGCTTCTCGTGGGCAAGGCTCCTTCATGATGAAATAGAGCAGCAGCCTGATACAAAAAGCTTGATGAGACTACTGGAAGATGAAAAGCTTCCAGGGAGTATCAATAAGTACTACGAAAAGCATATCAACCGAATTAAATACCGCGAACGTGGGAGGGTAGAGCCGGCCCTTTGGAAGTAAGTAAAGAGTACCTTTTCTTTGCGTCAAGCACGCTTCTGAAGAGCTCTTCAAATGTTGATTACGTGACAACAGAATCGTGCTATCATTAGTGATGTATGCCAAAAGACCTCTTCTTAAGTCAGAAATTATTGAAGCAATCGCTATATTAAGAACAGAGTCGGGAGATCTCGATCCTGATTACAAGCCACGAGACGACAGCGTTTTGAACGCCTGTCATCCCCTGGTGAAAATAATTACTCAAAGGGGAGAAAAGGAAAATGATCCGATCATCACGCTACATGATGGTGGCGTCCGTGAGTTTCTCGAGGGAAGCTTAGAATTAAGAAGCGACCACCATACGGATGATGAGCTTGTCGATGCTGGCATCTTCCGAGATACTTGTATTCGTTACTTAACGCAACCAAAGTATGAGAAGTTCCTTAAAAAGATCGATACCGGCACTTTCAAGACTTGGGAGACGAATGAAGACATCATATCTCACAAGTTCTTGGGATACTGCGTGAAATACTGGCACCAGCATTTTGACACTCCTTCGGCAGAGTCTCCACCGGAAGCCGAATTCAAAAAGGTTAAGAAATTCGTTGAATCTACACACTTTGCCACTTGTGTGCAAGTACAAAGTCTGGTTGTCGAAGGGCACTTTGCTCATCGAATTGATGACATAACCGACCAAGCAGCAAGCACAAAACGAGTGTTCCCAAATTGGCTCCTGAAGAGCGAACTGTTTAGACAATATTCAATCTTTTCGAGCGAATGGTCAGAATTACTCCAATCTGGATTAACATCAAATCTTAATGGCGAGCTGGATAGGTGTATATGGATGTCTTTGGGACACAATCACTTTCTTTCGTCTCTACCTTGTCGATATGAGAGCTTTATATTTGCGACTAAGGAGACCGAGGCCAGCAATTCATCGCGCTGTTGGATCCAAAAGTTGTCCCCAAATCATGAATATATTACTTCATGCTACTTTAATACTTTGAAGTAAGTGCCCATTTTTCTTACACTGGAAGAAGAAGCCCAATTTTCTTTTGATACCAACACTTATGTTCTGGGAAAAGCCATTCTATTGAAATCACGCATTGGAGTCTTGGCGGCTCTGGCAATAGCAGTCTTCAAACGTTGATGTTCAATCGCCAAGATGTGTCGCTGGACTCTTATCAGTTGCCCTGCTCTGCCTTCATTCCGCTCATCCCTAGTTTGTCCTGCCTGGAGCCTCCCTACAGCCTCTCAATTTTCCCGAATGCGTCAGTTATGCGAGTTGGCTCAAAATTATTCGCTGGCGTATATCCCGAGGAGTCATCTACTGCATCAAAGAGCATTTCGACCCTGGATGATAGGATTGGAAATTTTTGGGACGACATCAATTCGCGGAACGACATTATGGTTGTCTGTCGTCGAAGAGTGCCCAAAGCCAGCACCTGGTACAAAGAGCCTTCTCTTTCAAGAGGACTTCATGTCGATACCGATACTACAGATAGTGACGAGTATGATTCGCAGTCAAGCCTCTCGCCATTCCGTGAAATGCAAACGGGAGAAGATATGATGACAATGGATATCGAGTCTGCGGAGGAATCGTGGAGCGACTCAGACGGGGAATCTAACGCAAACTCTACAGCCGGTAGTTTTTCAGCCCTCTTAGACTCCGAGCAGAATGACGCCGATGGCGAAAACTCAATGCTAGATTGCAATTTCTCCGATTCCGGTAGCTATTCAGCCGAATATGCATCCGATCATTCGGGTGGCGGCAGCCACAACGAAACAGAAGCATCTGCGACAGACTCGGCAAGCGAGAGTGACTCTATGCAGAGCATTGTAACTTGTAGCCAGTTATCTCAGGACGAAGATGAAGCCAAGATCCAGGCTTTGGTAGCTGGGTCAAACAATAATCATAAATACGCTGTCACCATCACGAAAGTAGGTCCCGAGCCTACTTGCGAAGTATGCGATGGAGATCTTCCTCGCCGCCGATATTTTTGCAAAATTTGCAGACTGTCTTTTTGTCGCAAGTGTGTGGGCACACGCCGAGCGTGGTGTCTAGACAAAAGCCATCAGTTGATTGACCTGTTAGATGGGAAGGCAGTACGAGCAATTACAAAGCCAAAGTTTATTATCAGACAAGAGCTTCAAGTTTATCGAGTTCATGATGGAGTCAAAGTGTCAAAGATACTCTTTCATTATCGTGGCCGATATCATGTGTTGCTTCACGATTCGCCTCCGGCCATACATCCAATACACCCTCTTGTTGTTTGGCCCTTGAGCGGCTGCCAGTTACTTTTTGCGGACTTTGAGAAGAATTCTTATTTTGAGCTCAAGTTGAAATCAGATTCGCGGAAAGGTAGGTGGATTCGATTTCTTTTTGACTATTAGGATGATGAGCAACGTGCAGAACCTGGGGGTCTCAATGACGGAATAAAGGTTATGCAATATGCTTATCTGAACAGACCCAAGTTCGCTAATTCTTTCTCTTGTATTTAGGCAAGCCTATATGTCTCAATATGTCCTTTTCACCCTGCGGGAGCATGCTACGAGTCGCCAAAGTCGAGGCAGTGTTCGAGGTTAGAGGAGAGACCGGAGCAGTAGATTGCTCAGGTTGCGAAAAAGAAGGTTCGCCGCAAAGCCAACAGTTGTTAAGATTAAAGCTACATATCATGGCTTTTAATCTCTCCAAGTCCAGACCAACTAAAGCGCAGCCAAAATTAGTTGGTTCAGCAACTCTCGATATTGGCTCTTCAGTACGGCCGCTTGTGCACCATCTCCCTTTTGCTTTTACATGGAGGCCAGAACACTTGTATGTCACTATCAGCAGTTCCAGGCTGCGTGTCTACCGTGTTGATTTAAACCTGGCCATGGCCCGGAACACTGATGTCTGTCCCTCTAAGCGCACTTGGGATGGGACAGTTATCGGCCCCGTGAAAGACGAAAAGCGTTGTGCAATAGCGACGCCAACAGAAACCATCTTTCTGCCAAGATCGGCCAGAATCAGCACCGTGCAATACCTGCCGCCGAATCCCAATGGTTTTGGAAATAAATCTGTAGTTGTCGTCAGCCCACGAAACGGAACATGTGCACGGCCAGGATTTTGTATATACCTCACCGAACAAGACTTGGGGGAGTGGATAGACCCAGCCGAGAAATCAGAGGAGGAGCCTCGCCTACTTCCTGGACAACAACGACTTAGCAGTATGTACGAGGAGTTCAACACGGAAAAGGACTGCGACGTCATTCCATGTGACTACTAGTAGATAGGTATTGGAGATGAATCAATTAGATTTGACTTTTATGAAAATTTCAGAGCTTGAGGCAGGAGCAGATGTCTTGCGATTGCTACTGTGGAACACATTGCTAAATTGTTTGCATTCATACAAAGCGCTTATTAGAATAATTTAAACAAATTCAACAGACCACATATGAACAATTCAGGATGCTATCGAGTTCTTGGTCAAAATCCAAGCTCTGACCTCCTGAGAGCCTTGGGATGGTTTATTTAGAGTCGCATGGTTCCGATTCCAGGAGCAAACAAACAAGCAGCTCAAATAGGTTCTATAGCGCCACATGATATTATCGATTTTGAACGGTAACGAGCTGTTATCGTCAATAGCAGATACGAGCATATAGCTTCGCTATCCTAACAGGCTTGCCGAAAACGGCCGCTATTTTAGCCGCGAAATTCTGCTTCTTGGAATATCTATGTTGGATAGCACCTGGCAGAAGCCGCTGCAGCAAGTGGTGTTGAATTTTGATAGGTAGCCTCTCAACTGCACTGCCACTTGCGTATTGCATGCAATGGATGCTTCAAGTTGTCGTGCACCGCTGTAGCCAATACCGCCATTCATTTGCTTGCATGATGGTGGTCACGTTGCATGAAAATGCCTTGAAGCCTCTCCAATCCCAGATGTCCACGTCGTAAACATAGCTTGCTTTCGCCCCGGCTAGATCCTTTGGACATTTACATTGATAATTGCGATCTACGTCTCTTGCCCAATCCTTCCCAGCCAGATAATTGAGCAGGGAATTGATTTATCCTCTTCATCCCCATTTTTGACAACTACACATGGCGTCTTGCTAGTTAAGTACCACCCAAAGCCAAGCGATGACTGATTTCGCCATTGGGGTTGTTTCGCAAGGGATCCAGGTTTGTTCCGTCATCGCGACCTATATCGGCACTCTCAAAGATCGCGACGAGGACCTCGCCTCTATTGACCGACAAGCCCAAGGCTTAGAGTCTGTCTTCCGTGCTCTCAAAGAGTCTCTAACGCAAGGATCTTTGGATCCCTCCACTTCGCCAGCTGCTGCTCAAGTTTTAAGCTCCATGCAAACATGCGAAGCTGAGCTTAATAGCCTGAAGCAGTTCGCAGCACATTTCTCAGATGAGTATTGCTATTTTCACCGTAACGTATTGCTATTTTCACCGTAGTGGCCCGTGCCCGTACTAAAAGTGATGCGCACACACCACCGGTCCCATCAATCCACACCTAATTACAGTGCGGCGCCCTGGCACATCCCGTACTTTACAACTCCACACAAGACCGTGACTACGAAGTTGAACATCGCGGAATCGAATATCGCGATGCCTCCCCTTCCCAATGACGATGCCGCCCTCGGCGGCCGTATTCTCGATCCTCCCCTATCATCTGAGATCTCGGTTGGCGCCGGTCTCAATGAGATCAATGCCTTCTTTTCATCAGACGCGCCGCCGGCGTCAGAGGCAGCGGCGCCGGCAGAGGCCGCGGCTGCTGAAGTAGACGACTTCAACGACTTTAACTTCAATGACGACGACTTTGACGACATAGACTGGCCGCAACACCATCAATTTGACGATGAGGGCCCGTTCTATCGCGTTGGAGGCGAGTATGAGGAGACGCCGCCGCCTCCATACACAGAGAGGCCATCGCAGCCGCCTATCTACGCAACGGGGTCCCTGTAGCAAGTCGAAGAGACTGCAGAGACTGCAGAGACCGCATCAGAGGCCTCAGAGATCGAAGAAGCCGCAGAAATCGCGTCAGAGGCTGCAGAGATCGAAGAAATCGCAGAGGCAGCAGAGGCAGCAGAGACCGCGGCAGCCCCAGAGTATCACTTCGAAGTCCCGCCGCCGTCAGCGCTCTATGACTCGTATGAGGATCTCCTAGCCTTCTTGCAGGCCTTCCACCGCGAGGAAGGCGCCGCTCTTCGGACTGAGCGAAGTTCCAACCCTCAGATCATCAACGGCGAGAGAGTCCTCACCTATCGCGCCCTCGTCTGCGACTGCGCCGGCAGCCACACTTCCAAGAGTGCTGGAATTCGACGATCATCGACTCAAACGACGGGATGCCTCTATAAAATCACGGCATCAGCGACGAAGCGCGCCAACTAGAAGTGGTCATATCGCGTTGCCTTTGCTAAGCACAATCATCCTCCCTCTAGCGACCCGTCGGCACACAATATACATCGCCGGCGCACTCTAGCCCAGCAGCAGCAGGAGAAAGACTTAACCAAGCACCGGGCCCTTCCTGCCCGCGAGATGATGGAGGTTATAAGAGATTCTAGCGCTGCCACCGCCGAACCTACCTTCTTCCGTCAGAAAGACATCTATAACGATAGGCAGAAGATCAGAATCGCAGGACTCAACGGCTTGTCGGCGACCCAGGCCTGGATCAAACAACTTCAAGATCACAACCTTCGTCACTATATCAAACTTGATGCCGACAACAAGGTCCAAGGCGTCCTGTGGACCTATCCTTGGTCAGAGAAGATGTGGCGCCAGTTCCCTGAAGTCCTCGGCCTAGATAACACGTACAAAACAAACCGCTTCCACATATATCTCTTCGAGGTCATAGGCGTCACGGACCAGAAGTCGGTAGCCAACTTCGCATTTGGCCTTATCAACACAGAGAAGGAAGACGGCTTCCTGTGGCTTTGTCAACGGCTTGAGGACCTTCGTCAAGACCTTCATGTACCAGCGCCGGCCGTGATGATCACAGACAAGGAGTTGGCCTTGAAGAATGCCCTCAAATCGGTCTTCCCTGGCTCCCAGCAGCAACTGTGTGTGTACCATATCAACGCAAACGTCAGGGCACGAATCCGATCGACGTGGAAGAGCGGCGACGACGATGACAACGAGTCCGAAGCCGCTGACAAGCCTAAGGCCGCTGCTGACGGCAACGATGACCTCGCCGCCCGCGCTGCTGAGCAAGAGATTGCAGAGCACGGCAATGCCGCCTCGCTGCCTACCGCCAACCCTATGACTCGCGAGGGAATGTTCAACGCCTGGAAGAAGGTTATCTACGCCGAAGACGAGGAAGATTTCGAGAAGGAATGGCATAAGATGAGGCTCACATATGATTCAACGCAAAACCACATCCTGAAGTATATTTCGAAGGAATATATGCCGTACCGCGAGCAGTGGGCACGCTGCTTCATCAAGAGATATCGCAACTTCGGCCAACGAGTCAACAGCCCTGTGGAAACGGCACACAAAGACGTAAAGTCCTTCCTCATCACAGGTACTAGCGATCTTCTTTATCTACACAACGCTATCTCTTTGATGCTAGAAAAGAAGGAAAGGGACTACATCCAGGCCGCGGCCAAGATGCAGATGCGGCAGCGGCGTCACTTTATTCAGCAAAGCTGGTTGGGCAACATCCCTTTAACCGTCGCCTACGTCGCCGTCGATCTCCTCGCACAGCAGCATCGCAAGGCCGTGGCCGCAATGCCCTCAAGCCTTGCCCTAATGCCTCCGCCGCTGCCTCCCTGCACCAGCAGCTTCATGCAGCAGTACGGGCTTCCTTGCAGCCACACGATCCTGAAGAGGCTTGAAGCCGGCGAGGCCCTCAGCAAAGACGATGTCCACCCGCGATGGTGGCTGGTCAAGCCTCTGGTACGTTTTCCCTGGTTTTTCTATGAGAAAGCTACTAACTATGTGATGCTAGGATATCGACGAGCCCCTGCTTCGAATTCGCGATCCCGACATCGTCCAGAACCTCCGTGGCCGCCCTCGCCTGCCAAACAACGACAAGATGCCTGTGCCGTCAGCACTGAGGGCCGCCGACGACGGCGAGGATGATGCCCAGCAGGAGCAGACAACACAGTCAACGCAGCCAAGGAGGCCAAGGCAGAATTCGCAGGCGCCTCGCCGCGTGAAGCCAAGCGCGCGCCGCAATCTCTCTCAATTTGAAGTTCAGGGCTCGCAGAGGTCATCCCAGAGCCGCGGCCGCGGCCGCACCCGGGCGACTTCGTCACAGTCGGCGAGAGGTTCCCAGTCACAGCCAAATACGCGGGTCACTAGAACTACAAGGGGACGGTCTCAAAGACGAGCCGGCGCCTCTGCTACAACGAGGCTGGCCGCGATAGCTGCCGCCCTCGAGTCGGACCCGGAGACAGAGGCCGTGACGGAGTCCGAGGCCGAGGACGTCATCGTCATCCCGGCCACGCAGATAGAAGAGGACGACGACGCTGACGAGCTAGCTGGGCCATGAGAAGTGTGTTTATCTTGATTAGAAGGGCCGGAATCGTCATTTTCGAACGAATTGGGTCAGATAGATAGTCCATAGTGCTGTAATGTAATTTTTTGTATGGTGATCTTCCTTCCCAGTGTGCTGCACTGTATTTTGGTGTGCGGGTGTGGCAATTGCGATCAAGGGGGTAAATCTAGCTTGTGATGTGGAGCACTACGGTGAAAATAGCAATACGTTACGGTGAAAATAGCAATACTCTCTCAGATAGCCCCTCACCTAATGCACGCCCACAAGACAAAATCAAGCAGCAGGTTAAGAAGTTGCAATACCCTATTCAAAAGCCAGATATTTGCCGAATTCAAAAATCACTTGGGGCGGTTAAGGAAACACTTGATCTAGCTCTTCAAAATCTTGAACTGTGAGATATGCACTGGCCTAAATGTGTTATCTCTACTGACTTGATACAATTTTAATAGAAGTTACAGCTGTTTGGCAACAAGCAAGTTGAGCAACCTTGAGGCCGCGTCCCAACAGGCATCAAGCAGTCTTGCTGCACTTGACTCCAATATCTCCACATTACAAACCAAATTAGACGACTTACTTGATCGATTTCAACAGAACGATACAGCTGTGGCAGTCGCACTTGACGAAGAGGATCCTAGGATAGCCATTTACAAGCTCGCCTACAAGCCAAGTAACTTAGCGGCGCTGTGTGCCAGCCTGGAATCTACCACTAATGTCCTCCGAGCGGCTTCTACAGCTGAAACGAGCTCGTGCCCTTGTCGGCGTCAGATAATTCGCAGGACTAACCGGGTGTCTTGGCTTCCATGGGATTTCTGGGATTCTGAAACACTTCGTTTCGAACACTACAAAGGCTGCAAGTATTTCAGAAGCAACGGCGATGAACGGAGCCGAGTCCGGGTCTTAAGGATTACGGGTTTCGTGAAAAATGCCGTTATCATCACTTTATACACAAGTACTGGTGCAGGTGGCCAAAGTCTCGGCGCGAACCTCGAATATCGTGCAACTGTTGACCGGATGGTCTCTCCAGCCTTCCGTGTCATGTCCGTTCTAGAGGAATGTGCTGATATGCTTTACCACAAGCTGGAAGTCCAGCAAATAAAAAACCAGGCTCAGTGGGAAAGATTGACTCTTTCGGCGAGCCATAAACTTGAATATCTCTTCAGACTGGGAAAAGCTAGCGCGAAAGATGTCGACTCAAGGAACCAAACTCTGCTCCATGCGGCAGCTGAGGTAGTGAGTAGATACTTTTCAGAGAACCTAACTGATACAGGGAGATTTAGCTAAAAAAAATATATATTCTTAAAACAGGCGTCTTGGATTTACATTATAATGGACTGGGACAGGGAAAGTGGTGAAGCCTACTCTCTACCCGTGATACACCTGGCTACACATCTCGTCAAGAGGCAGGCATCGGCATCATTATTGGACTTGGACGGACAGTACGTAAAATGATGCTCAAAACATAACAAAATAAAGCCCTCGTGTCTCTCACGACTAATACATTTCAAAAGGCAAGCATTGGCAATTGCGACCCCCCGAGAACCTCTATCAGGACCTCTCATCGAAGCATTTTACACATGTGATGCGGATATCCATGAATCAGATTTATCCCATCTCATCAACCATCTTGAGCCTCAGAAGCTTGCTCAAACCTTTAGCAGCTTTGCTACAATGCTAAGAGTAGCCGATGGTATGTGACTGGGGATTGTATCGCGTCATCTCTCCTTTTCTTATGACTTACTGCTCTCTAAGCATTCCACGGTCCATTATCAATGGCAGTCATATCGAATGATCGGGTTCAATTATGCCGCCTCTTATGGACACATCCAGAAGGCTTTGGAGAAAGAGCGTACTATTCTGGTCGGACTCCCCTCCACTTAGCCGTAGGCTATCCCGAGTGCTTGCAAATCTTAGTCGAAAGAAGCAATCCAAGTCACTTAGTTCAAAAAGATAATGATTATTATACGGTCCTTGGATATGCCATTCTCCTCAGTAAAGCCCTTTGTGGCCAACGAGAAAACCAGGATGGGTCTTCATGTCGATGTACTCTCCCTTTGAGGATTTTGTTGGAGGGAGGTTGTCCGATTATACCGCGTCGGGACTTCATGAGCGGCACTGTCGGAGAGGTGATTGCCTCTGCCTCAAAACATTGCAAAATCTATCTAGCCAAATCCGTATTGCAACGTCGACAAAAGCTAAAATTAATCGCGCAACAATACCTTTCGCCGTTAGAAATCGACCGCTTCAAATTGAATAGGCCGGTTACACTTGATATATACGCTATTCAAGTCGATAAACTTCTTCGGGAGAGAGGATTTATTGAATTTGGACCTCTGGCTACATATGTGAAAGATGACAGATTCGGATTTGAAAGTCCCCCTATCCATGACAATAGGTCTATCTATCACGATCTATCGACCGCCGAAGATGCGAATATCTACTCTGATTTGTGGTTCTCTGATATTACAGCTTACCTACATATACCTATGAGCATTAGTCCAGGCTTCTATATAAATTTACCATTTGCGAAATGGTTGCTGGATCATGATGCTCCCCTTTGCGAGTGGATGCATCATTGGGGATCTCCATGGACTGGCTATATTGCAGATGCTTTCGTCCTCGCACACTTTGGTGCCAAAAGGCCAGCCAGCAGACGTGCACGTGGAGGTGACGAAAAATTGGTACGTGAACTTGAAGAACGAATGTTGATGGACGATTCAGTTGATAGCTGCTTTTGTCGGTGTTCTATCCGAGGCTGCACGCCTTTTGTGGTAAGGTTGAAGCGAATGAGGTTAACTGATGACACAATTGGTATTGCTACAACTTATACTACGTATCTAAAGGAGTACGGCAACGCATTGCGAAGGGAACACCACTATGCCGCGATACGGTCTATCACTTTCGATGCGCTGGGCATTGCGCATACATGTATGTGTAGAAAGAAATTTAATATCAACCCGGAATTGGATGCAGAAGAAATCGCAGAAATACAGGATGAGTATGCAGATTTGTTAGAACTCCTAGAGTCGTTGATTGAGGAGTTTGAGACACACGCCTTTGAGACCTTTGATAAAGCTACGGATGGACTTGACAGTATGATTACTTTCTGGAACGGCCATTGGGTCCGGAGAATGAGTGAAATCCACTCTGAGCTGTCTCGAGCTGGTGAAGCAAATAAAACAGCTGCGGAAGATGTGGGTGTTGTTTGGGAACCTCAGCCTGAGAGAGAAACGCATGAATGGAAAGGATGGGACTATTATTTTCAACAGATAGAGGAGATCGAATGAATGGATTGGCGAGTGCTACGCATGTTTTCACCTCTATTTCACTGCATAGACAACGTAATTGATATAAAATGGGTGATCAAGTACAAAGTACCATAACGTCCTCATACATTCGGTCATGAGAAAGGTTCTATCGGAGATTGTTCGAAATAAAGAAATTTACCAAAATAAGCCAAAATTGCCTCGAGATAACATATGTCTTAGTATAACTACCGTAATTACCAAGATTTTCTCCATGCAGCTTCTGCTTTTTCTTACGTCTTTCGCATTGAATACAAATATATTTAGAATTGAATTCTGTATCTTATCATTTCTTCTTGATTCACGACAGGGAGAGTCAATTGCAACATACAAAAGCTATTATACGAGGCTGATTCTGTAGACACTTGTTAACTTTTGGTGCAGTGCCTCGATAAAGCCGCCTTGCAAGTCTTGTCATCACATACGAGCATTGGTTGTGGGAAATTCCGGGACCGCGCATGGTTACATGTTCTTTACTGTCATTCAATCTCTCTCTTCCAACTCTACAATCCTGCACTCCCGCATCTATTTCAGTGCTTCTCCCTCTTTTAGCACTCAACTTCCCTGAGAATCACTGACCCATGTACAATGGCGCGTTCAGCTCTTGGTGTTAGTAACATCATTCCTTTTCATCTGCAGCTTCGCTTACTACTAGGGCAATAGAGTGGCGCCCAGACATGTCGACGAGCAATTTGGCTTGTCAGCTCTTGGCACGAGTCTTACAGCCTGTACTCGTATGTGGAGTCACGGGATGATGATGCGTGTCTGCCCAGTTTATGCCTTACAATTTGAAGGCGGTACCTTCGGATTATTCACTTGAAATGGGACTGCACACGGTTTTCGAAAGGGTTTACATATATGAGCTGTTTGGGATGAAGGATCAAGTTACACTTTTTGGTTGAAAATCTACAGAGGAAGCAAAGTGATCTAGTTTAGCAATGTAGGCTTGGCTGAGGCGCTGTTCGATTTCTAGATGAACTTGCCCAACTCTTAGTTTAAACTTCTGTGTCCTATTTTTAGCCTGCTGATATAAAAGCTATTTGCTAAGCAATTTCTCGTGAGATGCCATGTGTTCCATGGCGTGCTATTCCACTTCCATCAAAGCGCCCAACAGCTTATTTCTTGCCGAGTACTTCGTTTATTGTTTTCTCGTGTAATACTAGCTGTGGCTTACACTAAGGAACACATAGCGCACATGACATGTACTCGGCCCCCAGCATAAGCAACGGCTTAGCAAGGTGGCTTATACCTCGGACCTTACTTACTCTGGTTACCTAAACCAGTAATACACGCTTCATTAAATATAGCAAATGCGCTTATACAATTTATAAGCGCATTGGCATATTATTGTCTGCCAGCTATTGCAGCTTTAGCCTCAAGCTAGCTGTGGCTTTGTGCGGAAGGCTTTCATTCCACTGACTTCGTGTACGGAACACCGCTATCCGCTTATTCTGTACATGTCAAATTATATATAGCATATACTCAAAATGTGTTGTCAAAAGCGAGAGAATCATCTATATAAACAGCTGTATATCTTGCCCTTCAGCTATCCTTCTACATCACTCACAACAACATCACTACAACAATCACAACAACAACATCACTACAAATAACAACATCTCTTCAATCACATCTTTCAACTCATATCTAAACCAATAACTCAAACCTTCATCAAAATGCGTTCCGCTATTGCCTTCACTCTCTCCACTCTCGCCCTTGCTGTCTCCGCAGCTCCGGCACCTCGATCTGGAGGCACTGTTCAAGTTCAGTTTGCCAACGATGTTTCTGGAGCAAACGGCAACGCCTTTATCCCTCTTGATGGATCTGAAGTGAGCCTTGGACAGGCTTACGCCAACACCAATCTCGCCAAGGATGGCACTCTCTTCGTCACCAGCCTGCAGTTCACTGCTGATTTCGCCAATGTGGACTGTGTCGTCTTGAAGGATTTCGCCAAGGTGGTTGCCAGCATTGCTGACCCAGAGCGAGACTTCCAGAAGTTCTCTCAGACACCTTTGGACTGGGAGACTGGTTTCACTATTAGCTGCATCAAGGTCTAAGCTCAGAGTATAGACTGGATTTTAGAAGGGGTTTGGTTTTGGGGTTTGGGTTCTTGGTTCTTGGTTCTTGGTTCTCGGGTTTTGATTTTGGGCATTCATTAGAATAGCGCTACTAGAACATACATGTGCGGGTCGATCCTTAATCACAACAATTTACTATATTAAATTATTCAATCTCACTTTTGCATAGCCTTTATAATGCGTCATACCGTAAAGCCAAGAAGGCAAAAGATTAGGTTGATAATCACGATTGTAGCAATTACTGTGACGAAACCGGGCTATTTGTAAGGGAACAGCATTACAATGACCAAGTTGTAACAATCTCCTCCGGCTAGATGAGAAAAGAAAGTTATGTACTTGAAATGGCCTGCGCGGTTTCTTTCTTGGAAGAACGCAGCGACCGCTAGTAAATTAAATAGATCCCTGACTTGTTCTCTTCCAGCTCCGTATAGCGATGAAACAAATTAGGGTTCTGACGTTACGTTTATTAGTAACCGAGAGGACTTTAAAGGTGCATTATCTAGCTTTTCATAAAGTACCTATGCCTATATCATGTTGAGGAATCTCTGTTTAAACAGTGATGTGGTATCAAGAAAAAGAAAATAGAAGAAAAGAGCCAGACAATTACAATCAGCATGTATGATATTAACCTAAACATTTGGGTACGTGTAACTGGTTACTCTCGGTACAGTAAATGATGTTTTAAACGCAGTTGGGTGCTTTTTGCTTTCAAAGGATGACTGCATCTGCAACTTTCTCTATGATACTGACAGCTACAAAGGACTAAAAGTAGATAGTAGTGAAAATCTTGTGATTCCGTCACATCCTTCATCTTTGCGCCCTTGTGTTCTAAGATTGGAACCACACATCTCTATTTCCAGAGGCCCTTTACTCTAAAATAAACGAAGACTGCCGTTATGTAAATCGTTTTGATTCAAAATCGATTTTAGTTACCTATTTTCCCTCGTCATTTCAGCTTAAACCAATACGAGATCAAGGGTTTGTATAATAAAGCTCCTCGACCGTAGCGGATTGACAATCTGTAAGCAATTAAATTACATTAGGTATTTCCGCCGAAAAGCTCTCTAAAGCATCAATCATCGGCACTTGTACTCTCTCTACAATTCTTTGCGCTTCTTTCGACATGTTTCTCTCATAGCTCATCTATGATTCAGCACTTACACTTGTACGTAGGTAATTCAAAATCCGGAGAACAATGGTGACGACTGCGATAATCGCCTGACTCATTTGCTAATATAAACGAGTTCCATCTGTACTCTCCTGGAAATTCAGCCAAGCATGTCACGCCTGAATCCTTCCTGAAATTTTACTGGTCAATGGTGCTGCACTCCATACATGTACTACGTATATTCTATTACCCCGCAAGGTCGCAAGGCTGTAGGCAGAAGCGATGCAGGCTGTTCGTCATGTTTATTCCGCTGTGTCGATGATTGATATGTTCAATGTTATGCATTTGACGACGTCTCTGGAATTTGGACTATGGCACATCAAGAGCGAGCACATGATGGAATGAATATCTCGGACAACGTCTTTGGAGACAATACTCAGATTCGGCAAGGTGACAGCTCTGAGTTTCGACTTGACGGCCCTGGAAGTATTCAGAATAACAATACAGGCAGCCAAATATCTGCTGTTGGCTTCAATGCATCTGTGAATTTTCATTATAATCCAGGTAATAACAACTTCTTAAGATGATACTAGCGAGCCGCTGCTTACTGTAATGATATTGAGCTGATTTGAAGAACTTTATACTTAGGTAGTACCAACAAACATCAATGCCTCGTAGACTTGCGCTCTACAGACCCCCGCGATGACAAGGCTCGCATCGAGCAGAGCAAAGGGTGTCTTTTGCCAGGCTCGTACCAATGGGTGCTCGAGAGTGTCGCTTACCAACAATGGCGCCGCACTGAGAACACCCAGGTGCTGTGGATCAAGGGTGATCCTGGCAAGGGCAAGACGATGCTGCTCTGCGGAATCATCGACGAATTGACAGCCTTAGAACGCTCTACGAATCAAAGAGCTGGTTTGATCGTATCTTACTTCTTCTGCGAAGCATCCGATGCACGTAGCAATGACGCTACATCGGTGCTTCGAGGGCTCATCTACCTCCTTGCTGACAAGCAGCCATCTCTCATCGAGCGAATACAAAAGAAGCATGACCGCGCTGGAAAAGCACTCTTTGAAGATACAAACGCCTGGTTTGCCGTTTCTGGAATCTTGACCGAGATTTTACAAGACTTGCGGTCGAAGGATACTTATTTGATCGTTGACGCGCTGGACGAGTGTGCCCCTGGCGATTTGTCAAAACTCTTAAACTTCATACAGGCCTCATCTTCATCTCGCATCAAATGGATCATCTCAAGTCGAAACCAACCTCAAATTGAGCGTAGAATAAGATCCAATCAGCACTTGGCTACGTTAAGTCTCGAGCAGAATGCGGAACATGTATCCCGGTCCGTTGATGAATATATTAAGCTGCGGGTTGCTAACCTATCATCAATTGCCGATAATGAGGACCTTCAAGCGGAAGTTAGGGATATAATGCGACGAAAAGCTCACGGTACCTTTTTGTGGGTTTCGCTTGTTATTGGGGAGCTTGATGCAGCTTCGAGTTGGGAGGTACAACATATTGTGAAGGAATTGCCCGAGAGTCTCAAGGAAGTATACAGAAGAATGATCAGGCAGATCCAGGAGCATAAGCAACGGATAGCAGAACAATGCTGGCCCCTGCTTTCCACCGCCGCTGTGGCATATCGGCCGCTTCGACTCGAGGAACTAGCTCTTTTAGCCGGCGTCCAGGATAATATTTCAGACAAACCTCAGTTCATTACGGAAGTTGTTAACCTCTGTGGCTCCTTTCTCACCATTTTAAACGGAACTGTCTATATAATACATCAATCAGCCAAGGAATTCCTAACAGGAGACGCATATCGGGATATCTTTGGTTACGGGATCAGCACCAAGCATTGTGTTATCTTTTCGAAATCTCTCCAACTTATGTCTTGTGTTCTTAGACGAGATATATACGGCTTGGCCAACCCTACATTCCCCGTTGATAAGGTCCAGGAACATAGCCCAGGCCCACTAGATGGTGTTTACTATTCGTGTGTTCATTGGGTGGATCATCTAGAAGAAGCAGAGCAAACCATCAAACAAGATGGCGACGTCAAACTTTCCATTATCCACCGATGTCACGTCAAAGTCGACAAGTTCTTGAGGACAAAGTTTTTATACTGGCTAGAGGCTCTCAGCCTCAGGAGAAGCATATCAAGCGGAGTCTTAGCGATAGCGAAATTGGAGCAACTTCTTTCCGTAAGTGTCTACGTCAAATTTCAATATCATTACAAAGACTTAACCCTCCTAGACACAATCCAACACAATCCCGCATTACTTTGAGCTCGCTCACGATGCCAATCGTTTTATTCTATACTTTCGATCTATCATTGAAAGATATCCTCTCCAGGCATATTCATCAGCGCTGATATTCAGCCCAAGTCAATGTTCGATACGACACCACTTCGAGCATAAACAACCTTCGTGGATAACGGTAACCCCATTAATTGAGAGTCAATGGAGTGCACTCCTGCAGATTCTTGAAGGCCATACTAGTTCTATCAACGCGGTATCTTTCTCTCCCGATTGTCAACGACTGGCATCCGCATCCGATGACTTTACGGTGCTTCTTTGGGATGCAAATACCGGTGCATTACTGAAATCCCTTACAGCACATACAAGTAAAGTCTTATCCGTTGCCTTCTCCCTAAATGGTGAAAGGTTAGCATCAGGTTCTCACGATGGTAGAGTATGCCTTTGGGATGTTGATACTGGAGCGATGGTCTGGAATGTTAAGAAACATGACAATCCGGTTCTCTCAGTAGTATTCTCATCTGATCATCGACATGTAACATCGGCATCTTTGGGTGGTCTGATATGGTCTTGGGACGTGAGAACGGGTGTGCTATTATCGGCCTTCGTTGAGACGACGAACGTTACAGTAATAGCCTTTGCGCCTAACGGGAAACGAGTAGCGACAGTATTGGAGGAGGGTGAGAGAATACGCGTAAATCTTTGGGACGTTCGAAATGGGGTGTTGTTACGAACCTTAAAGGGTGGCAATTGTCGTGTCTGGTCAACTACCTTCTCGCCAGATGGCGAACAACTGGTACTTACAACATATGACGCCGCAGCACCGTCTGGGAAACGGGATTCGGTACATATTTATGATATCCGGAGACTTTCTGAAAGGGATCTTGAGAGACAGAAAACCATCAACGGCGATTTTGGTCGAGTGTGGTCGGCAGCCTTCTCGCCTGATTGCAAAACGCTGGCGGCAGGATGTGGTGACGGCAAGGTGCGGCTATGGGATCCGACTACGGGCATGGTGATACGGTCTTTGAAGGGAAATACGAACCAAGTGAATTCAGTGGTATTCTCATCTAACGGCAGAAAACTAGCATCCGCCTCATACGACGGCATGCTTCGGCTCTGGGATGTACATGCGGCAGCGCCAGAGCAGGCTCTTGTTCAAAGAAGCCGAGTCACCCTGATAATCTTTTCACCAGATCATCGACGGTTGGTATCAGCGTCGCACAACAAAACCCTGCTGCTCTGGGATACCAGCACGGGCAAGGTGCAGCACGAGCTCCAGGGTCAGGGGAGCCGAGTCTGCTCAGTAGCCTTCTCTTCTGATAGCAAAATGCTTGCGGCAGGATTTAACGATGGCACAGTGTGGCTTTGGGATGCACAAACAGCTGAACAGCTGATGATATTTGACAGTAGAACAAAATACAGCAACACAATAAACAGCAACCCGGTAGTGAGAAGAGATAACACTCAATTGGTGCCACGTCCAAGGGGTCCTACGAGATGGCTTCGGAGTATAAGTAGGACGCCGCGTCCCTCGGATGCAATCAATGGTGTATTTCAAGCATGGGATGGGCTCTCAGAATTGCTTTTGAAAGCTATGAAGAGCAATACATGTCTTGTTGATTCAGTGGCATTCTCCCCAGATGGTCGACTGTTGGCTTCAGCTCTATATGAGGGCACTCTTCTGCTCTGGGATAGAAGCACAGCTGCTCTGAGAAACACTCTCAAAGGCCATACGGGTAAAGTTAATTCAGTTGCATTCTCATCAGATAGCCAAAAACTCGCATCGGCATCCGATGACAGTGTAGTGCTGGTCTGGGATGTAGCATCCAGCAGGTTACTCTTGACCCTTCAAGGCAATACGGATCGGCTATTGTCAGTAGCCTTTTCGCCTGACAACAAAAGACTGCTATCAAGTTCCCACAATGGTATGCTATGGCACTGGGATGTGACCACAGGGGTGCTGTTGAATACGTACGCGATGGAATCGACATTTCAATTGTCATTTAAAAATGAATCAACAATCATTACGGACAGGACCGTCACTTCTCTAGATGACTTGTCTCAACGCTCAGAGGTCAGTGGGAGTTTTGAGCATCACAACGAGTCCAAAGCTCGGGGGTGGACTCTAAGCGAGGACAGGTGCTGGGTCAATCGCAATGACCGGAGAGTCCTTTGGCTGCCACCAGAATATCGTCCTGTGAGATCGGCAGTGGCTACACAGAAACTTGCTATTGGATGCTCCTCAGGAAATGTGTTAATTCTAGGTTTTGCATCGGACAAACACATGTGGGTATAGAACTCTTTCGTGGTTATATAAGAAAGCCGACGGCATATTGTATGCAGTCCTTTGCAAGAATGTTACGTAGTAAGTAAATGGCAACCCAGCAGAACATATTCGATAGCGGGAGGCTGTTTGAAGATGGCCTTGAAGAATGGCATCATGGCATACAAAGTCTAATAAACGAAGCGGGCGAAGCTGTGAAAAGAAAGTTCTGATTGAAACGACTTCGCGTCACCCAGGGAATATCGTACCGCGACTCCAGCAGAGTTGAAGACGTTGCCGCCGGCTTGCTAATTACATCACTTGAGGTTCATGAAAACTTCCAGCATGGCCGGATAATTAGGGGTTCCTAGCCCAGTCATGGGGTCCCAGCCCTTGACTGCTTCCAAGTACCCCGTCTCGTTGCATGGGGCTACCTTGAGGGGCGAGAATGTAATGTCGTTGAACATCTCGGGATGCGCGTAGAAAACCGGATTCACAAAGCCCACCAGACCTTTTCCAGCGCTGAGGCGCTCCTCGTTGATGCGAGAAATGAGGGCCGCGACAATGGGAGCAGCCATTGACGTACCGGCATTATCAAGCCGAACCACACCACCGGTGGTGATTGTAACTCCATTCTCTGAGATGGCGGAAATGTCGGGATATGCCCGGCCATCACGGTTGTACGACCCACCGGTCAACGGAATATCACCGTCCTTGGTGTGATAGAAGGGGATATTAGGATCGTGGTTCTTGAAGTACCTGAGCAACTTAATGTCAGTTATACGGCCTCTCCCCCCTTGTGGCGCAATAACACATTTCCCATGATGTGACTCACCCTGAAACTGCGGCTTCCTGGTAGTCCGGTCTGAGGTGGATGTTACTCCAACCACCACCAGGCAGATACCCATGTGGCGCAACTTCTTGATCTCCCGGCTTATAGTTGTCCGGCAAGCCGGTGCCCCCAACGGACAGTATCCACGGACAGCCCGAGGATTGGTCGGGGGCGAAGATCGTTGAGTCGTCGCCAATACAGGCGTCTCCTCTGGCCCCGTCATCACCGCTGGCGGACACGACGGTGGTGCCTTGCAGACTCAGTTTCATCCATTCATCGCATTGACGCTGTTGGATGGCACCCAGACCATGTCAGCTGAGAGCAAGAGAATAAGAGGAAAGGGGACTAGTGTTGGTGAATACCAAGGAGACAGAGGAGAAGGAGCTAACCTTTGAATAAGCCGCTGGGAAGTGATCTTCAGACCAGCTCCATGAAGTTGATATCACAGATGTGGGCTTGAATGTCCCACAGTCCGGGTGGGTGAGATTGCCATCAAACACTGGGTCATCACCCGTCTCCCCGTATGCAGAGTAGTTGCAGTATGTTCCGTCAATAGCATCCAAGAATCGGTTGTACAGTCCAAGTTCTGTGCCTTCGTCAAGAGACACGTTGGTCTGGTACATGACTGCGTTTTGAGGATATACAATCGGCATAATCATCTGAACATCGAGATCGGTCTCGCCGCCGGACGGGCTCTGCGCGGTAGTCGCACCATCAATGCTGTCGATTTGAGGTCCAAAACCTTGTGGAATTCTTGGATAGAAATCCTTGTAGAATAGGTTTAGGTTGCTCTGGGAGAATAATGAGTCGGCTGCCTCGTAGATCCCAATGACGTTCCTCGGATCAGCCTTGGTGTTGTTAGGAAACTGGTACAGGTACTGGATGCAGGCTGGAAGGATTTGGCTTGCGTTGCAGGCAGCCTGATCACTCCCGTCTAAGACTTAGGGGCGGTCAGCCGGTATCGCCTACCAGAGTTTTACAGTGATTACTCACAAAGTTGAGTGGCGGGGAGTGCCCGCTCAACCTCTAAAGCACGCTTCCTTGTCGGCTGACGGGTATCGTTCGATAGGTGAGCCATTGCCACAGCCGGCATGATGAAGTCAACGTGTTCAGATACGTCTAAGGGCAAAGAGTACTCGTGAGTGCCGAAGTGACTGGATCCAGAGCTGAGGTGATTGTAAACATGGTACTCCGTTTTCAATGCGGCCTCAAGCTGGGCAACTGTAGCGTCAAAATAAAGCCAGCCTTTGCTCTTCGGGATCTTGATAGCCCCACTGGAGATGCCGGATGCCACAAGCCAGCTCTTGACAGCATTAATAGACTCGTTAGCCGGGGCAAAAAGCTCGACAATCTCTTCTTGGGTGAGGTGCTGGCCATATTTCTCCGATGTATGATTGGAACTGGCAACGTGTTAGTCGAAGCAAATCCAGCGGGATAGCTCGCCGCAGTAATCAAGCTCGCGCTTACATTTCCATGAGAAGATCCTTCCCCCGATCCGTATTGCCCTGCTTCAAAGCAAGGCGCACAGGCACAATTGTGTCGGGCGGCAGCTTATCCAATTTCTGCCATTGTGATAGCTGATGCTTGGCTTCGCGAGACTCGTGGAGCACTCTAGGAGCCGACTTGCTCGCAAGAGCCCCGGCGAGACCGCCGAGGGCCAAAATGATATTGTACTTCATGTTGTGAAGGCTGTGAAGAGGGACTTTCCATGGATTCTCCAGGAGGTCGAAACGGTCGCGCGCTCCTATTTAAGAAAAAGTCTTGTACAGTCAAATTCTGCAACAAGTTTATCCTCGACCAATCCTTAGCGTTACGTTCGATTGAGCATGTTCAGGTTAAGCCACGCAGAGCTGTTGTAGGGGTATCAGATCCAATCCGAACTACGGAGTACTTCGTATACCATACAAATTATATTAAGTTAGATACCTAATAGGGTATTGCATGGTTGCCATTTCGACACCCTTCCTTTAAACTGCCCCATTCAGATCACATAATCACAATTCGTGCATCCTTGCCAAATGCAACGCCAACTTTCTTCATGGACGGTCAGTAAATCTCGTATTCGATACCTTAGGTCTCATCTCATGGCTCTACGGGAACTAGCCCAGAAACAGTATTTACCCTGGCCCGCTTTCGGCAATCTCTATCTACATATCCGGTTCGATTAGGTCGCAATCACATAGTAGAAGCTTCGTATGCGTAATGGGGCTTAGAGTGACGCTACGTTTCATGTTTACACCAAAGATTCGTCCAAGTGAAAGTCTAGACTGTTCAAACCCCAGCTCAGCGAATCCGGGGCAAACTACTCCCTACAGAAGTATGAAGTACGACTGACCCTGATGCCATTTACTCTGTATGCAATGCCTCGTTAGTATCATGGACTCGGAGTTACTTGGGCTTATTGAAGTGACCCATTTTGACTACTACACCAGTCAGACTTAACAACTCGGGCGTGAAGTTACATGCTCAATGCGAATAAATGATGAATAAATAGACTCATGGCCAATCGAATAAACCTCATCAAGTCTTCAAACACATGCTTTTGTCAGGTATGACCAAGATTATAGTGCCCACCAGGCTCAGGAGGTCTCGTCGGATGTGCTCTGAGGGGCATAGACGATCTCCCGAGACTTGTGGGAACCCATGGAGTGGCTTGGTATTTGTATGGTTTCTCTCGTTGGAACTTCGCAAGTGTCGCCTTTTGCGGTGCCTTTGTCCTGAGGGCCAGCTCGCAGGCCGTGGGAAGTTTGGTTTCATGTTCGGATCATTCCGACTTGACGGGCGGAACATGCGGATACGAGTCGTGCCGTGCCGTTAACGTACATTACTGTTAGTTTCGGTTCCCCACCAGATAGGTAGTAGAGGCGGTCAAGTTGTTATGCAGGCCGCGCGTGTTCAAAGTCGCTTGCAAAAGTTCTTGTTACATTCAGTTAGTCTAATATCAAGAGGACATGTCAATGCTATAGTAACACTTATAAATAAAGTCCTACGGAGTAGTTAGATACTAATGGGAGGCAGGGAGCAGACGATTCCCAGGCCTGTGCATCAAAGCCTTCCAGCTATCAGCTGCTCTTTGCGGGTACCTACTACATTGCTGGGGAAGCATCCTGGACATAATGACCTTCGTCTTCATAGATTACAGGTGGCAGTGCCTTTAAGCGACCGAGGGCCAGTTTTAGTGACCATATGGGCTGTGCATGCGCAAATAGGTTTCTTGCGAAGTCATCAAACTGCCGATTCGACATCTAGAGTGGGGATACTGGAGTAGGCCGCAAGGATGCGGGTTCCTGCGGGATATCTACCAGCATTATGTAGACAGCGTGGGGATTCTTTGATATAATAATGGTGGCATAAGCATATCGTACCCAGCGCCGAGTAGTCTCCAGTATACACAGCGCAGCGTACGATTGTTCAGCAAAAGGGAACTTCAAGTTCACAATGAAGCGGCATATTACTAATACAGAGTATGTTAAAGGACTTTGCTATAAATCAGGAACGTACGACCATAGGTAGTGGAAAATCTAGGGTCCCGTCAAGCCTTTTCCTTGAGTTTTATATCTTCCTTTTTTTTTTTTTTTTTTTTTTTTTTGCATTTCGGAGCTACGATTTTAAAAATAAGCATTACAGTTGTAGAAGACAATGAACCAGTACCCAGATCGCAAACTCACGTGAAAATTCGATAAGGTAGTAAGTCCTATAATAAGCTACCTACATAAGCTATGCGGCGTTAGCATCGGCATCATACTATGAAAAGAAATCTCCGTTATTGGAGCTTTTCGAGGGAATACGGTACAGTAACAGGGAACGTGGTTGGGGCCCCCGGTTTACAAAGTCGATGCTAGTATATAATCTTGCAGCTTGTTATTTGCAGAAGCAACCAATATTACAGATTTCTTTATATATGTTCAAATAGGATATAGCAGCTTTGTATTAATGCTTGTTTTCTAAAAGCATGTCCAGAACCAATGCTCTTCATAATCCGTCTCCTGAACAAGTATGCGATATTCTCCGAGCTGAAGTTTCCAAAACTCAATTTGCTCCCGAACCTGAATTATAATGGACAGTCACTGTGCTGCCAGAGAAGCTTGATGATGTGATGGGTCCATTCCCCTGGTCTAGGTCAACGATAACCCACTCACCCTCGCCCGGCGTAATAGTAGCTCCGTTGACAACGGCTGTTGCTCCAGTAAAGGTAACAGTTCCAAAGTCTGCAAATGGAGCATAAGGAGGGCCTCCGTACGTAAGTTCATAGTCTTCGACAATCCACTCAGCACTTGTGCTAGGCAAGCTGTATTCTTCTCCAGTAAAATCATGGGATGCAGTTACACCATCAACCGTTAATGTCGTAATTCCGCTATTAGTGCCAGTCTTCTTGGCATTGACAGTAACAACTGATCCAGCAGTTACATTCACCCCATTGATTTCGATAATAAAGCCAGGGAGATACTCATACCAAGGGTACCAGAAGGTTGAGTTGTCGATATAGGTACACCAGAGGACACCAGTCTGGATGAGATCGCCGTTAGTCCACCCATCGATTCCCACCCATGCAACACCACAATGCGCAAGATTAGGATCGGCACCAGGTGGCATTTTGGGTTGCGGGACTGTAAAAGTGCCGGAAACCTCGGTGACGCCTGGCTGTGAGATGGCGACGCCTGCCCAGTTAGGAGAGGTTGCATCCGCAGTACCGCCGGTGTTGCTGGCGCCGGGTCTAGATGAAATGGAGCGACGTAAAGATCTCCTCGCACGGAAAGCATCCATAGCCGTCTGCTTGCGAGTAGACAGTGGGGAGGCTAAGGCGGTAGTAGCCACCAGAAGTAGGTTTGTGGTTGAAGCACCGAACTTCATCTTGAATAGGTGCAGATGAAGTTAGTGAACTGAGATTAAAAGCTTATAAGAGGCTATATAGATTGAAATGATGGTATATTATTGAGTGTTGTCTAAACCAGTTTCACCGGTCTACGGATCTGAGTTAAAGAGTCTTCAGGAGAGACTTTATATAGTTACAACTTCCTCAGTATATCTTACACCGACTTATGTCTCTACGTTTCAAAGTTGCTTGCTTCGTACCGTAGCCAATCCCACTTCAACGGGTTACCAACGTAACGCCATCGGAGAACTTGAGTGGCACCATTGCAAAGCAAGAGGAATGAAAGCTTCCTTGGAAGAGCGTGTATGGTAATACAATACCAGATAGTATACGAAGTAGCTATAACAAATTACAAGACTAGTCACTTTCCATACCCTTGGATCCTCTGTTGTCTCTATAAACTTCGTATTTCTTTTCTTGTCTACGTTGCCAACCCTTGCGCTGACTGCAGCAAAGAGGTCTTGTCTGGACGGGAAGGCTCGTTAATGGCCCAATAATATTGTTAGAATTCTACGTTTTTTAACTCCTATACCTATTGTGGGCATCATCGCGTGGTGCATTATAAGCAGGGGTTTCCTTTCTCTTATCCTTAGTGGAGATGAGTTGTATGCGAAGTAAACTCGTGTTATAAATGGTAAATCTCGACTAAAATAGGTATAGCTTCACTTTTAAACGAATTTCAACGAGAATATGTAGATCTGGAATCAGCACATAAACTCGTGTTATAAATTTCTACTAGAGTAGGTATAGCTTGGCCTTGACGAGTTTCAATGGGTATCTGCATGCGAGTCAGCTACCGAGAGTGCCGGCTGGTCCATGGCATCGCGCTAGCACACAGGAGTATTTTGACGGGAACTTTCATGGCTCTACTACCACAAATTAGATGTCGTTAACTCAGTATCGTACAGCTCAAACTTGAAGATCATAGAGAACGTTTTGGTCGCTGATGAAGACTCGGTTAACTCAGAATTTGTGATATTACGCAGCTCTCTCTTGTCCAGCTTTACCAAGCTGCGACAGAAGACCTTGTGTTATGAGCCTTACATGTCATTAATCTCATTAGCAGTTTGTCAGATTGTTGATCTTTATGTTAGTGCCTCATAATTTTATAATTAACTAGTAACTCAAAGTTTCTATACTCAATGTAATATTGACCAATGTCAGAGTTGTGTAGGGATGAGATCCTTGAGAGAAAGATCTACATGTAGTTTCAGCCATTAGCTTTACATCAACGCCTGAAGGCAGATTTAGTCCTGAAAGACAAAGCAGAGACACAAACCATGACCCTCCAGAAAAGGTTATGAGATTCCATAATTGGCGCGCCTTTCTTGTCTGCTCCCTTGTAAACAAGCCGACAATCGGCAGGGTGATGACTGGCGGATACGGGTTGACAGTTTTAAGCATCTGAATACAATATCATCATAATGCTATTTGTTACACATTCAGGCACATACAGCCATAGATAGCGGAGAATTCGGGGCCACTTCAAGCTCTTCTCTTGACTGTGATGTCTTCCACTTATTTGCATCCCAAGACTCCAAATCTGGAGTTACATGATTCCGTTTTTAGTGGTTAACCAACCCGGCGCTAAGATGCTCACCGTTTAATTCACCACTAAGAAAGAAAGGATCTTGGTTTCAAGGGAACAACGTTATTCCAACAGTGCTTACTCTACTGGATAGTCCGTCGGCATTTATTAGTTACACCATGTCTCTAGACTAACCAGAGGATTCATTTACGATTTGAATCACTCATCTTGAATCCAATCAGTATTGACTCTTTTACTCTCAATGAACTCCTCAAGAGCATATTTACTAGCTGCCTTTCGGCAGCGGACTGCACTGCGGCCATCAAACAGCTTACTACGTCCATATCTCATGAGTCACTCCAAGGGTTCAACACATCCGACCTCATCAATATCTCATCGTTACCACTCTAATATGCCCCCAAAAATAAGCGAAAATCCAAAGATAACTTGCCAATGCGGCACCATTTCCCTCACAGCCTCGCGCGCTGAACCTCTCAGCAAATATGTATGCCACTGCACGGAATGCCAGAAGCAATCGGCTTCCGCATTTGGTACCTCTGCCATCTTCCCATCTGAGGGCATGTGGCCATTCCCCAAACATTTACAGCAACATATTGGCATGTGGGCCAGGCGAGCGGATTCCGGCAACACAGTAGAGTGTTATTTCTGCAAAGTGTGTGGCGTTCGTATCCTGCATCGGGTAATCTTCAAGGATGGTACGCCTAGGCCCTCACTTGCGGTCAAAGGTGGCTGCGTCGAAGGTTTCAATCTGGAGGGCGCCAGGCATATTTATACAAGGTCGGCTTTGGTGCCTGTGCCGGAGGGCAGTGAGCCAGGAGCACCACGTGTGAAGCCATGAGTAACAAAGTTTCTATGGTTTCACGATCTAGCTCTCTAGGTTTTAAAGGTGTAGTTCAGGATGCACATCGTTATCAGAAGTTATAGAGAGCTTGTCTATTACAGAAGCAAATTGAATGAGAAGAAAAGTCAAAAGATATACAATGTGAGATCTAGGAAATCTTGTCTCAAACTGATGCCCCATTTCTAGCGCACTCTCGGAATAGCCATTGCTGTATTGCCTTCTCTGCCAACCTAGCCCTTCTTTGTGCCCACCAATGCTCTGTTGAAGGAACAAGGATCCTTACGGCGCGATAAAAGTGATACAATAAGACCATTGCATGAGGGTCCCCATGTCTCACCATCGACACGAACTGTTGGTCGCACAGAACAGGGAAAATAATAAGATATCGAGAAAGGTTTGTTGTCAACTCGGGGCTCAGGCCCTCATATTCCTCATCTTGTGCCTCTGGAAGGAAAGATAATATGAGGCAAAGGCGATCCACAATGCCATAATATCCCTTTAAAGAGTAGCCTGCTTCTTTAGACTTGGAAGGGCCTATTTCCGCTAGCTTTGGTATCTCAACGGCCCAGAAATCTTCTGGGGCAAGGTCGGATTCGCGAACAAAGGGGAGAGGCACGGAAAGGAGGGATGGACTAAGAGGCCGTTCATATGAGAAAAACCACCTGAAGTTCTCTAGTGACTTTCTACTTAGCTTTGCAGCATTGACCAGGACATTTCGAGAGCTATGCCTAATGTGCGGCATCAATGGTGACGATACCTGCAAGGAAAGAGGAGTACAGCTCAAGAATACGTGCAAGACGCCCAGGCTGTGTTGGAAAACACGGTCTTGAAGCGGATCATATGACATAGCCCCGTCGGGCCCAAACACCACACACTCGACATTGGACCACATCTCCATGTGCAGCAGTGCAGTCGTGACCATAAATGCATCGACGTTGGATGGAGTGAGCTCACTGGAAAGGTCGTCACGGAAGAGGCATAGTGTCTTTATCAAATGAGTGGTTGCTGCTGTAGCATACTTCTGCTCGTCGGGAAAGAGAAACGACAGCTGCCTCGCTGACGCACAAAGTATGGCATGCATTAGAGAGGGGAAGCTGAAGGATAGCTGCATGGCAGTTTCCCAGGCACCCGAGTCAAAGAGGAGGGTAGGGATCGTTTGATGTTGAAAGTTGTGAAAGAGCTTCATGTGTAGCATGTTGACTACTTCATCCGATACCAGCTCGAGTTGTTGTGAGACGCTCCGGGGTACTTGGTCAACAGCAAGGATCTCTTGCGATCTTTCAACCTCTCGCCTGCGGCTGCCAGGAATCCAACAGCTACAAGGCTCTTGCCTGCGAGTGCATGCCGAGCATCTTGGAACTCTCTCATCGCACTTGTGTATATGAATGACGCAGGTTAGCAGCATTCGGAGACCGGGGTCAACGTAATGTAGCGCCCATTAGACCGATGACCAACCTTTACTCGTCGTTTCCTGCACTGGTCACATCCGCGCTTGGATTTGTGATGCAGCCTTTTCTGCCTGAATGGATCTACTACCAAGTTGGTTGGGATCTTGCATAGCGCCGGTTCCGAACTGGAGGTGATGATGAAGACATTAGTGCAGTCGAGCAGCGACGGAGCGGTCCTTCTCTTTGCCTCATGAGAGGATGAGCCAGACGCTGACGCCGGTTCCATTATTGCCGGAGGGTACACGAACTTTGCATGATGTAGGGGAGTTGTCGTGTGGTTGCGAAATCGGTGGTCGGGTTTGTTTGTACACATCGGACTATACAAGGCTACATGTAGATATCTCGGAGACTAAACCATACAAGTCTAAACGAGCCGGATCTGGAGATGCGGAACCCCGAGATTTCGGCAAATGCGGGCCCTTATTGTAATACTCCGAAAAGGGGACTCGGGCATTGAAGTAGTCAATTCTTGATTTGTCAAATAGGAAATATTGCCTGTACATAGGATTGTTGATTTGCTGGCGTTGGTGGATTCGCTGATCCATTGAGTTGAACGAGCCTCTGCCTCGTTTAGTCCAATCCGTCTTAGAAGCCGATAAACACACCTCCTAGACATGTCGGATTCATATGAAACAAGCTACATATGCACAGCGGGACTTTTTCGTTCTTCTTAGAGGAGCCCCATATCCATTGTATGGCTGCTAGCCGTAGGATTAACTCCTACTATGTATATTTCGTCACTTAGATATGCGACTCCTTCTGAGACGTGAGGGATGTCGTATATACTCTGCACGGCTTATCGGTATTTCAAGAACTCCGAAGTAAGTATATATATGCCGGTCGCATTACTTGATGTTTTTTCATAGTTTACTATCCTCATCGGATACTTTGCAAGTTTTCAGCTCTTATAGTACCAATACACCACTTCAATATGGCACTCACAACACCGGCAATGCGGAAAGTTTTCAGCTATGATAACTTTCGCTTAGCCCCAAACTTCGACGCACAAGCCCAATCTGCTTTGCTCCATCCCAATCCCAAGCTTGAACAATGCTTGGCCAACTCGGCAGCCAAAGGCCTTCCACCCATCAGTGTCCTCCCCATGTCTGGTCAACATCTGTCCATTCTCGCTCAGCTCATGGGCGTCAAGTCAGTCCTCGAAATTGGTACGCTGGGAGGCTACTCGTCCATCTGTTTTGCGGAAGCGGGAGCCAAGGTGACCAGTATCGAAATCGACCCAAAACATCGGGACACGGCACTGGAGAATGTCAGTGGCCTCGATGTAGAGATCCTGCTTGGATCAGCGCTGGAGGTATTGCCGAAACTTGCGGAGGAAGGGAGGCAGTTTGACATGGTATTTATCGACGCGGACTTTGAAGATCAGTGGGAGCACTTTGACTGGGCGGTCAAGTTGACGCGTCTAGGTGGATGTATCTTTCTGGATGATGTGATTCCATCAATGATTAAGAATGGACAAGAGGAAGGAGGCGAGACTATCATAACACAGATTGGCAGAGATGAGCGAGTCCAGGCCACACTGATGCCGACAGTGGCTTGTCATTCGATGATACCTAACCCGGTGTTTACTGGCTTCATCCTCGCCGTGGTTAAGAGCCACTGATGTTTACAAGATTCTGTAGAACAGCACTAGGGGTAAATATGGAATCTAAGCAGCTATAGTCAGATATATCGTGGCTTCGTGCTGGAGACATAGCCTTCTCGCAGAGTCGAATTGCAAATATCCATAGCTTGGTTCCACGTAAAAACTGGCACCAAAAGGCGGATTTATTCTTCTTTAAGCTTACTACATAGGTAGTTAATAGTAGGTCGAAATAATGTAGAAGAAAAGAGGTGCTATTTGAGGTCCAGGAGACGGGGAGTTCCGATGGATTGGATAATAATTGAATGTTCGTTGATTTTAGCTAATGTACATGTAAGAAAGTCGTATTGATGCCCGAATTGGCGGCCTAACTGAGGGGCACCTTTCATCACGCTGATTTTCCTTAGAAATAGCCCATCAATGTTTATCATTCGACATAGTACTACCTAATGCTTTTCCGTGCCTAAAGTATGTGTCGAATATCGCAGCGGAAAAAGAACATGGGAGCACAATAACGACTTGCGCCCACGCTCGCTCAACCCACAGTCGCTCAGCCTGATCTTTGCATCTTTTCATATCCTCTATTTGCCTTTTCATGTGTTCCGATAGACATACTTACTAATCCACACATTATTTTCCTAATACTCGAGGACTAGGATACAGCTTCTACAGTCGTGGTGCAATCCCATACTTTGCGACACCCCATTGCGTTGTCGAGGCCATGGGCGAAAAACACCAGTCAAAAATCTCGAGGTTTAAGAGACTTCTCAGGCGTGATGCATCGCCGCTGCCTCCATCATCTGGACCGCGCGTAGATCAGGAGATCCCGGACGCCAGAGCAGCGGAACCTGAAACTTCGAAAAAGGCAATAATAGCAGAGGAGCAATCTTTAGGCCAAGGAGACGCGCACGGCTCGAAACCACATATGAGCAGCACAACAAGGGCCGAACCAACAGAGCAGCAATGCACAAGCCCTTCAAAATCCCAGGACTTATGGAACGCTGCTTACGAAAGCCTCGCGGAGGATAAGGATACTGTAAAACTTGTCAGGGCGTATGCAACGATCTTGGCGACAGTCCTCAAGACTACGCTTTCCGAAGATGAAGTTTTGACACATCTCAATGATCGAACTAAACGACAGGATTTTATGAGGAAGCTGGTGGAAGAGGGCCAAGCGAGGCTCTCAGTCTCCACGACGTCAAATGTTTTGAACGGAGTGGGTGCTGTTGCGGAATTCATCGATTCTGTAAAGGGACTCGTCGATGCCGCTGTCGGGAATATCCCTCAGGCCGCGCTTCCATGGGCTGGTGTTTGTATCGGATTACAGGTAATTAATATCCTCACCATTCTTATAATTTAGCGATTAATCTCTGCCAGATCCTCACAAATCCTGCTAAAGCAATAAAATCCAACCTGGACGGCATGGCGCATGTTATCTCCAGAATGGAGTGGTAGTGCTCCCTGACCGAATGCTTATGGAGAAAGATGACGTCGATGAGTCTGGGTTGATCCTGTCTCAACTGGAAAGGGAGATTCTTTCTCTTTACAAGGCTCTCCTCCAGTATCAAATGAAGAGCATATGCTCTTACTACCGTCATCAAGGCCTTCAGTTCCTCCGAGAGCTTGCGAATTTGAATAGTTGGGAAAACGATTACAAGGCTATAAGGGACGCGGAAGGTGTCATTCGTCATGATTTAGATCAGTACATCAAGGTCCAGGGGAAGACTATGCTGGAGGAACTCCTTGGACGTGCCAAAGGAATGGTCGAGCTACTTGGGGATCTTCGTCAGACACTTCAAGACATCGTCATTTATCAGAAGAGCAACTTGGATGAGAGGAACAAACAGTGCCTTAGGGATCTCTTCGTGGTAGATCCACAAGATGACATGAAGAAGATTGAGAAAAACAAAGATACGTTACTCAGTGAGGCAAACAACTGGATATTCCAAATGGAGGAATACCAGGCATTCACGAATTGGAATAACACCGGATCTATGCTACCATCATGCCGATTATTGTGGATTAAAGGCCATGCCGGCACTGGGAAAACAATGCTTCTAATGGGTATCATTCGCGAGCTCTTAAGCCACTCGGCGGCATTTGCACCTAAAGTTTCTCACTTTTTCTGTCAAGGCACAGTTAAGGCCTTAGATACCGGTAAAGCCACTTTGAGATGTTTAATTTGGATGCTCCTTATACAGCAGCCACATTTAATCTCTCATTTGAAAGCAAAGTACGATAATGCAGGTGCTTCTCTTTTTGAAGGCGACTGTGTATTTATTTCTCTAAATGATGCGTTTGAGAATATGTTGAAGAATCCTGAGTTATCTCCTGTGTATCTCGTGGTTGATGCACTTGACGAGTGTGAGCAGGACCTGGGCGATCTTAAGAGACTTATTTTCACTTCCCTTACATCTCCCATAAAGTAAAGTGGCTAGTATCAAGCCGCCCAACAGTTGATCTCAGGGTTCCAGAAACAGAAGGCTCGTTGGTCGAGCTCGATTCCCAGAAGTTGCAAAAACCAGTCAATGCGTTTATTGACCATAAAATCTCCTTACTCAAAGGCAGACCAGGATACACTGATGAAATATTGGAACAAGCCAGGAACGAAGTCAGCCAGCGAGGTGAAAATACCTTTCTTTGGGTGGCTTTGGCATTCAAGGAATTGGACAAAGAAGACGGAAACCATATTGTGGTGGATGGAATGTATGCTCTCGACATCATCAAGGAAATCCCTTCCGGCCTGTCGAAATTATACGACTATATGATGGGCAAGATTGAAAAGGTATTGAGACAAGACCGCGAATACCGCAGAAATGTACTGGTGGCTGCTCTTCTTGCATTTCGTCCTTTAACCCTTTCCGAAGTCGGAGTGCTCGCCCAGTTGCCAAACCAAACCCCAGCGACTATTGTTCGAAAGTGCGGTTCATTTCTAACAGTTCAGAACGAAACGGTGTACTTGATCCACCAGTCAGCCAAAGATTATCTGCAGGAAAATTACAAATCTAAGCTCTGGAAATCTAAGGATCAGCCAGCTGAGATGTCGCAAGGGCATGAGGACATGGCAATGTATTCGATCAGAGCAATGTCTTCGGGGCTCAGACAAAACATGTACAACCTCGATTACGGCTTCAAACCGGATGATATGAGACCTCCGCAGCCGGATCCTCTGGCTCCGCTACAATACTCCTGCGTCTTTTGGGCTGATCACCTTACTGCAGCAATTGGGGAGAACTTTGATCACGAGGGAGTTCTTGCGGATGATGGAGAAGTATTAAAGTTTCTGAGGGAGAAATTTCTTCACTGGCTAGAAGGCCTATCTCTCGTGGGAAACCTTCTGGGGGGTGTAGATGCAATAAGGAAGCTTCTGTCTATTGCCCAGGTAGGTGCAAAATTACAATGTACTTTCGTTATGCGCAGCTACTGATCACTTCCAGAAATCGAACCTAAATTCCCAGCTCACTCGGTTCCTGGAAGATGCCGAGAGATTTATCCAAAGCCATGGATCAATTATAGAACGAGCTCCGCTACAAGCATATGGCTCCGCACTGGTATTCAGTCCAACGACAAGCGAGGTCAAGGCCGCGCAATGGAAGCATAGGTTACCGTTTATCAAAATGCTGGCAGGGGTTAAAATCCAATGGGATTCACACCGACAGACCCTCGATGCAGGTGACATGGTCAACTTGGTGGCCTTCTCGCCCAATGGCAGGGTGCTTGCCTCCACGTTGGGTCGTAATGTTGAATTCTGGGAGGCATCCACGGGAAGCCATCAACGGACACTAGAGGGACACCATTCAAAGGTAAGGTCTATAGCATTCTCATCTGACGGCAAGATATTTGCCTCGTCATCTGATGACAATACTATTCGACTTTGGGAAGCGTCTACTGGAAGCCATAAACGGACACTAGTCGGACACTATGGAAATGTCGAGTCTATAGCCCTCTCACCTGACGACACGATATTGGCCTCATCGTCACTTGACAGTACTGTTCGACTCTGGGATATTGCTTTAGGGAGCTGTCGGCAAACAATCGAGGAACGTGATGCTGGTATTGGAGACAAATCTGTAGCCTTCTCACCTGACGGCAGGATCTTAGCCTCAGTATCACGCAATGGGATCATTCGGCTATGGGACGTGGCTCTTGGGAAGTACCAACAAAAAGTCGATGAATTAAACTCGGTCCACCGTGTAATCTTTTCACCTGATGGTAATACTCTAGCCGTATTAGGGGTCGATCACTCCATTCAGCTCTGGGATACAAGTTCATGGAGAAAGCTGAAAACGCTTGACATCAATGATCGCCAAAGCTCTTCCTTGGCTTTCTCGCCTAATGGTAAGATGCTAGCTTTCATGGGGCCTCAAAATAGTATCCTACTCTGGGATATGGATACAGATAGCATCTGGGACACACTCGTGGGACACCACGGCATAATCACGAGTCTCGCTTTTTCGCCTGATGGTATGACACTAGCCTCTGCCTCATGGGACAGGACTATTAAGCTCTGGGATACAAGTTTAGGGAAACGCCATGGTACGGTTGAAGAGCATAACATGTGGCATTCCGGGGCATCGATTTGCACAACATTTTCTCCCGACGGCGAGATAATTGTGTCGGCTTCGCGCAGTGGTTTCCAGGTTTGGGATACAGCTAGGGGGGGCTGTGAGCCAACAATCTCTCAAAAGCACGAGGGACACCCATATAGAACTACTGTAGCCTTTTCGCCGGACGGCAAGACGATAGCCCTGGCGTTGGACGATGGCATCGAGCTCTAGGACACGGCCACTTGGACATGCCGGCTGATGCAGAAGGGAGCTCAGCCGTTTGATCTATATGACACAACGGCAGCTGCTGTAGCGTTCTCGCCGGACAGCAAGACGCTGGCCACGGCGTCACGAGACGAGGTTATCTCGTGCTGGCTGTGGGATGTGACTACGGGCAGCACCCTGTGGACCTTGGATAGAGACTGGGGGACGAATATTAAGATTCGCTCTGTGGCATTTTCGCCGGACGGCAAGACGCTAGCATCTGCGTTGGATGATTGCATCGACCTCTGGGATGCGGCCACGGGGATTCATCAGCAGGGGTTGAGTCTCGAGGGCCAAATCCCGGACTTCGAACTTCTGGACTTCGAACTTCTGGACTTCTCACTTCTGGCCTTCTCGCCCGACGGCAAGACTCTAGCATCTGCGTCGTCCGGGTCCAGGTACGGCGACATCTGGCTCTGGCACGATGGTGCTGGGCGCTGGAGCAACCCAAAGAAGCTGATCAACGACCACGCTTTTTGTTTGAGCTTCTCGCCTGACGGCGCCCACCTGCTGGTCAACCATCGACCGGTTCGGCTGCTGTCTACATCAGCCTCTCTCGAAGAGCGTTTTGATGAGGATCCCGCCGAATCACTTCTGTACTTCGAGCAAGAGTGGATAATGTTGAATGGCAAAGAGATTCTTTGGCTTCCTGCCGACTACAGACCTTATCCAAGGTATAGTGTCATAGTACATGGTAACAAGATGGCCTGGATAAATCAAGCTGGGAGCCAAATGTTCTTCCAAGTCACATTTGCAGAAGGAATGCCACAGCAAACCGAATAACCGATTACCTTCTCCTTTGGCACTGAAGGGCTGTTGGTTATCCAGACAAGAAGCACCAACCAATATGTACTGATCAAGATTTCTCGTGGTTGGTGCCCTTGTAGGATGTGTGCCGTTATTATGGTGATTGGACTTGTTGCCAATCAAAGATCTCAATCTTGATTCCGTGGCAGAGAAATCACTTGCGTGTACGATGTGTAGGTAGCTAGATCGATGCCTTCTGCCGGGATGGTACCTACAGTTTCAGCGCTTTTTTCTCTTGGCTTGCGTTCTTCGACAACGATGCGTGTTCAACCTCGAAATGTCTCAGACCGCAGCCAAAGATTGCTTAAGCCAATATTAAAACTGCGGCATTGTTGAGGGAGGCCACATGCCGTGGATCCAAGGCTACCGCCAGCCATATGACTCGCGCGCTAGGGAAAGATATCACTGCAAAAGACGCGTCATAGCTGGCTTTCTTTAAGCATTGGTGATCTTCGACAAGCGAGTTGCAGTATGCTGATTTGACGACATATGATCGAGACAGACATAGGTTATAAGGCATTTCGATAGTCATCCAAGCACATACGACCATAGGTAGAGGAGAACTCGGGGTCCCGTCTGCTCCCCCATAGATAAGCCTCTAACCGGCAGATTAGTAGTTGAGTGGGTGACCATCAGCGAACACCGGCTGTTGTATGTTTTTTGTAAATTTTTTGAAGTTTTGTTGTTCCTTTGCATTCCTTTTATATTGTGATTTCGGTGCGGAACAAACCATTGTCTTTTCGGTGTGTATGTTTCGTGCAGGTTGCGTGGGGTTTATGCAGGCTTAGTCATCTGATCTCATCGCCAGTCAAAATCGTCCCATCTTACGTACCAGGGAAGATTTGGAAACTCGGGCCATTGGTGGAATTCACCCAAAACATCTCAGAGTACATGTAAAAAAGAATCACAGAATTTCATGTACGATACCTTAGGTGAAGATGTTTGTGACTAGGCGTCTGCTGCAGGCTTGCAGGATCACTTTGTTCTCCAGGGATGATTGTGGCCTCTGCACGCAGGCCAAGGGTGTGCTTTCGGACGTTTGGGATAAGCGGCCCTTTCAGTACACGGAGGTGAATTTGGCAAAGCCGGAATTCAAGCATTGGAAAAACTTGTACGATTTTGATATCCCTGTTGTGAGTACCATATCTTTATCGTTTCTGACCGCAAGCAATGGGAGGGGCCTAACGCCCGGAGAACAGATACATATTAGCAAAGCAGACACCCCCGAAGAGGACGTCAACAAGTATGGAAAGGCCATCAAGCTGATGCACCGATTCACAACAGAGCAAGTCGAGGCCAAGATGGATCAAGTCGAAGGCATCTAGATTTATAATGTCTAATCTACCCAAGAACAAGGCGGAAACATTTCTTTGCTTGGCACGCGCAGTTCTGTATCTAAGTCGTAGACGCTGTGAGAGACTGCTTAGCACTGTCCTCGATGGCCATGTAGTCTGTAACTACGTGGATCATGTCAAAGCCCATCTGATGGCACTTCTTGGCATGAGCCGGGTCGAGCGTGTAGATACCGCTCTTCTTGCCGGCTTTGGCGGCCGCGGCCTGGATCTTAACCAGAGCGGTTTCGAGTTCCTGGGGGATGCCCTCCTCGGTGATGCGGTGGCCGATGTTGTTACCTGAGGGCATTTGTCAATTAACAATCGAGTCTTTTGTGGTGCTTACAAATAGCCATTTGTGGCTGTCTTACCTAGATCGAATGGACCCACGAACAACACATCGATTCCTTCAACGGCGGCGATTGCATCCACATCTTCGAGGGCCTCCTTGGTCTCGATTTGAACCATGGTCAAGATGGACTCGTTGCCTTGGTTGAGGTAGTCGAGGGAGCTAATGGTGCGCCCGAACTGTTTGGCGGAATAAGGAGATCCGAAGCCTCGCTTTCCCCAAGGAGGGAACTTGGCGGCCTGGACGAGGTCTTCAGCCTCCTTGACGGTACGCAGCAGCGGGACAAGGACCTAGGAGTTTCTCATTAGTATTCAACCCTGTATCAGTATCTAGACCAGCCGTTCAAGGTTGGATTTATTGATAATAAGAAATAAGATATGGCACATACTCCGTGAGCTCCAGTGTCCAAGGCACCTGAATAAGAATTGATTCAGCTTCGTTACATGTATATATGAAGGGATGAGTAGAAACACACGCTTCACCATCCAAGGCTCCATGCCCGGGATTCTCACAATGGGAGACACTCCCAACGCCGCAATCGCAGGAACTGCTTCATGCATGGCACGATCTACCGACTCAAGAACCACTCTGTCAGCTCACTCACTCCATTAAACTGATATCAATTGCACACGCAACGCACCGTCCATGCCTCCATGCTCGCAATCCACCAATACCCAATCCAAGCCAGACTGCGCCAAGAGCCTCGAGATGGTCGCTCCTGGAATCATCTGCCAGCCGCCAAAAGCAGGCTTGTTCGCGTCAAACAGCGCCTTGAGCGGGTTGCCCGACTTCACTGTTGCCTGCGCGCCTCCCGGCGCAACTCCCGCTCCGATATAAGACATTCTGGTGATTTTAGATTGCACAGCTGATATGTTCCGGAGCAGTAAACGGGGTGTAGCAGTTCTTAAGAAGAATGAATTCATGCCTGTCGTTTTGCTCCCGAGGAAAGAATTGGGTCAGTTGTTAAACGGAATCCGGAGGGGTGCAATGGGTGTGAATTGGAATACGTCAGAGGGTAGGCGGAGCAGCTCGTTTCTGTCTTTTAATCGATGATTGGACAGAAGCACTCAGAGATGGCCCTCTGGAACCGGTAATGGCATGTTCTGGGAGATCTGGGACGAGCTGGACTTACACTACGAAGATGGTCATGGGTCTATTGACGGCCCATGATGAGGTCGGCTATCACAGGTAGAGTGCGGGGAGAATGGTGTGGAGGTGCCAAGGTGGCGTGGGGGGGGACAATACGGAGTAGAGACACGGGAATAGCGAGAATGTCTCGGTCAAACAAAGAAGCGAGTCGTGCTACTCCGTACGATTAGGCTAATTGCTTATTGCTTATTGATTGTTGCTTATTGATAGAGTTGCTTATTGTCTTATCATTGTTGTGTTAGTCTAATACCACATACCTCGGAAGTAGAGCCCTATGGATGTCAATGTGGAGATAGATGCATTCATGCAAAAAACAAGCACTGCCTGTGCTATCCATTCATCTATTACTAGCTTGGACCAATATTTACATATAAAACAATTCCGATTCTTCCGATTTTTGGGTTTTTACCATTTGTATACTCCAAGAAGATGAAAGAAAAAAAAGCCCGTCGGCTATAATCGAGTCCAATCTTGGGGATCTGATTTCTGTGGGGGCGAGAGACTCCATATTGTTTGCTCTATCGAAATTCAAAAGCAGCATCAATCACGCGTATCAGAGTTTTTCCCGTCTGGAATTCAGAAAGGGGGTGTTACCCAATCTCCTATCTCTGAATTCCTGTCAGAACTCAAGCCCAACTGCTGAGCTCATCTAACTCCTCGGCCTTTGCTGCTCAGACCATATGGGAGCGTAGAGGCGTTCGTTCCTGTGCTCAATCGTTCCGAGGCCCGAGGGATAAATGAATGTTTATAACCCATTAATCCTGGAGACATCTGTTGCACAATGTTAGCAGACAATATACGTGCGTGCCGTCCCACAGCCATCAGCCATACCCTAGGTAATCCTCCTTGATGCTTCCAATGGCCCACATCTCGCCGACCTCTGTTCGCGTTCCGATAATCTTGACGCGCACATGCGTGCCCGGCTCGATGACGGTGTCTTCGTTGTTAGTAAACTGAGGGGGTGTCGCGTTGGGGTCCCATTTGATGTCGCTCGGTATCAGCTGCGGCAAACATCGTGAATCAGCACCTCTCCAACCATTGGCCATTCGGGATTGCCAGGGAAGTTAAAACGCACATGAGCAGACACAAAGAGTCTGAGGGGACCAGCCTGGGCGAAGAAACCCTGTGGATTGATGGAGTAGACAACGGCATCAACCTGATCAGGGTCAGACAACTGCTTGCCACAACGGGCGCAGATTTCGCCTTACCGTCTCTCCTTTAAATGGCCGCCACACCACGGCGCGGTATCCAACCGTAAACTCTGCGAGACCGTTGCCTGGCAAGATGCGACCCTCGGAAATGTCAAACGTGTCCATGATGGAGATGATGTAGTAGCTGCCGGCGCAGGTGCCTTCGACGTCTTTTAGCAGCTTGCTAGTGACGAGATCGTGCATGTTGCGGCCGAAGTAGGATGGATGCAGGGTGACCCTGCGCTCCATATTGTAGAGAAAGAACATGGCGGGCGACTGGTTGCGTGACGGCTAGGGCTTCGGTCGACGGCGGGATAGCAATTGTCGTGTTGAACGGAGAGTGATGGGTGAGCCTTCCAGAGAATCCTCTCAATATCCCATATGAGGATGTATCTCGTCTCTTGAGAGCGCACGCGCGCTATTCGGATATCTAATGGTCAATCGGCGACGGTAAGGCGTGGCAATCGAGGTCGTCGAAGAAAGGGAGGAGAAGCTCGGCGAGGGGGGGGAGGAGGAGGAGCGAGGAGCGAGGAGAAGAGACAAAGCTCTTGAAGCAGACGCAACACACACAGCTGGATCTCTGCGCTTTCGGGTGTGCGTTGCTGCTCCTCGGCTGGGGATTGATGGAGCTGAAGCAAGAGGATGAAGACGAAAGCGCGGCGAGGCTGCGATGGATCAAATGCGATGGTTTGGTTGGGAAATCTTTGGAGCCGGCGCTACCACATGGTCTGTGCGCTAGCCCAAGACGGGACTCAGGCGCGAGCTTATTAAGAGCAGTTCTATGGCGACGAACGAACGGACACGCAGGCTGAGGTCATTTGCGTTGATGCGCTGCACTCGGGATTGGGGTAGAGCCCATTTGCCCATTTACTCCGCATAATAGGGGTCTATCACATGTTTTTTTTCGACTCTTTTTGAAGTGTTAGGTATTCTAGAAAGTGAGTGAGGAGGAAGGAGAAGCACAACAAGAGGCCACCGTATCCATCTACCAAGTGCTACCGCGATACATTGTGATGACTACCGGAGATGCACAGCAATCACCCATCATGCTCGATTACTTCACAAAGTCATAGCATCGCATAGCTTTATCCTGATACTGCTCCATGAAGGCTACTAACCTCGAGAAGTGAAGACGCTCAATTGGTAGTTGCAGGTTGATGCGCCTTGTGGTCCAAAGGTACCTCTGCAACGCTAGTATTCAAGGCGGCAGCTCGGGTACCTGGCTGAAGCTTGTCTAATAGGTTGCAGATGATCCGCAAGTTAACGGCCTTGTTCAAAAATGAGAGAGAGAAAAGCAAGGCCCTTGCACATTAGGTATGCCTCAGAATATACATGCATGCATTTGTGCAGCATCAATATCCCCCATGTAGCCTCGCATAGACAAGCATTCCGACCATGTCTCGCTGAATGTTCTGGGCTCCAGCTGTAATGCTTGCTTACTTCCAGGGGACAAGAGGCTGAGCACTCGCGCTGTCAATTGTCCCGAGGCTCCTAAATCCCCACCAACTTTGCACACACCATAGCGGCTTTCAGTGGACCTCGCTCAGAGCTCTCAGCGCCTCCGGAGTCTCCTGACCTGTTGCATCGAATTTGCATCTGCATCTCCTTGGATCAAAACCAAAACCTCCATGCCAGGCCAATTCCACTCGACTCTGCAACCTCGATAGCACGCCGCCTGCGCCGTCTCGTTGCTGCCTCGCGCCTCTTCGCTGCTGCTGGTTTTCTCCTCCCCGATCCGTTCATTGCCCGATTGCATCTTCTCTCACGTGCCGGCCGGTCGCGCCAATTCTTCGGACTGGCGGTTACCAGCGTCTCGCATTTTGTTGAGCTTCTCCCTCTCCTCCCTCTGTCTGTCCTTCAGCCCGTCTCTAAACCTCGACAAAATGTCTCTAGATCTGGAAAGGCACTTGACATTTGTGAGCTCGCCTCATCTCTCCTCACTCCTTCCTTGTCGTCCCGCTAATGAATGAATTTTTCCTCAGTATGGCGCCTATCACCATAACCCCGTCAATGTGGCCATTCACATGATCTGCGTGCCTCTGCTCCTGGTATCAGGATTTGCCTTGGTATGTTCAGCTCACCCAATGCCAATGTCAATGCCTTCGCCTAACTCGGTTTTCCTCACCTTCTGCAATAGGCCACGTTTACAGGCACGCTCATTCACACCCCTAGCTGGCTGACCGTCCCGTACTTGGATCTCAATCTCGGTACCATCGCCGCTTTCCTTTATGCATCGCTCTATCTGTTACTAGAGCCGGTAGCAGGCTTTGTATTGGCTGCCTTTTGTCTCGGTAGCACGGCATTTGTCAACTCATGGCACCTCCGTGATCCCACCATGACCTTCCAGGTCGCCCTTGGTGTTCATGTCATTTCCTGGATCGCACAGTTCATCGGTCATGGTGTCTTCGAGGGCCGCGCCCCTGCCTTGTTGGACAATCTCGTCCAGGCTATCTTCCTCGCTCCCATGTTTGTCTGGCTGGAAATGCTTTTCAAGCTTGGATACCGACGTGAACTCCAAGCCCGAGTTGAGAAGTCCGTCTCGAAGGAGATTGCCAAGTTCCAAGCCGCGTCCAAGAACGGCAAGGCCAATTAATTCGGGACTGACTTAAAGATGACGGGTTCTGATCTCGAATAGCATTCCCCCATTCCTTACCCAAGGCTCTCGGGACCTGTAAACCACATGTCTCAACCATCACAACTCAGTTCGTCATCCAATCAACCTTCCCAGGGATGTCTCACCGAGACCAGATGACATCACCATATGACGAAAAGCAAACCAACCTCTTCAATCTCTTCAGCGTCCAATCTACAACCCGCCCATCTCATTGAGTTTTCCAAACACACAATCTTAATATTGCAAGCAAGCGCTCTCAATCATCTACACCTCCAGATGGGCTTCAACCATAAAAAGTTTTCACATCTATAGCGTCTGTCTGTACACGGCTATGGTACCTCAAAAATACAAAGGAGAAGTGCAAAGCGGACTGCACTCTAATACGCGCGGTGTATCAAGGATGTGGGTGGGCAAAAAGTACAGTACGGCATTTGTTTTATTAACCACCTTTTGTAACATTTAGCAGCCATAGGCTATCACAGTTACAGCACAGAAAAAAAAACATCAAAACTCTATTCGTATCTCTCGCCCTTCTCTACTTCTCTTGCTGATGCACAGACGAATGATTCGTCCGAATTCTTCCTCTCGAGGCCCTTTTGGAGCATCTTTAGTACCGAGGCCGAACGGCGGAGGCCACCGAGAGAAAGACTGGACAAGTTGTGTGTGCTTTCGGCGTAATCTAGCAGGCCTGTAAAGCTGTCGGGGCTAGTTGGTGTTCTTTCACGGAAGGGGACATATGCAGACGCAAACGAGTCCAACTCAAGACCTCGCGTTATGATGTCCCTTGGACGGTGCGCTCGGCCGCGGCGGGCCTCGAAGCCATTATTCCGGTGTGGTTCAAGACGGTGCTCGGGACGTTGCTCGAGGTGTGGTTCAGGGTGTGACTCAAGGTATGGCTCGGGGCGTGGCTCTGAATGTCGTTCGAGACTTGGTTCAAGACGATTGTACTCGTTGCGCAGTGAGCTACTGCCCGCATCCCGGACTCGCCTTAGACGATGGGAGGGAGACCGTTCAGGATTGGAGTTGGATCGGCCAAGGCTGGCACTCACCTTGGTCACTGTGCTCTTTTCCTTTTCCTTCTCCTGGACCAGCATCAAATTCTGGCTTGTCCCGATCGGAGGAGCGCTTGCTCGTCGAACGCTGTTGTGGTACACCTCAGCACCTTTGCCTTTTTGTTCGCACTTTGGGCAAAGGGTAGCACGCCGCTCGAACTTGGGGGTCTCGTGATGGTCTTGTTCGTAGGCGTAGGCGTAGGCGAGGCCGGAGAAGCAAGTTACCGAGTGGTGATGCTTAAGTTGTTGTTCGACGCAGCGAATTGCGCGACGGCAAATGTGGCCACAGTCGTACTGGATGATTTTTTCGCACATGCTTGTTGTCGAGACCTCTGATTTGAGATCATCTGCGACGGTATGTGTGGATGAATAGACTGACAGACGAGTCTGGCTGGCTCGCCTTTCCGCATGATATGTACAATCGAGCGTAATGGAAAAGCGAATATGTTCAATAATGAAGATTCCCTGTGTGTTGGTTCTATGTTCATTGATGAAGAAACTTGGCGAGTCGTCTCTCTGTTCAAGTAGGCAGTGAAGAAGTCTTGCGAGTCGGCGCTGTGAATCACTATCGCTTTGGAGAAAGGGTGGGCAAAGGAACATGCGTTGCCCATATTTGTGGAATAAGCGGAATCTTGCACCTGAGATTGCTGACCCAAAACCATCACTCAGTTAAAAATGTTTCCTTCTATCTATCTTTCTGCCTTCAAGATACCTGTGTCTATAGGTAATGTGGACCAGTTGGCAAACAGCTGGCAATTCACCTCCCGGCCTACTATATAAATCCTTCTCTCTTCTTCTTTCTTCTTCTCCCTTTTTTCTTTTCTTTTCTCTTTGATCATATTCACGATTAACTGCTGCTTTCTTGTTTTTTTTTCTCTTCCGGCCAGCTGGCCAACAGCTAGCAACTCACCATCCACTCTACTATATTAATTCCCTTCCCCCTAATTTTCCTCTTCTTCACCTCTTGTTTTTCTTCCTTCCTTCCTTTCTTTTTTTTCCGCCCATTACGCGTCTACATTGTTTCGTCCTGTTTTGTTCTGCAAGCCACGATTCCGACCAAGCGCAATGGCGTCACAGGCTCAACGCGAGGGCGAAGAGATCATAGCCGAATCTCACAGACTCATCGCTGAACGAAACGCCGCCAAAGAGGCTGCTTTCGAGGAAACTCTCGTTACGCCAAGCAAGAATGTAAACAATGCCGATGTATTAAAGAACGAAATCATTCCTCCTCTCGATGGGGAAACAGGAGGCAGCTCATCTAACCACGTTCAGTCTCCCCAAATTACACAAGAAATCTCTGATGATTCCTCTTCCTCTGACTTCTCCTCTTCCAACGATGACGATTACGAAGACTCTTCTGGAGACAACAACTCCTCTGCCGAAAACGACTATTCTGGCGATCACGACTACTCTTATGACAACGGCGGCGGCAATAACAATGACGACAATGACGATTTTTACAATCACGATGCTCTCAACGAGCTATTTCCAATGGCCCAAAATGCGAATGTCATAACGAAGCAGGTTCAGAAGTTCCTCAAAGCGGCTTACAGAAGAGAATCCAGGTTTTGGACCCAGGATATGAGGAAGGAGTTCAAGGAGGTTGCGCCGACTTTGAAATACGAAATCTTCCCAACAACAGGCAAGATTTCGGGTCATTATATCTGCAGATATGCAAGCCGGGATGGCCATATTTGGGTCCGATTTTGGTTTCTGCGAGTAATGTTTGGTCCGATTGCCTGCTCGCGGCAACCATGGTTTACAAAGCTTGCTGCGGAACGTCCTTGGGTATTGGATGAAGCAGACGAAGGTGTTGTCCCTGAAAATACAGCGTCCATTCTCTCGTCAAAAACTACGATATGGACACCCAAGATTCTTCAAAAAGAAACGCCGACTCTCAATTATACATGGGCTGGGAAAAGGAAGGCTGTTAAGCCGATGAAATCCTCACGTCCTACCAAGGGAACCAAGGTGTCTAGATCCAATAACAACCAAGATCCTCGAGAGATTCCCCGTCCACGCACCCGAACCAGGGCGTCCATAAATAGGCAAAACTCTCGAAATGCCTCCCATTCAACCAACGAAGTCTCCCAGTCAAGAAACGAAGTCTCCCAGTCAAGCAACGAAGTCTCCCAGTCAAGCAACGAAATGTCCCAGTTAAGCAACGAAATGTCCCAGTCAAGGAATGAACAAAATCCTCAAAACATCGAAGCCATGGCACCCAGTTCCAATGAATCGGCAAGGATTCAATCTGCCTAGTGAATTGGAGATCAAGGTACTAAAGCAGAAATACGGTGCAATGCGTTCGACTTGCGATGCTCTCGAACATAGGATTGCGCAGCTTGGGAGCGAAAACTCTCTACTGAAGCAAGAACACTGTACACTGGAGCAAGAACACGGTACACTGAAGCAAGAACACTGTACACTGCGTTCGACTTGTAACACCCTCGAACAGAGAACCAGGCAGCTTGAGAATGGAAACCGGGAGTTGAAGAGGGAATCCGAAAGGGAAAACGAGAGGTTGCGGGAGGAGTTCAATACTTTCAAGCTGGAGCACGCGTGGAAGGTTGATCATTTGTGGAAGCGTATGAATCAGTTGGAACAGAACTTACCTGGAAAAGAGTGAACCGGCTTGTGGTAAACGAAAGGACGGACAAGGGATAATATGAAAAGAAAATAGAGGGCTTCTGATTAGCTTCTCAATACTGTTATAGTACATTTTGCTATTCATGGTTTAATTTGACAGATCACAGAAACGGGCAAATGGATTACTACCTACTTGGTAACAAAATGTTAAGGATTATATACACTGGGGTACTTAAACACGTAGTCCTCATCGAACGGGGTTTACAAGTTGAGCTGGCACATCATTTCTATTCTAGACATTGAGTATAAGATTGCAAACTTACAAACCCGCGATGATTTATTTATCTTATTATTATAGACTGCCAGTGAAAACGTGCAGTTTACTTTTAGTAAACCCAGATAGTAGAATGAGTGGAATTCCTCTCAATTCGATAGTGAATCTTCCATAGTAATTACTGCCTCCGTCCATATAGCTTGTATTTGTTTCGGAGGTTGTTGTTGTTGAATTTTTGTGTTTTGTTAGATCTACAAGAATTTTCGAAAAATTACTAGCTTAGAAGTAGCGATAGTAGGCCTACCTCTGTCTTAGTACTAGACTTATAAGTTCGTGCACGTATATGAGCTGAGAAACTCCTGTTGAGATCACCTGAAATAGATCAAACCACTGAAATCTCATTCACACATTTATGTCTTATGTAAATAGACGCGTCTCTTAAACTGTTCGTGCATATACCAAAACCAAAGATTCGCTCAAATTTGTAAAGCATTTTATAATTGATTAACTAGGGAGTGTCTTGTTCCACAGTCTTGTGGTTGCCATCAATCATCATCGTCCGAGTAGGGAAGTAAGTAAAAAAAAAAAACAATGGAAAAAAGAAAGAGATAAACTAAAGAAATCAAGCAAAGAAAAAAAAAGAGTAGGAAAAAACCAAATTGTGGCCCATCAAAGCAAAGAAAAACTAGGTCTCTCACTTCAATCCTTCTGTTTAACACTTCCCGCTCTGCTTCACCATAAATTCCTTCTCCCTCTTAATCGCATATTTGCAAAGTTTGTCCCATCCCAATTCGAGTTTCTTGGACAAAGGCCATTATAAAATGTGCAAGGGCCTAATGGGTCCTCAATGCCCGGTGGGGGAATCTTCCATCAATGTTTTGTTATACTTATCAAGCACATGATGAAAGAGCACGCTTTCGATCCCTCTGGCTATGTTTGCTTCCATATCCGGATTATCCGTCGCAAATAACATTTGAATCCTCCAGTTAGTAGATACTTTTAGACCCTTGATAATCTCTCGTGCTTCATATCCACAATTCCCCCTAAGTGAATTCACTCTTGCACGGTGCATAGTCAAGGGATCCCTTTCACCTGGGCGAGACAGCCCTCTCTCGTAAATGTCGGGGTATTTCTTTTTAAGACCCTCAAACCAAGAGTGCTTTTCACAAAGATTGCCGAAAAGCACTTGTAAAAACCAGGCATGAATCCAGGTGGCGCGTCCGGCGTTCGCCTCTTTGCCGATTGGGTGGTCGGCAATTCTGCATCTTTCCCAGATCGAGTAATCCATATCTGGCGCGACGATGTGGAAGTCTTTCACCATCTCTCTGGACCAATAACGTCGTTGTGTGAAATATCTTCTGAAAAGTGCGTTTTGGGTCATCTTGGCTAAGACATCTCCTTGGTGCTTTGCCGCCCATGGGAATAGCTTTTCCTTCAATTTTTTACGCTCATTGGAGCCGAGTTTCTCCTCATTTATGACATCCACCCTTGATCTCTTGATAGCCAGCTCACCAGCCTCTCGTTGGAGAAGTGGCTGGCGCTCATCATTTGTCGGTGACTCGTCCTTGGGGCTTTGGCAGTCTGCCTTTTCTTCCTTTTGTGCAGAGGCATGAGTAATCATTTTGCCGTGAATTGACGCTTCTTTGTTGAAGGTGGGAGGTAGTAGATATTGTTCAAAGGGCAATGTGAATGACAATAGGAGAACGGAGAGAAGAAAGGAGAAGATGTGGACTCCTGTTCAAATTATATAGTTTTTGTCAGTAGTCAGCGAATAAAGTGTCTGCCGATGAAGAAAGCGGCTATCAATGAAGAAAGGAAAACTGAAGAACAAAGGGAGGCTTGTGACCAAAGGGAGGCTGACGAATAAGATGGCTGCTGACGGACAAAGAAAGATTGCAGAAGCAAGGTAGACGAAAGAGAAGAGGGGGAGACAAAGAAGATGCAGAATCCTTTCGTCAGATGATCTGTTTGTATGACAGCTGAGGAGCAAGCTGGTAGCAGACAACTCGATCGTTTCTCATCTGATAGGTCGCAAATGTAAAATCATACAACCCCAAGTAACTCTTAATGAGTATAACAATAGAGTACAGCCTTAAGAGGCCTCTCGGCCACTGAGATACCTCTACATCCCTCTTTAGCATCATCACTTAGACAAAGATAAAGGGTCGTAGTATGCAATAAGATTCTTTTAACGTAAACGCCTAGTCGCCTGTTTTATCTCTCTTCCGGCTCCATCCATCCATCCATGTTCCACTTCTCCGTGGTTCTCCCCTTCACCATGCCCATTGATGCCTAGGTAGCACCAAATTATAACCCAAAGGGCTCATTGCAAGCCATTAGAACAAAGAATAAATGAGACACTTGTATACAGGGTATATAATTTACAGGGGCTTGCCGCCAATGAAGTCAGACCAAGCGCGGACTTCGGAGGGGATGCCCTCGGGGCGAGGAAGCTTCTCGCTCATGCACTGGGCGAAGAGGATAGCGGTCTAATGAAAAGGTTAGTACAGTTGTTACTTTGATTAGACGTAAGAGTCGTGTGATGAAACACTTACCTGAGGCTCCATGAACAAAGGCACGCCAAAGTCGACGGCGTTTCGGCGCATGACATAGTCGACATCGGAGGTGGTCTTGCCACGGGCAAGAGCCAGGTTGAAGACACCGCGGATGTCATACTTCTTGAAGACCTCACGGAGAGCACGCTTGTCCTCGGTGGGGAACTCAATCACCTCAACCTTGACCTGGTGTTTTGAGCTGGTCTCGATGAAGTTCTTGACATCGTTGCTAGCGGCGTACAGAGTGTAGCCGAGAGGTGCAAGGTAGTCGACAACCTGGGTCAACCAAGACTTGTCGATTTCACCACCAAACAGCAGACCCTCACCGGGCTCGGGCATGCGGAAGTTCATGGTGGATTGGAGAGAAGTCCAGTAAGCCTCAACGAGGTTCTTTCCGAAGCAAGCCATCTCACCAGTAGAAGCCATCTCGACGCCCAAGAAGGGATCCGCACCAGCGAGACGAGTCCATGAGAACTGGGGCACCTTGGTCGCAAGGTAGTCACGCTCGACAGCCATAAGATCGGTAGGCTCAGGGACATTCTTGCCAACGAGGGCCTTGGTGGCGACATCAATGAAGTTGGTTCCGAGGACCTTGCTGACGAATGGGAATGATCGAGAAGCACGGAGGTTGCACTCGATGACCTTGAGGAGAGGCTCACCACCCTCAGGGTTTTCGGCCTTGATGATCTGCATGTTGAAGGGACCAGTGATCTTCCAGGCCTTGGCAACCTTCTGGGCAATCTCCTTGAGACGCTCCATGATGCTTCCATCAAGGTTGACAGGAGGCAGAACAAGGGTAGCGTCACCGGAGTGGACACCAGCCTGCTCAACGTGCTCACTGACGGCGTGGATAATCAGGTTGCCCTCAGAGGCAACACCATCGACATCAATCTCCTGAGCGCCCTCGATGAACTTGGTGATAACAACGGGGTGGTCGGGGGAAACATTGGCAGCAGCCTCTAGCTTCTCCTTGAGGTCCTCCTGGCTGCGGATGACTGTCATAGCAGCTCCAGAGAGAACATAACTAGGACGAACCAGTACAGGGTAGCCCACTTGGTTGGCGAAGTCCTCAGCCTCCTGAACAGAGGTGAGCTCCTTCCATGCAGGCTGGTCAACACCGATGCTGTCAAGAATCTCAGAGAATTTTTGACGGTCCTCGGCCTTGTCAATGTCCTTGGGATCAGTGCCAAGAACGTTAGCGCCGCCAGTCTCCTGTAGGCGAAGGGCGATGTTCTGGGGTAGCTGACCGCCCACAGACACCACAACACCAGATGCGTTCTCCAGCTCGTAGATATCCATGACACGCTCATAGCTCAACTCTTCAAAGTAAAGCTTATCAGCAGTGTCGAAATCAGTGCTGTAAGTTTCTGGATTGTAATTTATCATTACAGTCTTCTCTCCCATCTCTCGAAGAGCCTGGGTAGCTCCAACAGCACACCAGTCGAACTCAACAGAGCTGCCGATACGGTAGACGCCGCTACCAAGGATAACAGTACCCTTATCTTCAAAAGTGACGTCATGAGAAGATCCGTTGTAAGTGGTATACAGGTAGTTGGTGTCGGCAGGGAACTCTGCAGCCAGGGTATCAATCTTCTTGACCCATGGTCGAATGTCGAAGCTGAGACGGCGAGCTCGAACTTCGTCTTCAGTGCTGTTGACAGCGTTTGCAATCTGTCGATCGGAGAAACCCATCTTCTTTGCCTTGAGGATCTGTTCCTTCTGCAGGGCATCGAGGCTACCAGCAGCTTGAAGCTCACGAGTGCAGTCAACAATGTTCTGGAGCTTGTACAGGAACCACTTGTCAATCTTTGTCAAGTCGTGAACCTTTTCAACAGAGTAGTTCTCGTGGAGCATGGCCTGGCCAACAGCGAGCCATCGGCGATCGGTAGGGTTTTGAAGCTCAAAGTCGAGGTCTTCGAACTTGTCACCCTGGAAACCAACAAACTTGGGATCAACCTGTCGGATAGCCTTCTGGAAGGACTCTTCAAAGGTTCGGCCGATAGCCATAACCTCACCAACAGACTTCATAGCACTTCCAATGTCACGCTTCACGTGCTGGAACTTGGAAAGATCCCATCGAGGGATCTTGGTGACGATGTAATCCAGAGAGGGCTCAAAGTTGGCAGTGGTGGTTTTGGTAACAGCATTTGGAAGCTCAGGAAGACTGTGTCCCAAACCAATCTTGGCAGCAGTGTAAGCCAGGGGGTATCCGGTAGCCTTAGAAGCAAGTGCAGAAGATCGCGAAAGACGGGCGTTGACCTCAATGACACGGTAGTCGAGGCCGTCGGGCTGCAGGGCGTATTGGACGTTACACTCTCCAACGACACCCAGGTGACGGACGATCTTGATGGCGGCGGTACGGAGCATGTGGTACTCCTCGTCACTCAGCGTTTGACTGGGAGCCACGACAATGGAGTCACCAGTGTGAATACCCAGAGGGTCGAAGTTCTCCATGTTGCAAACGGTGATACAGTTGTTGTTGGCATCTCGAACAACCTCATACTCGACTTCCTTCCATCCCTTGAGTGATTTTTCAACCAGAATCTGGGGGGAAAGAGTGAGTGATCGAGCAGCCATGTTACGAAGCTCCTCTTCGTTGTTGGCGAAACCGGATCCCAGACCACCAAGGGCGTAAGCAGCGCGGACAATGATGGGGTATCCGATCTTATCAGCGGCACTGAGAGCCTCATCCACGGTACTGACAGCAATTGACTTGGCAATGGGAATGTTGATCTCTTCAAGGGCCTTGGCAAAGAGGTCTCGGTCCTCACTGACCTCGAGGGTCCTCACACTGGTGCCGAGAACCTTGACGCCATACTTCTCAAACAGACCCTGTCGCTGCATCTGGACGCCCAAGTTGAGAGCAGTCTGACCACCAAATGACAGGAAAATACCGTCGGGCTTCTCCTTCTCGATAACATAGCTAACATATTCCGGGGTAACGGGCAGGTAGTAGACTTCATCGGCAAGGGAGTGGTTGGTTTGAATGGTTGCAATGTTGGGATTAATAAGGACGGAAGCGACACCGGCCTCCTTGAGGGCCTTCAGAGCTTGTGATCCTGCTGTCTGTTAGCTCATGTGTAACTCGTTTCGGGGCTCTGTAACGATTGTCCCCTCCCCCCCCCCACACGACCACGACGTAGGTGTAGTAGCGCATGGAAAACAGGAACGCTCTGAAATCACATACCTGAATAATCGAATTCACCAGCCTGTCCAATGGCAAGACCACCACTACCAATGACAAGGACCTTCTTGACATCGACGTTCAACTTAGGCTTGATAACCCCGCTATCGAGGTATGCCTTGGGATTGGGGGCTGTCTGGGTAGCCGAAGAATACGGCCGGAAGACCGAAATCGTGCCCAATCGTTTGGTGACTTTCGGGGCAACCGAATTCCGGGCCTGGGACTTCAAAGCGGCCGTGGTAAAGAGACGAGTCGGGAGAGCTCGGGGGAGCCGAGCGGTACTCCGGAGCAAAGCCGGAGCTGGGGCCCGGGCGGCGGACAGGGCCGAAGAGAACATTGTCGCCGGCATTGCAGTTTGTCAATGCCTTTTCTTGATTCCCAACTGACTCGTGAGTCGGCTCAAGGGAAAAGGCTTCGCAAACCAAAAAAAAAAAAAGTTACAGTGGTGGGGTTGAGGCTAAATCGGGACAGGTATTTCAAGCTGACAAAGCCCTCCACAGGTGGTCTTAAAGTTTCTTGTTAGTTGGCATTGTGAAGGGGAATTGCAGTAGGACCAACCAGAAAGATAGTCCTATGAAATACAATATTAGCATTTTGAACAATTAATTCGGATTTATGATTTAAGCAAACGAGGGTTGTTCCGAAGCTGCAAATGCGGGGAGGATTGCATGCAGACGGCACGTGGGGCCAGTGAAGAGCTGCATACCTGAGAAGTGAATTCCGACGGGTGCCCGTTCATAAGGGCGGATTGAGAAACGGAAAGTCGAAGATATGGGAGCGAGGCACAAGGCACTCTGGGTAGCAGATGGATTGAGCTGATGCGGGATTTGCACGAGGTGCAATTGGACTGTTGATTTCTGGCAGATGGTGGGAAAAAGAAGAGAAAAAAAAAGGAAAAAAAAGAGCAGAAAAACAAGACTCGCGGGATGTGCTACTTTAACAAGCGCGGCTTGTCCTGTTTGGGCGAGCTCTGGGGCGCCGATATCGTTGTGGCTCGTGTGCCCTATTCGACAATGCAGTTGAGAAGAGAAGAGTCACCGATTAGATAACAGTTGAGCCCCCAGCTTTTTTTCTCTCTCTTCTCTTCTCCTAATCCAGTCTTGGTGAGTGATAAACCAAGACAAGTGGCAGAAAACGGGTGGAGCCAGATCCAATCCGAGATTAATTTTGACGCGGTCCCATCTGAGAAAAATTTCCACGCCAAAGGAAAACCCATGACGTTGTGGGGGGGCTGCACACGACATTCACAAAGGCGCGAGTCAGGGAAGATGCTTCACTGCAAGGCGTTGTTGACTTGAAGGTGACGGTGTCACAAGCAATTGTGGAAACAAAGGTCTGATGGTTTCAAAACTAGAAGACAGCACGAGGTTATTGTTGCCGTTGTATGCATTCATGCTATTGTACCTCCTGTTTGTTGGTTTTCTGCTGTGCGAGCGTCAGTCACCACTTTGACTGATCAGCCTCGAAATCAAGCCCTAGCATTGAGACACATGCATCCCGCTAAACCACTGGAAAATGAAATCAATCTACGGAGTAGCGTGCTGACATTGACCTGGAACCCTATCTTAACCGGCCAATAAGCATCGGCAGGTTTCGATTGGGTTTCCCTTAGTTGAATGGCAGCATCTCGGGCTTTGCTGAATCGGCGGGCTGCACGGGCCATCGCCCAAGATCCATCGCTTATACCGTAGCTGCGCCCATCTGTTGCTCGTCAGAGCGTTTCCGTTTAGCTCCGGTATCGCAAATTTCTGGTGAGTCTCATTTCGAGGAACTGGATATGACTCTGTCACAGCATCAACTCGCCAAGTCGAGTCTCGAGATTTCATCCGAATTCATCTGGAATTTCTCGGCAAGTGTACGTAGACGTGTAGACATGTATCTTCACCCATAGTGTAACTTCGATCTCAAGGCAAAGAACCTTTAGTCTACCCTGCAACTTTAATAAAACAAAAGGGAGCTTTCCGAGCTGCAGTACATAAAAAGGTGGCGGTATGATCAGCTTATAGAAGAAATACCTATCATAACAGAATAGTCTTGGAATATTGATACTGAATTCTGCAAATCACACCACGGCAACCACTCAAAGAGGTATATGAGTACATTTACCTGCACTAACCTATGCGGACCGTTTCCTCCTACGTGAACACTCGTAGACGTCGTTGGGTGCTGATTGTTATTTCATTCTTAACATCGAGACATTCTCCGGGCAATGAAAGCTGATGCCAGAGATTCGTTGGTATGGAGCAAAACAGCCACGGACTCCCTCGCTTTGTGTAACATGGTGTGTAGATGCTCATATCACGCTTTTGACGAATTATCATGGGTGACCCAACACAGGCTGGCCCGCTGTTACCATAACGTATATACAAACAGGAATGAAGAGGTCCCAGAGCCACTTAGGCTGCCCTCCTAACAAGAGTCCGTGTGTTCATAGTAGTATCTGCAATACAACACCGAGCAGGACGCTACCAATGAAACCAGGCAAGCCAATAGCGAGAACAAGTGTCGCCTTTTTTCTCTTTTCTCCCATTGCTCACATTCTTGTCTGAAAATCCTGAGACCCTCTTGATGTCTCTCAATGCTGTCACTAAACCGGGTGAATGCTTCCATCATCGCCTCTATTCGTTCAAGTAAAGACCGATCATGATGGTCGCACAGTCGCCCAACTTTGGCCTCCACTCGGTCCAGGCCCTCGGCGATCTTCTGGTAGCCTTTTTTCGGATTGAGAATTCCAGTCGTCAGCATCAACTCCATGCTGTGAATCTTTTCCCGCGTCACCGTCGGCTCGCTAATCCGACATGGTCGCGGTTCTCGTCAAGATCTAGCGAGTTGTTAGTTCCCTTTCTCATAGGGCTCGATCGGGAAAGCGAACTTTGTTTTTTGGGGGAAACGGAGTTTAGGCTCGGTTAAGTGTAGGTATTATTTACTTTAGGTTAGCTTTTAGTTGTGTGATATCCGTGTACGGAGTAGTGTAATGAGTGGAAGATGTTTGTGAGTAATTTTGCACGCGAGTGATGGTGGCGAGTGTATCAAGTGACGAAGAGGAACGAATGGAGAAGAAAGGAGAATGAACAATGGCAGTCGAAGCTTTTGAATGCACTGCCGGTGGTGAGTTAGCTTGTAACCTGTTTCCTGTAGCTATTGCCTTTATTTGCCTTGATCTATCTTGCGAAACCTGTTGTTATGGAGACATGCTTATCACAGAATTGTAACACAAAACCATCTACAGAGTTCGTGTGGCTATTACCTCCAGTTTATTGTCTTACGGGCTTCTACGGCGCTGTTACTTTAGAACATCTAATATTGATGCATTAAACAACCAACGTATTATCAGGTAAGTAGGTACCTAGGTAGTAATCGTTACCTGATATAAATGGTGTGCCTACCCCTTCAATCTTGTGGGTGCCCAAACTTGGGCAGGTATGGTGCAGAATTTCTTCATGTTCTTTCCCTCCCCAAGTGAATATCCGCGTCACGTGCACTACAATGCTCCTCAACTTCTCAAGTGAATTACTTTCGCCAATATATGGTAAATAGGTAGGTATCCATTAGCATTAATATTGCGTGATGGCTACTATATAGATAGTTACTTCTGCGAGGAATGCGGCTGTACGTTCCATTGCTGATCCGGGTCCCTTTACCGGCACTTTATCTTCAAAGCTCAACACGATGGATCCGGACAGCCTCGTTAGGAATGCAACAGCACTGTTTCATTCAGGCATCAAAGTCCAACATCCTGTTAAACAAAGTTTACTCAATGGGAAAGAAAATGGAAAGAAACATGCTCGCAACCGCGACTCGAACTCATTTACTGCTTCTCGATCGCATATTATATGAACTCAATTATAGCGTGTTCGTGCTTATATCTTCAGTATGTAAATCTCTTTTATTTCGTACTGCTCATTCTCGTTGCTCTTAATTGCTAATATAAATAGACTGCATCGACATTCTACAACATCTGCCGATCATGATGCTTTCCCCTTACCCATATCTATTCTCAAGGGAAGGGAGAGAACGTGTTGTGTCGGGTAATTGGTCTCGGAAGCAACGTTGGAAATCTGAATCTGAGCGGCGTCTTGAACAACGCTGGAGGTTCGGGCAGCCAAAATCTTAACTTGAATGGCCTCCTCAAGGGACTTGGCCTCAATAGCAACGCCGCTGGCAACCTCCTCAGGAGTCTTGGTGCCGACTCTAATGGCAATATCTCGCCAGCTGATCTCCTGAAAAGCCTTGGACTCAATGGCCAACAAAACATTAATCTCGGCTCATTTCTTCAGGGACTGAATAGAGCTGCTAGGAATGCAGGTATCGACCTAAGTGGTGTTTTGAACGGCCTTACCAGTGTTGTCAACGGCCTCGCTAGTGCTACGCCAAATGTCCCAGCAGGAAACGTCTCTCTTCCAGCAGTCGGTACCGGTTCAACAGGTGGTATCCCAGCTTCAAATTTGCAGGGAATTGTCAACACCATCACAAATGGAATCTTCAGAAATGTGGTGGGAGGACTAGACGATGCGACGATCAAAGATCTGATTAATATTATCAAGAATTCCAAGGGCGACACTCAGCAAGCTACTAACGCTCTTAATTTGTACGCCACCGCACATGGCCTTGATCCCAGCAAGCTCTTCCAGGCTTTGAAGAATGTTTTGGCACTCGGCAGCTCAGACAGTAGCCTGGGTAATGTCCTCGAGGGTTCTGGGGGCCTCCTCGGCGGCCTTGTGAACGCCCTTGATGGGTTGACCAGCGGCAGGGGTGGACTTTCTGGAATCGGTCTGCCCGGTTTGTTGGATGGCGGTCTCATCGGTGCCATCACTGACATTCTTGGGGGAGCTCAAGGAGTCACCAATTCTTCAATACCTGTCAATCCTCCAGCATCTGGGAACGCTCCGAGACTGACGGTCGCAGAGCTCAAGCAATTACTTGACTTTGTCAAGAATGCCACCAGCCAAGACACTGTCACAAAAGTCGTTAAAGAATTTGCAGCCTCACACAATCTTGACCCTGTGCAGCTTGCCCGTCTGCTTCGACAGCTTCTGAATGCTGAAAAGGCAGGCAACACTCCGAGTCTACCTGTCAATACAATTAGTGTCCCTGTAGGGAATGTTAGTATCCTTAACGTTGCGCCTGTCTTGAATGGAACCCTTGGTGCCGTGAACAGCACTCTGGGTAGCCTTACTGGAGGAACTCTTGGTGGAATCAACCCAAATGGTAGCCTTCCTGGCGCTTCGCTCAATCTCGGTGGATTGAACGGGACTCTTGGTGGATTGCCGGGTGCTCTCACTGGAGCCCTTGGCAATGCGGGAGGTCTCGGAGGTCTTGGAGGATTGGGTGGTAGTCCTGGTTTTATCGGCGGTCTCGCCGGTGGCCTTGGTGGCCTCCTTAGAAATCTCTTGGCGCTGCTGGGCCTTGGAGGTGGTCTTGGAGGTGGTCTTGGAGGTGGTCTTGGAGGCCTTGGAGGCCTTGGGGGACTTGGGGGACTTGGAGGAATAGGTGCTCCAGGCAATCTTGCTCCAAACGTCCTAGGATCCTTATTGGGACTTGGAAACGGACTTGGCAACGGGACCGGTTTGGGTAACTTGACTGGCCTCAACTTGGGCAACCTGACTGGATTGGCGAATAACCTTACTGGCGTGATCCCCGGTTTGGGATCCGGACTCCCGAACCTGAACTTGACGGGAACTCTCGGTTCACTTGCTGGTAACGCGACTGGTGCACCTGGTACACTGGGCTTAGCTTTATCTGGCGTGGGATCCAACTTGGTATCTGCTGCTTCCGGTCTGGGCTCAGCAGCATTCAATTTGACTTCAGCAGCGTCTGGCCTAGGATCTATTGCAACTGGCTTGGGGTCAGCGGCAGTAGGTTTGGGATCGGCTGCTAATGGCTTGGGAGCCGTTACTCCCAACTTGGGATTAACTGTTGCTGGTTCAGGATCTGCAGGCCTAGATGTAGGTTCGATCATCTCTACCATAGGAGCAACAGTCTCTGGCGCAGGAACCGGCGTGGGATCTACCGTTGCGGGTCTAGGTTCAACTATTTCCGGCTTGGGGTCGGCAATCTCTGCCGCAGGTCTCTCTGCAGGGCTTACAGCTTCTGGAAGATTGACTGTCTCGAGGCTGACTTCCCCAGGTTCCGTTTCCGTTGGGTCAGGCTCCCCATCTAGTGGTACTGGCTCTGGCATCATCAACCTGAACTCATCAATTGGAAATGGCCTTGGCTCCGCCTCTGTGCCCAGCTCTGGCGTAGGACTATCTGCAGGACTTGCCACTACAGGTCCATCCAACAGGACCGCTTTTGTTGTTGAGTCCAGCGACTTGGACGAGGATGAGTCTCCCCGATCCAACGTCAGACGCTCTCACGCAGCACAATTTAGATCTAGGGTTCGCAAAACCAAGGCTGGAGCAGTATAAATATGCTGACAATAGCATAGCGGCAGCGGTTTGAAGAGTCTAGAGACTAGACGGCTACCACCGACCTCTTCGCAAGAAATCATGATGAATGGGATATCTGGGAGTTCTTTTATGTCAAAGTTCACTTTTGTCGTTTGTTAGCCAGGAAGATGGAACATAATCTTACGGATTCATCTAAGCACCTTGGAAAAGGCTACTATTTGTAATATCATTAATTAGGGGTTTGTTGCCCATTACTATATGGAATTTACCCAATGCGAAATGCTCTCTGCCTTTTGAAGTCGACGACTTGACATTTTTCTCGGTTATAAATGTAGACGAACGTACAATTCAACCTAAAAGAGATGTGTGTGTGTAAGTATCGCTTACGCTGCCGGGCCCCTTGGAATATGATGATATCCATGTAGAGTGCAATTATGAAGTAGTTTTGCGAAATTGGAAAGCTGTATACCTTGCGTAGTTTGTTGAGAGGTAAGTAAAGATTCGCAATGCTGTGAATGATCACACAGCCCCGAGAAAAGGCGAACGATGGAAAGCGATCTGTGATCTAATGCGAATGGTAAACCTCGAGCTGTAATCGCTGGCGTAGAGTGAGGTGAAGTAAATAATCACGCGTGGGCCGTGATAATAAATTCGATTGTAGTGTACGCAGTGTCAACAGAGAAAACTCGCGATTTGCAGAAGAAGAAAGTTGGGTGGATGATGAAGGACAAGAAAAGAGGAGAGAAGAGGGAAGGAGGGAGAGAGAGGTGCCCTTTATAGGTATGGGAATGTGATATTGTAGACAGTAATACATCTAGTAGACAGTAATACATCTAGTAGACAGTAATACATCTAGTAGACAAAATAAATCTAGTAGACAAAATAAATCTAGTAAACAGAAATAGAACTAGTACATGGATATAGATTTAGTATTTAAAAATATATTTAGTAAATAAAAATTAATCTAGTAAATAAAGATAAATCCAGTAGATAAGAATAGATCGAGTAGACAAATATAGATCGAATAGACGAATATAGACCTAGTCAATAAATATAAATACCACCACTCTCTAAAGACCCAGAACTGAGTCATATTATATACCTGTATTTTCCCACGTGTGCTTAGAGCTTCTCAAAGTCCGATAAGGTCTATCCAACTCCCTCAAAAGCCATGAATAAAAGCCGAGTAAAAGTTCTATGATCGGAGTCCAGCAAAGCAGCCCTTTGGAGGCAATCTCATATCTTTCTTGGACAGCTTTAGTGACGTAGAAGGGCAACAAGTACTCGATATCGTACTGATGAAACCGGTTTTTAACACCACGATCTTGGGATGTCCTAGATCCGATGTGAATGCGTGGTTTGTAACCAGGCCTTTCCAGTGTAACGACGTAGATGCCCCAGCGATTTTCCACGTCTATTGGAAGATTTTTGAAGAAGGAAATGTCTGGGGGGGTTGGCGACATCATAACGTGGAATAAACCAGGAGCAAATGAAACCTGTGCTTCTTTAGCCATTTCGCAAGTATGGGACATGCTAAGTAAAAAACGCATGAAATTAGGGTTTTGCTGGTAAGTTGGGGTATCGCAAAGTACAGTCCATGTCTTCTCCACCACAAGGTCAAGAGCTGTGATGAGCGCCATGACGAGAGATGCAGTCGCGAAGCGCTGGTGGCGATGAAGAAAGGCCCGAGAGATGCAGCTGGAAAAGCTGTTGACGATAAAGAGGACAATGATGGATGCAGCTGAAGAACTCTGTTGACGATGAAAAGAAGAAGAGTAAAATGATGAGTGCCTTATGGGTCGAGAATATCCAAGGGTCATGATGGTCGTCTAGAGGGTAGGCACGCTAGACTTTTGGCAGGAACTTTTGGGCTGTCGAGAAGGCAAGTGCTGTAGGCGGATTCTTTGACACCACGATCTCTGGATGTGCTAGATCTAATATAAATATACACCTTTCACTTCGCCAAACTTCTATTCTCCTCCTTTATTATTTATTTAAACAGCCTCCTGTACGCATTCCTAACGATATCTCCGTCAGCAGCTTCGCAAGGCGTAAGAAAACATACTGTTACCCTTACCGTCTACCTTACCCTTACTATCTGCTTTATATTCATTAAATTTACCATTATAATAATCCTATCAGTTCCTAAGGGCACATAGACAAGTAAAATAGTACCACCGATAAATCTAACTGTTAGAATATCCCTACCTTAGAACGTATAGTAGCCTAGTAAACATAAATAAACGCAGGCCGTATACCGAAGATTAAGGAGGGGATACGCAGAAGAAAATACCATTAACTTTATTACACTAATAAAAAAAGAAGAAAGAGACCTATATAAAATACCAATAAAGGAACTGTTCCGGCTCAATAATGTTAACGCAGACAAACACCAGGCCTGCTACCAGGCATACATAGACAAATGCCTATAGCGCTGAGATATCACACCGCAACATCAGACATCCCATGGATGGAGATAATGCCGGCTCTATAATTCAGTTTGAATAACACGGTCAGTTCCCCGATAGGGCGTAACCCTGGAGTCTCAAAAATACCCTGTCTCCGACCGCAAATTTCGAGTGGTTAATATATCTGGTCGTATTTGTGCTTGGCCACCACCGCTGCCCAGTCTAACAGATGCTTCGCTTCTTCCTGGTATAATTGGCGTAGTGTATCCAAAGCGTCCTTGTCCAGCGGTACGTCCGTCTTCAGCACGTCCAACGGCCCTAGCGGCTTAAATCCCATTGTCAATAGTAGGTAGTCTACATCCATGTTTTTCAAGGGTAATGACGTAGACCGCCCAGCGATTGTCTACTTCTGTGGGGAGCTTTGGAAAAAGAAATGTCGGGGGGAGTAGGCGACGACATAATTTCGAATAAGCCGGGCGCAAATGAAATAGGCGCTTCAACCACCATTTCCCGTATGCGCGACTTGCCAGTCAGAAACCTCGCAAAGTTCGAATTTTGCAAGTGGAAAGGGGTGTCGCAAAGTACGACTCAGGTCCTTCTCTGCTACAAACTTCTAGGCTGTAGTAGGCGCGGGAGACATTGAAGGCGTGGCTGGTGCTGGCTCCATAGTTGTAGTTGCAAAGCGCCAATACGATGAAGAGGACAACGATGGATGCAGCTGCGAAGCGCCGGTGACACTAAGAAGTCACAATGTTCCGATCAAAAGACAATTGTAAGACGCCGGTGATGTTAGAAGAAAGATGATGGCTGTAGTTGTAAAGTACCCGTGATTCTAGAGAGAAGAAGCGTAAGATGCTGAGGTTCGATCGAAGAAAATTATCAGGCCATGATAGCCATCCACAAGGCATGTGCGTCCGACTTTTGGCAGGATCTGTTTGGGCTGTCGAGAAGGCAAGTGCTGTAGACGGATTCCATGTATCGTTACTAGACAAATATAGCGATAGCAGCATATACTAGATCAAAATATTGATAGTAGCGGATACTACATTTCATTAAAAAAAAAAAAAAAAAAGATGTAGCAGTGGAAAGCAGTGACAGTGGTAAACTCAAAGAGTTGGCCATCTGCTTTATGAGATCAATACCTGGGTAGGTAGTATCAGTGAGTAAAGGTACCTAAGTGAAGTGCAATGCGTATACGCGTGATCAATTTCTCAAGTAACAATCACGACTGCCCTCGTCCTAGCTGTGAAATTCCCCAGTGGCTTCATCCGATAGCGCAAAATCCATCTTCAAACGCAGGGCCGAGATCCCGAACCCGGAGGAAAGTACATGTACACGAGCGAGTTGACGAGGTCTTGGTGCTCGTGGAGCCTCTCCATCATGTCCTGACGCTTATCGGGTGACATTCTCTCCCATATATCCGCCACCTTCTCTGCTTGATCTGGGGGCATATTTCGAAATTGTTGAATGATCCAAAAAGATTCACGACTCCAGAGGCAATCACAAGATACTCGAGCATTTTGGGGAGTTGCATAGCACCAATCTTTTCTTGAGGGCTGGCTATCCAACCTCTGAGTTTTGGAAATCGGCAAATCATAGCCTAACCAGACCATTGAGAGACCACGGCCCTTTTACTTCTTCTCATCCATACCCTCGCAACCAACCGATTCACTGCTCCGCAAGCTTCTCCAATCCATCCATCAATCTGTATGCGCTTCCCAACATCGGCTTGAACTACTCCGATTTCTGTTCAAGGCCGCTTTCCCTTGCCCTTTGTTCTTGGTATTTCTGTCGAATTTCGAGAAGCTCTTCCTTGTATTCTTCTCGAAGCTCTTCGACTTGCGTCTTAAAGTCCTCTCGAAGGCTGGCTGCCTCTTTTTCGAAAAGAATACGAAAATGTTCAGCCTTTGTTTTGAAGTCCCCTCGAAGATTGTTGGTCCATTCTCTGAATTCATCACGGATTTCTTGGAGTTTATCTTCTGGTTCTTCAAATATCTCTTTGGCATTGTTGTATCGTTCCTCAAACTGCTGATGGAGAACATTGCAATGTTCTTCGAGTGCCTGCTTGGCATGCTTGTATCGCTCATCATATGCTCCCTTCACGTTGAAGTAACGTTCCTCGAACATCACTTCAGCACTTTCGTACCTCTCTTGAAAACTTTGTCGGGCATCTTGTATCTCTTTATCCTCTGGATTTAATTGCTGTCGAGAGTCGTTCATTTTTGTTTGGTTGGGGTGATGACCAGTGCTAACTTTGAGAAGAGAAGAGGCTTGCTTCAGAAGCAAAGTAGATGAAAAAAAAATAAAAAGAGGAAGAAAAGAGAGCAAGGGTGCAAAGTAATGTGACTGGCTTATATAGTTCTCTCGGCAGCTGGCAGGCAAATTGACAGCTGGCAGCTGGATATTTTCGTTTGCAAGAGTTTTGGGCCGTAGAGGCTCGTTTTTCTTATCTTTGTTTTCGTGAGGTTGCTCATTGTTGGCTTCTTGGAAAGAGTTGTTCCTGTGACTTTATTTCTGAGCTAATCTTCCGCCGTTATGGAGAGATTCTGCTAGCATCTCGAAGATTGATTGGAATAGATGAGTATCCAGGGGAAGAATGTTGTAGGATAAAGGCCTGGTCCCGTATCCTTCGGAGATTAGCCACTTCAGAGTCGATCTGATCCATGGACAGTCTGGGAAAATATGGCAAGGTCACACCCATTTTCTCGACGCGGTGCGCAACAATAGGATGTAGTGCTTGGAGTTGTTATGACCTTGTAGGAAGACGATCCAGTAGATCGAGATAGATCTAGTAGATGGAGGCAGATCTAGTAGATGAAGATAGATCTAGTAGATGGAGATAGATCTAGCAGATAAAGATAAATCTGGTAGATGGAGATAGATCTAGTAGATGGAGGTAAATCTAGTTGATGGAGATGGATTTAGTAAAGGAGATCTGGTAGATGATGGCTACCTAGGCGTCATTTAATTCATGGAATTCATATACCCACTTGTGATCTTAGGCCAAGGGCTACAGCACGCTCACGTTGTTGACACGTTTAGACACATATACTTGTCATCCGAAATACGCATTAGCTTTCTTTTGTTCCTAGTCTATATCCGCGCTGTGTCCCGAAGCAATATTACCGCCCACCAGATGCCATTAACGAACCATTCTAGTTCAACTCTCGATAGCTTTGGACTCTGTTTCAAATCCATTCCATCCAATACTGTCAAGTATAACCCCGGTCCCTCATAACCCTCCCCTAAAATACAGCAACAAACGTTGAATATGCTCTTTTTCAATCTACAGCGGAAAAGAGTTCAAGGCGGCGGCGGCGGTGCTGGCGAAGAATTGCTCGGGGATGCGGCACGACGTTCGTTCAGCCTGAAGGCAGCAAACCGTTTAGCAAGTGGCTCACCTGGCTCACCAACAGCAGATGGGGCCTTGGAATGAAAGGAAGACGACGAAGACAATGGAGGTGACGACACCGATGATGAGGTCGTTGACGGAACTTCATCATATTCTCTTAGACGCTTGGGGATTCGCTCACCAGTCGAGTTCAGGATGACTTGTAGTGTCTGCCAGCCTCCTGTAGAGCGGAGCTGGAATGAGTCGGCGAGGTCATGCTGAGTTGCAACGCGACAGAGAAGTGCCTCCTCATCCTAAGCAGAGAGGAGAGTTTACAGTTAGCCAAATTCGTGTACGACAGGAGAAAAGAAACAGCTGGGAGGCAAACCTTTGAAAGAACGCCAAGTTGGTGGATGAAGCATAGAATGTGAAAGTTGGATACTTCTTGGCCGTTATCGCTGGGCTTCTGGCCGTTTCGCAGATTTAGAGCTCGTGCCAAAGCAGAGTGCTCTTGACTTTCGCCAATGTACTCGCGGTTCTCGATGGGAAACCCTGTCTGAGTGAATGTAGGCTTAGGATCGTCAGGGAAGCCGTGCGTTAGAGTCACAAAGAGATATTCGACAGGAAACGCCGGCTTTGCATTCTCCTGCACCTTGGCTCCGTACTCGTTCACCTTGCGATAGAAAACTTCGGGTATGTACCTCGTCCGACTGACGGAGCCGTCATCCTCCTCTTCTTCACGGACAAGCATGGAATTGGGATCTGCTGACGGTTCCACAATGTCAGCTCGCACCATCTCGACTGCCTCGTTCGACATTTGGTAAGCCGAGATGGCAATGTTCCCATCTTCATCGCCTGTGATTACGCATGTAACAAATTTGGAGCCGAACTGGCCCGAGTCACTCCACTTTGAAGGGTTAGGATACTGGGCCTGTAATCTGGACGAGAAGCATATCTCGAGAGACGATAAGTAATAGGATTCGAGGTGACGCTTGCAAATGACGGATCCGTCGCCACGCCCTGAGTCGAGTAAGTCTGTCCAGATGACACCTACAGGCTCCAGTCCACAGAGCTTAGCAATATGGTCAATTTCTTTTTGGTTGGGCCATGCGTTCATGCTGATGCCGTCGACCTCATCAACCTGGGGTGGCTCATATATGGCCTCCACAACTGCCTTCACTCCTAGTGGAACTACCGTATACTCGGTATATCGGCCGTACAGGTAGCCCAGTCGCTGAGAACCAGTCTTACGCCAAGCGTCAATGAAGCCATCGATAATGGAAGGGCTGGAAAATTCGACATGGTCCACCATTCGGAAGTTCTGAGGGTTGAGCGTAATCGCACTCGGTTGGCACTTTGTGCAAATGCCTTCTGGCCAGGCCGGATGACCAGATGGACAATCTCGCTTGACTCGGAAATAAGGCTCGACAAGAGGAGGGATATAAGACGTCCCAGATTCGGGTTTATTCGTCGCGGCGTTTATCTTGCGTAGATGGGAATGGAAAGAAGGGTACTTGATTCCCTTTTCTACCAGATAGCCTGGGTCGAAGGGATCCATAGGTTGGCAGTAATCGCACATGCCCTTGGGGCCATGTCGGCACATCCTGTCTCGTCCTCGTGGGATCTTGCCATCTAGCTTATCTAGCCGGTCATCCACTGCCGACTGCTTGACTACCTCCCATGGCTTCGCGATTCTCTCGGGTTTGGGATCGATCGGGAAGTCTTCGGTGGGCAGTACGGGTTTTCCATTCAATCTAGCAGAGGTCACAGGTGCAGGGACCTCGCCGTTAGTAGTCCCGCTCGCAGCATCGTGTTGGTAAGAGAGAAAGATCAAATCGCCGTGCCTATGCATCAGCATGTTAGCGGTGCTCCCGGGCCCCACGTCCTATACCAGGACGTCATGTTAAGCGGCGTACTTGAGGCCGATCTGCCCGATCTGAAACTGAATAATATCACCTAGTCTCTTCGCATCGCGGCCCGTGGGTGAGTTGGACAAAACGATGGTCTTGGGATCAACGGTCGAAGGTAGGTGGGTAAGTAGCTAAAGCATAGTTCAGTTACATCATTCTCTTCATGGAGAGGAACATCAACAGCTTCCAGTCTTGTACTAACCTGCTGTCCCAGATCACCAAATGTAGTCGTTGGTTCTACCGTCAGGCGGATCATGCCATCAGGCCCGCGCAGTCTGATCAACATGGTGGGCGAATGGTGGTTGCAGCACGAGAGATTGGGCGCGATATGCTGGTGGGGTGATTCGGGTCTGCGTGAACTTGGAGACTCGATATATCAAGAAGCGGGACTCGAGATATAGGTGGCCATAAAAAGAAAGAGAAGGAAGAAGAAGGAAGACAATTTAAACACGGAAGTTACAAATCCGCAAAGATGCCAGGCTGCAGCATGTCCAGCTTCGCAGCAGCGGGAGGGGAGGAAAAGCGAAACAGAGGCGGTTGAAGCTTATTGAATCATGAGCTCCAGCTCGGGAATAGTACGAGTACGTCAAAAGCGTCATTCACAGTGTGCCTGAAGCGGGCGCCACATTGCTTAGTCAGTGCATAGCTGTCGGTGGAAGATCTGTCGGCCCGCTAACATTACTAAGGCAGCCTGGTACCCTTGTACTGCGCGCATGCTCTCCGCCTGCTAGAAGCGGCAGTTGGTCGGTACGTACCCCGCGACCAAGGCTTTTGCTGCCGCCAATCTGGCCAGAAGGGTGGCATGTGTGCGACGTGTCGATAAGCAGCGACAAGGGCCGAACTGCACTCTGTTCTTTATAATCCAGGGAACTTCAGCCCTCGACACGACAGAAGAAGAACAAACCAGCGTTGCGCCATTCCACGCTGCTTCGTCCGCTCATTTGTGCGCTTGTCTGGATACTCATTTTCAGCGCGGTTCTTTATTGAGAGAACGGCTACGGCTATTGTCTTTTCAGCCTTTCCAGGATCTTCATAGACGACAGTCACTCGCTCACGAAGAAAAAAAAAAATAAAACCCCAAAACCAGAAAAAATGTTCGACATTGACTGGAAGGGCCTTGCCCTTCCATTCGCCTACCTCATCGTCCTCGGCGGCGCCCTCATGACGTTTTCCACAATCTATCGCAGACGGAAGGCTGGTACGAAACGATTCCGAGTGACTCCCCCATAACGTTCTCGCCGCAAACGCTAACGCAACCATCACTGCAGCTGAAAGCGCAAACCTCGCGCCCTGGTTCGGCCCTCACCTCCAGCGAGACATCTACCTCTCCCTCCTGCATCTCGATCCCGAAGAAGGCGCCGAAAAGGCTCCCAAGGTCCCCGATGGCGTCCTGCGAGCGGCCCTCCTGCGTCGCGCAGTGGAGGACATCGAGCGCCTGATCCACATCAAGACTGCCAAGCAGGCGTGCGGAGCGCTTCTGCAGAGGGGAAGCGTTGGCGATGACCTGTGGCAGCGCTTCCTGCGCGCAGAGAAGGAAATGGAGGAAGAACTGAGAGACGTCGTTACCGAGGTATGTCTTTATGCTGAACATACCGGCCTTCCGCCTCATGTAGAGTCTCGAAGCGATGACTAACACGAGTATTTTAGGCCAACGCTCTGGCACCAAACTGGGGCTCCATCATCTTCCAGTCCGCACACGAAATCGCCGCCAACACCAAGCTCCGCCAGCGCCTAGAGGAGATCCAAGCCCAGACCGATGCCGAGAAGGCTTGGTGGGATAAGAAACGAGGACAGATCCGCGCAGATTTCATGAAGGAGCTCGAGGAATCCGAGAAGGGCTCAACAAAGGACGCTCACGAAGACGATGCTGTGGTTGTTGATTCCCCCAAGAAATGAGAGAAACAGGGAGAGGGAGAGACTAATCAAGACGACGGCGGACACAAAGAGAAAGATGAAAGAGAAAGAAAGGAGGGATCACTCATGGCGCAAACCACGGCGCCTGTGTATATATAGACATTCTATGATGGAGGAAAGGGCGAGATGATCAATGGGCGTTGGTGCACTGCAACAGAGCTTGCATTCGCACCGACAATTGCAGTGACCATGGTGGGTAGAAAATTCACGGCGTTTGAATGGGTATCACAGACGAGAGAAGATGAGGGACTGTTTGGATTTGTACTGTACTTTATTTAGGAAGCGGCTATCAAGAATCACAAGTTAGCTATCCTGCGTCTCTTGTCCCTACGCGACTTGGAAGTATTTCTACTAGAGGCTGCGAAGCCACTCTGTATTTATAATAACAGTTATATCATGACAAGTCATTGCTGTAAGTCTTCTAACCAGCCCCCTCCCGATATAAATCCACCTCTCCCTCCGATGCTCCATGTATGCTGTTGTTATTGTACCTCCCCAGTATATATATATATACATGATATGTACGAAAACACCGTATGGAGGTTGCCGGTGACGGTCTCAAGTCGCCAATCTAAGATGCAAGTAGCAGCCGTCCCAAGGAAAACACCCAACCCCGATAATAAAGACCAAAAACAAAACAAACGCCATATAACCTTTCGAAGAAAACAAATTGAAGAAACTCCAGAACTCTCGGCCATCTCTCCCCAAAGATGGTGCCGATGCTAGACCGATGGTAACGATGGATATTGATAAACACGTGTTTTAAGACAGACAAAGAGGAGAATAGTAAAAGCGAACGCCCTCCCTTTACTGCTGAGAAAAGGGATTCATCTTTCGTCTCAAAACATCCTCATCGGCCGCATTCCTGCTAGCGTCTCTGGCGATCTGCTCCTCCGTCTTGAGGACAACAGTCGGGCTCTCGCAGCCTCTTAGACCGATGAATCTGCCCATCTTGCGGCGCTTCTCTTCAAGCGGTGCCTCGGACCGCCAGTTGATTGGGCAAGGGTACTGTCGAGACCAGGGAGAAGGAGTACGCTGGTGGTAGAACTGAGCGAGGGACTCGAGTTGAGCGTCGGTGAGGAGCCAGAACTGCAGCACGGTGCGCGGGAAGTGAGGGTGTACAGCACCGGTGGTGAGCTGGACAAGAGGAGATAAGGGCAGTGCCATCTGGTGTAGTTTGTGGGCGAGTTCGGGGTTTTTGGCGAGCCGGCGGCGCAGGGAGCTCTGATGGCTGCGGTGGTGAGACGGCAGGCGACGGTGATGCATCATGATGTCGGTTTGGTGAATATGTCGTGAGAAATTAAAGGGTTCCGATTGGATTTCCTCCTCTCTATACGTGTCCTCCTTGAGTGGATGTCTTGGTATGTGATGTGGTTAGACGTCGGTGGTGGTGGTAGTAATAGGCGGTTTTGCTGTTCCAAGACACCCGACTCGAGGATGCAAGACTCAATACACGTTTGCCAAAATGATGCACGGCAGGAAAGTCGAGTTTTTAAATGCAGGCTGAGCCTTTCAGCCACTAGTTAGATCTCTAATTAGATATCTGAGATCGTTTGTCGTTGTGTCTTTGCTTTTTCCCTTGAGGCTGACCGTTCTCGGAAAGAAAAGCTAAAAGCGTGTGTGTGAAAGCGGAGTGGCCGTCAACGTGCACAAAGTACGAGTTCGTTCAAAGGCTAAAACAAGGCGGTAAAAAAAACAAAACGAGGCTTGTTCAGCTGAACTGTCCCCTGTTTTTGTTTTCCTTTGTATGAAAACGACACAAAAAGAAGAAAACGAAAGCAAAGTCGAAGATTTGGGGGGCCCCTGGCTGCTTGTAGATGAAAAGTGAGAGGCGCCAACTTGCAAACGCCTTGTTGGTTCTTCTTCCTTGTTGACCTCTTGTAGCCGCCCGCGCAACCGGATGCGAGACAACGAATCAAATTAAACAGATTCGATCAATGTGTGGTCAAAGGTCCTAGCTTCCCCTTTTGAATGGTTGAACTGGTTGGGCGAGAACGGAGCGTCGAGGCTGCTGAGCTGAGATGAGATTGAAATCGGTGGTCAGGTGCTTATTTGATGGCTGACTGGAGCTTCTTTATTCACTCAATGGGCTGGATGCTGGAATGTGGAATATTGATACTTGGGATAGAAATAGAAAGGCATAGGAATACTACTATACTTGGGTGCAGCAGGAAAACGAGGCAAACGAGGCCACAAGAGCATTTATAGATGGGCTGGCCAAATCGAATCGACCGGCACTCCTCTTATATACCATCCATCCATACTACCTAGTAGACGTGCATGCACGCAATCGAGTACTAACGATACATAGACGCACGCCCTGGTACAGCCCACCTGCAAGTCGCTCCTAGTGCCGCTGCCACACAATCAAATCAGTCGAATCCCAGCTGGAGCTCATTAATGCTCGACTCGACTCGACTTGCATCGTCATCATCCATCAGTTGCAGTGAGTGGGGGGGTGCCGGTATTACACTGAGTCTACTCCGTATGTACAGCGAGCCAGGAGTCTGGAGCTGCAGCTGGAGCCGGGATCTGGGAGCCCTGAAGCTGGCTGGCCTTGGCTGGTCTCTCGCTCAGCCCCCCGTCACATCAATGATCCAATCCAATTCAGTCCGTCTTCTGTCTCTGGCTGGGCCGCCACGCCATGCCATTGGAAACGCCTCGTCGCTGCGAATATTGACACTTGGCTGGTCCCCTCCCCACCAACCACGCAGATGCTACTGCTCTGGGCAAGGCGCCGGCGCTGGTCAGTCGCGATTTGGTACCGGTACCTGGGGCCTGTACCTGTAGCCTGAACCTGTAGCCTGTGGCCTGTAGCCTCCAGGGCTGTCTGTCTGTTGGCGACGGAGCCGCCGCTCGCGTGCGCTGTGCTGGATCTCTGGGGCCCCGCCCGCTGCGCTGGTACCGGTGGCCACTGAGTTACAGGTCGGCGACCGCTAAAGCACCCGCCTGTACTCTACATGCAAACCGCTAAAGCTCCCGTGTCGATACCTGACTGACCTCACAGCAGTGGACCTTACATTATGCAGGGCTTGCCGCCGTTCCATGTCCCGCGTCTTGATCCCGCATTCCCTCCAATCCTTCGCGACTCCCGAGTTCGCTTCTACAGCACTCGCACTCCAGCAGACAAACAGAGCGAAGGGCGAGGGCGAGAGAGAGCTGATCAACAAGCGTGCCATTGTCCAGTCCAGCCTTTACCACAATGACGGTCGGACGCTACCTTGCCTGGGGGGGGGGCAATCTCCATGGGGGGATGAGCTTTGCGACGGACGCAGCCATAACGCCCAGAGTGAGACATTGCTAGCCAGAGCTGACCCTCCCAGAGAGGAACCCTGGACAGAACAAGCAACAACGTGACGATGGACGAATGCTACTGTACTCTCAGCGATTCGCTGCTCCGTCCGCGGCACTGTCGCATTTGTGCCAGCGAATGAGGCATCGTCACTTTCGGTTCGGCCAACAATCAAAGACGTTGGCCGTGGAAACCCAACGGGCGACCGAGACCAGCAAAATGTCTCCGTTGACGTTAGGCCGAAGGAGGCTTCGGTTCCCGGATCCGCCATGTCCTCGTGGCTCAAGCCTTTGGACGCACGACGTAAGAATGCGTGTACCACAAGGAGGGGAGCGAACTTCTTGGGAGCAGAAGCCGGCGATGCTGGTTCCGGGCAAAAGCCTCAGGTCCCCCTTCCAAGACCGGAGCCATGCCGCTGGGCGAGTGCACCAAGTTCGCCGAAGCAAGCAAAGGAAGAGACCCGGGCTGAGTCCGGCCAGCAAAAAAAGTGAAGTAATCCATCCAGGCGAGACAGCGCCAGTGCTTTGGCTTGGAATGCTCTTGCGGGACTGGTGTTTGAGTCTCCATCAGCGACTCGTGCTATTTTCGGCTCTCTGCTCGCCCTTGAGATCCCTCACTTTCTTTTCTTTTTTTCCTTTCCTTCTTCCTTTCCGGCAAATTAGCTTCATTCGTGGGATTACATTACACGGCGTGTCCACGCTGCCTGAATAGCAGCATGTTTGCATGCGGTTGGCTGCCCTGCGCACGCGCGATCTGCACATTTCCCTTGCTATCAAAGGATCGGGTGGCACATGGGCGTCTAGGCCGCCCAGCCATGTGGCCGCCAGACACAAGAGCTTCTCGCCACTCATGACCCGAATACTTGCATATAAGTCGAGCCTGCATAACACCATTGCCCTCTCCCTGCGGATGGTGTCTACCATCTACAGCCTGTGAACGGCGTCCAATCCGTTAATCCATCTGCTGAGCCGGTGCATGTCTATTGGGGCATTTCTCTACCCGCGGCAAAGCGAGAGAAGATGGGAGGTTCTTGACAACAGCCGGAGCGGGCAAGCAAGCATGTGTGTATGATCGACAGCGCATGTGCTGCCCGGCACAGCTTTGTCCAACCACAGGATCCCATGGGGTTTTCCGCCAATCCCATCGTCAGCCTGAAACGGCATGGGATTCGAATTGTCTTTATTCTTCCAGAAAACGGTGGCCCACCGTAAAAAGATCATCGTCGCTTGGACCTAGAGGGAAATACCCTCCAGGTTTCCTGGCCCATGGCATAGGCTCTCTACGGCATAGCTGCGCTGCCGGCGCATCTGCTAGGAGCTGCGTGTGTCACTATTGAGACATGCACTAGCAGAGACAATAAATAGATCACGGCCGGGCCTAGCATCTGCAGGGCAAGAAGTTGAGAGAGAGAGTCATTGTGGCACTTGGGAACTTGGTGAGCAAACGGGTTCAGTTGAGTCAGTTGGATTCACGACAGTCGCCGGGGCTTGCGGTGCTTGAGGCTCTGACTCTGAGGCTATTCACCGTACGCGTACTCGTATTACTGGTTTCTGTCGTGTGAGGTTTCATCTGCAGCCGGACTTGTCGACCATTTCCAAGCACACTGCTCTACGCAAAACAACCTAACTTACGTGGCAGTCCATGGTCGCAACGAGACGCCCTCGAGAACCGGAAAGTCGCATGAGAAGGCGTCACCACCTCGCTCTCTCGCCTAGGCGAATCATGGACCTAGCAGATGCACGTACACGTAGGGCCGCAACAGGTGAGATTTTTCTCCGTAACCAATACGACTGTTACCCATCGCCATCTTTCAATCTTACATGTCTCAAATCCACCCCCCCAGCCCGGTGGAACCCCCTCAAGCGCATTTTCCACCTTGTACGTTTTTTCCAATACGACTCTGTAGATGGAGGGGGAGGGAAGCAAGCAAACGCCTAACTCGTAATGCTGTGACCCCAGAGCTAAGGAACAAGAGCAACGTGAGGATGCATCGAGCTTCGCGGTGTGATTCATTCTTTGGTGCGCCCCCCTCCAATTAAAAATCGGGATTTTGCCAGGCAGCCAACATCCCGTGTCACAAATTAAATAGTGATAGGTAATATATCCAACATCTAACAGAAGGCAGCAACAGCGTAATAACAGATATTACTCCGTACTTGAACAACAAACACAAAGATGCTAATTAATACCACCTTGCGTAACTAGCACTCAAACTCCCTTGTGACATAATTAAAAAAGAAATATTCCGGCTTTCCTGACATTCAGCCCCGAAAACAGCCGTCCTCACAATCAGAAACATTGTGACACAACGTTTAACTCAAAACCGCACTCTCTCCGAGACACTCTACTTTTTTTTTCATCTTCCTCCCCCACCTCTCCCAGACCTTGCCTGAAAAAATCCTCCGTTATTTCCGTTTGGCTCACCGTACCGTATCCAAATCACAAATGATTCAAGTCAAATCTGTCAAATCAAACTCAACCACTAACACAACGTTATTTCAATCCACTTAGTAGATACATAGTAGGGGTTTGGGGAGGGGCGGCACTTGGGTCGTCGGTCCCGTGTGGCCGGACTGACCGCCCTTACATGCCGTTTGCCTTTTCAGCTTTCAGCCTCTTCTTGCCCCCCCAGCCAAGAGCCCAGCTACAGGTTAAGGTAGAGTGAGTAAGGTATTAAAAAAGAAAAAGAGAGCCGGTGCAAGCCATCATACCGCTGCGTTGGTAAAGGTTAATGGATGGCATGAAAAGTTTTACTGTATCGGGTGATTATCCCGCTCCTCTTTGGCGTTTAATTTGTTCTTCGTTTTGTCATTCGCTCGCTCGTTCACCCACTTGCCGTGTATATGTGTATAAGTGTTTTGTACTAACAATGTATCATACCATCATACCTGACGGTCTTCCCGCGTCTGCAGTAGGAGGCGTTTGGGTATCAAGACAGGGGCGCAGCTCTGCATGCCATGACTCTAATTACTAGTCTAACTGTCCTCCCATTCAGCTTCATTGACAAAACAAAATCGAGACTTCGCTTCGTGTGAATAATAATAATAAAAAAATTGAAAAGAAAAATTATACATCCTAGCTACTAATACACATGACCTCACTCTCCCTTTTCTTGACGTCGATTTGTTTCTAAACCAAGCCTGTCTTATTCCCTTGCACCCAACAGAGCACCAAAAACCCAACTCCAAAACTCCCAATGAAACGTCCGATACCCTTGTTCGCTTCCGCGGCTATTTAGTTCAAGAATCCTTTGTAGATTTTTGGGACAAACTAATCTCGGTACTCGTACTGGTACATTACCTACCTAGTAAGAACCCCATTACCTTAGTAGTAAAACCCCATTACAGCTCGCGCGCGTCTGCCGCTTCGTTATTTTTTTTTGGGTTTCATCCGTCAATACTTGGCACAAGCCTAGACGATGGGGAGCATCTATGTACGTTGTAATTTAATTAAATTTTTAGAGCGTTTTAAGCTTGGCAGAGGGTTCTCGCTCAGCTGGGTCACCTGTTCATATTTTTTCTTCACTCCCTCCCTCCTCTTTCATCAGCTGCACGTGGCGAAGGGTGTGGGTTGTTTGGCTTTTGGGGGAGCGCCTGAGGATGAAGTCATACTCAGACATTGGATTGAATAACACTAAGATGTCCAGTATCCAAGATCTCTAAATTTAATAATCACAATAGTGATGCACCATAGGAATGTAGCGATAATAGCTGATATTGGAATCAAGTAGCGATATCAACAGATACCTGAGTAGACAAAGTATCTGGGAAGTAATGGTAGTAACTGATACCACAAAGGAACCACCAAGCTGCTATCTCTACATCTCCATTGCAACACTTCAACGTTGCGTTTTTAATCTACTTTAATTTAGCCGCCCTGCTGGAAATGTCATCGGTGCGTCTTGCGTGTCGTACTTTTGATTTAATTGCCTGATTCCTTCGCTTCCCACGCAAATAGTTTCATATTCTTGGATTTGCCTGATTCCTTTCTGCTTCCTTCAGAACGAAAGCGTCTCACTCACCACGCTTCCAACATCAACCGCCATTCCTTTTTGCAATTTTGCAACTCTAGATCGACGCTTCTTTTTTCTCCTTTCTTGGTCCTTCGCTTATAGCCATCTCACCTTAGCAATGTGATCCGTCTTCTTCTTGCTACTCTTGACGAAGCCCATGGCCTTCAACTCCGCCAAACCACGATAAAACATGACCAAAGCCTTCCGCTCCTCCTGCTGGCGCTGCTCATCGCTCTTCTCCCCATCATCGTCGTCCTCCTCCTTCTCCTCACGCACTAGCGCGTGAAATGCTGACCACAAATCTGCCACGTTAATCAGGCTGCCCGCCTCGAGATACAAGTGATATAGGATCGAAGTCGCGGGAAGCGTCGCCTGCACAACACCATCCTCGGCGCCGCTGCTCCTGCAACAGCTGCAAGAGAGGTAGTCGTACGGCCGCGCCAAGCTGCGCCTGAATGTCACCCGCGGCCGTGGCACCATGACGTCCCGTAGAGGCGATCTGCTGTCATACAACCACGTCTCCGAAAATAGCACCCTCTCGGGGCGTCTTGTCCCGAAATGTGCCGTCAGCCGCTCTGACACTGCGTCGACAATATCTGTCAACTGTTTGTCTTCGTCGCGGAGGGCCGCCGAGTCGCGGCTCAGCTGGACTCGCTGGGCAATCACAGTCGTCCGCATCACCTTGCTTTGGCTGCTATATTTGGTGTGCAGCGTCATGCCAGCGCTCTCTGCGTCTGCTTGCAGCTGCTCCAGGCGCGAGAGCGACTCTTCTAGGAAGCTCAATAAAAGGGCATCTTGTTCCTTGGTCGCGGGCTCAAGGCGAAAGCTGGGCTCTCCATCCTTGAATATGGAGATAATCCGACGTAGCATGCTGATGAGCGCGCCTGAACCCATGCGCCGGATGTGTTCGGTCAAGCTTCCATTTCCAGTATTAGGATAAGCCGTAGACAAAGAATCGACATACGCCCGCGAGAATGGGGGCTGCACAGCACCTGCAGCCTCCCTGACTAGGAGTAAGCGTAGGTGACTGTCCATCCAGTCTTGTCGACGGTCATTGCTAGCTCGAGCCTGCGCGAGTAGATACTCATCGTCCTCTAGAAGCGAGCGTGCATGCTGAAGGGTATCAGCGGTTGCGGCCCCAACTGCCGCCTCCACCTCATGTCGGAACGAGGGGAGATGCCGCAGTGCTTCAATATGCTCAGCCTGGAGGATCGCTTCCCCCTCTCCAGTCTCGGGGGTCAGTAAGACGCTGAGTGCGTTGGCGTAAAAGTGACACATGTAAATGTACTGATGGCTGTCAGCTTCAAGGCTAAATTTCATTTGCCATCATTTCTCACCTTCAACGAGCTTATGAATGCCTGAATGCCCGCCATCTGATCTCGTTGGCGGTCGAGCATGCCCCTGAGGATTTGCGGGCCCAGTCTTAGAGGGACATCGCTGGATACTACCGCTCCTTCGAATACCCTCTCCAAGATGGTATCTGTCTGTACACAGTCGAATTGTGCACCATGAATGAGCCGACACGCTGCTTTTAACAAGCGGCTTTCCAGTAAATCAATGGATGTAGCAATCCCAAAGAGCAGAGTAAATGGAATCTGTGGTCGCCATGAACTAAGCAGGGTAATGATATCTGATAGAAAGCCGCTGTCAAAGGCTTCGCTATCCTGAAAGGCCACAAAGATATTCTCCTGCGGCTGATGCTCCAGGAATACATGCAGCGCCTCAAGATCATACGGCAGATAGCGTCGACTCGATCCTTGCTCAAGCTGCAAGTCTTCCTCGCCGTCAACCACGAGCGTTTTCGACGTGGCGTCTTGGATGATCTTCTTGAGGGCATTCTTCAGGTTGGTCACCTCTGATGACCGAAGCCGAATGAACTTGCTAGGCGATGACCGCTGAAGGGAATCTGATAGCTGCTCGAACAGCAAATCCTGTGAGGCAATGTTGGGGCCAGTGATGATGAAGGCAGACGGTATCTTGTCGCCGCTACATCGCATTAGCAACATGCTCTGAGTACTGGCAGTTATTCGAAGGCAAGGGAAAACATGGAAACACATGGGCCGGGTTCAGTTCTCACCACTCCGAATTTGCCTCCTTAACAAACTGCGACACCTCATCCAACGTCGCAGAATTCGAGTCCCTCAAAATATCCTATCCCATCACATTAGCACGGCTCATTCAAACCCGTCTCACATCCACCTAAATTATAACAACTCACCTGTATGCGAGCATCAACCTTTGCCCAATTCTCCTCAAGCAATCTCTCCCTTCGCCTCACACAAGCCGCACTCTCAGCCCCATCCAGCAGCGGAGCGAACCACGACGCCGAGCTCTCCTCATCCTCGTCATCATCCCCAGCTATCGTAGCACGCCGCGCCGTTTTCCGCCGTTTGGACGGCCTCTCTCTGTCTCTGCGTGGCGCCTCATTTTCTTCTGGGTCAAAGATGAAGGCCACCTGCGTGCGAGTAGTTCATGTGCCCGTTAGCAACAAGTACAGAGCGCGGTGAATGGACTCGCTCTTCAGCTTTACACACCTGGTGATCTTCTTGGCCAAAAGTGCCCTGCAGCTCTTCATTGGACATTTTGCCTTTTTCTATTTACTGTAATCACAAAGGCTGCTTCTGCGACACGAGATTGGGGACGCTCAAATGTCCATCGTCGTTCATGTCGTGAGAACGCGGTTTGGCAGAAACACGGTCTTTACTAAGGAGGTATACAGTAAAGTCGATACAGTATGAGCACTGTGTGTCGTTGCCCAAGCGCCAGGAAGAACAGTCTACAATTATGTCCCTTCATCTCCTATAAATCCAGTAATAGCATCACCAGTCACATTACACCAATTCAAATCAAACGGCATCTGCCACATATTCGCATTCATTTTACAAGTCAGTCATCGTACATCGCTGAATTTCATAAAACTAAAATAGAGCCTTGATTCTCGACGCGCAAAACATGCCTACCTAGTCCCCCCCCCCCAAACCAAAAATCCTTTGGCCCTAGTAATAACCGGATTGAGCTGCTCAAATCAACAAGCATGTCTTTGAAATCTCCCAGGCGTGCCCCCTTGCACACTGCAATGACTCCTAATCTCGTTTTCTGACCCGTGCGTTGCGCGTGCTGGGCTGAAACACCCAATATCCCTTTTCTCCCGTCTCAAGTAACTCGAGAATTCCCTCATGCCACGCCGTGAAACGGCTCCTCCAAGAGGCAAAGTGGGTGAGCCTTCTCCCCGTTCCTTCGTCTTGCTCGTCCGTGATGGTGATTACTTGTACACCACAAATCAAAGGATAAAACTGTGGCCCCTTTTATAGTATAGGAAAGAGACGCGAAATAAAAGATTAAATAAAAACAAATGATGAGCCTTGTGCGCCGCAGAGATAAAATAAATAAAAGAACCAAACAATAGGAATATGTCCTCGAGAGTGGGAACCTAAACTTGGACGTAGAGAGGACAGAGTTTTTCGTTGACCAATTGTCGCAAATCTGGTTGCTTAAGCAGCGGCTTCAACGGCTGCAGACACGGGAGCCTATGCAAAATCACATTAGAATCTCATCAAATGCTGCAGAGGGTGGTGCTATCTCACCGCCTCAGTCTCAGTTTTCTCATCCTTTTCTTCACTCACATCTTCGTTTGCTTTTGGTTCTTCATCCTTGGCTGTGGCCGGGGCAACCGTTTCCTCATCAGCATCCTCCTTGGTCTGCTCATCCTCGGCATCTTCATCCTTGTCGCCGCTCTCCTTCACACCGCTGTTTCCAGCAGCCTTGCCAGACTCTTTGGATTCAGCTCCATTGACACCGTTAGCAGGCGCAGGTTCGCTAGCAAGCAGCTTGTTCCACTTGTCTAGCAGAGCTTGAGACCTCTTTTTGAATTTGAAGTCCTCCTCGCGAGGAATCGAGTCGAGTTTTAGAATCGCCTTGAAAACCTTGTTAATCTTGGTGCCTCTGATGATTGATACTTCGAGGTCCTCGAATTTTTCCAGAATATTGATGAAGCTGGACATTGATTCCATCTCATCTTCACGTGGCTGTTGCTCTCTGGTCAAAAGACCCCTCTGAAGCTTGTGGCGAAGATACAAAACTTCCTTCTACAGACTTAGTTAGCGGACATTCTTTGAGTTGCAAGTAAATCTGCATCAACGCACCTTTTTGCGATCATGGCGCTCTTCAGGGGTCATCTTGGCTTCCTTGGGCGCGTCAGACTTCTTGTCTGCGCTCTTCTTGACCTTTGGCTTTGCGGCCTTTGCGGCTTTCTCTTCCTTGGCCTTTGGCGCTGCCGTTCCGTTTGCCGACTTGGATGTAGATGACGTGTTAAGCTTAATCTTGGGCTTTTTGACGGATTCGGAGCGCTGAGGGGCCTAGTCGCGCGTTTTCTTAGTAACCTGAGATAATCTTGCCATGGCACCCAAGTGAATAGACTTACGCTGGTCTCTTCATCGGCAGCCTTTCGCTTCTTAGGCTTAGGCTTTGGCGCCTCATCCACGTCTTCCATATCCACGTCCTCGTCATCGCTTGCCTTGGCCTTGCCCTTCTTGGACTTCTTCGGGGTAGCTGCAGCTTCTTTCTTGGCCTCTTCCTGAGCAATCAGCTCGTCCTGGAAGCTCTGCAGAATTTCCTTGTAGTGCTCGATCGAGTTTTGCTCAATGGCGAGCTCAAAAGCTGCCTTCAAGTCCTTGCGCATCTTGTCTGCAATCGTGTCTCGAGCCTTATCCGAAGTCAATTCGGATAGGGCAGTGTTCGCAACCCATCCACTAGAGCCAATCAGCTACAGCCACGACGCAGGTGCCTGGGCGGGTTGCATGACTTACAATTCATTTGTGTACAGGTACATGACGGGGAAGCTTCGATCGTGCACGCGCTTACCGCCATCCGCATAGGCTTCGGAATATGATCCATCAGGGCGCGCGGCGGAGACTGGTCGGGTATTGATGAGGGCCTGAGGAAGCATATCCTCATCGCAAATAATGGCGGGCCACGCTGGGAAGCCCTTGAGTTTCACAAGGAAGTGGTCGCCAGGCTGGGCATCAATGTGGGTTAGGCGCGCCTTGGAGCCCTTCTTGCTCAGCGTCTTGCCCTTTGACTCTCCGGCGGTCGACTTCCGACGGCTCTTACCCTTCGCAGCTGGGGTCTCGGCGGCGGCAGTCGTATCAGCTTCAGCCTCAGCAGCGGTGTCGGCGGCGTCCTTCATCTCGGCGTCGCCATCCGCATCTGTCTTCTTCTCATCCTCAGCTGGCTTTGCAGATGGGGCATCGGCAGTGTTTTCCGCGCTCTCAGGCGCCTTGGGTTCTAGTTTGGCAGCTGCGATTAGCGCAAGTCCATTGGCTGGAAAAACAAGGCAGAAAAATAAATACAAAAATAAAAATCCAGCAACACAAGCTCAGAGCTGTTGGCATCACAGCAATGAAGCTCGCACAAGTAAAGACTAGGAAGATGCGCGAAAAGACTTTGCTAAAAGCGCGTTTGGGAAGCTTACCTTGAGCATCCTTTGCCTCCTCCATTGTGGCATCCCCCTCAGACTTATCCGCAGTCTTGGCAGCCAATTCTCCCTCGCCAGCAACCTTTGGTTCGGAAGCTGGCACTGGCTCGGTGCTGGCAACAGGCGCGGCGGCATCGGGCTTCTCAGGCGAGTTATCTGCCATGGCGGACGCTGGGTGGCGATGCGCAGCTTCCAATGCTAGAGACACAGGCAGATCTCACGCGAATGGCACGAGGGTCGGGGTCAAGCTCCAGAAAGGCAGCGTCGGACGCGTTTCGCGGCGTGTTATGCGTGTTCAATGGGGGCGCAAGGCAAGTTGCGTGATGCAGCTGGAGGCTCGGGCGATGAAAGGCGCAGTTGTCTCAATCAGCTTCGCCCGCGTTGTGCTAAGGATTGATGTGGGTGACGAAAGGAAAAACACTGGAGCGAATAACGAACCGCAGGAACACGTCAAAACGTCACCGAATCGCGTCACGTGACTGGCATTAATGACGACTCAAATAAGCAACCCCAAAACCCGCGATTCACAATGCCGAGGCGCCATACGACGGCGGCAATGCCGGGGCCACTGCTCTAGACAACTGCCTATGCCTCGCAAGGGCCGTGCGACCGTCTTCGCTCGCCCGCGTTGGCCCTGAGCCCATCGCCGTGCTTCGACGTCTGACTCCCACCCTGGCCTGCACGAGGTTGTCGCCCTAGACTACCCAACCACCTTGGGCCTCGAAACTGCTGTTCCACAACCGCGCGCCACCACAACCCCTGCTTTATCCCGAAAACAATACGCAAAGAGCAGATCATCGTCATGGGCGTCGCCGAGAACCAAAACCGGGAACCAAAGCTGGGCAAAACATAAATCACGTATTAAGATTGTATCCGTAGCTTGCCTTTACTGTACATAATCGTTCTTTTTCTTTTGCAGAGAGATCAAAGATTGGAGCGAGCGTGCCGGCATCTACTCCTCGTCTTCGTCCTCGTCGTCCTCGTCCTCGTCCACATCCATGCTCTCTGCTGCCGTCACTGAAAACTCCCGTTCTTGGTCCACTCCGATGTAACTATCACTCATTAGGAACAGCTTGAGGTTGTGCTCACCAGGAGATGGCACAGTGTATTCAAGCCGTACGTTCAGCTCACGGCCGATGGTAACCCGTTTGATTGCCAGGAGATTTCGAGTCTTGTCATCGCCCACCACCAACCACCAGTTCTCCATCTTCTTAGAGGGGTAGAAGGGCGCGTGCACCGTAGAGTCGTGTTCGTCATCCTCCTCGATGTTTCGCGTAATTTTGATGCTCAGGTTAGCTGGCTCACCAGCCCTGATTTCATCTGCGTCAAGAACTTCATGTTCCAGCTCCAAATCGGGGTACTTGTCGTTTGTGAACTCTGCTGCTTGTGCCAGCTGTTTCTGTGAAAGACCCAATCGCTTGACCAAGTTGTTATAGTCTGCATTCTCCTCAGGGTTCATCGCTTCCATGAAGTCGAAAATGTCCTTGATTCTAAAGATTGAGTTAGCCAGATGATACGCGGTGTGGAAGGAGTTCAAACGGAATAAAGGATGAAAGGGGGGAAATGAATGAAAAACGTACCCAAAATCATTTGCAACCTTGACGACCTCGGGCGAAAAGTGTGGAATCTGCTTGAGAGGACTATCTCGGTCCCACATTGCTTGGACAACCATTTGGGACATTTCCATGGCGTTCATGGCGTTAAGATGGCCATCTGATGAGAGAATGTCGACCATGGCGCTGAGAAGACTGAGAATTCTAGTGAGGAGAATCTCTTGGTCTTTGGCAAGGTCGATTGGAAGTTGCATCCGAGAGAAGTGAGCTTGGAGCAAAACAAACGCCTTGAAGTGAGGAGAGTCATAGCTGGGCTGCGCCATCTTGACGGGAATGCGGTCGTAGATGCGTCGCAGAAGACTGTCCTCGTGCCGACGAACCTGAATGGTTTCGAACTCGGTAGCGGAAGTTACGATTTCCAAGATACCCTTGAGCTTCGTCCGTGCTGTGAGAGACAGCAAGAATGTCTGCATTGTGATGTAAGAGATGTTGTAGTAGGCACCAATCATGGCCGCATTCTGCGGCGCAACAGATCCATCATCTTCGTCAAATTCAATGATCTTGGATTCGCCCAATTCACGCAGCGTCGTTTCCACGAGATCTGACATGTAGTTGCTCAGGCCTTCGTGAGTTGTGCTAGTCAGGCCATAGTAGCTTGGGTTCCCTAGTAGTCTTCGATAAAAGTACGTGAATGTGGTCCAGTTAATGGCGTCATCACCCGACTCGATCATCTTGGTGCTAATCTCCGTGACAAAGGCATCATGGAGGTAGTTGTGCAAGTGTGACTCGATGGGCAGGGCCTCGTTCAAAAACTTCTTGTAGTAATCACGCTTGACCTGAGGAAGCATGAGAACTCCACGGCCACGGCCGTCTTTTGAGGGCCGCAATGCCTTGCCAAACATTTGCAGAATTTCGCTAAGAGGGTAGTCCACGTATCTGTGCTCGCGGCCCTCGAAATACTGCGTCCCCATGACAACGACGAGATGAGCGGTACTCGTCAATTCCCAACAGACGTCTCGAGACGCGACAAGCACTTGAATAGCACCATTATCGTAAAGGTGCTTCACGATGCGCTTGTCGCTCTGGCTGAGAGCTTCATGGTAGTAACCAATACCATGAGACAGGGCTTCAGCCAGGGCCTCCTCGTGGACGCGATCAAGAAGGGGCCGCATTTGCTCGACGTCGGTGTGCAAAAAGCGGTCTTCGTCGTCGTCCGCGGCACAGGCAGCCAGTAAATCGCGTGCAGTGTTTCTGGTCTGCTTGCGACTGGGAACGAAGATCATTGCCGGCTTGTCTGGCGACATCTGGGTAATAGCCAAGTATGCCGGCTTCGCCATGGCCAGCATCAAGGACGGGAAATGAGGAATCGAGAAGGACTGAATGTGAAGCTCGAGAGGCACGGGTCTGACGTGAGGGCTGAAGTTGTAAATGTCGTGCTTTTTTGCATCAATCCACTCGCCAACATCGCGAGCATTGGCCAGAGAGGCACTCAAAGCAACAATCCTCATCGGCAGCTCCGTCTGGGTACGGATGTAGTGCATGCGCGATACGATAATCTCGTAAATGTAGCCCATGTGGCCACCTAGAAGATGGATCTCATCGGCGATGAACAGCTGCACCGTTTGAACATTCTTCCGTCTCTTCCATTGCCTCGACAAAACATCCCATTGCGTAGGTGTAGCGAGGATCAAATCACCCGCCTCGAGGATTTTAAGATCTGCAGCAGTTTCGCCTGTCAACTTCACAATCTCTTTTCCGCCACCCAAGTGGCTGAGTCTCTTTTGCCAGTCTTGGAGACGAGCGTCAACAAGCTCTTGGAAAGGAGCGATATAAACTGCTCGACCGGCATCGCCCTGCGCCCAGTGCCGTAGGAGGGCGAATTCAGCACATACTGTTTTGCCACTTCCCGTTGGGGCACCGATGAAGACATTCTGATCCGTCTTGTAGAGCGAGTTAAAGGTCTGCGTTTGGATCTTGTTGAACTGTCTCCAATCCGGATAGAGATCCACATAATCTTGGACTTTAAGCGCCGAAACGAGAAGAGGTTGAAGGTCAAGCAGCTCCGTGTGAGGCGGGAACTTTTCGGGTAGAATAAGCTTGTGGAAGGGGACGGCCAACCTCGTCTCAGAATGCATCCACCTGTCTGAGATGACTGAAACAAAGTAGTTGGGTGGCATAGGATCTGTGATAGGGACCGTGAAGTCCACGATGTGTTCATTTGCTTCAGATTCGGCGTAGTCCTTGCGAAGAAGGAACGTGTCGTGATATAAAATGTCCTCGCCGTCGCAGTCCTCGACTACAATCCAGAAACTCTCAGCAGCGCCATGAACGCTGTCATCCCATTCGAAGTTTGGAGTGATGCTGAGCTCGACTCTGAGCATCGATCTGGTCATGGGCTGAACCTGTGCCTGAACATCGACCCTGGGGAACTTGGCGACAAGCCCACAGACTGTACGGCCTGCCTTTGGCATGCCCAGCAGCTCGCCCATTCTCGGAGGATCAAGATCAAAGTAGTTGCTCCACGAGACGTCGATTCTTTCTGCTTTCTGAACAATATCACGAGGGCAGGAGGGGAACTGGCGCAGCGGTGACATTGTAGGCCACATTCGCTTTTCTGCCATTTTGCACAGATCCAGGGCAGTCTTTGCAACTGATGCCCAGCCCTTCTTGAGTGTAATCTCGAAGATGGCCCGCAAGATTCGGCCGGCACTTTGTGTGACATATACCATGTCTGCCATGAGCGCCAGGCCATCGAGCTTCAAACGGGAGATGTAGGCCTGGAGCAGAACGTTGATTTTGGCGTGTGGCTCTTCAATGCTTTCTTTGACGGGGATCGGCACTCTGCCCATCAGCTTGGCGAGCTCCAGCTTCTCATCCTGACGGACGGGAATGTATTTAAATTCGGCACTCAGTGCGAATACCCGGAAGAGCTCGATAGTTGTAATTGAGGGTTGGATGAGGTTGTTATAGGTGTCCATGGAGCTTGAGGTGATGTAGTAGTGGGAGGCAATGCGACCCAGTTCGGTAGACTGGATCCTGCCCGTCTTCTCATCATACTTGACAAGATTCGACTTTCTGAGAGCCATTGCTGCAGAATGTATGAGGTCGACACGCTTTTGTTCTAATGCCTCATCGTCCTCATATTCTGCACCCACTTGGTACAACCCTGGAGACCGAAGCATTCGGACAAAGAGGTATGTGTATCCAAGCCATTCGACACCCTCATCTCGAGTTCTCACATTGCCAAGTACAACTTCAGCATTAAGATTATCCACCAATTTGCTAACAAACTGACTCTCAATGGGAAGCTGCTGGTTGAGAAGCGAGAGGTAGTACTGAATCTCGCTTTGAGTCGTAATAATGATACCTTCTCCATAGGTGTCGAACTGCGGTCGACCTGCACGACCCAGCATCTGGAGAACATCCTGAGGGCTAAGCTCAACCCAGCTACCCTTCTCTGGAGAGTAGATTTGTGTACCCTTGATGATGACGGTATGGGCGGGTAAGTTGACACCCCAGGCAAGGGTGGCAGTAGACACAAGGACTTGAATAGCACCTCTGGCAAACAAATCCTCAACATCGGTTCTGTCTATTCTGTTCATGCCTGCATGGTGGATACCGAATCCATAAGGCAAGATATCCTTGAGATCCTGGTCGGTTGCTTGGCTTGCAGCTTCAGCCAAAACCTCCCGGCTGCCGGCATCGTGTCGAAGAATTTGGTTAATAGTCTCCATTTCCAGGGCCTTGTCTCGGATATAACGGGCCGTCTTTGCAGTCTCTTTACGAGAGTGGACGAAGATAATCATCTGGTTTCGGTGAGTGCCGACGTGTTCAATGACTTTGTTGTAGGTGACATCGTTCATCGTCTTGAGCTGCTTGATTGCTTTGCGGTCAGTGACACCAATAAACTCCTGGCGCAAAGGACAGGGTCGGAAGGAACCATCAAAGTGGAACATCGCCTTCTTGGTGTCGACGCGAAGAAAGCTAGCAACATCTCGGTAGTTTGGAAGCGTTGCAGACAGACCGACAATTCGCACAGGCTCTCCTGTTTGCTCCGTCTTTCGAATGGTTCTGCTGACAATGCTCTCCAATACGGGACCACGGTCGTCATGGAGCAAGTGGATTTCATCAATGATGATCAGGCGCACCAAGTTGGTGTAGGAGGCATCAGTTGCCTTGCGCGTGATGACATCCCATTTTTCAGGTGTGGTCACGATAATTTGAGTTTCTGCGATTTGCTGCTTGGTGAGTTGGCGATCACCAGTCAGCTCAGACACGCGGATACCATAGGGCTCAAGACGCTTTCCGAAGTTGCCAACTTGCTCTTGAACGAGAGCCTTCAGAGGGGCGATGTAGACGATTTTGAAAGCATCAAGATCAATGTCGCCAGTTTCAGGGTTGCGGTTCTTGCCGATTTCTCTCAGGATAGTCAACATAGCCACGTTTGTTTTACCACTACCTGTCGGGGCACAAACAAGCATGTTGCCATCATCCTCAAAAGCGGTTGGGTAACATTTGGATTGGATCTTGTTCAAAGACTTGGCCGTGCTGAAGGGCATCCGTGACCATTCCGGCATGTCAGTAATGGGAATAAGAACATCGTCTGGATCATTCCGCTTCTTCGGAGCAGGCACGTGAATCTCTTCATAGCCCTTGAAAGACCTCTTGGTCGATCCCTCTGGCAGCCTGACTTTGGCGTTGGTCATGAGATGGTTTCCTTGGTCAAAGACCAAATTGTCCAGGTTTATGAGTCTCTTTGGCTGCAGCCCGCCCACCAGGTGTCCTTCGGGCCTTTCAGTCTTGGGCCCTTCGGCGGTGAAAGAAGCGGGAACGTCAATGTCCATCTTGATGGCTCCTTTTCCTCCTTTCTCTCCGTCGGCTGCAGACTTGCCGCGCAGCTCGTTGAGAATCCATTGCAGGCCCTCCGAGGCCATTTCTCTTTCGACATTGGCACGCTGTTCCGCATCTGCTGCTCTGGCAAGTTTTGTGAGCCAGAAGACCTTTTCCCTGTTCTGAACTAGCTTTTGGACAAGCTCGTGATGCTCGAAATCGAAGAGCTCCATTAGATCGTTTTCAATCTCTCGGAGAGTTTTCTCTTCGCCGCCGACCTCGTCAGGTTCTCCGGAAAGTATACGCAGGGCATCCTTGGTTTTGTCCGTTTGCTCGTGCGCGTCTGGGTATAATGTGCCAATCTGACGCTGCAGCCAGAAGGCGTCCACATCTCGCGCGAGTATAGAGGCTTTGTCGTCCTTCTTGTGCTTATCCCCTGAGGGTGCTGAGTCGAGGATCATTTCGTCATCTGCTCCCCCAGCTTCCTCCTCTGCCTTTGCCGCCCCTTCTTCCTCCTCTTCCTCCTCTTCGTCTTCTGAAGACTCGTCTCGAACTTCATTGACAATCTCATCCTCTTCGTCGTCGTCGTCAAAGGCAACAGCCACACCCTGCCGCTGGTCGATTTCCGCGTCGTCATCATTGTCGCCTCCCATGTTCACATCCTCATCATCGTCTTGGGCATCGTAGTCTGTAATCTTCTTTCCCAAGTTAATCAGTTCGTTGAATTGCTTGGGATTCAGAGTTGTGCCGAGAATATCATCGATTTCCTTCTTCTTGTCCAGATCCTTCATATCGTCATCTTTGAGATATTCCAACGCAGCATCTGCAGCACTGCGCACGACTTCGTGGGGTACATCGCCAAGATTGTTCGCCACAAGAGTCAGGATCAGGTCAAAGGTCGCCCGCGTCGCTGCGGTTCGAGGTCGATATGTGATGCCTTCGATCAATGTGTCATTTGTACCGAGTACACCACCCTGTTGCGCATCTGGTTTTCGCTTCCGTTGCTCTCTTAGCAATACGTCTTGGCCCTCTTGAAGATTCCCTCGCTCGATTTCGGGCATTCCAGGTTGCCTCTTCTGCTTCGGGGCTTCGTCACGAGCCACTCGAGAGCCCATGTCGTTGATACTCAGGCGTCCAGCGAGAGACTCTGGGTCGCCTGTGGCCTCATCAGTTCGCCTTGTGACAAACCGACGGTCCGCCTGGAGAACCAGGTTGGACATGGCCGAGTACTTGTACTGGGAGACATCGCGATGAGGGTCCGACATCGTGGCGGTTGTGCTTGGGAATTAGGATTAAAGAGAGAAGAAAGAGAGAGAGAACGTCGATGTCCTCGACAAAAAGCTCGATGAGCCCAGCGTCTACTTCACCATGTGCTTGCCACCCAGACAAAGTGAATCGTATCGAAACGGAGGGTAGCTGCCTAGGCGTCTCAGCAATGTGCAGTTGCTGAATTGGGTGAATGGTGATGCTTGGACTTGGTCGCGATAAATTTCCTGAGCCAACATCTTCTGCCTGGACGCGCCAAGTAGCAAAGAGTTAGTGCAATGCGCCACACTAGAATCGTTTTTAGCCACAGTGTTGTGGAGCACTGAAGTCGTGGAAGCTCACTGAGTGGCCCCCCTGTATTTAGCGGCCTATGCAGCTGCTGATAGGCTGAGGCGGTCAGGTACCTCTCACAGCTCCCGAGTGCAGGCGGTACATGTGCCGAGATATAAGGCGGCATGTGCAGCCCAACGTTCATGTTCGCCTCGATATATCAAGTGCAATGAATCTCAATATATCAACATGCCCGACCATCATCCGGAAATCCTACTCAAATTCCAAAAGCAGCTTGATCCATATATCAAGCCTCGAGAACAGGTCAACTACATAAGACGTGTTCTGGCTCTTCACCTCGGATCTTGCGCCGGCAATGGAGCCATTCAGAGTCCTCTGTTCCTCATCGACAGCTCACAAGAAGTCACCACGCCATCAGACTTAACGGGCGTATTCAGGGAATATGTCGAGGCTCTCCAGGCCAATACGGCAGCACGCCGTCAGTTTGATAGTCTCTTGAAAAATAATACCCCTGAAGACCCCGAGCCGCCAAACCCAAAGGCCAACAGCGTCGATCTATTGGAGGAGAGAATATGCCTTTTGAAGCTGCGACAGAAGCGAGAGAGCTTACTTGCAGCTCGACAGTCTTTAGATCTTCTCATGGAAAAGCCTGCTGCAACTCGGGAGTTTCTAGATGCCAAGCACATCTTTCAAGGCAGCCCTGGTGTGCCAAGCGCACCAGACGATGTCATCAATAGTCTCGCGCTAGACCAAACATCTCCTCAGTCAGGTCTCAGTGACCGAATCCAGCAGCTGGAGAAGACAGTTTTGAGAGCAAAACTACTGCTAAAGCAAGAAGAGCAGACAGTACGAGAGACGAGAGACCGATCCAAAAACCAGTTTGACATGGTCAGCAACGGTGCTCGGATGGAAGCGCTGACAACCACTCGCAATGAACTCATCACTTGGATCGAAACCGAGCTTGCCAAAGCTTCTCCTGGGGGGAGCTCTGGTGCAGCCAAAAGCGGCAATCACAAGTCAAGAGTCAGTCCATCAACAATCGCAGCCAATCTTGAAGAGATTAGCAAAAAGTACGCCAAATACGTGTCTTCGAGGAAGACTCTTTTGGATCTGGAAACACAGCAGTTTCAGCTATCTCAGCCATCTCATCCATCGCTTCTACCGCCTGCACAGTTGGTCGCCGGCTTGGATCGAAGCAGCAACAAACCTCCAATGCCTATTGACCATCTCCTGACTCCCTACTTGAGAGCCTTGGCAGCTATTTCTGTCAGCCAAAAGGCAGCCATCAGCCAGAAAGCCTTCTTCACCTCGGCGCTGTCCAAGCAAAACCAGGATGCTTGTCAATTACTCGGTCGTCTCCGCGAAGAAAGCCATTTGCTGCCCGCCTATCCTATGAAAGACTCTCTGCGCCGTCGGTCTGGCATACAAACAGAAATAGCGTCCAAGTCTGAACACCCAGATATCTCAAAGAGAATTAAGCCCTGGGTATTTGCCGCCGATTCAGCCAAGATTGCGCTTCTCGAATACGCCGCAGAAACTGTCGATATTGGTCAGGTAGCACTCGAGAATTGCCTAGAGAACCTTAGAGAAATTGACTTCCTTTTGGGTCACCCAGAGGAAGGGGAGGACTCCAGCGAGGTTTCTGAAAGACAGCCAAAGACTGGAGCTGCGGCAACGAGGCTTGGATCACGAAAAAACACATCAAAGAATAGTATCACAGACGATGGGCATGATGTTTGGTCCAGACTACACGGAAATCTAGGAGTGCTGAGAGACGCAGTCTGATTCATGCGTTTAGCGGTTTTGATCATGCGTTTAGCGGTTTTTATTTTGCCTCTGTTCTATATATCTCAGTCATAACTGCACATCTTTGGAAAAAAGTACAACGCCGTTAGTCAGAATAAGACATGGTGAACCCAACTCCGCGTAATTGCTCCTTCCCCAATTAAGCCACTTGATATTACCGTAGTTTACTTTTCAGACATGATGGCAGATATCCTCATCGACAAATCAAGGATCGATAGATGTTCGTCCGCTCCGTCAACAAGTCGTTTATCCACTTCAGAGAAAATTAGAACAATCTTGTTCTTTTGGATGTCAGGAATGGTCTCGTCGAAGATGAGTTCTTGGTAGAGCTATACGGGTACACGGGTTAGAATGATGCCGTTAAGCACATGTCAAGGCGTGTTAGCCTACCTGATTTACGACTTGGCCAGCACTCCAGCCGTCTGCTACCAGATCCTCGACCACCTTGGATATGGACTGATACGTCTCTCCTGACGCCCTTGGGCGCATGGCTTTGACGAGATCGTCAACGGTTGCTCCAGGGATAACGCCAGCAATGTCTTCGACGATTTTGACAGTCACCGGTCGCTTGTCTACATCCATGGAATCGTCTCCTTCGCCGTCCTTTTCTGAGAGCTTTGCCCCAACCAGTCGAGCAGCACTCTGCAGAAAGGTAATTGCCTTTCGTAAATCGCCCTCGCTGCACTTGATGAGTGCATCCACAGCACCATCTTCGAGCGCAACGCCCTCTGCCTCTGCTATTGACTCGAGTCGCTTTTTTGCGTTGCTCTGATCCAAGCTCTTGAACCTAAATTTGCTGCATCGGCTGGCCAGAGGGTCGATGATTCGAGTGACATAGTTGCAAATCAGACAGAAGCGTGTAATCTTGCTATACGTCTCCATTGTCCGTCTCAAAGCGCTCTGGGCGTCTTGCGTCATGGAGTCGGCCTCGTCTAGAATGATGATTTTGAATGGTGGGCATGGGTATTTGTCTTTGTATGAGGGCGGTGGGTTGGTCAGTTGCATTCGTGCAAAATCTTTGACTTTTTGTCGGACAATCGAAATGCCACGCTCGTCGGACGCGTTGAGCTCGAGAACTCGGGACTTGATCATCTCTGGGCCGTAGAGCTCCTTGGCAAGTGCCAGAATGGTAGAGGTTTTGCCAGTGCCAGGGGGGCCGTAAAACAGCATGTGCGGAAGCTTGAGAGAAGGGGGCCATTAGCTTGAATATGCATCTCGAATCCAATTGCGAGCAGATTCACCAACATTTGAAGCTTGCAGTGTTCTCTGCAGAACCGTGACCGTGTGATCCTGAGCAGTGACATCGTCCAAGCTCTTGGGGCGACTATTGGATATTAAATAAGCAAAAAATATCCTCAAAGATGCTGCTCAACGGCGAATCGACTGACTATTTTTCAACCCAGGGTTGGGCACGAACATTATCTGGCTTGTCGTGCTTCTGGGATGATGTTCCGTTTGTGGCGGCCGCCTTTCTGGCCTTGAGGTCGAAAAAGCTGGCCATGCTTGACGAAGAGAGCCGTACCAGATGATGGAACTAGACAGTTGTTATTGTTATCAGTGTAGGTAGAGATACAGAGGATCAATTCGAAAATCTGCAACTGTTAGTTCATGCGTGAACAGAATATGCCCAGGGCAGCCAAAAATCCATTAACGCGTCAGTCCGATAGGCGCGAGGCGCGTAGCCCAAAAAAGATGGCCGGCAAGGCTGATGAACCCCGCGACTCGACCCAGCCAGTGCATGAATCTCGCTGCTCCTCAGGCCCGTAGCGTGACCCCACCTACCTACCTAGAGGTACATCCCGATGAAGCTTGTCGGATGCATATTGATGTGTGTTCCGGCATATTTAGAACGCTGTGCAGGGGAATTGATATTATTTTTCTTGGAACGTATAGTTCTATCAATGAGATGGAGGGAAATACAATGTCTATACGTATCTGTAGCCAGCGAGAGAGGCGTCAATGCCCTTCAAGCTTACCTGCAATTGGTGCCTCGGAATGGAGCGGCACTAATTTCCATGTTCCGAAATATGAACGGCATTGGTCTCTCCAGATACCCGTCTATCAAGCTACGGGTAATTATAAGGGACCTCTAAGATAACAGGTAGAAACAATATGAGTCCTTGAGATTCGATTAGGTACCTCTTTGGGCCAGATCTTCCTTGGGCATCTACATGTAACATCAATGCTACTCACCATGCATTACCCGGCATCCTAAATAGCCTGTAGCACTCGTAGGTGGCTAAACATTAAAAAGTCCGATAGAGTTTCCATCCATGGGAATTAATACTGCTCACCTACCGCATCAGTCCGTGTTAGTTGAGGACTCTGCGACAGCCCCGACAGCACTCCAGCCTCTATAGGTTAGCAGCTGAATATACAACGTCCCCCGCCTGCATGTAAGTACCCGCTGGGCTGGGCGCTGTTGGCTCTCCGACGAGGCGTTCCGGTGGCACGCATGTTTGCATCAACCTTTGTCTTGTGCTCAGGCTTTCCCTGTTTTCTCCTCTTTCACCGATGACTGTCTAATCAATGCCATGAGTTTAGCTTTGTCGTATTCCATTTCTCGCATTCAATCTTCCATCTTCCATCAATCCTGATCGAGTGCTACCTTATTCCTCCCGCCTCTTGGTAGATCCCTCAGGCCAGCCCGCAAGGCAGCTGCCCGCTAACTTTGATTCACTCGGCACAACCCCTCCTTGCCTGAACAGGCTTCTGCCACTGCAAGGCAAGCAAGGCATTAAATTCACCAACTGAACTGCATCCGCCTGGCATAACTCAGCCCTTTGCATATGAAGATTCCGCTGCCGGAGGCTGCCTCACTCTCCAATTCTCCTGCTGGCTGCCTCTGCAGATGCTCATCCTGATACTCCCCATCACAGCGCCTCGCCTTTAACATCAGCTTCGAGGCCAGCGTCATGGATCAATCCATCATTCGCATCTCCAAGGTTTGGCTGCTTTACAAGTCGGTTTGCGGGCGTCACATGGCTGATCAGCGCTACCCATAGGAGCTCAGCGACATCCAGAAGGGATCAGATCTGGGTACGTGACTTTGATCTCAACTCGACCATGGCAGCTGCCCATCTACCTAGTAGTAGGTAGTAGGTCACTGATGATATGGTGCTAACCGGCATTTCCTCGCTGCTACAGCCATTGCAGTCGCCTGTCGTGATGTCGACGTTCGCAATGTCAGAGCCCTGATCATGGGCCCGCATGAGACTCCCTACGAATTTGGGTTCTTTGAGGTAAGCTTATGGTAGTGTCCAGTAGACATTGGGTGGCATCGCATACCCGAACACCGTGCTAATACCGCAATCAAGTTTGCCATCAGGTTTAACAGAGGTGAGGCCCAACGTTTTTCTCTATGCAGTTGACTATACGCAAGGTGCTTACAAACCAAGATTATCCTTCAAAGTCTCCCAACGTTCAGGGCATTACGACAAATGGAGGGCGTTGCCGATTTAACCCCAATATCTACTCCAGCGGCAAAGTTTGTCTGTCAGTACACACAGCCTACCCTTACTCATTTCCTCATACTAACCTTCTCAAAGGTCAATCTTAGGGTATTTTCCTTTCAAGTCATTCAAATGATACAGTAAGTTCAAGGGATTTCTAACTTGTCAATAGCACATGGAGAGGAGAGCGCGGTGAAGAGTGGTCGTCAGCACAGGGGCTAGAGTCGATATTGTTATCAATACAGAGTCTGATGTCAGCAAATCCCTACGAAAACGAACCTGGTTTCGAGAATGCAAATGAAGCATCCGATAAGCAAGCTCAAAAGCACTACGTCCAAAAGGTAAGGATATGGTACCGTTCATTCCGCACATGAGTAGTTCTAATCTACTTGCAGATACAACACGAAACTCTGAGAATCTCTGTTATTCAACGTCTTGAGGGCTATCTTGGACTGCAGCCCAATGGTGCCGGTGCGCCGCCCCCTGAAAGTCTCGATTCCAAGGACTTGGACTATGATGAGCAATTAGAAGAGGCCAATAACCCGTTTGAGCCGTTCAAGGACCTTTGCAAACGTCGATTTCTTTGGTATTATGATTCATACATGGCTGCTGTGGAACAGGGTAAATCCGAGGTGGAACCTCTACAGCCGTTTGTGAGGATGCCATTCGAGTCTCCGGGGTCCAACTCGATGGATGGCCGCTTCAACTATCCGGAGCTCGAGCGTAGACTCAAAGCCATCAAAGAAGCGCTTAATGCAGAAACAGCACGGTGGGCAGAAGAAGGCCTCACATCCAAAGCAGGAGAATCGACAGTTGCCGTTAATTTGCAGCATCAGTTTGACCAAGTGTCGGCCTACCTGAAGCGGGGCGATATGCCGCATAGTGTTGTTCTGGAAGACAATAACCCCTTTGTCTGGTTGATTACATACTTTGGAAGGCCGATGACGAATCTCGATGGTGGCCTCTTCCGCATCAAAATGGCCTTCAGCACTCGGTTCCCAAATGAGCAACCGCGAGTCAAATTTGAGACCAAGATTTTCCATCATCTCATTGCGACCGATGGAACGGCATGTTACACCCCTAACCCTATGAAGGTGGAGGACGTCAAGTCTCATATCGATGCCATTTTTGAGATGCTTGAAGAGGATGAGCCGGCATATGATCCGAGGAAGATTGTCAACCCCGAGGCCACCAAGATGTTTTGGGGAAACAAGCCAGAGGACAAGAAGCTATACAACCGCCGTCTACGGAGATCAGTGCAGATGAGCATGGAGTAAGAAACGGCTTGTGAACTTTGCCCACCCTTCTTGTTGGAAGGCTTTACTGACCAAGTACCAGGGAATTCCCCGAGTGATGAGTTATCTCTCTTGAGAGCAAAATAACCATTTAGCGTGCCGTGCTTTACCTATTGTTGCTATTTTTTTTTTTCAATGTGCATCCTGCGATAGGGGTTTGGCGGCGTTTTAGCAGACCGTTTTTCTCTTTCCTTGCCCCCCTGCCTTTATTCCCTTTGTTTTCTCGGAAAGGTAGTTGGGATTTATGGTGCGCCTAGCGACAAAGGGGCGTTTTACCTTCGTTCGATACTTCTAGATGGCGCCGGAGGAGAGGAAAGACCAGATTGATATTACTGCTCGTGGCATATGATTTCACCTTCGATCGACAGCCTGGGGGAGATGGAGAGAGGACGACATCCCATCTAGTGAAACACTCCAGCGGGTATGACTCATAGCTTAGGCAATTTTGCTATGCAGCCATCTTGGTTCATACTGACATGTTGTCACCATTATGAATGCTATTGAAGTGGAAAAGGCAACTCTGGATTATGAAATAGAGTTGACTGGTTCAGTCATTTCTTCTGACAAATTTGTGCCCCAGCACGATCATCTATATCCCAAACGCCGTGATTGTATGCAGTCTCTGTTGTCCAGTCCCATTTGTCGTCCATACGTAAATCATAATACCGTGAAACAGAAAAAAAAAATGTAAAATAGATTGCCAACCAACCAGCCGATCGACCAACCAGTGGCGCTCATTTCCTACTCTTCGTCTTCTTTTCAATCTTGTCCTTGAGCGGCGCATACGGAGCTGCCACGCCAGGATATTCTTCTTGCTTGCCATCGCCACCCTTGAACTGATACACGCCTCCAGCGCCAATAGTCGCCGGCGTGCCCTGCGTAGGCCGGCTCACTTGTTCGGCGTGTAACTTGTCGAGGGATTCACCCACGACTGCGTACTGCGACCAGTTGATGGGCGGGCAGCGGACCACATCCTGGGCCTTTGGTATCGGTTGCGCGACCCATGCGCGGGTCGTCTCGTCGTCAGGTTGCGCTCCCCGGCCGACTTTCCCCATGGCCAAGTCTCGGGCGAACTCGTCCGGGTGCTCCACGGCCTCGTTCTTGATCTGGCTGAGGGCCTGGATGTCGGCCGTCGCGCGCATCCTCTGCATCTGCAGCACGGCGATGGCCGACTTGAGGGCGATGACGTCGGGGTTGGACTCGAACTCGATGGGCTTCGAGGGTGGCGGCGGCAGGCCGACTTGATCAGACTGCTGCGAGTGCGACAGGGTCGAGCGCGCGGGCTGTTGTTGCGCCGCGGCGGCGGTAGGCGGCACGGGCACGGGCACGGCGGTGACAGTTCTGCTGCCTTTGTCTGCTGCATCGCTAGAGGAGAGCTGCGCGGGAGGCAAAGTGGGCGTGATGGGCGACATGGGAGGCGGCACGGGCGACGAGGGTCGGGAGTCCATGTTTGTCGAGATGGTGAGTGCCGGGGCCATGTTCAGCGCACAATGCGCCGGGGCCAGCGGCGAGAAACTGGGCGGCCAGAAAAGGGGGGGAGGGAGAGATTTTGCTTGGCCGATGGATGGGGGGGGCGAGAGTTTGGATGGGTTGATGCGAAAATGTTGGTACGCGTGGCTGATGGGATGGTTTGGTGTTTGGTTCAAGTTTGAGGCGTAGAGTTCGATGGGCCGATGTCATTGTTTGAGGGTACATTAGTAAGCTCATGATGCAATCCCTCCAAGCTGTTACAGAAGTCTTAGAGAATGGACTTAGGTGACTGTGTTAGCTACCATAGAGATGTAAACGCTGTTGTCTTTACTGTATGATTTCTATCTTTTAAATGATAATAGCTATCGCTCCGGGTAGTTCAAATATCAGAATAGGATGCGAAACAATCCCTCTTAGATACATAGGTCCTCCCTGCCGAGATTCCTTGAGTATCTGCTATCACTACTCTTTGCAGCTACTATAGCTACTATAGCTACTTTCTGCTACTATCGCTACTTTCTTCTAATATCTGTTATTATATCTATATTCCTACTATATGTACATAGCTTTAAATTGAAACGGGATGCTGGGTAGCAAACTTGGGTCGCTGAATATCTATACTCCAATGCAGGGTAGCTTCAACAGTAAAAGAAGCCATACCACGATCACCAACAACGCTGTTGGTCTCACTGAGACATTGGCATTACCGAACCGAAATAATCCAAAAATAGGCTCGGGCTACTGCATTGCAGCTGAACAGATAACTGCGATGTTGCAACAAGGCGGGAGAGCGGCTGAAATAAAATGGGTTCTCGTATACTCGTATGGCTAGCATTATACCATGCAGCTGTGAGTGTACTGACAAAGGTTTCACAGCCATAATGAAAGACTCTTAGCTGCATGTGTGCAACGAGCCCTAGCAATTCATTTCTAAGGGCTCTCTGTCTTATGGCTCAGCTTTACCATATATTCAATCAACAAATGGAAACAAGGTAAATTGGAATGGAAGGAACTCATCATCAATGACTCTACCGTATAGACCTCGAAAAAGCAAACCTCTGGCTAACTTGCAACGGTAATATTCCCGCTTGATATGCCAGCTTACAAAGTCTAGACCTTCTGTTGGAGAAGCTACTTTGCTGTAACTGATCGACCAGCATCTCGGTTGGCTACGGGAGCTAACCCTTTCCAAAGCGGCGGCCCTGTCTCAGCAATGTCTCTCGCAAGAACCAACAACAGGGGACTTGGTTGCCATTCCAGATCCCCCATGACTTCACGGAGGGGGCATCAAGCAGTGCGGCACTATTATGCGCGAATAATGAATGACAAGCAGTTGTCCAAGGGTCTTATTGGTCTTCAAAGGTTCCCTTCGGTCACTCGCTGGACTCTGCAGTAGTACCTCGAACCAAGAAACGAAAGTTTCTTTTCGCAGAATTAGTGCCCTTCCAGTGTCTTTATCCACGTATATCCATCGCTAATTACAATGGAAATGACCCAGAAGAACTGCTAGATCTGAAAAAGAATTGTGCGCCGCGGAACCTGCAATATAATGACGAAGTGGCTAGTTGATGCTACACACCCATGGCAAACCTCTTTTCCGCGCGTGGGCGGCTCCCAACTCTGTTTCAATTGGAGTGCTGATCTTTTGTTTTCCCCAAACTTCCCGTCGTAAAGCGGGCTTTGTGGCTTACCGAGAACAAAGTCGCATCGAATTCTGTTGCCATGGGATCCATCGCAACGTGGACGCCACATGATGCCCAGCTGTCGCCGCTAGAAGGTCGCGGATGCAGTCCGAGTAATATCGAATATCGGGCTTCTCCCTTTAGAGCCTGTGCTGCATCAACTTTTGTAACATATCGAGGGCAGAAATCACTAGTGGCATCCATCGTCTGTTAGCTTTCATCTTTCTTGGGCGGCTTGTGCAGGGAAGCAACAGAAACAGAACGTGAGAAATGACACAACGGCACATCCCCCTGTTGTTGGGCAGCCAAACTATTGCGCGCCAATCTGCAGCATGCCGCCCCAAGTGAGATCCAAGCCAATATTCTCGACGCGGGCTGTGGCCAATCCCAGGAGCCCGCTGCAGTTGGTCCATGGATGGATGCTAAACGACTGCTTTCGCCTCTAGTGTCAGATATTGGCCCAGAAGCGATGGAATGGGAACGCGAAAAAAGGCCGTACCGTGCGTGCAGCTTGTGAGCCATCGTTTGCAGGTGAAAGGGACGGGAATTGGGGCTAGCAAAGCAAGGAGGCGAGCTTGAAGAAAGAAGGTGAAGAAGTGTTCGTATTCATCATATGACCAGTGCCATTGTCTTTGGTTCTTCGGTTGCGACTGAGCTGTTGTCAGCCTTGGGTGAATAGTCTGCTGCTCACTATGTTGATTGTCTGCTCTTAACAATAGCAGAAATACCTGAGAGAAAACACTGGAAGGGTCACTCATAGTGACTTTTAAAAACGTGCCGAACCCGCCGCCTCGTGGCCTGGAGCCGCGATTTAGTTCTTAGGAACCACCCCCTCCTGGGCAACAACAAACTTGAACCTTTCTGCCACATCCCGACAACTTAGGCCTTCGTCCTCCACATTATTTTTAGTCTTGATCTATTTTCGAGTCTCCCTTCGGATCAACTGACTCGATTCTGCCATAAAGAAGCCGCTGAGTGTTCTACCATCAGCGGCGTGTCTTGTCTTCTACGCCGGTTCAATGCCACATGCAGAGTTTCCAGCTCAAATCAACTCCGTTACATGTTCGCATCTTCATATCTGAAAATATCTCTGAGATTTCGCCTGCTTCGATAATCTCTTATCTTCCTCTCGTCGTCTATTCCAAGGGTGGAATTCCAATCAAGCATCGTCTGCCTTAGCTGCGGGGATCCTTTAGCCGACGAACATTCTCTCTGAGTTGCAACTCGGAATCTCTCAGCTTCCAATTGGCTATGTCCGCGTCATAGTCTATCAATCTTACTTCTGGCTTGTCGAATATTCTTGGAAGACTATGTCTGCTCCTTCGCCCGTCAACACTTCTTCACCTTGCTCAGATCATCAGCTCACGTTGCCATCAACCTCGCTATCTCGAACTATCGGATTTCGCAATTTTTCATATCCATTTTCTCTCACTGGAAAGGCGCCTCTCGTTTCACGTAATTCGCTATCGCCAGTCACAGCGCGAGACTCCTTTACAACTCCTCCGAACCAGAGTTACCCACGTGTCGTCGAAAGCACTGTCCCAACTCAAAGTCCCATCCCGGCCACTCAGACATACGGCGGATAGCATCCGGCATCTTCTGATGTGGATAGAAGTCCACTCCTGAATCGCTTCCTATCGCGAAGCTCTTCGACCAATCCATCGTCTATTCAACCGTACTTGTCGCCAAGCACAGGTAGTCAAGGCACTTCACCAACTGGCGCGACGTTACCAAATTCAGACCAACACTTCAAGAGATTTTCACCATCGCAAAGGCTGTCTTTAGGACAATACAATCTCGAACGCCATCAGGAGAAAGTTACTACTCCCCGAGAAGGTAAAGCCGATGGCCGACCAATGTCTTTGTTTACAGACGCGCCGCTAGAAAATCCCCTAGATTGGGTAGCTACGAGTACAGGCTCTCGCAGCTCAAGATACGACCCAATCTTTCTCCTCCCTTTCAAGCAAGCCTCCAGAATGGCTTCCTCGACCTCAGGCGTTGCGAGCTCCGCATCGAGGTCTATGAACACATCGAATCAGTCTCGAGGAGAATATGACCCTTCATTGAGTAGCGAGGAACCTCGATCTGAATACACTACGGCGTCCGAAAAGAGACGTCCCCGCTGGATGTCACAAGTCAAGAATTGGCTGGCGACCAGCGAACCCTCAGCTCAAGCGATGAAGGACCAAAAAAAGGACGTGTTCAAAAAACACGGTGTCGACATCAAAGATCCACAAGCCGCGGCCAAGATGCACTCTCCCCTGGGAAAAGTGCCACTGGATGCTATTACATCTACATCAGGCCCTACCCCCGAGAAGGCCCTTAAGGAAAAAGTTCGAGTGAAGGAGACACCGACATCAGGTGTTAGACATAGCCGCGGCTCTCAGTCAGTATCGAGCAGCGTTTCGTCGCTACCAAGTGTGAAGAGTAGCAAAGTCTGCAATACAATCGCGCCATGGGAAGAGTAAGAATAGAAAGATGGAGTTTTTCTTTTCTGTTCTTTTTCAATTTCTTTCTAGAATGCCCTTTTACGAACTTTACGAGCTTATGACTTGCGTTGACAACATCGAAATGGCTTCTTTTTATGATCATCTTCTTTTGCTACATGACATCGAGGGCTAGGGCAGCCAGTACCTTATTAGGGCATTGATGAGGCGCCTTTATATGCATACCTAGCTGAATGAGTTGTAGATTAGTTCAATACCCCGTTGAGTTTTGCTTCTCTAGATACTATATGGAATGATGGAAATACAGCACTAGGTAGTTATAGCCCGAATTGACATCCTAATGCATGATTGAGACATTGCAGTCTTAGTTGGAATCACCCGACCTGGTAGTGTGATACAATTACACATATAACCATTTTAAGAGGGAACGCCTATTCACTTTGCTATTCAGCAATCCGTGTCGCAAATGATACTCAGTACTGGATAGATGTACTAAGCTATAGTAGCAGATAGTAGAGAAATACCTTCGCGCGCCAGGGGGAAATCCATAATTCATGAGTCCAAAATGCGCCATGTGTTTTCGAAATTTGTAAACCGAACCCCGTAACCTGCAACTCCTGAAAGATACTACTGATCTTTAATCAGCGTCTTGCGGATAGTGTTTTGTCATATGCTGTTGGAGTTTATACCACGTCTTCGTTTCAGATCCAAAGTTGGTAAAGTAACCTACAGCAGGCAGACATAACTTGTCCGCGAACCTGTGCAATATTACTTGTCCAGAGTCACAATCGAAATCCTTTGAGAGCATTTCAGCACAGAGGGTACATGGTAAGAGGTCCCTGGCCCGTTTTCGCCGTGAGAACTCCTTTGATCAGATCCAGCTCACGCTCCAAGAAATGTTCACACTCGCGAGTTTTCTCTATTGACACTGCGTGCACTACAATCGAATTTATTATCACAGCCCGCGCGTGATTATTTACTTCACCTCGTCTGGGAGCTTGAAGCCTTCTCCAAGTTGGAGGATATTGTATCGTGCAAAAAACTTCACTGACCAGAAACCCCCCTGGCGCGCGAAGGTAGAGCTATAGCAGCATATACCAGAGAAATAAAGCTATAGTAGCAGATACTTGAAAGAACTGTGTTTTTATTATTCAAGTACTCCGTAAATGCTTGTAGTTGTAAATAAACGGCTGTCCTACACGTCATGCAGATTAATTCCGAGATGTCTCAAAACACAACATGTTCTAGCGGCTCAACCTTGAGGGTAAAAGATGCATCACATGATCGTGAGCCACCACCTTAATCCGCGTCAATCGCCAATAAGCAACACAAAAGCTTCTTTTGCCCAGAGGCTAGATCGATCTGGTGCGAGTTCAATTGAGAAATCCGGAGCAAAAGTCGCAGATGGATGGGCGCGGCAAGATGGCGATTGGTGGATGCGGGCTGAATGGTGTCGGTACTATGACGTATGCACTTTTGCAATCTCGGGATCAGTATGACACTGCTTTGACGATTGACAGACACTAAAGGGCACGGATCGGGGAGCTTGTGTGGAGGCGAATCGAATTGTAGGAGGCTGTATCTTTTGGACTTTTCACTTTCTCTTTTTTAATTTCTTAATTCCTTCAATTTGAAGCTTTTCGACAGTAATAGTTCATGGGGTAGCTACTGGTTCAAGAAAGCCTCATTCGTCCATCTTTCCATCTGTTGTTTACTATGCCCTTGTTTACCACTCCTAGAATGGACGACGACGATGAGCAAGACATTCGCCCAGAGGATCGCATTGACAATGCGGAAGGTGAGCGGCCGCCAGACGAATACACTCGGCTGCTGCCCAACCGCGTCAACTCCAATAGGGACTTCCTCGCCCCTGATGATCCTGCAGTGTCGCCGTATAACCTCTTCAGCATTCGCATGCTCCGCTATCTGACATTGTTCTTCACGGCACTGACGTTCTTGTGGTGGGTGATTCTGCTTGTGTCTGCATTTGCGACGGCTCCTGGGTTCCACACAAAGGGGAGTGGCTTCTTTGCGTTTGGCTATACGAGCTTGACACTGGCCATCCTGTTTTCCACCTTGCTATTCTTTGGGGTGCCTTCCAAAGCAGTGAGGATACTCGGAATTGTAATTGCCGTAAGTACTACAGCTACTGAATTCTACCACGGATGAATACTAACGCGAACGACGCGGGCGGTAGGTTTTTCTCACGCTCGATATGATTCTTCTCCTATCAGTCCAGAAGACCAGGTACGAGGAGGGCTGGGTAGGAATTGTTAGCGTCATATGGGCGCTGCTCATGAGTATATGGGCCGTGGTTGCGGACAGAACTGTTAAATGGGGCAAGGCCGAGGAAGAAGAGAGATTGACCGGCCGTCCTGAAACAAGAAGAACACTCTCAGAATGGCTCGAGGTCCTGGTCTCAACCATTGGCAACTCTGTCATGGTGGTGGCCGTTGTCCTGATAACGCTAAACATCATCCTCCGAGCTCTCGATGCAAGAGTTGCACCACCCGGCAAGCTGTACTGGGTCGACGATAACAAATATCGCATCCACCTGTACTGCCATGGGAACAAGACGGACGAGAACGGCAAAAAAGTCACTACCGTCTTCTTCGAGGGAGGCGAGTGGCCCGTCGAGTACGGCCTATGGGATTTCGCAGACAATGCGGTCAAGAACGGGTCCATTTCTCGCTATTGCTTCGCAGACCGGCCAGGGCTGGCTTGGTCTGATACCGCCCCGTCGCCGTCATCCGCCGGCTTCGTGGTGGACGCCTTGAGCGAGGCCCTGGCCAAAGCAGGAGAGGGAGGGCCCTGGGTTCTTGCTAGCGCGGGCATCGGCTCCTTGTACTCGCGAGTGTTTTCAGCCCGCCACAGTCACGACGTTCGGGGCCTGCTGTTGATCGACCCCCTGCACGAAGATCTGCTGGGCCCCGGCGCAGCGCCAGGCCGAGGCTTCTGGCTGTGGTTGCGAGGCGCCATCTCGCCGCTTGGGCTGGATCGCATTCCGGGCGCGCTGTTTAAAGGACGCTCCAGCCGCGACCGTATCTATGGCCGATCCGCTCCGCAGACGGGCAAGTTCATCTTTGCCAAGCTGCAGGAGAGCTTGGTGCTCAACTCCTTCACCAAGCGCGACGTCGACAGCAGCAGGCAGATCCAGGAAAAGGACACGCCGCTGACCGTGATTAGCTCGGGGCTCAAGATCAAGAACGACGATAATTGGGCGAGCAAGCAGAAGGACCTGACGGGGCTGACTGATAAGCTTCTGCATTGGGATATCGTGGACGAGGCACCCCACGAAGTGTGGCGGACTCTGGAGGGGCGCGAGAAGATTGAAAAGAGGCTGAAAAAGATGGTCTAAAAATAAGTGGCCAGGGGGGGCTTGAAAGGAAAAAGGCGAATACGGGAGTTTTCTTCGAGCGCGTGGACGCAGGTACGGTATTACAGCGCAGCACAAGAATCTGCCTGACCGTACTGACCTGTCCAAGGTGGCACCAATCGCTCGATTGATACCGCCATGTAGGACTTGATTGTTGGCGTCCATCTTATTGATGGGTTTACTTTTCCTGTTGCTGGGGTGAAGCTTGAGGGAGGAAAGCAATGAACGATGGATTTAGCTGCGGCGCAAACCTACGTCTGTAGTAGGTATGAATTTGGATAGTGTTTGAATGAGAAATAGCATTGATACCTTTACCTAACCTTTCAATTCTCACAGAGGTCGTGCTGTCCAGACCCCGACTGGAGATACAGACAAAAGCAGCCCGTTCGTGACCCTGTCCGGCAGAGGCCACTGCGGAGGCCCCTGACAGCAAACCTACAGGCATATACACGTATAGCCCAGCGCTGAAAGCTGCTGAAAGGCGTGCTTGTAATCCCATTTTTAGACACCCATGAAGCATCCAAGTGTTCGTACTCGTGGATACGAGGGGAAAGGGCAAATGTGGCATCTATAGTGCTCGTACAATATGAATGAGACTTGCAATTGGAGTTGAGGGATTTCGCGATGCGCTTCAGGCATTTACTCCCTACCAAGGTACCTGGCTTGGGTACATGTGCCTAGACGTCATAGCAGCCAGCCCGCCTCCTTTAAGAAATAAGCGCGCAAGGTTGCACATCAAACACTGCAGTGCCGTGCAGGTGCCGCGTTGCGCCGCAGGAGAAAAAAAAGGGAAAAGTGATGGATGTCCCAAGGCTGGTATCCAGGGTCTTGTAGCAGTCGTTACGGGGTACAAGCAGCCGAATACAGAGATCGAGCAGAGGCAGATCAAGGTTGGGTACATGTAGTCGAAAAGACCGGATGAAAAGGCTCTATGTAGTAACAGGCGTTCGACCTGACAATTAAGGAGCTGTGTGTTATGCAGCCGTTTTGATACGGGGGAGCTCTTTGAAGCAACTGTGTCTCTGTGGAAACTAGCCCAGACCGTCAATATTTATCAAACAGAATCGCTAGCTACTAAGCGTGAACCCCTAAACCCGTCGATTCGACGCTCCCCTGGCCCTTGCCGTCCTGGCACGATGAGTACTCGTATCTACAGTAGAATGGAAATGCGCTCGATGAGAACAGACACAAAAGGGAAGTTTTTATGCTTACCTCGTTATGCTCAAACCTTAGAGCAAGGGCTTGTGGAACGGGCCGGCTTTGCCCATCTCAACCGGGCTGATCTCGGCTATAATAATTCGACTCTCCGTAGTGGTAATGAATATCGAAATCTAACCAGCAGCTGCAGGGCCTGGCCTGATTTTCTAACGCCTCTGAAACAGCTCGCCGTATAATCGGTAAAGCTTTGCGCAGAGTTTCGTATAGATGGTTTCGCGACGAACGCTGGCTTATCAGATGAAAAGCTTCCTCTTCTTGTCCTTCTTTAGGTAGCTTAGGTATTCTTAGACTGTGTTTGTAATATTTGCTCTCAAGTGATCGCCCAGTATTTGTCTTCTGTAGTGCGGATGATGGAGCGAGTACATGTAACCTTTGCTGCACTCGACACTTGACAGATACAGGGATCAAAACTGACAGATGCAACGAACAAAAATAGAAGCCACACAACAAGTACCGAATCAATACCGATCACCAAAGGTACCGATCAACAAGGAACGCGGTATACATGGAGATGAGGTACTTGAATGTGGCGTAGACAAGATTTCGGAAAGGGAGCTAAGCTTTTCGACTTCTTTGTATTTCCCTTTCTGGCTTCTATCATGTTCCTGACACTAGGAAACATGAGCACGAGACTCGTCAAGCACATTATAACTGCTTAAAATCGAGGGTTCTTGATCAACATGTTGGCGTCCTGCTGGAGAATGGAATCAACTAGGGGTCTACCTGGTATAAACCCACTGCTACCTCCTAGGGATACCTCATCCAGGTAGCGGCACAGCTCTAGATAGCACTAACCCAGCCTTGCGTACATTAGCTCCAGCACTATGAAGCACTTCACAGGCGACTTCTGACGAAAAAGACTTCAATGTTCAATCTACCTTACTCATCCGGCCGCTCTCAGGGATAGTGCCGGCAAAAGTTCAGTCCATGCTGCGGGCTTCCACACACGAGCTGGAATCTAGATGTGGCGCAGTTGAGCAGACTGAGACGAAGTGCGCCTCGTTTGGGAGGGGGAATTATAAGGTGCTGAGCTCTCAGCGACTTACTGCCAGGTAGTATTAAAGCGTCATAATGCTCATCCCGTCGTGTTGCTGCTCGACGAAGCGTAGGACTTGGCAGCTCTCAAAGTAAACAGTACATGCCAGCCAGGCGTCGTGACACCGGGCTGCCGAGTATCAGAGACCTGCTCCATTAGCGGCCCAGGCCATAGAAGCACCACAGCGCCCTCAGCGACCAGGCGACCTGGAAATTACCTCCAAACTAGCCGCCCCTCAGAAACCACAGCGACTCCACGCGCTGTCAGCAGCCGCCCTCGACCGCCCCCCCAGTCCCGTGAGTCCAACAAAGTGCGCCCAGCTCTCCTCCACTGGCTGAGAATCTACGGCCTGTTGACTCTCTTCTCGCCATCACGGCTGCTTCTACCCTCTCGACGGAAGACAGGCCTTCTTTCTTACCACTTCTCCCCTCGTTCTGTGCCGGCGCCGTCGTTCCTCGGTTGCTGCATCTCGTCTCTCGTGCATGTTGACGCCACGCGCATCTCCTCTGACCTCCCCCATCTCACGACTCCGCGATCCTCTGCGAACTCTTCTCCCAGCCTGACGCTCTGCCGAAGCGAAAACCGACTCTATTGTTGCTGGGCTGTCACGCGGATGTCAGTCGCGCTCTGCTTTGGATCGTGAACCACTTGGGATACGCTGTCGCGCATCGCTCTGTCTGGAGCCGTGACATCGCTCTCAATTGGAATCCATATCACCAACCAGAGCCTCCCCAGCTGATGCCGGCCGTGGCCGCTACCCCTCGCCGACGACTGCTAGACACCTGGCGTTGAGACGGGGCAGAATCATCATAGCCATCCCCTGGACTGCAAGAGGAGCACGCGTTCGGGAGGAAACACGCCGCAACATCTGCCATGGCAACCGACCACAGCAACGGTCCGCCTGTGGATGTAACCCACGACGACGGCCCCAACGACCACACGAATGAACACACTGGCCATGCAGACGCCAGCCGGCAGAATGGATCATCGCAAGCACCCAACCCGACAGCACCAGGCCCCAACGGCTCCTTACCGCCGCCAGCAGGATATGCAGACGAACCCACAAACGGCAGCGAAGTGAGCCGTCCGCGGCCGAGAAACGGACGATCTGCTAGTGCCCAGTCGAGGGTTTGCAAAAAGTGTGGCCTGCAATTGACGGGACAGTTTGTCCGAGCTCTAGATGGAACATTTCATCTGGATTGCTTCAAGTGCCGAGTAATACCTGACCCCCTCCCCCCCTCTCGATTCCATCTCCTTTCCTCGTCCCCCCACTTTACCACTTCTCTACCACCAGATGTACTAACCTCCCTTGACAGGATTGCGGCGAGATCGTGGCATCCAAGTTCTTCCCTGCGGAAGATGAAAACGGAGGACAATATCCCCTCTGCGAGACTGATTACTTTCGACGCCTCGGCCTCCTATGCCACCAATGTGGTGGGGCCCTTCGCGGGTCGTACATAACCGCCCTCGACCACAAGTATCACGTTGATCATTTTACTTGCTCACTCTGTGCAACCGTCTTTGGCGCCCAAGACAGCTACTACGAGCATGATGGACACGTCTACTGCCACTACCACTACTCAACCCAGTTTGCCCAGCGATGCAATGGCTGCCAGACGGCTATCCTAAAGCAGTTTGTTGAGATATTCCGCAATGGACAGAACCAGCACTGGCACCCCGAATGTTACATGATACACAAATTCTGGAACGTACGTCTAGCCCAGCCGACTGAGGTGCCCCAGATCGAAGAGGGAGATGTGAGCGACCTCATCAGGGACCGCATCCGCGAGGACGAAGAACGCATGGAAGACAAGGTTTTCAGAATATGGAGTGTTCTATCAACGTTCGAAGAGTCATCTGCTGCATGCATATCTGACATGCTGCTTCACGTCAGTAACGCCTCGTACGTCGACGGTGTGCTGGTTGCGAAGCGTTTCATCTGGCACGTTGAGATTCTTTTCCAAGCTGCAGATAGGCTAGACGCCGCTGTTTCAACGCAAAGCGAGAAAGGTAAGCTTTTCATCAGAGGGGGGAAATGGTCCATCTCTATTGGAATAAATATGTGGGCAGTGGGTTATATATAGGATTCGGCGCTAATGTGTGGTTGTATTTATAGCCATGTCGTATGGCCGAGAGGCCAAGCTTCTCTGCAAGAAGATTGTGGCGTTCTTCTCCTTGCTATCAAAAACGCAGGACAATGGATCGCGGCAGCTGGGTGTAACCCAGGAGCTCCTGTCCCTCGTCACCGGTTTGGCCCACTATCTCAAGCTGCTCATCCGCATTTGCCTCCAGGGAGCGCTACGCTTGGAGCGAGACGCGAGCTCCAGCGATGGCCTTCACCAGTTTCTGGATAATTTGAACGACTTTGAGAGCTACAAGGGCGACGAGGGTCTTCTGCAAGTTACCATGGGCGGCAAGCGGCTTTCGGCCAAGGACTCGGATCACTGCGCGCAGTGTGGCAGGTCGGTGGAGGATGAGTGTGCCAAGACTGGCGATATGAGATGGCATATTGGATGTGTCAACTGTTCTCGCTGCCAACGGGAGCTTGGTCGTGCCCTGGAAGAAGCTCACTTCAACGCACTGGAACGCAAGATTTACTGCGTCACATGCATTGGAGGCAAAACCGACGGCCTCGCGCCCTTTACCCACATTTCCAAACTTCAACAATACGTCTTCCTTCTCAAAGTCGCACTGGCAAGACTGCTGGATATTTTGAGAAGCAATGGCGCCCTAACCTCTGGAGATATTGGTGCAGATGGCAACTTTGATCCCTCTCGTCAAAACGCAGGTGCCAGGCCGAGGCAGCCAGGCGATGCAAACGATAAAAGTCGCCGCCGCGAGTCAACTTACGAAACAACCCTCAATGAAGTTCGAAGACTACGCAGCACACGTCTCGACCGACACTTGTCATCTAGCGTTAGACAAGCTCGGACATCTCGTGTTATGGATGCTGATGGACGAGGTCCCCGTCCTGCATCTTCCGGGGGAGAGGATAAGACTCAAGGATCGACTGACCAGATGTTTGGGCAAAACGACGCCATCACATTGGACGATATTTCTCGCATCGTGGCCGTTGAGCAGTCTCGCGAACAACAACAGCGCCGTGACCGACTACCACCCAGTGATGTCCTGCGATCTGGCGCCCCTGACCAAGGCCTCGGCTTAGGCCACTCAAGGACGCAGTCGGTTGGGCCGGATCTACAGGCAGCTGACCCTATGATGTCTCGAGTTGGCAGGAAATTCTTCCCCGAACTGTCAGGCCTCGAATACTTTAACGTCAGACATCTTGCCGTCCTGATTATGCATCCTGTGGTCGAGTCAGAATTCACATTAGAGGAACTGTTGAGTTTCATTGAATCCAGAAAACCGGCCACATTCTGGAAGAATCTGGGCAAAGCCTTCAAGAATGACAAAAGCAAAGGCGTCAAGAAGAAGGGTGTCTTTGGTGTGCCCTTGGAGATTATCATTGAGCGGGATGGTGCCGACTCAACGGACGGCGTGGGACCTGGCACTCTGCGCATCCCCGCAGTCGTTGATGACATTATCTCGTCTATGCGCAAGATGGATCTCTCCGTTGAAGGCGTGTTCCGTAAGAATGGCAATATCAAGAAGCAACAAGCAATGGTTGATAAGATCAATGCGGAAGGCTGCGATACCGTCAATTTTATGGAGCAGCCAGTAATCCAGCTGGCAGCAGTACTGAAGAGATACCTGCGAGACCTTCCAGACCCTCTCATGACTAACAAGCTTTACAAGCTTTGGATCACCGTTGCCAAGATACAAGACCCGGCTCGAAAGCTACAGTGTCTGCACATGGCTATGTGTCTCCTTCCCAAGAGTCACCGTGACTGTTTGGAAATTCTTCTCACATTCCTCAAATGGGCGGGCACTTTCCACCAACTGGATGAAGAGGTTGGGTCCAAGATGGACGTAAGAAATCTGGCAACCGTTATTGCACCCAATATTTTGATGAACCCTGCCAAAACACTTGCCATGGATAGCGAGACTATCTATGTGATTGACGCAGTGGAGATTCTTATTGACAATATTGAAGAGATGTGCCAGGTAAGTATTCACATATATAAGCACGGGGGAATCTCGGCTGCAATGAAGCAAAGCAATATTAATGAGCTGATTTAGGTTCCGGACGAGATTCTTACGCTGCTCAACGACCCCTATCTTTTCAGCAACAATGGCGAAATCTCAACCAAAGAGATCATGAAACGCTACCAAGATATCAGAGGACAAGCTCCTGCCGAGCCGAGCGAGGTCTACAATCGGCAAGAGAGCTCGACCCGTTCGCCACCGAAGCGAGGCGAAACGGATCCGTCCGTCTGGCAGGGCGAGAGATCAGTCCGGCCGATGCAGGACAACCCTCCTCCACCAAATTCCACTACGCCGGTGCCACCGCCGCGGTTCAGGCCCCCAGAAGACCAGCCCTCTCCCTATGATGCCAATCAAATTGATCATCCCAATCCCCATGGGGAGAACCCTGATCACAGTCAGCGGACAGAGTGGCGGAATTCTGGCGTTTGGGGCCGCCAAGGCGGTGGGGTAGGTGTTGGCGAGCCTTTTTGATTTTGCGGTTAACCATTTGTGCTTTGTCTACTGATTTGGCAGGAAGCCAGAGAGGATATGTTCAGTATGCGTGTGTGTTGTTATATTCCCTTTATAGGAAATGCGGCCCGGAAACAGTGTCCATTATAGCATTTCTCCAGGCGTTTATCGATTACTTTTGTCCATCTTCACTGCAAACAGTCAAGACCGAACTTATTTACTCTGACGTTCGATACGATAATCCTGGCGATGCTATTTCTTGAGTTAGTCTTTTTCTTTTTCTTTCTTCACATATCTATTCACTTTTGCTCTTCTACTTTTACCCACTTTTGTTTTCTTTTTATTCTTGTACTTTCATGAGCGGTCCTGGTTGGCACTCTTCAAAAAAGTTTTTATTTGTATGCGCGAGTTGGGCGTGAATATAGTGTATAGCATATGTGGCATTTGAGTGCGAGCGATTAAGCCCCCACCCTTTGCAACTGCTTACCATTGTTGTGTTTTTAGTGTTGTGTGGAAATAAGAGAGTCAAAAGAAAGACGAAAGACGAAATCTGTCCGCCGGGTTTTCAATTATTTTTACATCTCTCCCTCTCTCTTCGTTTTGAAGGAGATCATAGCCTGTTTATGATGAGGCAAACGCCGGAAAGAAATCCTCTTTTGCCCATGCTTCCTAGAAGGAGAGAACCTAAAAAGGGGCTTATTACAACAACCAAGAACTCAAAAAAGGAAAAAAGGAAAAAAGCGTCATTCGATATGTGTGACACTTGGAGTTTCTTTTTTTTTAATGCTATGAGGGGAGGAAAGGGAAAGGGATGGACATGAAAGGATTTACTTTATTTTTTTTTTCTCTACGATCCAGGAGATTTGTTGTCTGTTTTATTTTTCTGTTTGATATTTTGTAGCCTTTTTGAGAGAGGGGGAAATCTGGAGATTTTTTGTGTTGGACGGGGAGTTTTTACAGAGAGAGATGAGACAGAGACAGATGAGGGTCGAGGTGGGGAGGTTGTGAGAATATATGAAGATACTTTGTTGGCTTCTTACTATGTTTGCCTCTTGTATGTGTGTGATTGCTGGACTGTGAATTATTACTCCTTGCACGTTTGTAAACAGTTTATTCGGGTTGACGATGGCTTATAGGTATCGCGCCCTTCATCTCTTAATTTGCCATGGCCACTGCTATGCATGCTTCCATGGGGAAATACTGCTTACTATCGCTACATTTTTCAAATACCTACTACTATCATAATATTTTTCTGGTATTTGCTACTGTCGCTATATGTTTCTACTATTGCTCCACCTTTCTAGTATCTGCTACTGTCACTTGCTACCATATAGCATTAGATCTGAGACACAGGATGTTGGATCACAGACTTGGGGGTGCTGGCTAGTATTTCCCTTGACTTACTATTGTCACCACCATACTTTACCATAAATCCATCCACCACGAAGTATCCTGGTAGCGATGAAACTCGAGACTCACAGATTCATTCCGCACACTCTCATCCAAAGAAGCATGTACATCATCCTGGCCATGACTACACACGGAGTGCGTGTTGTTCACGGCCCAGAATGAGTCAACTGCATGGTGGAAACCAACGAGTCAGAAAGCGTCTGTTAGATATATGCTCCCATCCACACCTTGTTTTTCTCGGTTTTTGCCAATGGTATGCAGCGAGAGATGAAGAAGGCCGCTTTAGTATTGGGATCGTCGTCTGACTCGCTACCGTCAATAGATCCTCACGTTACATGTCTCTAGTTTTCCCCCTTTGGAAAAGGGGAACAAGGACTGATGTTCAACAACTCAAACGTGCTTTTGGTGGTATTGTATGCGATAGTTTAGATAAGGTAGAGGGATATAATGCCTCAACAAGGTATTTACCTTTCTTTATATTATTTTTTATATAAAAAAATTTTTTTTTTTTAAAAAAAAAAAAAACAAATCATAGCTCTTGGCTCTCTAATCTAGCGATGGGCTCGAATCTAGCGATGGGCTCGAATCTAGCGATGGGCTGAAATCTAGCGATGGGCTCGGAACTGGAAGAATGTCCTGTCTAAGAGTCAACCAGACATTCTCCAAGATTATAAGCCTATGTGGGTGATCTAGCGGTATAATGCAAATACACTTCCATAGTATCCCCACGGTTTGATCAAGGTCATACCCAGGTCTTCGGTGCGATACTACGTAAGGCGAGCCTAAACAATCTCCAAGGCTGTTTAAGAGTATTACCCGATCTGGGTGATCCAGCGGTGTAGTGCAAATAATCTCTCCTAGCACAATTATCGCTTGAAAATAGTTGCTTAAGTAGGTAGTGCGTAATGGCCTCTCTCTTAGATGATCTGCAAGGCATCGTAAAACTTTCTCCCGGTCTGGGTGATTTTCCGGGGCGGTCTCAAGCACTTCCCTTGATTCGTTGAAAACTGAATCTAGTTGTTCTGTCGGACCGATGCTTGGGTATTGACGATTGTCATAGTTGCTCAACATGGCGGCCCGGCAGGGGTGGTCTTGAGGCATTGAGTAGATAGCTACTCTACCTATATCCAACGCAAACTGGAGGGTAAACGCGCTAAGGTGGTAGTCTACTAGCATTGTAGCTAGCGCATTCAGTTTCTCAGATACCTCCATAGGTGTGGCAACTTGAAGTGCTGATCCTGGAAGTGCTGCTGCATCCAGAGTTCTAGATTCTTGAATGTGGTGAGAACCAGCATGCGACGCGTAGGCTAGAAATTCATAGTCGAATTGGTATATATAAAATTCCAATACATAAGTAAATGGACCATCACGTTTCAACATCTCATACATATGTAGGAGGTAAGCTTGACAAATCTCGGCAAGTACCACTTGAGCCTGGTGGGCACTTATGGAGTGTTGCCAGCGTTCAGGTGAGACCGGAATTGCAGGTGAAGACGATTGTTGAAGAAATTCTCGAGCAGTTTGATGGATGAAATAAACCTTGTCCTGGTGAATTGAGATGAAAAACCCACACCAAGATCTAAGACGGGATTTAAAATCCTCTTTCTTTTCACGGTCAATAGTTCGTAATGAGACGTCAAGATTCATAGCTTCATTCATCTCCGCCACAGATAGCGGCTCATCCGCTCCAAAGATAATTGTCAAAGCTTTCCGGACCATCGGATCTTCCTTAGATTTGCTAAGGATACGCTCGTATGCTTCGTTAACACTCCCTGGAAGTGTTATAAGAGTCGATTCTACTCCTTTCAAGGTCTTTTTGAAGTCTTCCTCTTCCAGATAGTTGAATATTAGATATACCCATAGATAAGTACGATGGGGAGTCTCTTGTAGCCTTGTTTTCAAATACTCCGTAATATCGGCAGAGAGGCTCTTGGTTTTTGATAGCTGGCTAAGCCGATGCTGAATCACATGATCTATCTCGTGGCTAATAGCTTCTGACTCTTCTTCTCCTGGTATATGGATTTCCGGGAAGACACCCTCCAGGTTATAGAACTTAGACATGATCGCCTCGTATGGACGACATGTAAGAAGATATTTAAGCTTCCCACACTGATCGCTGCGGAATTGGCTCTCCACAAAGCGTATCAAATCCGGCAACTCGGATTCTTTGCATTCATCCAGGGCATCAAGCACGACTATAACAGACCCTGCCTGGGGGTCTTCAGTAACATCCTGTAAAATCTGCCGGAGCGATTTCGTAGAGTTGGTTAACCCCGGTCCGTCCTTGCGATATTCTTTTACAGCATATTTAATTAGATAAGGCTTCTGGGCGAAGAGTTGGTGAAGCAGCGCGCAAAGAGCCTGCCGGACGGTATTTTGGTCTTGATCTTTAAAGAAAAAGTAGCAGACGGTAGTCTCTGGTCCTGGGAGGACCTCGTCAACCAGATACCTGGCCAACACTGATTTTCCGCAACCAGGATCTGCTGATACCAGCAGTGGGCCATAGTCTTGTCTAAACCACGTGTGGAAGTGCTCGTGCTCAAGGAACCACAGGCAAGTATTTTCAATCCTTTTTTCCACTCTGTCTTTATACCACTCGTATGTGGCATCTCTGTCATCGCGTGTGAGGCGGAATAGCTGGTGACAACTTTCTTCTTCCTGTCGACGGCGTTCTTCTTCCTGAGTTTGGATATCCACCATGACAATGTCTCGGTGTTCCTCTGCAACATCACGATGTGCTCTCGCGATATCTCGATATTCTGTTTCAGAATCAATATATGCTAATATTGTAATTTAGGGAATTGCAGACTGACCAGATAAAATATCGCCAATTTGTTTCTCAGCTTGGACTCTGTTTGGTCGGATTAGATAGAGGAGATCCTTTGTGTACATCGCCGCTACCATTGCTGCATATCCCTGCCACTCCTTATTCCTATGCGAATCTGCATAATCACAGATTCCACGAATAACGAGACACGGAAAGTGATTCATCAGCCCCGCTGCTTCCGTCTCAAAGCACTTGACGTCCTTTTCTGCAGCGAGCTTGTCTCGAAGCACAGCGTCCTTCATTAGCTGGTTTGCTGAAGCAATCAGGCCATAATGGATCGTTGGATCGTCTTCATGGGCACCCCTTTCAGGTCGTAAGATGAGAGAAGGTGGATTATTTCCACATGATGTAACACAGCTTCGTTCCTCGTCTATAGGGTGGCAGATGTGACTTTGATATAATCTATCGCTACTTGGATCGGGTCGTTGGTATTTTCTCCGTAGTCTTTGTTTCGTATCAAAAATGGCACCGATTTTTGCTTTAATCTGATGCCCTTCCTCCTCATATTTCGCCTTGATGCCTGTTATCGCCGCCCGTAGAAAAGAGGGAGGTTGATTTAGGAATCCTGTCATTTGGAAGCTCTGCCCCTGAATGGTTTCTCCGAAGTCGTACTGGAATACATCACCGTGGCTGCTGCCATTGCCACGGCCCGGAGAGCTCACCACCACGTCCCCCAAACGAATATCATGCTTTGGAGACGGTGCACCCCCGCCTATACCAACAAAGAGCCCGACTCTGATACTGGGGAAGCTGTGTGATAAATCTGCTGCCACGCGTGCAGCGGAGGATATGCCGTACTCTCCATCTGGCAAAACGGCGATAACAACGTTATGTTTTCCAATTCGGCCCAATTGATAAGTGTTATTGTCATTAGTGGAAACTGTGTCAGGCCCTTCGTATTTTTCATCAAGCACAGCTTGGGCAGCAACATATTCGGTATCAATGGCGCAGATCCAGCCAACTGTGTAATCGCTCGGGTTCGACATCTCTCCAGATGGGCTAACAAAGATTAAACAAATGCGTATGCCTCTCCCTGATGCTAGAGGAAGCTCCTGCTGGCCTCAATTATCAAGCCGTGGATGGCTGGTGTATGAAGGATGCAGCATCTCGCGTCTTCGAAGGCGGGGGAGTGTCAGGCTGCGATTGAGCCGCATTCTCTCATTGGATAATCAGGCCTGGATATCAGTACCATTTGGCATTCGGCTGAAATATTATTACCTACCTATGAAACAAATTATTATCAGTAATATGAAAACATGTTATTTACACGGACATCCACAACTCGTGGAATAAAAAGGTGCGTATTAAAAGAATATTTGCAGGCGTGTATATAAACACACATGACTAAATTACTGCTATATCTGCATCCAAATCATGTCACTCATCAATGATTCGTAGAACCGATGGGTATATAGGATTTCCCACCTCTTTTTTCATCGCTTAATCGCTACCCTCTCTCAACCTTTTCACCAATCACTGCGTCTTCTTGGTTTCATCCTTCTTCTTCTCCTCCATAAACCAGCCCACACCGCGGTCAATGCCTTCCTGCAGTGTCCACAGAGGCTCGTACCGCAGAACTTGCTTGGCCTTGTTGATATTGTAGTAGCGCGTCATGGTCGATACCATGGCCCTGAGTCTGGTAAACGTAGGCGGCTTGCCAATGATTCCAAAGAAGATTTCGCTAGCCGAGCCGAGGAGGATGCTCATACCCCTGGAGATCTCCCAGACGCCCTCTGTGCCCTTGTCGTTACCGGCGGCCTTCCAGACGGCGCGCGCAAAGTCCCAGAAGTAGACGGGCGAGTCATTTGTGACAAAGAAGATTTCGCCGTCGACGCGCTCGTGGCTCAGGGGAATGGTAAGCGAGGCGGCGGTAGCGAGCAGCAGGCGGGCGGCAAGAAGGTGAGCGTGGGCAACGTTGCCAACGTAGGTAAAGTCGAAGATGTTGGTGTTGTCGCCGAGCTGGATGTGTGACTTCTTGTTGTCGTAGGCACGGATGAAGCCGGCGAGGGTCTGGACGTCACCCTCGCCGAAGATGCCAGCGGGACGGATGGACGTGGTGAGGAGTCTGGAGGGCTCTTGACGGTTGGCCTTGATGACCAGTTCTTCGGCAGCGGCCTAAATAGGTGGGTTCAATTGTCAGTCAGTCTTCTGAATTGCAAGTTTCAAGTATAGCAAGTGTCCATGATATCGCACCTTTGTCTCGGAGTAGTACTCCTTCTGCTGGGCGCCTCGAATCACGGGGTAACCCTCGTCTGCGTTGAATAGGTCGTTCTCGTTGTCGCTAATGACACTGGCCGAGCTGGTATACACGAGGGCTTTGACGCCGGTGTTCTGGCAAGCCTCAATGACAGCCTTGGTGCCGCCAATGTTGACCTTGCGGAAGAGATCGTGGGCCGTCTTGTTGTCGCCGCTGGCCACGGGGGAAGCCGTGTGGATGACGACGTCAGGCTTGACCTGCTTCAGGATCTCAGTCAGCTTGGCGGCATCAGTGATGTCGCACTCGTGGTATGAGGCCTTGTCGTTGATGTTGCGGGTGCATCGCAGGTCGATGGAGGCCACGGATTTGCAGTTCCATGAATCCAGCGCCTGGTTGACGATGTGGTGGCCCAGGAAGCCGTTGCCTCCAATGATGAGGACGCTGCCGAGGTCGCCTCTCTTTTCACCAGCCATTGCTGCGAGTGACGGTGCGGTGAGGGAGTTTTGGGTATGGATGGATGATTGTTGGAGGTCGATATCGAGATGCGATATGATGGAGTCGTGGCACAGAAAGCAGGCCACTGCTAGAGGTACCTGAGCTAGGCCGAAATTCTAGTGGTCCTTAGTGGGGATAGACCTGAAGAAATGGGGGATTTGGGGGAAAACGTGGCTTCAGTTTAGTGGGGGGTTCTAGATGCAACTGAGTCTAATAGCAATCCTCAATCGTGTTAAGCTAGAGCCTTTTCACGACGACACTTTTACAGACTTGGATGAACAACTTGCCATCATCACCAAGACCCCGGTAATTTGTGCGACCCAACACGGCGGCCTGCAGCTTATTTTCGAACCCTTGTAGGCGCCCAGCATTGCCCGACAAGCGCATGTTCTTGCAGGTTGCTGCAGACTGCGAACATGTATAAATGAGCCACCATCGTTTCTCGTCTCTCCTCTGGTGTTCCGTCTGCTATACATTTTCCAGCCGATGAATACGAGTGCCATGTTTCTGTATCCTTGGAAATGCTCTGCTCTTTAGCTCGGCAACGGATAGACGACACCAAATGGCAGAGAGTCGAGGGCATCAGGACCCGGACGTCGAGATCCTAGTTCACGTCACGGCACCAAGCAGGACGGCAGACGACGTTGCATATAGGCAGCTTGCGCAATCCTATCTTTCTTTTCAGCCCCAACGCCGGGTTGCCTTCACAGCTGATCCCATTCAGGAGCATCACTATGGAGATGGAAAAGATGTTAGCGAGGTGGGAGAATCTCCAACGCAAGAGACCGTTTCTTCATTCAACAAGGACTTCTCGGCAGTGACTTCAGGACAACCATGGGTTCCAGAGACTCAGGATCTAAGCTTTCGAAGCGTATACGATAATCGATTTTCACCGCCATTGCAAGAGAGACGCGACTCGGCAGACAAGTCTTTCCCAACCGAGGATGTGGAATCTCTCTCGACTCAGGTCCAATCTCCATGGCGTGCGCCCCCAAGCCAAGTCAACGATTCATACCCCTTACCGGATGCTGAGATACGCCAGGCCACACCAACGAGGGTTTTGGAGCACTATCTAAAGAACCTGAATTCATCAGCGCCTCCCAAATCCTCGCCCCCTGGCCCAGCTCCCAATGTTGATGAATTCACTTCGATAGCCAGCGCTTATGGGGGGAATATCCCGTCATCTATCCCCATCCCTCCTGGCGTGGACGAGGCTGCAAGCCAATCACTTGGATATGGAAGCGCTGCAAACATCATCCCGGTCACACCCGGAGTACCAGAAGTATCAACACGGAAGCGGGAGCAGTTCTCTCCAACTGTAATTAACGAGACCATCTACATATCGAGCAGTGCTCTTGACACAACTTCAGAAGCGGCCTCTTTCAGAGCCGAATCCGCACCGCCTCTATCAAAACGCCAAAAGGGACTCTCAGACGAAGCCGAAGCTACGAATCTGCAACGAAGCTCAAGTGACACCGGGCCCGTAAGGACCAATCAGCCGACAAGCACCTCATTTGCCATAGCAAAGGAATTAACCGACGCCTTGGAGATTCGACCACCATCACCCCCAGCAGGAATAATGGACCTCGAGCCCGCAGATCTGGTATCAGATAAACTAGCCAAACTAGCAAAAGACCTCTCATCTCGATATCGCCCCATGATAAAACGCGAAACAGAACCCCTCGAACGAGGATACTGGCTCCTCGACTGCACTTGCTGGTCCCAAGATACTCGTCACGAAGCCTGGGTCTTCTTGGCCAATTACCTCCGCAGTGGGCTCGCCGGCTGGGGCGTATGGTGTCGTCGCGATGAAACGCATACATGGATCCGCTTCTACTGCTGGGCTCATGTCGCCAAGCATACATATCTGCTGTTGTACCTCGCCAGCGGTAGGCATCTGAAAACTACCGGCGCGCAATGGATTGGTGCTGACGGAGAGGTTGTCTTGGAAGTGCTCCCCATGGAGAAGAAGTAAGGTAATTCTAATTATATCGGTGACCAAAGTTGGATATGAGCAACATAAGTTTGGGCATCGGAGTTATTGTCTCATGGTTATCATTTATATCTCTTCAAAGGAGAGCACATATCTCATGGCGACGGCGCCGAGGAACTATATTTTACTGTCTGGGGGCCAAATTCAAATAAGGGAATCCAATCAAGGGGCGTGGTTATAAATAGCATTCAATAACTGGCATTCATACACACGTTACTGTTCACACGTTGCTGTGATACAATTCATGAAATTCATGAAATACCCGTCAAAACTCAAGAACGAAAACAAAAACCCATTTTCTCACTCTCTCCCACGATCTCACCCTTTTTTCCCTACAACCAGCCCAAGACCCAGAGAGAAATATACCATAATAAACACAGTAACGTGGCAGAGGAAAAAAAAAAGACATGTCTACTCGCTTACAACACACGCACACACAAGAACACCATCCTTAGACATGTGACCTAAATCTAAGCTGCAGGCGAGGCAAGCTTCTCCTTCCAGTACTGGTTGCCCTTCTCTCTCAAGGTCTTGGCTTGACCTTCTGATCCTTTGTTGAGCTCATTAGCCCGATCGACGTAGGGAGCCTTCTCGCTGGGGCTCAGTGACTTCCATTGCCCGCTAATGGTCTTCATAGCATCAGTAGCTTTTTCGGCGCCAATCAGGCTATACTGCTCCTTCAAATACAGAGTGAAGGCGTTTCCAGAACGGTGAGGAAGTCGGTCGTCGTGGATCAAGTAGATCTTGCTCTTGTCAGTCTTGCGAGCCAGGCGACGACGAGCCAGGTTGGCCGTGTAAATCGCCTCGGGGGGAAACGACTGGACCCAGTTCTTCTTGGTCTCTTGGTTGGCAATCTTGTTGGAGTTGCCGACTGAGGCCAAGCGCTAAGAAAAGTGAAACAGCCAAGTCAGTAAATCTGGTCTCTTGGGGAGAGTCAAGGGAGAGAAGGGTCTACCTCTTTCTCGGTCTCGGTCAGGTTCTTAAAGCTGGTGGAAAGGGCCTTGGCTCTTTCTATGGCTGAACCGCTGCTGCCGCGAATGTTATCGACCAAATATACATTCCAAGCTGTCTCCGGAAGCAAGGTCGGTCCTTTCAGCAGCGACATCTCTTTCAGCTTCTTAATCTCAGCCCTTTCCTCTTGCTCAGGCGTCAACTTCTTCTTAACTGCCTTCTTCGGCTTCTTGGCAGCGACCTTTTTCTTGACGGCCTTCTTGACAGGTTTCTTGGCCTTGGGCTTTGTGGACTTCTTGGTCGTCGTTTTCTTCTTGGCCGAGGTCTTTGACTTTGGCGTGGTTGACTTGGCCGCCGGCGAGCGCATAGATGCCGAGATGCTAATCGTGCGCACCGATGGCGTAGCAAGGCGCAACACCAATGCGCGGGCTGCTAGGCCCGTGGATTGGCGCCATGGAGCTGCCGCGCCGGAGCTGATGAGCACGCGACGAAGGGCCGCGAGAGTTGCGGATGACAACATTTTGACGACTCGACTTTCGAATGATTCGGCGCAAATGTAAGGGGCGTTGACTGTGGAAGAGATGCAATTACAATGCGAATTGTGCAGGCCGCTGTCGAGAGAAAAGGCGAAGAACCCCGAATCTTGTTTTTTCCTCGTGCAGTTGCTGGAATGGTGTTGTGAAGTGACGAGGATTGGGAGGGGAGGAACTGCCGTTGCTATCGATTGCCGCAACCAGCCCTGTAAGCTCTGCTGCTGCTGCTGCCGATTTTAGAGCTCGCTTGGGAGCTGCTGCAGCTGCTGTGCTTCCCTGACGTCTTCTATCGAACGATGCAAAGTATCGAAAACTTCGTCCGTCGCCGCAAGCCCCGCCATAAGGGACGTATGCTGTACCTGGTGCCCGCATGGTCCAAGCTTTCCCTCCCTGCAGCCAATCATTGCTGGTGATGTCAGATTATGTAACCACTGCTTGTAACTTTGTAGGCTACCGCTGGGACGCGCGATCACAGCATCACCAGCTCTCCCAAGACAGCGAAGCCTCTCTCACTGTTCGGTTTCTCGCTCCCTCCCCCAATTCATCCGAGCCGCATATCTAGTGCCTTTGAGCAGCCTCAGCAACAAACGGATAAACACTCCGTTTCCGCTTTCGAAGAGCTGCCGCAGATTCAAGCAGCTGCTCAGCTTCAGCTTCCGTCCTTACCCCACGTCGCCGCCTCTTCTTCACAAGCTCTATAAGCCAAGATGGATCACCGTCCGCAAGCATGGGGTCGAGTACGAAGGCCTCGAAGATACACTATAATTGCAATTCGCTGACTCTTCTGCCATAGCCGAGAGATGACGTTTACGGCGCCTACGACCACTCCTACATGCAGGACAATGGGCCCAAGCAGAACACTCAGCAGCCCATTGTCACTGGTACTTCAGTAATAGGCATCAAGTTCAAGGACGGCGTCGTCATGGCGGCTGATAACCTGGGTTCGTCTTCTTTGCCTATCTCTTCTTGTTCCCTTCTCTCGAATCGTCCTCCACAACGCCGTTACATCTCGTTGTTACCCCCCCTCCCCCTCCATCTCTGAGTATCCAAGCTTTCAACAAGACCAACATTTGTTCACCTAATTGACCGTCCCTCAACTAACTCTCAACCACTACAGCATCCTACGGCTCTCTCGCCCGCTTCACCGACGTCAAGCGTCTCCGCACCTTCGCCGACTCCTCCATCGTCGGCTTCAGCGGCGACATCTCCGACATGCAGTACCTCGACCGCCACCTCATCGACCTCTCCCTCTCCGAGGCCTACGAGTCCCCCGACACGCCCCGCCTCAACGCCGCCAACCTCCACCGATACCTCTCCAAGCTCCTCTACAACCGCCGCTCCAAGTTCGACCCGCTCTGGAACCACCTCCTCATCGGCGGCCTCGACGACAACGGCGAGCCCTTCCTCGCCGCCGCCGACCTCCTCGGCAGCACTTACTCCGCCCCTTCCCTGGCCACGGGTTTCGGCGCCATGCTGGCCCAGCCAATCATGAGACGCTATGTCCCTGATGAAGAGTCGGCCAAGAAGCTCTCCCGCGAGGAGGCCATCAACATTGTCAAGGAGGCTATGAAAGTGCTCTTTTACCGTGATGCTCGAAGTCTGGACTCTTACTCATTAGCTGTTGTGACCAAGGACGGCGTCGAGCTCAAGCAGGACGAGAAGCTAGAGGATCAAAGCTGGGCGTTTGCGGATAGAATCAAGGGCTATGGCACTCAGACAGTCTAAAGTCAGGGGGTTAGTTACTAAGACATAATTGCGGCCTATTCTGTTTTTATAGTGCAAAGAAATGAAAAAAGATCTTGGCTCTTAGATGAGCAATAAATTTCAAAGAAATTCTGCCTCCAGGAACTTCTCCATTGATGCCCAAGTCACTTCATTCTCTCGTTGTCATATTGAACAAAATGATCTTTTTACAATTTATGGATTATCTAGATTTCCAAGCAGACGCTAGAGCAAAGTCTACAAGCAGACGCTCAGGACACATGTTTTTCAGTAAACGAAAATGCACTCTGCCAAGACGCTCCGGCAGACGCATGTCCTACGTAAATAACAACAGCCCGCCTTGCTTTCGCCTATAAACGAGCTCGGCCGCACTGACAGTTGAACCCTTCTAAGGTCCTGATTACATACAAAAATATAAAGCGCATCCTCCTAATACAGAAAAAATCATTGCTGAGCCGTTAAAAGTTCCCTGACTGCCAACTCCTCATTATCTTTTAATACGTGGCAGCAAAAAAATGCCCCTGCCACGTCAACATCCATCCAGTGAGTAGAGCCGACCGGCGTCTCTTTACTCGACAGTGACGGACTTGGCCAAGTTTCGAGGGAAATCAACGTTGAGGCCCTCAAGAACAGCCAGCCAGTAGGCAATCAGCTGCAGGGGAATGACGTTCAAGATACCCTGCAGGCAGTCGACGGTCTTGGGGATCTCAATCTTGAGAGCATCCGAGGCCTTGAACTCCTCATCGGCAGGGTTGCAGATGACGATGGGCTTGCCACCACGAGCAATGACTAGAGCGAGCGTTAGCGTTGTGAGAAAAATAAAAAAGAGTGTTTTAATTGGAATTAACTTACCCTGCTGGTAGGCGTTGAGGGACTTGGTGAAGATCTCGTCACGAGTGAGGATCATGATGATGGGGAGGTTCTCGTCGACCAGAGCCAAAACACCGTGCTTCAGCTCACCAGACATGACAGCCTCGCAGTGGAGGTACGAGATTTCCTTGATCTTCAAGGCACCCTCAAGAGCGGTGGAGAACTGGCTGCCACGGCCAAGCAGCAACAGAGACTTCTGATCCTTGAAAACCTTCTGGCACAGGTCCTTGATGGGCTGGTCCAGGTCGAGAATCTGCTTGATCTGGGCGGAGACGTTGGAGAGACCCTCCATGATCTCCTCTCGGCGAGCCTTCTTGGAAGCACGGTCCTCGCTAAGGGAGAGAGCGAACATGACCATGGCAATGAACTGGGAGGTGTAGGCCTTGGTGGAGGCAACACCGATTTCGGGGCCGGCGTTGACGTGGACACCGCAGTGGGTGAGGAGAGAGATGGAGGAACCGACAACGTTGACGATACCGACGGTGAGGGCACCACGCTCCAAGCAGTATCGGAGGGCCATCAGAGAGTCGGCGGTCTCACCAGACTGAGAAACAAAAACGCAGGTGTCGTCTCGGAAGACGGGAGCCTCACGATCGAGGAAATCAGAGGCCAGCTCAACGGAGATGGGGATCTCAGCCAGCTCCTCAAAGATACCTCGGACAGCCATGCAAGAGTGATAACTGGTACCGCATGCAATGAAGATGATTCTACGGCATCGTCGGATAGTAGAGATGTATGAGCGCAGACCACCGAGAGTGACGGTCTTGTTGGCAACGTCAAGACGACCACGCATGGTGTTGACAACAGACTCGGGCTGCTCGAAAATCTCCTTCTGCATGAAGTGGTCAAATTTGCCCTTCATGATCTCCTGGAGCTCCAGCTCAAGAGTGTGGATAGCTCGGACGTTGGAGCTGCCATCGGCCTTCTTCAGGCGGTGGATGTTGAGGGATCCCTCGTGGATGTGAGCAATGTCGTCATCCTCAAGGTACAAGACCTTCTTGGTGTGCTCAACAATGGCTGAGGGGTCGGAAGAGAGGAAGAACTCGGTGGGCATGGGCATGCCATCATCAGTCATGAAAGCACGCGACTGGGAGCGGTGCAGGAGAGACTTGTCAGGGGCACCCAGGGCGCTGGAGGGGGCCAGGAGGTCCCCAGCGGCGGCCTTCTTGAGGGCAACGGTCTGAGAAGCAGCCTCGGCGGAGAGAGCAGCGTCGTCCTCGCCATACTCGACGTCGACGAAGTCGACCTTCATGCGGCGCTGAGTCTTGACACCAATGACAAGAGGGGAACCCTTTCGGGCAGCAATGACCTCGTGGGGGTAGTGAACAGACTTGATCAGCAGACCATAAGCACCCTCAAGCTCCTGGATGACGGCCTTGATGAGGTCGGTGAAGCCAATCTGGGGGTGTTGGTCGTAGATGTACTTGGCGAGCTTGGCAATGCACTCGGTATCGGTCTCGGTCTCAAACTTGAAGCCCTTGCTGGTCAGGAGGGTCTTGAGCTCCTTGTAGTTTGTGATGATACCATTGTGAACAACAGTGAACTGCGAGGTGGGGTCGGATCTGTATGTGGCGGCGGGCGTCTTGTTAGCTTTCTGGATCAAGAATTGTACATAAAAATATAGGGGGAGACAAACCGGTGAGGGTGGCAGTTGAGAGTGGAGGGGGGGCCGTGAGTAGCCCATCGGGTGTGGGCAATACCGGCATGTGAGTCGAAAACCTTGGTCAAGTCCAACTCGGACTCGTCAATGAGCTTCCTCAGCTTGACCACCTTGCCAACCTCCTTGAAGGCCAGAACCTCATTCTTCTTGTCGCCGTCGATGGCCAGACCGGCGGAATCGTATCCTCTGTACTCAAGACGGGACAGACCTAGAAAAGGACCAAGGCGTTAGCTGTCAAATTGCTCTCCACGTCAAGTTTGCCAAAATACCCCTCCATCGATGCCCGGGAATAAAAAGATGGGAGCTCCTTACCGTTCAGCAGAGTATCAAGAATGAACTTGCGGTCCTTCTCCACCAGGTAGTTGACGTATCCGAAAATGCCACTGTGGAAACAAGCAAAGCAGTGTCAGTGGCACGTCAATTGACAATTAGGCTCACGTCTCTGAGGTCATGACAGCACCACAACAAGAAGACGGATGCAGAGAGCGGGGCGGTGAATGGTGGGATGGAAAGCTTACCACATGATTGCTGATGATGTCTATGGACAGAATAGAAGCAGGAAAATGCAGGATCTCGCAATGAAACGAGAGCTGGACGAGACGGGAGAGAAGAGGGAATCAACAATAAAGAAGAGCGCGCCAATATAAGCCCAAGATAAGGTGGTAAGATGGTGGAATTGGCTGGGACTAAGGGGCGAAGGTTTAGGTTGGTTTGGTATAAAAGGAGGGGAGGCGCGGACAGATGAGTTTAGGTTTGGGCGGCACGCGAAGGTGGGAAGTATTATTCTATATGTACTCGTGCTGTCTCGCAGTGACGGGCCCTCTGACTGGGCAGTGACTTTGCGTGCTAAAAACGAGCAAGGCAAACGTGCTCGTACCTGTTACTCCCTTGGCAGAAGACAGGAAAAGGAGCACTGGCCAGAAGTAGCGGAGCGAGGCTTTGGGGCTCAGCTTAATGTGGAGAGGGTGGGAGGGGAGAGGGTCCGAGGTGGGCAGCGAGCTTAGGTGGGCAGGGAGCATGCGGTACCGTGGAGGGACCGCACGATGGGGGCTCCGAGCAGCTGGATGTCAGGTACAGCTCGGGTACAGGCCGGGTACTGGCTACCAGCTGGATGACGGAGATGATCTTTGGCGGTTGTTGTTGTGCTGTTGTTGTGCCCCTCCTACACCCTCCCTGTTTGGCCTGACCTTGCAAAGAGCAGCACCATTTTCGTCTCCCTGTTCGATTTGCTATCAATATTATGCTAAGTCTGGTCTGTGGTACCTCGTACTGTACCTGCGTCGCAGACCGTGGTCGAATTTACGAGCTTCCAGCGGCATTGATGTTACACTATTGGATTGCCGTCATTCACTCACTCTGCCTTGTTTTGTCTGATCTACTGTAGAACTCCATGCAAAGTTGCAAGCGACTAGCCTCTTGGCCCCAACGTCACCGCTACCTACCGATAACTTGTATTAGAATACGGAGTATACAGACCAGATACAAAGCCATTCACGCCGCTGTCATATGCCACTGATTCCCACCAGCTTGTAAGCTTGATTGCCAAAAGCGGACCAAGGGACTCAAAGTCACCCACGTCCCCAGTTGATTGATGCCCAGGGGGTGTGTCAAGGTGTGAGTGCGAGTGTGAGTGTGAGTGATTCGGAGCTGAGCATGTCGGGCGTGAGATGGACAGATGCGGACGATTCCGCCGCTTGACAAGCCCGTCCGTCCACGGCTGGTCATGCTCATGCCTCAGATGCTCGTACAGGCCAGACTTGATTGCACTTGTACGAGTACGCATCTCGGACTGCGCGTGCTGGCAGCTCCCGGCCGCATTGGCTGGTGGCGGGGTCGAGGCTTTACAGCTTGTGCTCGTCCCGGCACGGCCTTATTCCAACATCAAAAAGTATAAGCACAGCCAGAAGCAGAGGCAGAAGCAACAGCAAAAGCAAGAAAAGACTCCCAATGACACTCGCCCTCGATATCGGGCATCCATGCTTCCCTCTTGCTTCCCCGGCGCCGGACAGAATGCCATCTATGCCATGGCATTGATAGTGGACAGGACAGTAAACACATCTGGCGCGGTGACTGGACAACGCCCTGTGTCGTTCCCGCACTAAGGCGCCCCTCAATTCTCTACATCTCGTTGGTGGGGCTCCGTCGTCAGCGTCGTACAGCAAAGGGTGCCACTGTCTTGTCTGTATATCCCACATTCCATCATCTACAGCACCCAACGTACTCCATCTTTTTGTCTCTTGTCATCATCGTGTCCAACACAGACAGACTTTTGCAAAAACCCACCCGTCAAGTCACAAACCCTTCAGCCAAACCAAAAGCTCTCCCACTCCGCCCCAGCAACCGGTTCGCAAAGTTCCAAAAGGCTAGGCCCTTCGCCGCTAAAAAACTGGTCCAAACCTGACGCTAGCATTTCTCGCCCATCCCATGTCCCTTTTTTTCTCTGAATGCGTTAGATCAAGGGGAAAAGGAGCCTCGTGTGGCGTCCACCAGCGACTCACCACCATGCCACCGCCCGACCCTGATTCCGGCCAATCCCCTCGCTCCAGCCGTGCTAAAAAGCGTCTTACACAGACAGGATCCGTACTATGCTCCGTCCAAAGCCCGTCCGACTTGAACGGTTCGCCAGTATTACTCCGTAGCCCTCCCGTTTTTTTTTTTGCTTGTGGGCAAAAGTAAGCTGCGCTGCTCCAAAGCACAGACGGACCCGGACCCATCAAAAAAGTCAGGCACAGGTTTCACGATTTTGATTCAAAAAATAATCGAATCAGGTAGAATCACAAGAAAATCGCCTCTGGTGCCGTGCCGCACGAGCAAATCCTTCCCGTGGCACCTCCTGGGAGACGTCATAAGGCTCGTATTCCGGCCAGGTACACACACCAGGTCCGTCTCTATTGTTTTTTCCCCTTGCCCCCCCTCTCTTCCCGATAGAAACCACCCCTGTCCGTTTCTGCCGGCACTGTACTAGAGGGACGTCCGGCAATACGGAGTGTCCTGCTGAAAATAGCCCACCCCGGGCCCGTCGATGAAATTGCAGCCTCGTATGCTCGTGATAACGCTATCGCTCCGACTCGGTACCAACGTGAAAAGAAGAAATTCGCTAATACATAGCCCGCCGCGCCCTCTGATCGTCATCCAGGCCAAGCATTAGATGGAAGAAGAAGCAATCAATCTAAACCCTTGCTTGGCGCCGTCCCCGAACAATCCAGATCGCGCTTGGGCTGAGAAGGTTCCTTTTCACAGCCTCATTGATTTGCCCCTAGCACTCCTTAGTAACGGTTCGTTAGCTCAGCTCTTCTATTTTTATTTCCAAGAATAGCATCACTCTGTTTACGCGGCTGAGATATGGAGTCTCCATGAATTTCGACAGCCGCGATGCAATTTTTTCTTTTGCATCATCTGTCAACTGTTTCTTTGTCCAGAGTCTTATTATTAGTAAACGTCAAGTAATGCAATCTCCGCAAAGCCACCATGGATCTGTCGCCTCCGGTCAGGCTATCTGCATACCTAGCTAAACCCATCCTCCTCATCACGCACACCGCGGCCCCAATAAAGGCATACACACACAAAAGAAGAAAAAAGAGCGAAGAGGATGATAGCAAACGAGAGCAACAAGTAGGCAAAACATGCTCTGTGGCTTGCCTCCCATTGGAAGTCCGGTCTCTACTAAAATCTGCCACCTTACTGCTCCTAGTATTATCTCCCCTCTGACTTCTGACATCAGCAATAATAATCGCCATTCTGCCTTGCTCCTTCGCCAGCCCAAGTTCAGCCGCCCCTTCTTAGTGGTCCATGCTAGCAATTTTCAATGCTATAAGCTCAATTGTTATCGCATGACTTGATTGCGGCAATTTGCAGGGCTGACATGTACTCAGCGGAATATCTGTAGTACCTTAAGCCATGGCACAACACTTTTGACTACTACTAGGTACTTTATTAGAAACGTCAAAGAAACAATGCCAAGCCTCTGTAATCCTGTAGCACTCCTATTCCGCAAATATCTACAAGCACGTCAGCCTTACCCATCAACACCATGTCCCCCAATACCAGGGCCCATCACCAGTATCAACAGATAGATCCCTTTAGGAGGCGGAGTCCGATAATGCCAGGTAGTTGCTGATGCATGTCATTCCTATGCCAAGAGCTCACTCGGCATTTGCATCTACATCATTTCATTATTATACAGTCCTAAAAAGTACCCATATCGGTATGCTTCTTTTCACTGGCGCCAGAAAAACCTTCTCAATGACCCTCCCTTGAAATGCTCTTACAGCTTCTGATACTCGAGCTTGCCCTCCAGCTTCTTCGCCTCCATCACCTTACGCACCGCCCTGTTGAAATCATCCTGGTTAACCGACTCTCGGTAATCTTTAATGGCAAACAGACCACTGTTTTCTCGTTGTTAGCAAGGACCTGTTCGTAGGTTTCCGGATTTGGATGAACCACTCACGCTTCAGTGACCACATTTCGCAAGTCAGCTCCATTCAATCCGTCGCTCATCTTGACGACGCTTTCAAAGTCGATATCGCCATCGATGACAACAGAAGAGGCATGGATCTTGAGAATCTCCAGCCGTCCAACCTCATTTGGTAGCGGGATCTCAATCTTTCGGTCCAGACGACCAGCACGCAGCAGCGCGGGGTCCAGGGTATCCGGTCTGTTCGTAGCCATGATAATCTTTGTCTTGCCCAAGTAGTCGAATCCGTCCAGCTGGTTGAGGAGCTCCATCAAGGTTCTCTGGATCTCACGATCGGCACTTGTACCCTCAGAAAATCGTCGTCCTCCGATGGCATCGATTTCGTCCATGAAGATGATGCACGGCTCGTGCTCTTTGGCATAACCAAACATTTCTCGGATCAACCTCGCAGACTCTCCTATATACTTGTCGACAATGGCCGACGAAACAACTAGGAGTTGTTAGCCTCCATCTCCCATGCAACCTTTGCTCTCTCATCTGCCAAACGCGACTTACCTTTCAGGAAATTTGTCTCCAGACTGCTTGCAACGGCTCTGGCTAGAAGGGTTTTCCCTGTTCCGGGAGGACCGTAGAGCAAGACACCCTTGGGTGGCTTGATGCCTACTCTGAGGAAGAGCTCTGGATTCTTCAAGGGAAGCTCGATAACCTCTCTCAGCTCACGAATCTGGTCGTTAAGTCCACCAATTCCTGCAAAGCTGACCTGGCCAGGGTCTTCCAGTGACATGTTGTAGACTAGCGGATCGACCTCTCGCGGGAGCATACGCATGATCGTGAGCGTCGTCATATCGAGCGCGACACGTGTGCCTTGCTTCATCTTCGTCTTGTCGACCTTGGATCTGCAGCCCACGACATACCGGGGACCAGATGACGCCTTGACGATGACTGGAAAGCACTCAAGGTTAGCATCATCCTCGGAAACAGCTTCCCATCCCAAGATCCTTGGCAAGTGCCCTTACATCTCTCATCATCCAGCTGCTTCAGGACTTCACCAATAATCTGTCCTACACTCTGCAGCGCTTTGATGTTCTCCTCTGTCCGGTCATATTCCTTCTGGAGGTCTTTGATCTCTAGTCGTAGGTTCTTGAGCTTTGCCTCCCATTCGCGGGATTCGATGAGCTTCGTCCGGTAGGCGTTGAGGGCCGCCTGGCGCTCTTCTTCCGCAGACATGATTGGGGGAGCTGCAGCGATGGTAGTATTATGTTCCGTAAAGTGCGTCTTCAATTCCAAGGGTTTTGTCGTTGGTTCGGTGGGAGCTTGCTGGAGTTGATGGTGCTAGATCGGGTCTTGGTGGCTGCTCTTTGAAATCGTTGGAGGCTTACCTCACTCATTGGAGCCTTGAGCTAATCCCTGCCACCGCTGCTCGGCAGAAGATCGGCACTACCCATTGCAGCTCCAGCCCCTCTATGGAGTGCTAACTGCATATTACGACCATTTGCTCTTCACTATGAGATACCTTGATAGATACAAATATCAAATAAATGGCTTTGTTTATTTTCTGAGCTTATGCCAATTCCTTACATTTCTCATGCAGCATCACTACCTTTCCTTCCTGAGATTTAACAGCTTACCATCAGAAGACTCCTCACATGTTTCCTCTCCAAGTCTAGGCAATCTACAGAGTACATTCAGCAGAATAGGCCAAAGAGCAGGTTGATGTAAGATATGTGTCTGCCTCAAGCAATTGGGCAAAATGGCAGTTTAAAATTGTGCGTTGTCGGCGCGGAGAGTTTCTTATATACATGTTACATATCCCAAGGCCTTCTTCGTCCCATGCCCCCGGGATAAATGTACAGGGATCTTTCAATGCCCCGCTACCCCAAGTCTCGAAGCTCTAGAAGTCCTCCAGACCCCTCGTTAGGTATGCTGGCATTCCCAATGATGTGTCTTGAACCTGCGCGCGGGACTCTGGGTTGATGAAAGTGGCATGACTCCTCTGATCGTGGGTGCAAATGCTTCCTCTCTGTGATAGGCGTGGAATAACATGGTATGTTCGACTGCGTTAAACGTATTGACTGGGAGGGAAGGCGGGGTCCCCTATTCGGGTTGGTGAAGATATGCTCTTCATTTCTTGTTCTCGCTGCCCTCAATTGCATCGTCTTTCGTCTCTGTCTTGGGTTCGCCGTCTGCGTCGAAGCCAAGGGCATCCAATTCGCGAATGAGTTCGTTGATCTTGATGACCTTAGCGATCTGCTCAGGCAACAGACCTTCGCCTCCATCCTTCTTCATCTTGAGCTCCTTAGCTTGCTTCAGTTTCTTCTTAAGACTTCTAGCCTTTTTCTCGCGCTCAACTTCAGGATCAAGCTCTTCTGCCTTGGGCTGACCATCTTGTGTAGTTGCAGTTGCATCGGCCTTGGCCTCGCCTTCACCTTCACCGTCGCCAGCTGCCTTGGCCTTTTTCCGGGCCTCTCGGCGTTTCGCGTTCTTATTGCTTGCAGCCGAACCTTGGTCCGGCTTCTCGTCTTGCGCAGAGGCGGCGCCAGGAATGCCTATTCGCTTTCCTCGTTCGCGAAAAGCTTCTGCTGGTCGATTCTTGTAGACTTGGACATCTTCGGGGGGCTGGTAGCCGGGTCGGATCTTGATAGCCTTGCGTTTGCTTCCGTCGGCTCGAGTAGATTCGGGGATGTGACGCTCTCCGCTGGCCTCGTCTGTTGTAATACCAGAATTTGTCGTAGCAGGTGCCATTGTCGAGGCTGCAGACACAATGGTCTGAGAAAGCTCGCCGTAAAGCAGGTTGTTTGATTCGTAGTGACTCAGCGGTGCCCAATCACAGCCCGTTCAATTGATGGCTCGGATGCACAGGCTTCCAATAGCATAAAAATAGGCCTCTCAGGCACAGCTGCGGATTGGCCAGGCGATGTTCGATGCGGCAGCACTCAGGCAACACAGTGCCTACAGTTTGCGAGACAACTTGAAGCTCGGATGAGACCCGAGGCGTGACCATGCAATGGACAGAAAAAGGTGGCCCAACGCACCCCCACTATTCTGCGTTATACTCCTAGTGGCTGAGCTTATCTCAAGATTTGGCTTCCATGTCACAACCACATGTTAGCCATGCCGTTCTTTAACGCCTATGTATTGGGGCAATGCTACCTTAATTAGCTGGTACTTGTATCCTAATACATGACCTTTAAAGTCAGTACAGCAGATAGTCAGACCTGAAATCAAGGGGAATGAAACAAGACTTCTTGAACTTCCTAATCTCAACCTCTAGCATGGCCACAGCCCTGTGGGATTATCGAAGTAGAGAAATCATTGGCAAAGTCGTAGCGCTTTGATACAAGAATCGTAGGTCAAAATTAGGACACCTTATTCTCCATGTGAGTATTTTCCAGGGTCCAGGCTTTTCCGATTTATTCGAAAAGTTTCGCATTTCTCGAGGTTCGAAATTTGAGGGCTCGTTTCACGCACACAGTCTCTACCGAGGTGAGTTCTACCATCCATATCCTCTCACATAGGTATGCTCCAATAGGTCAGCCATCTGATCTGCCAAGAGAGCAGTCAGCACTCTGTGCAGATGAACATCTGCTATCAACAAATAACGAGCCCACGTTGATATAGGAGCCACGCTACCGCACGTATCACAGGCCAATGATACGAAAATGCGATTTGTTGTCGACTATATATTCATACATACTAAAATATGGCTAGCTATGCACACGAAACAGAAAGACACTCATAACGTTTAGGTTTAAGAGACATCCCCTGGTAAGAATAGGGAAAATACAAAGAGAGACGGCTGCTACGGAGCCTAGGAGTGTAAGGGTATGAGTTCCATCAGAACATCCACTGGTCAGTAATGGAAAAGCACTTAATCAAGAAGATTAGTATCAAATTCCGCCTTACAAATTAAAGCTGGTAAATGCAAGAGAACGAGAAAATTCACTCAGTGATTCGTGGTAAATGAATGCAAAGAACTGACTGAGGCTATAGGCGGGAGCCGCCGGGTTGAAATTGTGGAGCGGAATCCCAGGTTGCCGCTGGCCAATCAGCGTTGCTTACTTTCTGCTTGCGCTCGCGGATTTCCCTAGCAGAACTTCTTCTGAGGCCATTCCTAACCTCTTCAAAAACCCGCCAACGACAGCACCTCGGTCTCTACGCAATCGCGACTGCATTAGAAGCATTCAATTGCTCGTCAAAGTCAACATGGTAAGCAGCAAAAAGCCGCAATCCGTTCCGCCATCGCATCACAAGCTAATCGCGCACATGCGCAGTCTCTCGCACAGTCTATCTACAGGCAAGTCGCAACGACAGCGAATCAACGAACGTAACCACGGCATCCTAACATATAACTCTGCAGCACCGTGTTCCGCAAGAACTTCACCATGCTTGCGGCTGTTTTCGGTGCCGGCTTCGCTTGGGAGATGTATGAGGAACCTACCACATTCGATCGAGAGTCTGGGCAGCAAAAAGCTAATTAAGGGTGCAACAGCGGTTTCAACGCCACCATGAACAACATCTGGGACAGCAACAACCGAGGCGTAAGTGCTGAGTCGAAAAGAGGCAATGACTGGCCGAGAGCTAACCAGGAGACCAGCGCCAATGGAAGGATATCCGACACAAGTACATTGAGGGCGGCGAGGACGAGGAGTAAGATCAACATGCAAATTCCGGTTGCTACGGCTAGAATGGGTGTGGCATGGGACTGCCTGGGGAAAATGTACAAAACCAACGAGAAATAGAATGATTCACAACTTTTTCCTTTCCCTTTGGCCTGAATCACGGCTATCATACCTCTGCACCCGGCTAGCACCAACTTATCCGCGGGCAGTCATACGATGTCATTACCGATCTCTGCACCTGTGCACAAGCACTCGGGAAGCCCTCATGACCCATACTATCTCCATGAAATGACTCTCCAGTGGCTCTCCGTAATAATTGTGTATGATGAATGCATCCACTTCTTTGGCGGGACTCAAACATTGTTCCAGCGCCAACTGACGTATTGTGACCCGGTACTTAGTCACAGAGGGGCAAAGGTGGAAGAACTCTCTAAAAATTGGTGGCGGTCGCCTAGACAGCTCTAGGGACTGTCAGACCTTCTAGCACCGCCTGACAGATAGCTACAGCGGGTTAGCAGGTAGGCAGCAAATAACATTCGCCGCCTCAAAACAAATCTACATTTTCAACCAGAGCAAATCAACACATCATACCAACATAGTCGCATACCCACAGCAACGACGCTGCAACATCTACGCTCTCCTTGTTGACAGGTCCTCTCTCTACCGCGCCAGCCCCAGCTCCAGCTACGGGCCATCTCGTCATTCTAACGAGCATTTCCTCTGGAGCTGACACCACCAACAGAACCCCCACCTCCCGCATTGCGCACACGCCTTCGGTCAGTTGCAGAACGACGCTGCATCATGAGCTCATGAGAATGGAGAACCCTTTATCTACTCAAGAGCAGCAGCTCTGCCAGCTACTGGCAGATCTGCCCGCGCGATTCGACTATCGCTATACAGAGGAAGCTTCCCGAGAGCTCCTAACCAGCCTGTTCTGGTCGTTGGCTGGCGGCAACCATGAATACATGCGACTTCTGTTCCCCGAGGGCAGACCGTCCGACAGTCTGAAGCTTGGTGATGCTCAGGGCGCTGTAGAAGGTGCCGAATACACAGAGGCGGCTCGAGGGAAGCGATGTGGTCACATCTTCAAGCCTGGTGAGGCATCCTATATGTGCAGGACATGCGGGACGGACGAGACATGCTGCCTGTGTAGCCGATGCTTTGATGCAACAGATCACACGGGGCACATGGTGAGAATCCAGATCTCAGTGGGAAACAGTGGCTGCTGCGACTGCGGAGATGATGAAGCTTGGAAAACGCCCCTGTTTTGCACTATCCACTCTGATGTGGCCTCTGGTTCTCACACGAGCGGTGCCGGAAAACCTGCCTCGCTTCCTGAAGATCTCGTCAACGGCGTACAGATGACGATTGGCAGAGCCTTCGATTATATCTGCGATGTTATATCTTGTTCGCCCGAGCAGCTGCGTCAGACAAAAACAAAGGATTCAATCCTAAAGGACGAAGAAGCATCTCGTTTAAAATCAACATATTATGGCTCCGATACCCAGGCTTGCACTGATTTTTCACTAGTGCTATGGAATGATGAAAAGCACACGGTTGATGAAGTTAGAGATCAGGTAGCTAGGGCCTGTAGGAAAACTCGGAAACAAGCCAATAATGACGCCTGGGAAACCGACGCAGTTGGACGAAGCCTTTTGGTTTTTTCAGACAATGTCGAACGGCTGCTACAAATGTCCAAGACATTAGAGTCTATCAGAGTCACAGTCACCATCCGATCAGCGAGAGACACGTTTCGTGAGCAGATGTGTGGTACTTTGATCGAGTGGCTAAGTGATATATCTGGTTGCTCAGTTGGCCATGATAATCACATCCTTCGACGAACCATATGCGAGGAGCTGATGAGGCCATGGAGGAAAGGAAGCGCCGCAACCCATACTCTAGGCCTTATCGACGACGAGGAGGCAGATGACCAGCGCCTTGAGACGAGAGCTAGGATGCACAATGTCAACGCGCGGTTTATTCTCGCCCTACAAGCTGCCGCCGGTGCCCAGGGCCTAACATTGGATCCTGATGACGGAGATGATGATGACGATGACGACGACGACGCCGATATGGATGATGACGAGGATGATGAGGACGATGAGAATCGTTCCGTCTCGGATGACGATGACGTTATGATGGTAGACGCACAGGGAGATGTTCCTGAACTAGACATGACAATAAGGCCCAACGAGGCTTTGGAGGAGGACGAGGCCACTCTAGCTGGATACCCTCCGCCGCCTCCACCTCCACCTGTTCCTGCACCTGCCGCCGAACAGGCACAGGAGCAAACGACTCAGACTACTCAGCAGCGTGAGAGTACGCCATCCGATTCTGACATGCAGGAGCCTCTCATTTCTCAAAGTATATACTCCAAAGCGAATGTGAAAATTCCCAAAACACCTGGCAAGATGGAAAAGCTACTGCCAAATCCTGGACTCTACTGGCTCGAGACTCCGGCGGCCTATACACAATCGGGCAACGTGCCACCGGCGGAGGATGTTTTCCAGCGTGTTCGCTTAGACTGGCTGCTTCTTTTCGACTTACGAATGTGGAAAAGGGCCAGAAATGACCTCCGTGCACTCTACATTTCGACAGTAGTCCAGATTCCAGAATTCAAACGAGTTGTGGCCCTTCGATTCGCTAGCCTCTACACCATCCTAGCCCAGCTGTATCTCGTTGGCGATAGGGAGCCAGATCATTCCATCATCAATCTCTCTCTCCAGATGCTGACGACGGCATCCATCACTGCAGAAGTAGTGGAGAGAGGCAACTTTTTGACCAGCTTGCTGGCAATTCTGTTTACATTCTTGACGACCAGACAAGTTGGTCACCCTTGGAATCTCTCCCCTGTTGCTGTTCTTGCCTTTGATAGCGGATCCGTCACGAATAGGCGCATGTATCACTTCTACCAAGATCTGAAATATCTCTTTAGCTCTCAGCATGTTCAAGAGCGACTCAGAAGTGAACCAAGATACCTGATGCAATTCCTAGATTTGGTGAAGCTTCACCAAGGCATTGGACCCAATGTTCGCGCAGTCGTCGAGCACGTTGAATATGAAGCTGATTCCTGGATTACGGCCTCTCTGGTTACCAGGCAGATCAACTTGCAAGCAAGGAACTTGGCTGAGGCGTTTCGCAATTGCCCGCCCAACGAGATACGCAATCTCATGAACGCCATCCGCCTGGCCGCCAAAGCTGCCACGTTCAACTCCGTTGGTGCGGATCGACTCAGGTTCAAACAAGCGGAAATCAAAGACGAAGTAAAATTCAAGACGATGAGTGACTTGGAGTTCGATGTCGAAGGCAAATCGTATGATGTTGTCAAATTCGTCGTCGAGAAAGATGCCATCAGCTTCCACCACGGGCTGCATTACACCTTGTCTTGGCTAATCGAGTGTGGAAGGTCTCTTCCGGCATCAAAAATGCGCGCTCTCTTGAGCTTCACCAGGCAAGAGCTCAAGTCAAAGCCAAGGCTCATGACAATAGGGCCTTTGCAGATTCCCAAGAAGGAGTACAGCCCGGAGGACTATTTAATGGCCGTATTTGATTACCCCCTCCGAGTCTGTGCTTGGTTGGCCCAGATTAAGGCGAATATGTGGGTTCGAAATGGCATTAGTCTTCGTCATCAGGCGAGTACATATCGCGGTGTCGGGCAGAGAGATGTTTGTCACCACCGAGACATTTTCCTTTTGCAAACGGCAATGGTAGTTTGTGATCCCTCTCGTGTCTTGGCATCCATTATCGACCGATTCGGAATGGAAAATTGGGTAAAGGGTATCTTTGAAGTTCTATCAGAAGCTCAAGATGATACTCAACACCTCGACGTTGTTGAAGATATGATTCATCTTCTCATTGTTCTCCTGAGCGACCGCACTTGCTTGATTGCTCCAGAGGATGAACCAAATTCTCGTCTGCTGGCCATGCGCCGGGACATCATTCACGTCTTGTGTCTCAAGCCACTGTCGTTTAACGAGATTTGTCAGAAGCTTCCAGAAAAATACCAAGAGTCAGAAGAGTTCCAACAAGTCTTGGATGAAATGGCCACTTTCAAGCCACCGGAAGGCGTATCTGATGTGGGCACTTTTGAACTCCGACAAGAGTTCATTGAAGAAATCGACCCCTACATCGCGCACTATAACAAGAATCAGCGCGAGGAGTCTGAACTTGCTTACCGCAAAAAGATGGCCAAGAAGACGGGCAAGACTGTGGAAGAAATTGTATTTGAACCTAAGCTTCGACCGATACCGTCTGGTCTATTCCAACATCTCGCAGAGTTCACCAGCACGGGTGTTTTCGCACAGGTCATTTACTACTCATTGTTGTACGCTCTAAGCGCGCACAAGTTTACACCGCTTGTGCCCAGCACTAGGATTGAAACATTTTTGCAGGTTGTTCTTCATCTCGTTTTGCTCGCCACCATGGAAGATGACAGCGCTGAGGTTGATGCTTCGGGGAAACCCTCCAAATCATTTGTCCACACGGCGCTCACAAGAGTCGCCCGAAGCAACTTTATGCCTGACGCAAGTAACGCCAGGACCATTGTTTCGCTCTTGGACATGCTATCTACCAATGAAGACTTCAAGGCAGTACATCCCAAAATTTCTCTCGTCCTCAAGCGCCTTAAGCAGAAACGACCAGGGGCGTTTAATGCAGAGTTTGTAAAGCTTGGACTGCCCGTAGATCGCATCAGTACTGCGTCTCCGGCAAACATATCTGCCGACGAAGAGCGCGAAAGAAGAAAGCAAGCGGCAATGAATCGCCAAGCAAAAGTCATGGCACAGTTTCAGCAGCAACAGAAGAGCTTCTTGGAGAACCAAGGATCCATTGACTGGGGATCGGATCTCGACGAGGACGACGAAGAGGACATGGAACAGGCCGAAGACCGCAAGCACAACTGGAAATACCCGACGGGGACTTGCATCCTGTGTCAGGAGGAGGCTGACGACCGACGTCTATATGGTACTTTTGCCCTCTTGAATGAGAGTCTCATCCTTCGTCAAACGGATTTCCAGGACCCCGATCTCGTTCGGGAAGCTTCACAGACTCCATGTAATCTCGACAGGTCAGCAGAGGACATTCGCCCCTTTGGTATAGCTCAAGAAAACAGAAAGATGGTGGAAAAGTTGAATTCCCATGGAGAGACATTCCTCGCCGAACGGCAGACCATTGGTAGGGGATTCGATGCCTCACTTTCTCGAGCCGGACCAGTGGCCAGCAGCTGTGGGCACATGATGCATTATCGTTGTTTCGAGCAGTACTACGAGGCAACCAATCGTCGACATACCCACCAGATCGCGCGGCACCACCCCGAGAACATTCTTCGAAACGAGTTTGTGTGCCCTCTTTGCAAGGCCCTGGGCAATGCTTTTGTTCCTATCGTCTGGAAAGGACTGGAGGAATCATACCCTGGAAATCTCCAAGCAGAGGAGAGCTTTGAGGATTTCCTAGACAAGCAAATATCATCCTACCCATTCGGCGGTAGCAAGGCTCGTGAAGTAGATGATTCGAAGCTGCCCGACATTGACACGCCAAGTCTCCCCGGAAGCCTGCTGCAAACACTGACGCCGTCAAAGCCTCGCCTGGAACCGATCTGGGTTAAAGATGAACTAGACGCACGATCATCAGCGACGCTGGGAGCATCAGGTAGCTCTTCAGCCGCGGCCGCGGCCGCGGAGACGTCAGAAGCAGGCGCTAATCAACCACCTGGTGCTGGTAACAGTCAGCTATTCTCGGAACTTTTATCCGCCTACCATCGACTGAGGGATACGCTGGTTGTCAATAAGCTAGACACTCGGTACCCAGTAGATAAGATGCAAGCAGGCGATGAACTCCACGCAAGTGATACGCTGGTTCAAGTTGTTGGATTCTCGATTTCCGAGGTGGAAATCCAGCAGCGTGGAATTGAAGCTCAGCCAGGAATGACCTTGATTGAGAAGATCCCAGAACAGGTAATAGCTCATTTGCGAATTCTTGCGGAAACAACCTCGGCATACATTAAGATAGGAGGCCGAAACCCGCATCCTGGAGGTCGAATAGAAAGCGAGTTCATTGCAGATGCTGAGCAGCAGCACGGCCAGCTGTTCATGGCGCAGCATTTCGGAGCAGAGGCTGGCGATGCACGTCGCCGGCTGTACAGCTACCCGCCGCTGCTGACGACAGACCCCTTCATCTTCTTGGTAGAATGCAGCTACGCATTGGTGCCGGCCGGAAAAGTCGACATCATGCATGTTGTCAGGCTCTGCTACTTGGCTGAGATTGTAAAGGTGGTCTTCCACATGGGCCGCAACATGCCTGTGGGCTTGTGGTTTGGTACGCTGGCAAGCCGGCAGACTCAAGATCCAGCCATGAATAACTTTGCCGATTTTGCCTTGGCCCTGAGCAAACTTAGCGTGGAGTTCCAGGCAATGGCTGGCATCGATGCCATGGCTCCAGAATTGGGAGAAAACCGAGGCTTCCAGCAGCCAGGAGTTGATACTTTGGAGGGGTGGTATTCGTTTGTGAAGAAGTACGCATCGGTGTTTTTGCGAAAATGCGTGATATTCCTCCATGTCAAGTACGGTGTGGACTTTAACAGTCACGTCTCGTCCGATGCCGGCGCTGATGAACTGGACCGCCTCACGGAGGCGCTGCGGCTGCCGACGTTTGATGAAATGTGCGCAGTCATGACGGTGGATTCGACGACGTGTGGATGGCCCAGCACTACCCCGGGGTTGGTGACAGGTTGGGTGAAGCACCAAGTGCTCTGGACTAAAGGTTATCCTACCTCGATCCCCTCAGCGGTAGTCAGTCATCCCGGCATATTCGAGTTGATTGGGCTTCCGCGAACATTCGACACGTTGATCGAGGAAGCAACAAGAAGAAAGTGCCCAACGACGGGCAAAGACCTCACAGACCCGATCATTTGCCTCTTCTGTGGAGAGTTGCTCTGCAGCCAGGGCACATGCTGTCAGAAGCCTGATACGGATGGTTCCAAGATTGGCGGTGCCCAGCAACATATGCGAAGGTATAATTCTTTCCTTACCTCCTTTTCTACTTGAGAAGGGGTCCAATGACTAACTCTTATTCCAGATGTCAGAGAAATATCGGAGTGTTTCTTAACGTACGCAAATGTTCTACAGTCTATCTGTTCCACAAATCGGGGTCGTTTACGCCTGCACCGTACATTGATAAATATGGCGAGACGGATCCCCAGCTACGCCATGGCCGTCAATTGTTCTTGAATCAGAAGAGATACGATACCATGATCAGAAACACGGTGCTCAAACATGGAGTTCCAAGTCTGATTAGTCGAAAGTTGGAAGCAGAGATTAACAATGGCGGCTGGGACACCTTGTGAGACTGACTGTTGGAATCGTAACCCGAGAGGGGATAAGTGTAATGAAATGTGGAGGGAATGTTGTTGCTTCGATTTACTCCTGGCGGTATCGGGATGATCCATTGTTGGCGTATGGGGTGAAATTCGAATGTTTCTATATGTGCTTATACAAGGAAACGTTTGGGTGTTTCAGTGTATGTAGGAAACGGCAGAATATTACAGGTTTGAATTATGTTTGATTCAAAGCATTGGAACGAGCTCTTTTGTCAGTTCTTCGGGTGCAATTCTTTGGTGAATTTGAATCTATTCATAGACGTAAATAAGGAATCTTTGTCCTTGTAACCACTGAGATAATCAATCGAGGGTCAATGGATCTTCTCAGCCGTGTAGTGACTGTTTTACTATTGTAATTTACCAAGCATATAAGGACAGTGTGGTTTCACAGTGTTTAAATGAGATATGTCACTGTATTGGCAAACGACCAGCCAATCGGGTCACGGCGCTCAAGAGCTAAGAAGCAACGCGCCGCGATACAAGGGAAGGCAAACGAAAGGCGCTGGTTGGTTCGCCCGCGAGGCTTTCGCATTTGTTTTCTGACAAGCTTCAACATTTGCCCTTTCCTGCTGCGACAAACAGCGCTCACGATTCAGGTCTTTGTGCGTCGGGTTTTTAAATTCACTAGCAACGAGAGCAAGAGCAAGAGAAAGAGCTTGCGGGGGCAGGGACGATGCCTAGCCGGAGATCAGGTCGCGCGGCGGCCAAAAAGGCTGCTGCTGCTCTTGGTACGTTTTTTTCTTTTTCTTTACAAGAGCCTGCGAGCGATTGCTTTGACTACAGGCCCCCGGTGTTGGTTTTATGTCGATGTTGTTGTCTGGCAGTGTCTTGCACATGATTTACAGCTGAATTCTTTTTTTTTTCTTTCCTTTTTCTTCCTGTCCGGTTGGAATCGCATCTTGCTAGATTCTACATTTGTTCACTCGACGACGAGGATCATCATGGGGAGCCGGCAGCGGATTCGAGTCAAACTAACCCGCCGCACAGGAGGCACGCCAAAGGGCTATGCCGATATCGAAGATGAGCCCATGCCCGATGCCGAGGCAGACGCGGGCGCGAATGCTTCTGCCGACGAAAAAGACGAGGACGTCGATGAGAACGAGGCAAGGGAAGAGGAGTCTGGAGATGACGATGCAGAGGCCGCGGATAATAACGACGATGGCGACGAAGAGGACGAATCAGAGGCATCCGCAAAGGAGCCAACGCCGCCTCCACAGCCCGTGATCCGTCGAAAGCGACTGGGACGGCCCCCCAAGAACCGGCCGCCGGACTGGGACAACATGGTGACTGTCACCAAGGAGGAGGCCGATACGCCACGCCGAAGAGGTCGCGGAGGATGGAGAGGACGAGGCGGCCGCAAGGGAGGCCCTGCGGCGCCCAAGATGGAGCAAGTGATTGATGCTGAGGGCACCGTGGCCGACATTGTCGACGATGAATGTGTCCTCCCCGAGGACCCTGAAGGCGAGACCAAGGTTGACAAGATGGGCAATCTGCTGGATGGGCGCGACTACAGGTGCCGAACGTTCAAGGTGCTTGGCCGAGGCAATCGACTGTACATGTTGTCAACTGAGCCGGCGCGATGTGTTGGCTTCAGGGACAGCTACCTCTTCTTCACGAAGCACCGCAAGCTTTACAAGATCATTGTGGACGACGAGGAGAAGCGCGACATGATTGAGCGAGACATCATCCCCCACTCGTACAAGGGCCGGTCAATAGGAATCGTCACGGCTCGGTCGGTGTTTCGGGAATTTGGATCCAGAATTGTCGTGGGAGGCAAACGCATCATCGACGACTACGCCGTCACACTGGCTCGCGAAGAAGGTGCCGTCGAGGGGCAGCTGGCCGACCCTGACGATCATTTCGTGGTGGGAGAGCCATACAACAAGAACCAGTATGTTGCATGGCACGGCGCCAGTGCCGTATACCACACCAATGCGCCTTCGGTGCCGGTGCCCACTGGCAAGGTCGAGTCCAAGAAGCGCAAGGTCAACGTCAACGACACAAACTGGATGCTGGAGCATGCACGAGAAGCAAGGTACGTGAAAGATGGCTTTTGACGCACTCTAATGGAAACGCTGTCTAACACTTGATTGTAGTGCATTCAACGCAGGCATCAATGCCATCAGAAAGCTGAACAACGCCGGCGTCTACGACATTCACACGAATATCATGCAGTATCCAGCTTCGATGCAGCCAACGCTTGCGCGTATCGAGCAAGTAGCGCCACAAGACGAAGAAGCCACCAGAGGCCATGCCATGTTCCCCCCTGTCCCTCTCAAGATGAGCAGAAACTTTTCCATCATTGACACCTACTTTGAGACACCGTCAGCTGGAGGAGCTCTTGCAGCAGTTGAAACGTCGGATCCGGCAGACTTTGTCTCTCAGTTTAATGGACTGAGCGCCGTGTCGGATGAGATTAGGGACCTGCTACCGCCAGACTGCCGAGAGGCATTCAACAAGGCGGTGCAGAGAGAGGAGGGTTGGAGATCACGCTGGGGCTCCGAGGCTACACACATGGCACGAAAGGACCCCGTAATCGACAAGGCCATTGTTCCATACAACATGACCGGGTGAGATGGGGGATAGGTTATGCTTGAAGGGCTTACCTATTGTCGCGGGCAACTACAAAGGAAGGGAGACATGGCATGAAAGTGTCTCCGAGGTTTGATTTTGTAAATGGGCGTCTCTTTTTGGCCCTTTTTCTCCTTACTGCTTATCAAGACGGAATGGATGGCCGGATGCAACAGATGGCGTTGGGAGTACTACCAAGAAGAAGGTGGTGATTTTAGTCAAGAGAGTTCACCCGCCCTAGGATATCTCATCTATTAGCTGAGGATGGATGCGGGATCGCAAACTCGTTGAGTTAGTACTAATACAAACAAAAATAATAAGTCTTTACGTATCGTCGTCTCCAGATTGTAATAGGTCCGAAGCGGTAATTGTCGAATAAACTTCAGATCAGCTGGTAAGATTGAGGTTACACTAGGATTCGGTTCAGCCAGCCGCCAGCAGCAAGATGTGGTAAAAAGGGATGTTGCCGGGCTGAGGCCTTGCATTTTGCCTTGCGCTTGCATTGCATGAGAGAGCGGCTGATTGGAGATGCTGTGGCCAATGGCGATGAGTTGGTGAGGAAGTGATGTGAATGCGGGATGTAGCGGACTGCGTATTCGTGATGCAGAGAATGGACGATTGGATGTGAGGGCATTGGGGTTTATTGTGTAGGATTACGGACCTGCCTCTGCTGTCGTGTTCGGTTCACGTCGAATCGAATAGATGTGCTCCGTGTGCCAAGTCTTCCAGCAGGGATCCTTGTAAAGTAAAGTTGCAACTCTTCAGAAAAGGGCGTCACGATGTTTCCCCCCCAACAAAACTCTCCCACCTTTAGCTTCTTTTCTGTTTTGGTTTTTATTAATCATTACTTCCCCTGCAACACAGTTTCTGCGGGATTAATCTAGCAGCTGTCATGTCATGCATCGAGTTTCCCCTCCCTCGAAATGCTACTCTCCTTACATTTGCCTGCAGATGCTTGCACTTGATCATGCTCGTGCGTTAGTGTGCATATATGGTGCCCATTTCGATGGAGGGGTTCCTCCCCCATGCAAAGAGGGGACTTGAAAGACCCTTTTCTTGTAGAATCCGGCGGGCGTAAAGAAGAAAAATTAGTGAAGAAACGGACAAGAGGAGGACAGAAATACCGAGACCATTGAATTATACACCTGTTCTCTAAAGTATCCGCTACTACATCTACATTTCCCTAGTAACTACTACTATATTTATATTTCTCTAGTAGCTGCTATTATATCTATATCTCTCTAGTAGCTGCTACTATAGTTATATATTTCTAGTATTTACTACTATAACTATATTTGTCTAATATTTAGTATTACTTCTATGCGACACGGGATGCTAAATAGTAAAATCGGAGTGCTGGTTGAAAGGTAGGGAAACGCCAACAAAAGCATTATTTGATGAGCCGATTGGATGCTTATATTGCTGAATGTATGCACTTATTCATTTTACAGTCTTGGTTTTTCTAACCTCCGCTTGACGGGGTAGGTAGGCTACACTTATGCGGGAATATGGAATGCTGGGGGTGCGGGATATGACTGGCATGATGGGGATGCATTGAAGATGCAGAGGGACGTCATAAGAAGGGTCTAGATGCCTGGAGGGGTTCATTGATTTGAGGCTAATGTGGGAGGTGAAGATGGGTAATGAATGAAGAGAGAGATTTGGAAGAGAGACGGAGATGGGGTGTGTCTTGAAGATGTTTTGTCCGAGGTGTTCGTGAAATGCCGGGACGAGGTGCTTTGAGCTGTCAGCGAAGTGCATTAGACACACATGTGCTGTATGTAACGTTCTTCATTAATATGCATGCAATAAATGTAATTAATAGCTAGTTTATAAATCACACGCCAACAAACTGGCACAGCAGATGCGTCTGATAAATGACCATGGCATTATACGCCCAGCTCCGCGTATTCTCCTTATCAAAAAAGTAAAACCCAAACAGCGGCACCACGCCAAGCACCTGATCGTCCGGTAAGTCCTTAACCGCGTCCTTTTGCTTGCCAACATCAAACATGGTAAAGTCCGGGTTGAAGCGCAGGCCGTGGCGGCCGAGGATGTCCGTGGCGCGGGAGGCCAGCGTGATGAAGGCGTCGAGGCTCCAGACGGTGCCGGCGCGGGTGCGCGAGAGGGCCTCATCTTTCCAGTGGCCGAGCTCGGTGAGGAAGGTGTTGCTTTTGCCGAGGGCGGAGAGGACGTTGTCGACGTCGGCGGTGTTGATGAAGCCGATGGACTTGGGTTTCTGTTTGTTTTGTTTCTTGCGTGTTAGTGATGTTGGTGGTGTTGAGGAGTGTAAGGGGGGACTTACAGGAGGGACGGCGGTTGTGTCAGACATTGTTGCAATGTTCTTGGTGTTGTTTTCTTATAAAAGTTTATAATAGAGAAAAAGAGAAGATGTCAGTGATGATGATGATGATGCTTTGACGGCAATACAACTGGCATTTATATAGTTATTCCACGGCAAGATGCACTCAAGAAGGACATTGTGTATTTAATGCTACAAACTCAATGGCCATCAGAATCCACACAAAAGGCAAAGATGCATATGAAAGAAGCCATGTCGAAGCTATTCATTGGCCATTGAGATACATATCTCAGCTGCCAAGGGTGCTTCATGGTAGCTGAGAGTATGCATTTCAGCTGCCGAAGCGGGCGTGATGCTATACCCAAAGAGTGCGGATTACACAGAAGGCACATATTATCAAGCAATGAACCACGGCAAATGAGGAAGCAGAGATAAATTCGTGTTCTTGAAAGGAGAAAGATCAACGCAGCATTTTATCTTATTTGGGATAATCTTTCGACATCTTGCTTGGAGAGGTAAGTGTATTTCTTAAGAGAGGCTTTAATCCTTTGTCGTGACACAGCCACCGGAGTTTTTACAAGATGACGAGATGGGGGAACAACTCACGATTTTAGTGGTTCAATTCAATTGATAATAAAAGTAGGGACTAGCTATTCAAAATCTCCAGTAGCTATCCAGCAACGCAGCGACTACGTGAAATTTAAGCATTAGAACCAGAAAGCCTTTTATCTGGTACTACTAGAAGCATTTATGTAAGTGATGAATGTAATACCTACCTGGTAGTCTTTAAGATATCTGCTACTATAGCTTTATTTCTCTGTTATTTACCACTAATCTACATTCATCTAGTAACTATTATTATAGTTATATATCTGTAGTATTTACTACCATAACTATAGTTATCTAGTACTCCGTATTATTTGCAATATAGGATGTTGAATAGCAAAATTAGAGGGCTGAATAGGCGTTCCCTAAAAGTAATGTGTACTACCTGTATATTCAAATTGTATAAAGAAAGCTACAACACCAATTATCTACATAAAATATTCGTAGCATCACTATTCCCAACAGCAGTATAAACTCAAACCGGTTACATACCCTTCTCCATGTCATTCAGCCCAAAACTGCTTCACTCTCCCTGTCAGCATTCCGCACAAACTCCAGAAATCTCCCAAATGACATGTGATGCCCTCACTCCCATGCTCCCAATACCAATGCCATTATAAAAAAACATCTTGTCATACACCAACCAACCCCTCTATCGCACAAGAAGAGGGGCAGCTTCACCGAAACCCCCTCATCATGCTCCCGTCTCTCATCTCCATTGGTAGGGCATGCAGCTAACCAGCCAGCCATATTCGTACATTGTTGCATTTCCTTCCCGTCTTTCCGTTGGCTTGGCTTGGTCCAATCCGGCTTGATCTCAAAAGGGGGGAGCCGAGCAAACAAACCTCGGTGCTCAGATCAAAAGCCATTCCAACCTCTTCACTTCTGCCGATGCAAGCCTCAGTTCACATTCCAATGCAAGTCGGTACACGCCATACCCCATACCCCATACTTTATAGAAGCAAGGGAAGAACCACGTGTTGTTCTCATAGTCTTTTATTTATATCTCGGGGGCCTATACACCATCCACTGCACCAGTCCCACTGATAACCAGAATGTTTTGTATATATGCCAACTACCTGTAATAGTTTGATAATCCAATGTGAGTAAGAAAAAAAGATGAAGAAGAAGAAAACCACCAATTGGACGGGCAACTGCTGAATTTAACCCGTCGACGCCGTACACCAAAAGCCCATGCTCTTAAGCCCCATTAATCTATGTCTCGCAAATTCTTGCGTTTTGCTCAGATCTTGCTTGTATGTTTCTTGATATGAAAAATTTCCAGCCCAGCTTGCTTCTTGAATAGTCGAAAAAAAGAAAGAAGAAAGCAATATTCTTCCTCGGTAGCAGATGAGACCACCGTCAAAACATTGACTTGTTTCCGTTACTTGAATCGGCCAAGTCTTTCTTCGTCGTCCTCTACTAATTCGTATGCCGGTCGGAACTCTTTGTCGTTGCCCTGTTTCTTCAGTTTAGGATTCGGTAGCGTATCACCTCTTCCGCCTAGGCTTGTATATCCCTTCCAAATTTGTCAGCTCCATCTACCCATTGAAAAGCACAGCTAAGAGACAATGGACATACCTGATCATATAGGGAGCAGTATGGGATATCCAAATGCCGAGTAAACGCCCAAATCTCAGCTGTTGACAAATCTCGTTAGCACACACATTCATATATCATTGCACAGAATCAAGCCACTCACTATAATGCCAATCAATCACAGGATGTATCCGCATAAAATCAGGCCATCCCGCATCCGTCGGGTCGAAATGCTTCAGCTTCTCGCCATGCGGATCCGTCCGCCGCGTCCCCACGAAAATCGCCCGAATGCTGGGGTTCTCCGCCTTGAACACCTCCAAGCCCTTCTTCATCGGCAGCGTAAAGCGGGCAATGTCCAGGTGATAATCTGCGCTGCTCGACTCGACAAAGTCGTCTACTTCTGCAAAGGGGTCCGCGGAAACAATGTAGACGGCGTGCAGCTTCTCGGGGAAAGGCGGCAGGTTGTTGGCCGGTCCGTTGGGGACGTTTGCGCCGCCGAGGGCGGACTTGGGGGGCGAGTATCGTCGTGCGTAGCAGGCGAGGAGGACGATGAGCATGACGAGGCCTATTTGCGCATGAACGGTTAGCAGTCAGTCAAAAACACAACATAGCATACCCCAGCGAGAGCCTCGGCAGGCAGCCAATGCGATTCGTCTCAACGTACAATCTTTACCACCATTGTATGATATGGAAATCTCGTCCGGTCTGTAGTCGCACCAGTGCCAGTGTTAGTCCAGTCCAATCATCCCCAGATATAACATGCATCCCCATCGTGAATGCAGTTCAGTCAAAACATACCGATACCGCTCCAGCGCCTCCTCCACCACCCGCACCGAAATGCGCACCTGCTCCTGCGCCCTCCGCAGCAGCGGCGTCTCCAGCTCCTCGGCCAGAAAAGAATCGACTTTTTCCCTCATGGCGACGCATGCCTCGTACAGCGAGCCGTGGGCCAGGCCGGGCTGGTTGGCGTGGCCGTTGACGTTGATCGTGGCCATGGCCTTTGCGGCAATCAAGGGAACGGGGACAGCGTGCATTCGTGATTCGGGTAGAGAAACAGATACAGATATCGTCATTGTCGGCGTGAGCGATACTTGAAGCAAGCAAAATCACCAAAAGACAACAAAAAAGCCGGGCGGGAAAAGCAACCCAGATAAATGTTAATGTTCCCTGCGATGCCTCGGGCTGCGCGGGTCCGAGGGTAAGATATGTTGACACTTCTGGTTGCTTAATTGCCGGAGTAGCAAACAAGTTGATGTCAGCATGCACTGGCACTTGCACATGCCGAGCCCCGACCGGATTGGCGGGGGCAGCTTTAAGGCTCTTTTGGCTCTTGCACCCACTTAGGCGCTGGCAAATGCTCGACTTCACCGGCCGTCGCTACGATTTGGCAGAAGCTTCCACGGCGCTTCCTTTTTATTTGCCGCCTCTTGTTTTTAATTTCTGTTTGGGCTCGTTTTGGGCTCTCTTTTACATTCCTCAGCTGGTAGTTTGAGCGTCATTGTCTGTGTGTTGGCGGCGGAATCCATTCAGGCCTGGAATCCAACATGTCCGTCTCATCCTTCACATCCTTTCATCCTTCAGTCTTATATTGTGAGAGCAACAAATTGTAGAAAAAAATATCAGCAACAAATGCCACTGTTAACAATACTGCACTATTCAACTCTTTAATTTCATTCCTAGTCATTCGGCACAGCGATAATAATGTTCGGTTTGCGTACGGAGAACATGCCGTGTTACCGAGTAAAAATCGAGCGCGGGCCGGCGCAGGGATCTCGGGCATCGACAACTCCGGGATAGCCTCGTCGGCAGCGGAAGACGCCCAATCCCTCTGACGGAATCGCTGCTCGACTGGAATGCCTTTTTTTGAAGGCACGCTTTTTCGATTGGGCCTACGTAACAAATAATCTGTTGGCTCTGCCTTGTAGCGTCATGCATAGAACAGCCTGACTTGCTCGGGCTGAGTTGGGACGCAACCAAACTTGAGCCAGATTTCGGTTTTGGCTTTGGTTTCAATCTCTGGCATCATCACCTTTGTCTGTAAACCAAAGCGAAGAGATCCTCATCGTATCGTCAACACAACTGTATAGTGCTCATGCGAGAGCATCGTTCACTTTTCACAAGTACACACGGGTGAGCCGTCTTTTCCTTTGGGCAAGCTACTAATGAAGCACATCTCCGCATAATGGACTGGACAAGAACAACGAGGCATCACCCGGTATAAAAGTCCAGTCGTCGCACGTGAATACCGCTCACCAAGATTCACCAGATTCATCAGATGCTTACAACCCTCTTCCCGTTTCTGTTTCTGTATGGCCTCTCCATCCGCCAAAACACCAAAAACAGCTCCGGGGTAGGCAAAGCCGCCCGTCGTCCCCGAATATTCGCAGCATGCATCCGTCATGCAGTATCCGCGCTTAGCGGACTTTCTAGCTGCGGAATGTGTAAAACATCTTCCTTTACATTCCGTTATTTCTTCATCTCTTTTCTTTTTCTCACTTGTCATTTTTCTTTCTTTTTCCTCGTGCTGGCCCCGTCTTAGCGGCGCCGGGTTGAGGAGCCCACGTTTCTGCCTCTGAGGAGCCCAACGGGGCCCCAAGCAGCCAATGGTCCGCTGCCGCAGCCGTGGGTTAATGCGCATTTGTGATAAGCCTGCAGTGACTTGCAGGAGACTCCTCAGGCGCAGGAGGGGAAGAGGAAAAAAGAAAAGAAAAATAAGAAAAAATAGTAATACATAATAACGAAACTCCACAAAAAGCTCCGGGTTGACCTGTCGATAGATCCATGCAGCCGTTGCTTCATCGTGGAAATCACGCAGCCCCTCTTCTTGCAAAGCACACTCTGTCTCTCCAAGGCATTGGTCCCAAGGCCCCCACGCTGACGAGGGGAAGCCTGCCGCTTCACTCTTCCCAAGTTGCGCGTTTCAAGGTTGCCTCGTACAGGAACGAGATCGGGACAGGCCAAAGGACCGAGGCTCAGTGGTTTCTGCCGGCTGCTAGGTGGCGGCGTTACTGAACCTTGAAGTTCTTTGTCTCGAAGCTTCTTCAATTGTACGACACAGAGACGTCTTTCTTTGTCATTCTTGTCTCGTCTCTCCTCCTCCAGCAACAGTAATAGTGATCCAGCCCCGTAGGTAATGCTGCCATGGTGCAAGACATTTCACACTTCTCTCGTCAGAGTCGAGAGTCGCCGAGTCGGCAAGCCACGCATCGAACGAGCTTTACCCGCTTGATTTTTTACCCCTCCCCCTCACCAGGAACAAGTTTTTTGACGACTTTGTATGTAATGTACCCTTCATGCAGAGCCCCTTCACCGCCCTGTCTCCACAGTGCAAAAGAAGAGAAAAGACTGAGAAAGACGAGAGAAACACCGGGCCTAGCCAGTCTCGTTGTGGCATGCTCCCTGTTACTCCCCGTGCTGACGAACTAATATCTTGCTTTATTCTTCTTCTATGTTTTGCCGCCGGCGCAATCGACTCTCTGGACCAAGCAGATCGGCTCCCTCGGCGGATACCCCCGGAGGCCGGAGGTGGGGACCCTCCCACAGGCGTGACCAACTTGCTTTCGGGGCCAAGCCTCTCGCACGCGTCCATTCATCTTGTCAGCCATCAGCTAGCCAGCCATTACAAGCAGACGGCATCCTTGGGCGTTCATAGGGGCGAGTCTCTTGGGCTGTGGCGCCAAATCACAGCTCGCACACTCCAGGCCACCGACGCGCAACTGCTCGTAGGCCATCCCGAGCAGCAAGGGCGGCCGACACAATCCTTGCGGCGCCGGTACTTGGTCCTCCGATGAACCGGTCATCGAGTTTTCTGAAAGGACTGACTGCCTGAGCGTGGCGTTTTGTAAACTGATCGTGACTGGTGATGACTCGTTCTTGTGTTCACATAGAAGCTGACCACACCGTGATCGTCACGCTTGGATTCTTCCATTTGCTTGGAAAACGTGACTATTTGTTGCGTGGTCAGTCAACCGTCTGCCGGCTGACGCAGTGGTGGCGATGTAGGTGTTGAGATACATCCTTGCACATCGTAGACTTGCAGATACCACGGCGATGCATGTCTCGATGTACAGTGTCTTGGTCAGATGCTGGCCACTAACGATCGTCTACTCATCAACACGTAGCCTTGGTGCATCAATTGTGCACAAATGCAGGTCGATCGAGCAGATGTGCGTCCTCTAGGCTCCAGAGGGTTCCGATTGACGCTCTGTTCGGAGCCATCCAGGGTAGCAAACAGGATTCACCACACACGGCCTCCTACAACGTATACGTGCATGTGCGTGCACTTCATCACCGTAGTAGGCGATGCCGATGGAATATCGTAGTTCCGAATCGTCTTCTTTGTTGTTTGGCTTGGAACAATCGTGACACCACCACCGTAGTGCTACGGTAAGAATTACGTCGACCTATTCTTAGGCAGAGCCACTCTACGCGTACGGTGTACCCATCCGGAGCCCTCCGCAAACAAGATCAACGCTCCGGAAACTTGGCTTTGGGAAAGAAACTCTAGCCAAGTCCCGCGGAGGCCGGCCGAGCAGCCTAGGCAGACAAGATCGGGAACGAATATTCCAAACAAACCTTGAATCTTGAAAGCCTGGCCCCGAGGCTTCCACTTAACGATGGGGGAATGGTTGGAGTATTGCACATGGCGGCTTGTTTACCTAACAACATTGGAACTCTGGTAGCAGCCTGGCTGGGACGACGCGTGATCGAGCAGGCAGTACGTGTAAGCCAGCCACGCCTGAGTGAGCGCTGCTACGGCCGGCCAGCTGCGGTCACTGGACAAGCATCAGTTCCTGTAGGTATTTTTGGTACGACAAAGACCCTGAAGCTGAGGCTGAGGGTGTAGAGCACCCATGGGGAATGATCGTCATCGTCATTAGCATCAAATCGAAATAGGCTTGGCGTCTGGTCCCCCCTTAGCGGACTTTATTACAGTCCGGGATGAGCAGCAGTTCGAGGCAGCGAGTAGCAATGCGGGAGACATGGCCCGTGTCTGGGTATGATTGAGTGTGAGTGTGAGTGTGAGCAACCAAAGCCAGGCCCGTGGTCAATGTACTCACTTTGCTGTACAGCCAATGTACACTCCAGCGAGTCTCGGATGTACGAGAATGTACGATGTACATACGCGCGCGCACAAGAGCTCCACTCAGACACATTGGTACGAACTGTTGAGGCAGATTGGCAGGGCGGCGTGTGATGATGTGCAGGCCATTTTTTATGCCCAACCATCGGCTTGCATGCCACTCGCTGCATGGCTCGGGAATGGCAACAAAAGCAGGTTGGGCAGACATCCTGTCTCGTCTGCGCTAATGGCTGTAACTGACCCAAAACAAAGACCGACATTCATTAGATCGAAGCAGGTACCTACAAGGCTGCAAGCCGTGCTACCAGTACTCCAGCAGTCGATATTCCATGGATAGACTCACAAGGTACCTGACCTAGCCACCAGCAAAACGCCAGGGCGTTTATGTAGCGCCTTGACCGCCAGGTCCAAGTACGAGTTCTGGCACGGAGTCCGGAGAGCCTACGGGGTTCAGGGTCGTTTGGTAGTGCCCTGTAGTCGTCGACCTGCAGAATCGCCAACGCCAATCCCGGAGTGCTGATTGGGCCTCCCAGCCCAGCCCAGCGCTTCTGGATCAACTTTGCCCGCACAAGGCGAGAGAAAAAGCAAAAAGGTGTCGAGGCGTTGGGAAAGGCTGAAACCGGCTGGACGTATCGAAATTCAACCTTCATTTCAAGGCGACCAGTGGCATCACAGGGGCTGGTCCCGAGCGGCAGTACTTGGTGCATGGAGCGAGCTAAATCGCGTCCTCCCTGCTTCTGCTCCCGCTTCCCATGATCTCCTATTCTTATCGCTCGGCTGGCGTGGTTGTTAGCGAGGGAAAATAGGAAACTTGGCGAGCTACTGGAAACGAACGCGCTGACCAGGCCAGGCCAGGCTCGTTGATGTCAGCCCAGGCCAGGTAGCAGATCTTCCCTCGGTTCAAGTGCTGGCTGATTCTGATTCTGAGACGCTGTCAGCGCATTTCCGATCCTCTGCTGCGCACTGACGCCGGGCAGGAGCTAGAGCTAGCACTACAGACTTGTGCTAGTCGTCCGAGTCTCGTAGCTAAACAGCGACAGGCCGTGGAGCCCGTCTAAAATTGGAGTAATCTCCATGCTTGGTATGTCTCTCTCCTGGGAGCAACATGAACCCAAGCTCTGGGTACGTGTGCCGCCAGGACTTCAGAACAGGGGCCGGGTCTGGACTTGTTGATCCCGGGCCGCGTTTCATTTTCATTTCTCATACCTGTAGTATTCAGTGCGGCGTCATGCACACAAACGCAAAAGAAGGTGGAATAATACACCGAGAAGCACAGGATAATTCAGGTCCATGCCTTGCAGCCACTCCGGCACATCCCTCCTTCAGGCCCATCAAATCGTGGGTGGGACCACTCCAGCACATGGGCGGCAAACAGGGGCTGGTTATTTGGGAAACTCATCCTCGTACATGTAAACGCTGCCTCTGGGGGCCGTGGCTGCGGATTTTGCGGGCTGAATAATACCACCAGCCTCTCACAGGAGCAACTGTTCGCTCGAGACGGCTCATTCCGGATGGTGCGGTGGGCTAGTTCTGTCGTCATGTGTTCTGAAAGAAACAGATTTCTTCGTACGGGGTCGCACATGCATACGTGCTAACGAGCTAGTAGCAGAAAAATAACGAGGCTTGCATCCCAAGGGTCGGCTATGCTTGTCGCCAGTAGTCGCTGAGGGAAAAGAAATTTGGAGAGATTCAGAATTAGCCGGCCGAGATTCTCCTTCGCTTCCTCCGGCGGTCGGCCGTGAAAACTGGGGGAGCCAAGGCGCGAGTCGCGCGTCTGCTGCAAATTCATCATCTCGACAGCCTCTCTTTCGCTGCCAGGACAAGAGCAGCTGTCCAGTTGAGTCACAGCATGATGGGCATCTCGATTATGATTGACGGGATAGCACAGGCGATGCAGAAAGGACAGAAATCGCCTTGCCACTGGTCTTTTGGCTGCATAAGGCCCACCGTCTCAGAGCATTGATAGGCCTTGCAGTGCCTGTAATCCTGCAAAGGCACCGCCTGCTTGTGCGTGTGAGTACTCCGTACTGTACCAGCTCGTACGTGTAAGTCGAGTTGTGTCCTCGCAGGGTGCTTGCCCTGGGCGTTAGCAAGACTCATCGGCCGCTTGTTGACTTGTCCACTTGTAGACCTGTAGACTTGCAGACTTGTCGCTTTTGGTGGACACCTGAGGGATTTCTCTCCGCATTCCCCATCGCCCAAGCCGTGACGGAGATTTTTTTTTTTTTTTTTTTCGTGGCTAATGTTGAGTAGACTGACCGGTGTACGGGCAGGTTAAAGACTGGGGAGCAAGCGTGCACCGTACGTTCCTTGTGAGCGCTACGAGCACTAGACCTCACGTAGGTTAGGACGCATGTAGATGCAGAGACCCCTTGTCTATGCACCGCTGATTGATCCAGAGCAAGGGAAACAAGCAGGCCGGCAGAAAAAGAGTGTGGCAGGAACCGGACAATCTAGGCGGTTGATGGCTTGGCTGGGTTGTGGTCGCTCATCAGACTACCTCTGGTAGTGGCAGCCCACGATGGCAGCGTCGTGCTCGGTGGCAGCGATGTTGATGGCCTCGGCCTTTGGTCTTTTCTGTCCTGCTCTATGCTGCGAGTAGAAGGTCAGCAACGCCATGCGCTCTGCTGGGTCCCTCAACTCCGATTCCTTAGTAATGGGATTCTACAAGACGAGTGTTCCGAGCCGTGCGGACCACAGAGCGCCCTCGTATTGGTACGCAAGCAGTTTTCTTCTGCAAGAGATGCCTACCGTCCGGGCCACCCAAGGGATCCGACAGCTCCGTTCAACGTGCGAGGGCTTGTCGATCAGGGCTCAACTTGAACAAGCACCGCCACGAGAAGGTGATGGATGAAGCGTCGATGAGACCAGACCAGCATTTCTCACAAGACGCCGCGCCGGCGCCGATTCCCACTTCAGCATGCAGTGCAGACAGGGTCTCTGGACCTTATCCACGACGAACATTTGCTGGCGCTATTACCAATGCCTCTGCACAAGCACCAGGAGAAAAAACATGGCGCCTAACCGGGTTCGCTCCGTGACTCGCAGATATACCTCGTTCGAGAACGGGCATGGCCCCGTGCCAGGGACTTGGCGGACTGGTGGACCCAGCCCATTCCCTTTTGACAAGAATGTGCAGTTCAGTGACGACGGCCTGGAGACGATGCTGGAGACGTGTTGGAGGCACGCCTGGCTCGCCCGTTCCGGCCACCCCTTCAATTTTGCTTTGCGTCACATCCCATCAGACGACCAGTCGCCAAAGGTGCCTGCATGTGAGTCGTCATTCCGGCCACAAGGGCGAGCGAGCATCTGCAATTTGCAGTCACCATAGCTGGTACGGACGGTCATTGTGTATCGCACTCGTACCCTCATCATTTGTCGTAGCATCGAGTAGAGTAGCTCAAACAGTGGTTCTTTGTTTGCAAGATTGCAATTTTGACGGGACCCATTCACCTCTAGCCTTGGTGGTGAATAGGGGCAGAAAAAAAAAAAAAAAAACTACTACGTGTACTAGCAGAGGACAGCTGTCGTGGAAAGAAAGAAGCAGAAAATTTCTAAAAAAACATCGTGCCACTTCTCCTCCCATCAAGTCGCGGTCCCAACAGTCCCGGACAGGCAGGCATCGAAGTGGCAACTGCGTTAACGCCCCTCGTGCACCGGAAGCAGTCCACTGTGGAAAGGCTTCAGGAGGCACCAAAGGCCCTCCCAGCGCCTGGCACGTACGAGTAAAACCTCCAAGCCTCCCCAGCCATCCATCCTGTGTACGAGCACAGGTACGGAGTTACTCGTTCCTCCAAGTCAGTCATGGGGGGGTGCAAGTTGCAGGGTGCGTGCTTGAATGAGTGAGAATTGAAGTACGAAGTGCGAGGTGCGAGTACGTACCTGGAGGAGGCGAGGCACGCTGATGTATTTGCGGAGCAGCCCTGGGCCAATCAGGCGGCGTACATTTGCTCTGGCGTCCCTTGTTCGCAAAATTATCCAGAGCCGCGCTATCCCCATTTGACGCATCAGAGTATGGAGAAGTATAGCCGGCCAAGTACCGTCCCAGCCTCTCTGCGGTGTGGCGGTACTTGGCTTTGGCGGGCTTTCTGGCGCCTGCACTGCGACCCCCATTCCGCTAGGCTCCTAGTAGTTGTCCCGTCAGTGGCTGTTGCTGGCCCCACCCATCCGGGGCAAAAAAAAAGAAAAGGAAAAAAAGAAAAAAGAACCAGACGAGACAAGTCGACGTACTCGTACCGGAGTGCCGCCCACAAGTCAGAGGACCCCTGCCACAGCCCAAGTTAGGTACCGCGCCCAAGTACCCGTACCGTACCACGAGACAGGTCTAGGTACTACAGGCACTCGTACAATGCGGTAAAGAACCTTGGGCGGATTGGCAGGTGAGAGAAAAACTGGAAAAAAACACTGGCCCAGGTACCTCGCCGCCTGCATGGTGTCCACCACCGCCTTGGTACCTCCCGCCTAGCCCATAGTGCCTACCACCTAGTGCCTACTGCTCTGCTACCCACTGTCCCACCGCCCATGCCCTAACGCTGTTGTCGCTGCAACGTACTTGTGCCGCCCGTAGCCTTCATCATCTCCAGCCCGCGCTCTTCTTCTTGCGCTCCCACACCTCAACCTCTTCTTTCATATTTTCTTCTTCAACCCTTTTCCCTCCCTCTTCCCTCCTCCACCGAATTCCGAATCCGCCGATTTCACGACAAGTCTCGTCGCGAACTTCTCATCGTTCGTCGACGTCTGGATTCAGGTTTCTCGCGTGAGCCTACTCCTTTTGTTTACCTCTCAGCTCGCTGCTGTGCAGGTAGCTTCTTTTGTGTTCCCACGGCTTGTTCTGCAGTGGCCGCTATCTCGTCGGTCACGTCTACTTCCGTTCGACGTTCACATCTTTGGAGGGTTTTTAAAAGCTCCTTCCGGGACCTCTCTATCGCATAGAGGTTAGTAGATTTGCGTTGCGTTTTCGATTGTTGTCGCCGTTATGCCTCTCGACGTCCCGCGTACTCTCGCCCCGACACCAACGATTTGTCTTGACATATATCCTCGCTCTTGCTACCTACCTACCAATACCATCGATCGATGACCGCTCGACATCTCCTCATAGGAGTTGATTATTGATAATTGGGCCATTTGTCTTTTTGCCAGTGGCGAAATCCGATCGATGTGTAATGCCCTATGACCCTTGGTCCGATACTTCCATCCATTTACACTTTCGATTCATCCGATTTCACTTTTTCTCTTATTTACTTGCGCGTCGGCTTGTCTTATACTTTTACATCGTCTCTTATATAATAGACGTGTCTGGTGCTAACAGTTTATTCAGAAAGCTTTTCCATCCCACCTTTGCATCCTTTCTCCCATCTTTTCCTCGGTCTCGCTTCTCGCTTGCGTAAACGCCCATCTTTGGACTCGACGTTTCGCGAACTCTGTACCTTGGACGGCCATATTCTTTGACCGACTACTCCGTTGCGATATCATTTTGTTACGTCTTTTTCCATTTTCAAATCTCTTCCAACAGATTTCACATCGTCGTACCTCACGGCATTACGATATACAACGTTAAATGGCTCTTGCATCCCAGTAGAGCCCAGTCGATACCTTTTCTTTTTCCCTTTCCTCGCGCCGCTTCGTCGTCATCTTCGCTTTCTTGTTACGAGACCCCATACAAGACAGCCGTGCACCGTCGCGAGCTGTTTTCGTCTCTGACAAGAATACATCATCCGACAAAGGTCATTTCGATCTTCGTCGGACCTCCTCCTCAACCGTCATCATGCCCGGAGGCGTTTGTGCCGTCCTCGATTATGAGGTCGACATGATGGCTGAGTATGTCGCCGAGATGGCTACTCGCGTTGTTACCCCCGAGGCTAGCGTCACCTCTCCCTTCCGGAAGTTCGTGTCGCAGATCCTCACCTCCACGAGACTGCCCAGTACGACCATTCTTCTTGGAATGAACTATCTCGCCAAGAGAATCAACTCCATGAAGAGTCAGGGTCCGTACAAGGCCTCCGAGGGTCAAGTTTGGCGATTCCTCACTGTTTCGCTCCTCCTCGGCAGCAAGTTCTTGGACGACAACACCTTTCAGAACCGATCCTGGTCTGAGGTTAGCGGTATTCCCGTCTCTGAGCTCAACACTCTGGAGTATGATTGGCTTCAGGCCATGAACTGGCGCCTCTACGTCAACCTTGATGAGAGCAAGGACTATCAGGCCTGGCTTGACAACTGGCGTGAGTGGCAGCAGATGAAGAAGCGACGAGCCGCCCAGGCGAGCCGCGAGCGCTTGGCTGCTTTGGTCCCTGCCATCGATACCGACTTGGCCAGGTACAACAGCAACCGCTGCTCTCCTCACTCGCGCTACATTCAGGCTCAAATCGCAGAGTACGAGCGCTACCAGGCCATGAAGGCCCAGCAGCACACCTACCGCTCTCGCGAGACCACTTGGTCCAACAACCCGTGGAACGCGCCTCTTACTCCCCCGGACTCTGGCTATGGCACTCCCGAGTACGCCATGTCGGCCGCCTCTAGCAACGCTCGCTACAACGAGTGGTTCGCTCAGGCCGCAGCTCAGTACAGCAGCCGATACCCCCAGCCTCCGGCTCACAATACGTTTTACCCCAACCGTCAACCGTCGTATGCATCTCACTACCCGTACCACCACCACAGTGGTTGGGAGCACGGTGTTGCTGAGTGCGGTTGCCCGGGATGTGTCGAGCCCATGAAGCAGACGCCTTATTTCATGTCCCATGGATATGGCCAACCCGTCATGGGTTAATGTTTGAAACGATTTTCCTTTTTTCCCTTTTTTCTTCCATCTTCGGGCTTAAATAGAGCCCCATTTTATTCCCTTTTCGGTCTCGGAAAAAAACGGTGCGGATTTCGAGTTTTTAATGGCTACGAGTTTTCGCTATCTTCTCTGTTCAAGAAGACGCGTGTTTTTCAGATACCCCCGGCACGAAAAAAAGTCCTACACACGCGATCAGTTTCAGCACGTCTTTTCTACAGCCTGTTTATGATGTCACCATGGCATGACCATCACCGATACCAGGGTGCCCTGTGAACATACAGGCATTTCTTGGTGGTCATTGATGGTTTCAACTATAAACAGCATTTTTTTTTATCACGGTACATGTTCATAATGGTTTGGTTCGGCGCAGGGTGACTCTTATATCACTACAAAATGTTCCTGGTGCAAAAAGCGAGCTTGGTTCTTCCAGCAGCAAAAGGCAAATTTTGCCGTCTTTCCGTCCGTCATCGATATCGGACTCGAATTGCTGGAGGCCTTACTAGCTTGCAACAGCACTGAAAGTGAACATTGTCCACTCTTTCAAAGATTTTTCTCTCTCTCTTGATACCATACTTGATGGGATCTCTTGCGTTTGCGCGCGCTGCACATATAGACCTGGCATTGGTACCCTACATTGGTACCTCGATAGATCTGGAAATCAGTCTTAGGCACTGCCTACAATCGGAGGCTTCACTTCGAAAATAACGAGGGTTCGGGCAAAAGCTCGGCGCCCACACAAAAATTAAAGGTCTGAACCGTGTCCTCAAGGTCCCTGCTGGCTCTGCGCCCCTGTTTGCGGGTTGGTTGAGATACCAAAATATTCGCGCTGGCCACGGCGACATTGTTCATGACGCAACAAAAGCAATAAAGATTTCAAAAGTTTGGGGATAGCACATATGACACTATACTTGTTTGTTTGTGGTGGGAATGGGTGTCTGTGCAAAATGGGTATTTTACGAGGGCGCTTTCATGCATTGTCTTCAGCGGGTAAAATGGAAGATTGGACCGGCTATATTTTTTCTCTTCTCTCGCGGCGCATTTTTTATATCATTTTCAATTTTTTTACGGTCTTACACATTCCGAGGCCCTACATCGCAACCATGATACCCCCGCTGGTATCATGTCAAGCTTGGACAGCATCCTGTATGCTTTCTCGGACTCTTTCTTCTTCTTTCTATGAGATGTTAGACGCCTTGTTTTTATGGGTTGATTCTGTAGAGAGGGAAAGCCTGGTGGCGATGGCGAGGCGACGATGTTTTTTTTTGTTCGATTAATGAGTTTCTCTTCTTCCTTTCGCATGAATGCGGACAGATTTTCTGTATTCATATGATCAATTCCATATCTGTTGTCATGGAATACTGTTTGATGGCGGGCGGGTGTGATTCAAGAGTGATGCGATCACTGGTTTGAAGATGGATGGCGAAGGTTTACTCTGCAGCTCAGAGTTGTTTATTGCAGATGCAAAAATGGGCGGAAGTTTGTCTCATTCGCACGCGTTTGGGAGGCTGGGCGATGGTTGGAGAGTTGCATCATTGGAGGCTCTTTGCCCTATTATGGGCAGCAATATGAAGGCCGCGAGAAGGCTTCAGTCAAGGGCGACGCCTCTGGTGGTGATCCTCATGGCATCCCTATTGTGAGATTATAGTACAATTAAATTGATGAACAGCCCCGGCTGGACTTCATTTGTATATTTCGTGATTCTGTGCCTCTTTCAATTTCATACTTGTGCATGTGCGCTCCTTGTGTTAATTTGGACTCGCTGAAGCATTCGGTTGATTGTCGGCATTTACAACTGACAACATCGGATTGCGTCGTTCTACACACTTATGTGAGTATTTCAAACTACACTTTGCCTATGAGGTTTCGTGGCCGCCAATTGCACGTCTTGATTTCTCGATTTTCTCTGTTGACACGTCTTATACATAATTAGCCATTGGCCCTTGTAATTCTTCTAATCGTCTTGCTTTAAAACGCTACTGATCCAGCCCTTTTTACGCGTCGCCATCTCTCCAAACTTGTCAACCGCTCACAAACTGAGCCAGCCTTTCTTATAGTACTCCTCGTACACTGCTATTGGCGGCTTCTCAATCTCATTCAATCTCGTTTCTTCCAAGGCTGGTTATATTTACTCTTTGCCGCACAAATCATGTCTAGTCGATTCGTTTCCGGCGGGACGATAAGCGGCGAAGGGTCAAAGGACGAGGCCGTCGCCGCTACGTCGAGAGAGCCGCTGGCGAAGAAGAGCGTGGAATGGGAGACTGTGCAGCATGAGCTTGATGAGGAGAGGAAGCGGAGGGAGCACGCGAGGGCGGAGTTGGCGGAGGGGGGGCAGCAGAGCTTGTATGATATTTTGCAGGCGAATAAAGGTTTGTAACACTTACTCTCTTCCCTGCTTCTTTTTCTTTTTTTGTACTGATTGGGTATTGAGGATAGCGGCGAAGCAGGCTGCGTTTGAGGAGCAGAATAAGCTGAAGAATCAGTTCCGGGCGCTGGATGATGACGAGATTGAGTTTTTGGATGAGGTGAGGGCGAAGGAGAAAGCTGAGGAGGAGAGGGCGAGGAGGGAGGTTGAGGAAGGGCTGAAGGCGTTTCGGGAGAGGCAGAAGAGCACCGGCGGCAGCGGCGGCGAGACTTCCGGGACGGTGAAGGAGGGTGGTGGAGGGGAGGAGGAGGAGGAGTGGGTTGTTGGTGGGAGGAAGAGGAAGAGGCATGAGAGGGAGGTGTTGGGGGTGAAGAAGAAGGCTGTTGCTGGTAGTGATAGAGAGAGTGGGAAGGATGAGGCTGTGGGAGTTGATAAGGGTGAGGGTGATAATGGGAAGAAGAAGGGTGAGAGTGAGGGTGAGAAGGAGAAAGAGAAGGAGAAGAAGGCGAGCTTGGGGCTGGTGGCATATGATTCGGACAGCGACGATGACGAATGACACAGTGAGAGGAGAAGCGTGGACGAGGCTCGACTCGGAAGAGGAGAACTGTAAGTGTGGTGGTTGCGAATTAATACAGCTGCAAAGCTAGATAATGTGTATATACGCCCTCTATCATAACCAATCCATTCATTCACCCATCCATAGCTCGCTCTCGGTCGTTTTTGTGAGTGGGTTTTTGTCCAATAACCAATTAATAGTTCACTCCACGCATACATACAGTAGTCATACAATCACATGCCCCGTTGATACAAGAATAATAAAACATGACTCTTCCCATCCGTCATGTACACATCATATCGTTGAAACCCTCCTCTTTTCAGGATTATTTTTTGTTTTCAAACACCATCGCTTCAATCATCATCCAAGTTTCCCACATTAGGGCCTCTGGGCTTGCTGGCGAAAGAGCTGGCGCCCCAGTGATACAAGCTCCTCAGGCTGCGCTTGATCCAGCCCTCAATCTCTGCCTCCGGAACGACAATCTTCTGCGCGCGAGCCTCGTCCTCAGGCTGAATCTCGAAGCGGCGCATTCGTTCCACGATACGTGAGTCGACTACCAGAGGCGAGGCCCAGATCTTCTCCTTGGGCGGCTCGGCGGCCTTTTTGGCCTTTTCCGCCTCGTCGACAGGCTCGGGCTCGTCCTTCCAGACAAACTTGGGCCAGTCGTCTTCTTCCTGCTTCAAGACGAGCTGCTGCTCGTACTGGCCATCGACCTCGCGCCAGTCTCGCGCGGCGGCGAAACACACTGCGGCGACCTCTCGGCCAATGTCATCTGCCAGGTGACGGCGGGTCAGGAAGCGGCCAAGACGGACAAAGGTATGACGGAAGCCGAGGCGGTGGGGGAAAGCGATGGGACTAGAGGGGGAGAACTCGGCGGGGATGCTGGCCGGGAGGGCTGCGGAGGGATAGTCGTCGGGGGAGTTGTGAGGGCGAGGCTGCGGTGGTCGCTTGTCCTTGTCCTTCTTTTCTTCTTCTTCCGGCTTCTTATCCTCGGGCTTCTTGTCACCGTCGCCTTCTGTGGATGGGGTTTCGGGTTCGGGTTTGTCTTCGAAAGTTTCGACGACTGGCAATGGCGGTGCATCGAGGGGACCGAGCCATCCCTCGTGTAGTCCTCGAACATACTCTTTCCAAGTGTGTCGACCAATGACGATATCGCCCTTGATGCCTTCGTACTCTGGTAGCCCAATCTTCTTCCTTTGCTGTTCCACAATGGCTTCATCTGTTTGCGGCAACTCTTCGCCTGGCCGCTCGGTGGCCTTCCTAGATCTCCTAATCTTCTCGGCCACAGCCGCTCGCACGTCGCCCTGCTGCCGGCCCTGAACAAACTCCCAGTCGAGGCCCGATGCCGCTAGAATAGGCTTGACATATTCGATGAAGTGATCTTGAGCAGTGCGTAGGCCGTTTCCAGGAGGGGCTTCCAGGTAAACGGTAAGTTTGCGGGGCAGCTGGCTCGAATTGGGGAGCAGCTCTTTGGAGAGGGGCGCAACAGCTCGGCGCCATTTCGCTGTCGCGCGATTCTTTTCGCGCTTGTCGTAGATGATTGCGCCAGCAATGGACGAAGAGACGGCCCAGAAGATGAGCCAATTGCGGGAGGGGAGCTTGCGAGGGAGGGCCGGGAGACCCATCATCTTGAAGACGGGATTGCGCGGACGAGGAGGTTTTGAAGCGCCTGAGCCCGAGGCTGGCGGGGTCGAGGGATTGGGATTGGCTTCGGCCATGGTGAAGTGTGTGCGGCCTTGTTTGTGTGCTATCCTTGAATGAAATAATGGAAAAAGAGGGAAAAGAAATGGTGGCCTATGTATGCTTTTGCATTGCTTGCGGGCGAGCTACGTTGAGCAGCTATCGATGAGTTATGCTGTCATGAGGTTGGAAAAAAATCGGATGCGATAAGAATGCGGGACACGATAAGGGCCCCCGATCTGCCGCCAAAATCCGCAGACTTCTTGTGCATCTGTACTTGGCCATGGTGAAAGCAATAATTCTACATTTTCCCCACCTATAATTGAAGAAAATTTGCCTATAATAATTGATACTTTATAATAACCTTATTTGTATTATTCTTGGCTATTGCCATTGGGATTTGGGGAAATGCGCAGTTGATTGCAGACTATGTCTCCATGATCAGCAGGCAAAGGCAAGTTCTACGTGCATGTGCTATGTTTGGTGTTAAAATTACCTGCAATAGGTACTATAATCATCGTGACTATTTCGTCAAAATGCCTTGTATGAAAGATTTCCGTTGGGGTGATAGAGAAATGAGCATATAACACTTGAGATGCAGTAATTTGATAATTTCGCCTTTGTAACATGAATTATTGAGGTGAAGGATGCCTTGTCCACAGGAGAACAGGGGTCTGCCGTCGCTCACCGGGACGACAAGTCGGCTTATTTAAACGGACCCTGCAGGAGACGGTACGGGGGCTTTATATCCTGTTCGCTTTTACATACACCTGCTACTGCGGTGCATAGAGCGTGTATTGGGGCGGGGCCTGAATTCACCATGAGAACATCCTATGTTTCAAGGATTGACTGATTGTGTAGATGTTAGTGTTGCAGGTCAACCTGAGATCTAGTCAATGCTACGGAGTACTTGACTAGGAGATGGACTGTCAGGGATCCAACAACTAATACTCCTGGCATGTGAATTTAGATCTCCAAGCACAGCAGAGATAAGACGGATGGGTAATATATTCCGTACAAGACGGAACGGCTGGACCCCTGAGATGGAAACGGCACAAGTGCCGGTGGGGAACACGGTCGATGGGACAGAAGGGCTAGCAAAGGCTGTACGGAGTAATGTATTGCAATGTGTTGTTGATATAGGGACGTAGCTAAAACTAATGTACTCATTTCCAATTGAAGATGTCAACTGTCATAACCAATACTGACCACATATAGAGTCAATAAGAGTTAAAATTGGCATTTGATCTAAAATGCTTGGCGGTGTTGCTGCCGCTCTCTACCCATCTCACACAAGCCGGGCTTGTTTACACCAATCAATCCCTTTCTATCCAAGTGTTCAAGGCTTCTCGAACAAATTTTATAATTTACTTCTATTCAACATTGAGTGAAGCCTTTTTGTCTACCGGCTCAAGCACCCATTCAGAGAAATAATAGCACGGGAGCACCAGAAACTAAGATAGTCTAGTGGCAGCTCAGTCGAGCATCAAACGTGTCTAGGCCCCGACCAGAACAATTTAGCGGCCTACCAACCGCTGTGCCCAGCAGCAAGCCCCCTGGAACCTGGAGGATACCTGGGCTTATTGCCACCTGTGACGCGCCCACGCCCATCTGGCGCACCGCAGGCAGGTACCTCTCGAGTATTCATCACCCCGCCCATTGTCTCTGGCGCATCTACTAGTACCTAGCAGTTTGAGGTCTGGTTGACCGCCCCCCATTTTCCCCTTGAGCCCAAAAGCCAAAGCCAAACCATCGTCAAAGGGTCTTGACTGGAGCTTCTTCAAACTGCAAAGACGCCAACTCCAAAGCTCAGGCCCCAATCAGCGGCCAGGTCCTTGCCTTGCTCCTCTAAAAACTGGGCCAGCCCGCCTTGCGCTGCAGCGGAGCAACTCTCGCTTCGAATTGGCCAGTCAGGGCTCCATCTCCAGCGTCTCTCCCCCTTTCCGACGAGACGACCCCTCAGGCCGTCAGGCTCGCATACAGCTGATTATTACCTGAGATCGATTGTCTTGTCTTATCGGCGTGGATATGGATTCCAATCGTCTGCACTTGAACTTTGACAACCAACGGCCGGCTGCCAACGATCGGACCTTTCCAACGACTCCTTCAACCTTTCCTCAGCCCGTCTTCCAGGGCCAGTCTGGCAGCATGCAGTCCTCCCAGCAGCAGTACGGCGCCGGCTACCCTCCCCAGCAGGGCTACTTTCAGCAGAACCAGTATGGCCAGCAGCAGTATCCTGGCCAGGCCGTCACCAGCGACTATCCCAACGCCGGCTATCCCCCGCAGTCTGGCGCGCCCGGCACCAACGACCCAAACACTGGTTTGGCTCACCAGTTCTCCCACCAGAACCTAGGCGGCGGTGCCGCGAGGGGAGGTCAATATGCTGGTCGAGGACCGTCGTCAGGCCGTCCACGAACTGCTGGCGGCTCGGGGCAGCAGGCCAGCTATGGCAACTACGCGCCTCCTTTGCCCAACTCGGGCGTTGTCTCGTCGCCCGAATTCCAGCCCATCCCCGAAAGGAACCCTGATAAATACGGCACAAATGCCAACAGCAACCAGAAGAAGTGTTCACAGCTAGCTGCGGATTTCTTCAAAGACAGCGTCAAGCGAGCTCGCGAGCGTAATCAAAGGTACGATCGACAGTTGCGAATATCCATCATCACACGGCTTTTTCTAAGCCTAAACCAACCCCCTTATCATTCTGTATCAATAATCCATCGAGTTACTAACATGTGAAACACAACAACAGACAGAATGAGTTGGAGCAGAAGCTGCAAGACCCCCAACAGAGCTCAACTAGAAGGGAGCAGCTGTGGTCGACCGCTGGCCGGAAGGAAGGCCAATACCTGCGATTCTTGCGTACAAAGGACAAGCCCGAAAACTACAACACTGTCAAGATCATCGGAAAGGGTGCTTTCGGTGAGGTCAAGTTGGTGCAGAAGAAGGGAGACGGCAAGGTCTACGCCATGAAGTCTCTGATCAAGACTGAAATGTTCAAGAAGGACCAGCTGGCCCACGTCCGCTCAGAACGTGATATCCTGGCCGAGTCTGACAGCCCCTGGGTCGTCAAGCTCTACACCACCTTCCAAGACGCGTACTTCCTCTACATGCTCATGGAGTTTTTGCCGGGTGGAGATTTGATGACTATGCTCATCAAGTATGAAATCTTCTCAGAAGACATTACGCGATTCTACATTGCTGAGATTGTCTTGGCCATTGAGGCCGTCCACAAGCTTGGCTTTATCCACCGGTATGTTTTGATTGTTGCATTCCTAGACACCAACGCGAGTTTAACGACTGACTTTTGGTGGAAAATAGTGATATCAAGCCCGACAACATCCTGTTGGACCGTGGCGGTCACGTCAAGCTGACTGACTTTGGTCTCTCCACGGGATTCCACCGTCTGCACGATAACAACTACTACCAGCAGCTTCTGCAAGGTCGCTCCAACCGCCCGCGTGACCGGACTTCAGTTGCCATAGACCAGATTAACCTCACAGTCAGCAACCGATCTCAGATTAATGACTGGAGACGATCTAGACGGTTGATGGCTTACTCCACCGTCGGAACGCCAGACTACATCGCCCCCGAGATCTTCACAGGCCATGGCTACACCTTTGACTGCGATTGGTGGTCACTGGGTACCATCATGTTCGAGTGCTTGGTGGGCTGGCCGCCTTTCTGCGCTGAAGACAGCCACGATACTTACCGCAAGATTGTCAACTGGAGACAAACTCTGTACTTCCCTGATGACATTACGCTGGGTGCCGAGGCCGAGAACTTGATTCGAAGGTACGATATCCCTGGAAGATATATCTTGCTTTTTGGGAGTTCTTGACAGCTAACCTTATCTACTTTATAGCATGGTCTGCAACACTGAGAATCGACTCGGACGGGGAGGTGCTCATGAAATCAAGAGCCACGCATTCTTCCGTGGAGTCGACTTTGACAGTCTGCGCCGCATCCGCGCTCCTTTCGAGCCTCGGCTGACGTCCAACATCGATACCACTTACTTCCCCACAGATGAAATTGACCAGACTGACAACGCGACTCTGCTCAAGGCCCAGGCCATCCAAAACCGCAACGGCCAGGCACCTGAGGAGTCTCCCGAGATGAGCCTTCCTTTCATCGGCTACACCTTCAAGCGGTTCGATAACAACTTCCGATAGAAGGTTTTTGTTGTTCCAGAAGATGAAGCGGGCATATGCAGTAGAGATTTTGAATTCGAAGCGAATTAGAGCTGCGATTAGATGATGGAGACGTTGACATTTGGAAGGGGAAAGGGGGGGTCTATGCTTAATCGGCTGGCCAAGATACGAGGAGCAATCTGCATCAGAACCAAAATGGTACATTGTCGTTTATTGAAATGCATTATACTGGGCATGGAAAAATCGTGCTTGACATCCCCTTGTTCATATTGCTGAAAGATGCTTTTCATTTTTCTCATACGCATGCGTTAGTCTAAGACCGTGGATATATCAGTTGCGAAAGAAACTTTATTGGTATTGCAATAGTATATGATTTGAAATAGGTGATATGTGAAAGGCCCCCGATCCAAACTCCGATTTAGTAAATATATACATGTTTGGGTCATTATTCTAACCCAACATTCGTAACCTTGATTGTGCTCAAGATGCCTAATTTTAACGTTTGTGCTGTTATGCCCTCGCTCATTCTAAGGCGAATTCAACTGTTGAGCCAAACAGCTAATTACAAGTCAGCCAAAAGAGCACGCTGGTATTGAGCCAACGGACAGCCTCTTACCCCATGAGTTGTAATCTCGTTGTGTGCTAAGTATCCCACCGCGTTCGCGCTGTGAGCGCCACCAAGGACGGGGCTGTACAAAGGTCTTTCCGTCCTTCTTGGGTATCAAAAGCCGTCGCTCTGGCGATCATCAGACAACATCTCTACGAAGCCCGATGATGATTATCTTCTGTCCCTCCTCCCTTGTCAAGCAATTCATCTCCTGGCCGTCAAACCAGGAGCAGCATTGAAGCGCTCCTCACGCTCCGTCATGAACATGACTTGAATCCAATACTCCTTTGAGTCCGGGTCCCAGAAGCAAAACTGCTTATCCTCTCGCTTATCCAGCTCTCGCGCAGGAATCTTGAACCCCACACTCTCGTACGGCTCGGCGGCAACAACCAAATACTGAAAATTTTTGTCGGGCTCTTCGGCGCGCTGCGTAAAAGCGTTCATGACCTGCCACTTGGGCGCCAGCTCAGGCGTAGCATCGGGATACTGCAGCTGAAAGAGCAAACCCTGCTGTCGCGTCACAGGGTCACGAATCTTTGTAATCTTGTAACCCGGGCGGCCAATCTTGACAATATTACGACGCGCGTTGAGGCCGGCGGCGACGCTGGCGGGCAGCCCCGTGGCAGGGTCGATGTTCTGCTTGCCCTCCTTCTGCTCGCGGGCGGCGCGGCGGGCGAGGTTGGTCTGGTGTTTCTTCCCCTGGGTGTGGGCGAGGTAGGAGCCGTCGTTTTGGTGGACGGTCAGGCAGAGGCGACACTCGAAGGAGCCGACGTGGTTCTTGAAGAAGTAGGGGTCCTTGTCGAGGTCGATTGTCTCGAGGGCGAGCTTGCGGAGGCGTTCGCGGCGGTCGGCGTTGGTGGCGGAGTGCGAGGCGACACCGCCGCCGCCGAATTTGGAGCCTGCGCGGTTTTGGTAGTCCATTGAGACGGGCTATGGGGGATTCTGAGATATGCGGTGGTTTGGTAGTGGGAGTTGGGATCAAAAAATAAAGAAGAAAAAAGAGTTTGTAGGCGCGTGTGATGCAGAGCTACGAGAATCGATGGCAAAAGTTACAAGGTGTACAAGGCTGAGGATAAAAGTGGATTATGTAACTGGAGAAGGCTAACCAATCAGGGAACATGTGTGATGCCACACTGATAACCAGGAGTACTTAAACAATCTACCTATTTGAACCAGCTACTACATATTTTTGCTGAGCTTTCATCGCTTCAAATCGCCAATATGTCGTTATGCTTTGACACAAACGCCTTCACAGCATCTACAAATCTGTCCAGCTCCGACTGCGGCGTCTCCAGGATCAGCGCAATGAAGCCCCTGCGAGTAACCCAGAACCGCTGCTCCAGCATCTCAAACCAAAACAGCTCCTTGAGCACCTCGTTTTCTTGAACATCGTCTCCACTAGCAATCTCATTCACTTCTACATCTCCTTCGATGAAATGAGAGCACAGGATAGACCCAATTCCAGTGAAGGTCATCCTTGTGCCTTTAACTGCCTCCTGAAGCCTGGATAGAAACGCCGAGCCCATCTCGGTAAACTTTTCCGCTACGTCGGCAGTGTAAATCTTGCTGAGACCCGCGTAGCCAGCATGTGTCACGAGCGTGTTGTTGTTGAAGGTGCCAGAATGCGAGATCGAGGTGGCGAGTCTCGGATCGAAGGCTGCCATGATGTCGGCTCTTCCGCCCAGGGCGCCAAAAGCGAGGCCACCGCCGAGATACTTGCCAAACGTCTTGAGATCAGGCTTGATTCCTCGCAGGCCTGCATAGCCAGAAGCTGATATTCTAGAAGTCATGACCTCGTCGAGGATGAACACCACGCCGGCCTATATGAGATGTGAGTGAGCATAAGTGCTGAATAAGTAGGTGAAATTTCTGTGTCTCACCTTTGTAGCAGCGTCTTGGATGCCAGTCAGGAACTCTGGAGTTCCAAGAATACACCCTCCGTTTCCTTGCATCCCTTCCAACAGGACAGCGGCCACTCCCTCACTCTGAATTGCCTTGGTGGCAGCATCGACATCATTGTACTTGACGATGATCCAATCGTTTGGGTCAACATTATTAGGCGCTGGCTTCCCGTCTTTGAAGCCAAGCACTCCTCCATGGTAGCCTCGGTTAAACACGACGACCTTTCTTTTGTTTGTGAACTTCCTCGCAGCGGCCAGAGCATGGAGATTGGCTTCAGTGCCGGAGTTGGTGAAGCGCACTCGTTCAAGTCCAAAGCGCTGGCACATTTCCCGAGCAAACAATTGCTCTTGAGATGTCGTTGCGCCAACATTCATGCCCACGGTCTTGAGGACATTGCTCACGGCATCGAGAATCACAGGGTTAGAGTGGCCATAGAGCGCTGCCGTGAATTCGCATGTAAGATCTGTGTAGCTGCAGAAACCTGAGTTAATAAGATAAGAAGCCGGAATATGATCATGTCAACCTACGTATTCCCATCCTCAGATGTGAGTTGATAACCTTGGCCAGACTTCATGCAGATGGGGAAGGGATCGGTATGAAGCACCGTCCTGGTATTGCCTCCAGGGAATGATTTGGTGGCTTGTTCGTGGAATGCCTTGGATTTGGCATTTTGGGTTACGTAGCGGGCCTTGGCTTCAGAAAGGGCCAGGGAAAGCGTGTTGACCGAACCCATTGTTTCTTGTTGGTGTACGATGTGAACTTTGGAACTCAGTCGGCGTGCAAAGTATGGCAACACAGATAACTGCGTGGTGTACACAAGTACGAGAGGGGATCAACATGCATCAATACCACGCCCTCTTATATATGCTGCAGTCCATCTTTCAAATTGGCTGCATTTCTCGCCTTCAAGTGGGGGTTTCTCACTATAAGCCATACCAGCATCAATCTTTTGGGCACGACATCAAGAATCCAGGACTAGCATCTCGCATCTCGGGTTTGACTGCCTCACCCGAGATCGGGGTGGGCATCAAAGGGCCGTTAGGTCGATTTGCTCGCAGAAAAAGGCAACCCACGTCGAACATCCGCCTAATTGGGCTCTTCGCATTGCGGAGAAGTGCTAATCCTACGCTGCATGTATCTTTCCATGATGAAATACGACAAAGGGTACTTCGGTCTATTACTTGAGAGAAAAGCTTACTAACATTTGCAGACGCTGCTCTAAGAATTTATCTGCAAAACCAGATGGGGCCGATAGCAGGGCGGTGTGGAGCGCCGCCGGCAGAATTGATATCCCACTTAATTTTTTTTTCTTAGCATGGCAACCACAGTTAGAGGCACGCCGCAAGTCGTTATCAAGAGAAATCTACGATTGACAACGACAAATCACAATGGCAGGCTCAATTAACAAGCCCAAGAGTATGTTATGATCCAGAGCAGCAATCCCTCAACCCAAAACCCAGATTCACTCTCAAACCTGGGCTGCCCCATCACCTTTCCTTTGCCTGCTAACCCATGGCGCAGAACCAAAGTCCAAGCGGACAACAACCCGCCTTCGCAACAAGATCCAAAAGGCCTCCGCCGCCAAGCAGAGAAAGGATCGCAAGTTCGCCAAGAAGAACCCAGAATGGCGATCCAAGCTGAAGAAGGACCCCGGAATCCCCAACCTGTTCCCCTACAAGGAGAAGATTCTGGAGGAGATTGAGCAGAAGCGCGCAAAGAAGGCCGAGGAGGCTCAGAGGAGAAAAGAGCTGGCCAAGGCTGCCAAGACGGGCGGCGCTGAGAGCAAGGACGAGGATGCCATGGACGATGTCGACGAGGCTGGTGACGACCAGATGGATGAGGACGGCGACTTGGACGAGGATATTGATGAGTCTAACCCCATGGCTGCGCTGATTGCCAGTGCTCGTGCTGCTGCGGAAAAGTACGACAAGTCTCTTGCCGCCAGCGACGACGACATGGATGACGACGAGGAGGAGGAGAGCGACAGCGATGCTTCTGATGATGGCGCACATGTTTCCATTGGCCAGGCTTCGTCAAGAAAGACCTTTGACAAGGTCTTCAAGCAGGTCGTCGAGGAAGCCGACGTCGTGCTGTACGTCCTCGACGCCCGCGACCCAGAGGGCACCCGCTCGCGCGAGGTCGAGCGCAGCGTCATGGCCGCCGCCTCAGGGGGCAAGCGCCTCATCCTCATTCTCAACAAGGTCGACCTGATCCCGCCCAAGGTCCTGCGCGACTGGCTCGTCCACCTGCGCCGGTACTTCCCCACGCTTCCCGTGCGGGCGTCGCACGCCGCTGCGAATGCGCATGTGTTTAGCCACCGTGACTTGACTGTGCAGAGCACCTCGGCCGCCCTGTTCAAGGCCCTCAAGAGCTACGCTGCCAGCCGCGATCTGAAGCGTGCCGTCTCCGTCGGCGTCATCGGCTACCCCAACGTCGGTAAGAGCTCCATCATAAACGCCCTCCTCAGCAGATTGAGCGGCAAGGGCAGCAACAACGCAAAGGCCTGCCCTGCTGGTGCTGAGGCCGGCGTCACCACGAGCATCCGCAAGGTAAAGATTGACAGCAAGCTCACGCTGCTCGACTCCCCCGGTGTCGTCTTTCCCTCGTCCTCGTCCCTCCAGTCCGGAGGCCTCGTCGCCATCAAGAACGCCACCGAGGCACACGCCCACCTCGTCCTCCTCAACGCCGTGCCCCCCAAGCAGATTGACGACCCCATCCCCGCCGTCAGCCTCCTTCTCCGTCGTCTCTCCACTACCCCCGACCTGTTGCAGAAGCTCACCGCCGTGTACGACATCCCCGCGCTTCTGCCCAACAGCACCGATGGCGACATCACCACCGACTTCCTCGTCCAAGTCGCCCGCAAGCGTGGAAGGATCGGCCGCGGAGGCATCCCCAACATCAACGCCGCCGCCATGACCGTTGTCACCGACTGGCGTGACGGCCGTATCCAGGGCTGGGTCGAGGCCCCCGTCCTGGCCGTTGAGTCCGCCAACGGCGCTGCCACCAAGTCTACCATCAAGAACGCCGGCGAGGAAGATGTCATGGCTGACCAGAAGGAGATTGTCACCGAGTGGGCGGCCGAGTTCAAGCTCGACGGCCTGTGGGGTGACAATGGCAATGGGGCTGAAGATGATGCCATGGAGCAGTAAAAGAAGCTCGGCTCCAAAGGAAACTCTCATGATTGCAAATGCGGTTGGAATTTCTATCATATAATTTTTTCTCATAACGAGTTTGGCGTTGTAGGCTGGTTTGGTCAAAAATAAAACGGACTTGGGCCGGATGTACACGTTTAGATATGTCAAAATACATATAGATGTACACGTCTTTTTCAAACAAAAGAAGGATTTCCCTAGGATGCAAGCCTCTCAATCCTTTTTCCTCTTTATTCTCACTCTAGTCTCTAACATTCGTGAAATGTCCTCTCAAAATATTATATCTCGTTAAAATATCATGCCGTAGTCCACTTGTCTTCAAGCACTGACCAACTCCATCTTGACGCCCCTCTTACCCGTCCTCTCATCCTTATCATCATGGACTCTAACCACAACCTTTTGGAAAAGCTCTACCTTAACAGCCTTATCGCCCGTCGTCGTCAACGTATACGTCTCAGCGTCATACTCGCTCTCAGGCTCAGGATCAGCCAAATCACGCAGCCGAATCAAACCCTCAATACCGAACCGCGGCACCAGGACCACGAATCCGTTGCTAAAAATCTTCATGACAAAGGCCTCCTCCTCAGCAACCTTGCCCTTCAGAGCCTGACCGACATAATAAGCAATGCTAGCTCGGCCGGCCATCTGGGCGTTGCGATGGCGGACGTTGATGTTCTTGCACACTGCCTCGAGGCGACCACGGCTACGGACAGAAGGATGAACAGCCTCGTAGCCGATGGCGGCGGCAAGTTGTCTATGCGCGAGAAGATCTGCATATCGACGAATAGGGGAAGTAAAGTGCGTGTAAATCTCAGAAGCGAGACCGTAGTGGCGGAACTCGGGGTATGACTGCGTTCCGGAACAGAAGTACTCGGCGCTCATCATGCACCGCGTGGCCATGATACGGACAAGCGTGTTGAAGAATGGATCCTTTTCATCGACACACTTGTCTAGGGAGTCGGCCAACGCCTTGCTGGAGTCGGTGCGCAGCTCCAAGCCACGTTTGATACGCAGCTGATCGGCCAACTCGTCGAAATTGGTCTTAGGAGGAGCGCCGTGGCGACGCAGGATGGCAGTTTGAGGAAACGCCTCGTAAATCTTGGCGGCAACACTGACGTTAGCGAACAACATGAACTCCTCTACAAGAGAGTTGGTGTCGAGAAGTTCCTTCGTCTTGACATCAATGGGGTCCGAGGATTCTGACTCCATGTGCACCTTGATCTCTGGAGAAGACAGGCTCAGGGCACCGGCATCCATACGCTTCTTCTTGAGCTTCTTCGACAGCATGAGCAGCATTCGCATGCCCTTTGTGAGGTCATCCTGCTGCGACTCATCGTCAATTCGAAGCTGTGCTTGTTCGTAGCTGAATGCCTCGCGAGACTTGATAACAGACTTTGTAAAACGGACGTTTACAACGTCAGCATTCTCATCAACTTCCCAAATGACTGTAAACGCAAAGCGCTCAACATAGGGCTTGAGAGAGCAGAGATCGGTGCCGAGCAGCATAGGAAGCATGTCTATGCGCTTGTCAACCAGGTAAACCGTGGTGCCACGAATGCTTGCTTCCGTGTCCATTGCATTTGCAGGCTTAACAAAGTGCGATACGTCCGCAATGTGGACGCCGACCTCGTAGTTACCGTTGGGTAATAGCCTGGCGTGAAGAGCATCGTCAATATCTTGACAGCCGGGAGGATCAATACTGCAGATGAGGAGATCGCGAAGGTCCTCTCTGTCTCTCCAGCCTGGATCCTCCTTGCTCTCGGGCACCCTCCAGTTATGGCCCTCTTTCGGGAGACAGTCAAGCACCGTTTTAGGGAAAGGTCGGTACTGGACGTCCCATTCCAGGAGTAGTGCCTCTGTCTCGGCTGCCTTGGTCTCAAGCTCTCCAAGGGAACGAACCAAATGCCCCACGGGATGTCTTGAGTCTCTGTCCCAAGAATCAACAGTGACCAACAGTCTCTTCCCCAAGAGCTCAGAGACTTGACGAGTGCGGAGGCGGATCTTGGGAATCTTCTTATCCATGGGGATGAGGAAGACGCTATCGAGTCTGCGACCTTGTGATGGGCCCTTGCTGGCCGTTGAGGGATCGATGTGACCGACGTACTGTCTCCAGTTACGCTTCACCACGCCCACAACCTTGGCTGTTGGTTGTAGCTGGCCCTCCCCTGATGCCTTTTGCGTCCTCTTCACCTCCTCCTGAAGTGCCTTCCGCTCCTTATCCGACACAAAATCCTGACGCTCTTCTGTGTCCGCATTTTCGTTCTTTGTGATTGTGTCCTCCTCGATAATCTTTGTTGATGGTGACTTCCATTGGTCTTGTGGAAGAAGCTCGACGACAACAACATCGCCATCAATAGATCGGTTGATGTTCTCGCGGCCGAGGATAAGCAGAGGCTTCGGGAAAGCAGGCACTTTGATTGACCCTTCGAGGTAATTATACGGTGACACGTTGAAGATTCCCTGATGCAGCAAGCCTGCCTTGACTCCCGTCATCATTCTTGAGGAGGTATAGTACTCTGGGTAAAGGGGCTGCTGGGAAGCCTGCTTGAATCCACCTTGGGCTTGAGTTTGTGACTCGGCAATCATGTCGAGCAGCCTGTCGCCATCTTCTAGTTCGCTGACATAGTCCGCTAGCGAAGACGCGTGCAGGCCTTGCGCCTTCGCTTTCCTCAAATTATCCCGGTCATCGCTCAGCATGACAACCGCCGGGATTTGTACCGCCTTGGTTAATGCCAAGTGCTCTCCATACCACTTGACAGCCTGTCGAACCGCACGGTCATTTCTGTCATTGACAGTTTCATTGGCTTCGCGATTGATATACGTCTCCAGTCGGAACTCGTTAAAGAAAACGTAGAACCTCTTGTCCTCGCTCTTTGTCAGTCCAACAAGGCGGTTGTAGAGCGGCAATGAGCGGTTCTTAAGCTCCTCCAGAACAGTCTGCAAGATAATAACGTCGTAAAACGATGAGCTCTGCTCAAACAAGTCCATGGCGTTTAGCAGCGCGTTTGTATCTGGAACTAGGTAGTGGCCCTGAGGATACGACTTTGTACCAGCCGGTCTGGCCGACAGGACAAAGGGTAGAGCTATCACAAGCTGTTAGTCTCATCTCCCGTCTTCAGAACTTGAGATAGAAGAAAAGAAATACCTTCATTCACTGCATTTCTGGGTGCCTGGCTCAGGCACGCCCTGCACAGGTTCGATGAGCATGGTATATCCGTTCTCAGATAGACCTCGCGAACAATCTTCTGGACCTTTCCACTGCGTGTCGACCTGACATAGACCTTGTTGGAGATGTTCTGAGCCAGTTGGTCAGACCCCTGAGGTCTCTTTAAGCTCGTCATGATGGCTGTCTCTTTGGGTGTCTTTTGGGTGTGAGTTTTCACTCCTGTCAAAAAAATGCTGATGTAAAGTGAGATGCAAAGGCGCTACGGATCTGGAAGTTCCTAGTGGGGTGCCTTATCGATATGTAAAAGAGCAAACCGCAAATTGTACAAACAGAGAAGCGTGACTATAACAAAACTTTTGCACTACTAAATCTCAAAAGAAAAGAATTCCAGTATTTTCTGCTTCTATCAATTCTTGTTTTTCGATCTCTCGGCTTGTTAATAAAGATTCTATCCTATCAAAACTCACTCAGGTTGTGGTCGACATCACGTGATTCTTGTTTGACGATAGTGTCACGTGAGCCCTCATCTCATACTGCCTCTGAAACTCAAGGGAGATCAATCTTACAGCATCTCTATCATGAACTCTCAAGAAAAGATACCTATCAAGTATACCAAGTAAACAAGCTCTATTCAATAGGGTCCTCAATTTACTTGGAAAAAGTGCGTGCATTTGTGCCATGGTACTTATTAATACAACGCTATTGGCCTTGCTACCATAAACGTGGGATAGCAGCCAACTCTGGATTCAATCATCATGGAGAAACTGGAATTCCAATCTTTTACCAAGTTGTGAGACATTCCAATTGCATTATCGCATATACTTCAATCTAATCATCTACAATAGATATCTATCGCGAGTCAGGACGACCCAAGGGTCAAGCGGCCAAGAATCGTCATGAATGCAACTTCAACTTCCAGCATGTCACCTACCTAAACATGTCACTTGCCACTTACCCTAGCCGGGCGAGCCCAACAAAAGACGCAAAGGGGTATCAACGCAGCTCGGGGAAAAACTTGGCCCCGATGTTACCGAGCGTATGTTATCACTAAGCAGTGATTGCACCGCGCCTCAGGAGGATCCTTCTGGCCTTTGATGACCTCGTTTCTTGTACCCCCTCGGAGCAAGAACCACCTCGGAGAACTGGACCGTCTTGGACCTAGGTTGCTGCTTGTATGACTCTGGATTCCCCGAAATATGCCCTTTATCCACTGTTGGTCAAAACGAGCTCAATGTTGGTGAGACATGACAGTTTTTCACCGCTCCAGGCCATATGTACTTCATCATTTGTCACCATGGTTGCAGGAGGCGACGCGTCGAGACTGTAGCCATAAACAGGCCGTCGGCTTCATCTCTAGGAGTGTGTCCCTGTTACTGCTATGGTAACGGTGTCTTGTATAGCCGATCCTTTTCGCATATCTCCGCCGCTCGTTGGGTCTTGCGGATACTACCATCTCTCGGTGTACAACATTTAGCTGGCAAGGATGACGCGCCATGTTCTTATCGAAAGGGAGTGGGCGCCGAATTATTGGGTTCGTATGTGTCCCCATCCCATCCCTCAAAGAACGAAGACCGGTGTGTGTTGGATACAACGTGCCTTGCAACCTTGTATTGTTGCTTCTGGTGATAGGTCTCCTCGTAGTCGTCATTTTCCTCTCATCTAGATCTAAACAAAGGTTGAAAGGCTGGTCCTCTGGTGTCAACCGCGAGCCACTAAACAGCAAGGAAGAGGCGTCGCCTCGCCTCGTACCCCCATGCTATGGGGGCAAGGGCATGTGCGTGCGTTTGACTTCGACTAGCAGAGCCAGATGACCATTTATTTCATGCACGCTTTCATCATGTAGGACCACAACGCAACACTCGCCGACGTTCTCGACTAGTCCATTTCGTTGCTGTGAATAATCCTATGTGGATCTGTAAAGTCTTGGAAATCAGTCTTGGTTTATACGGCAGAGTCGCAGAGCATCAGACGTGTATCGCGACGTCAGTTGTGGCGCCCTGATTTGATAGCCAGCGCCGAATTGAGTGAAAACTAAAGGCAGGTAAGCGCCTGTGGTCTGGTCCCTGGCAAATGAATTTTGCATGAGCGGGTAACAAGAATAGATCCCGTGCTCTATGTACAGTCTAAACGGCCCCAATTGTCATATGAAAGGGCTGCGGGCGCTGATCACCAAAGCCCTCTTTTTGCCTTCTCCGGCCAAAACCCCAAGGGGTACAAGATGATGGAAGGGTTCCAAAGTCGTGCTTCTGAGCCCAATAATTCGGCTCTTTCGGATTGGATCCCCGTCGCTGCTTGTCAACCATGGGCTGTACGAACATATTCGTCTCATAGTGGGGGGCAGCATAGACATGATCTCACTGCCAGTACCTTCGTACAGCTCGACATGTGCCAAGGCAGCAGGCTATCCTGTTCTGCTGGCCTTGAAATGCATGCTAGTCGCCTTCGCAGCCAATAACAAAGGCCACGACGGCCACTGGCGCGAGAAGCTAGAAGAGGAGGACACCTTGCTTCGCAAAGAGATCAACAACTTGCCCCTCTCGGGGCGTTGAGAGCTGGAAAGCTGGCCGGCAGACTTACATTAGGTAACCTCTGAGATGCATCCTTGCCTTGGCAACCGACCTGTTGACCCGCAGTCACATGGCTGGATGCGCTGCCTGATGTGGGCTCGATCAACGCTATTCTTTCAAGTTGAGAGTCTCGTGAGAAGATGGGGTAGCATCGCGAAAAATGCAAATGATGCCAGAAAGAACAAGGATGTTTAAACCCGCAGCTGTACGAGCAGCGGTCAGAAGTTAGCCTTCAACACCATTTGCCAGTGTGGAGATGAAGGGAAAAAAAAGATCCAAGGTTGCAGACTACAGGTTTCGTACATACCTGCAAGCAAGGCTTTCCACTTCTGACTTGTATGCCTTGCTTTGAGTAAACTACTGTAATAGCATGACCGGCATCCAAGATAATTGCGTAGCCGCCATCCACAGGATAATGTGATTGATAACGAGAATTCATGCATTGCATTGCATTGCAGGGTATGGTGACGCTAAATTGCAGCTCCTCTGTTGTAGGCCATTAACAGAGCTGGCTTTCTCAGCCGTCATACCCCGGCCATCATGTCTTATCGTCTAATTCATTCTTACCCTTTCTCTACACATGACTCTGGAATATCATCATATTATACTATCAAGTATAACAGTAAGTGGGGTTACGAATGCCAAATTTGCACGTTCCTACCATGCCGGTACGATGACGTCCCAGAAGATGGCTGTCCATGATAGTAGACTGCTTGAGAAAAACCCCTTGCCGGCAAGGTCTCCATTAACGCCTCCAGTTCCTGAACGGGAATTTAGCAGACAAACATTGGCTGTCAAGGAGACGAATAGTGGCAGGGCTTGTGCAACGACAAGGGCAATGCTTCACAGATCATGACGCTAGAATGTTAGTGGCAGGAAAGAAGCCAGAAAAGCAATGAAGGAGAAGGGGGGATTAAAAAAGGGTGGAAAATAAAAAGAAAAAACCTCCGGTGCCAGACTGGCACCATCCATCTCCTTAGGGGCTTCCTGAGGTGACGATCTGGAGGTGTCGGCAATCGCAAAATGGGATTTGCCTTGGTGTGTGTGTCACTGGATAGATCCGCAGTGTTACCCCTGGCTTCTTGGGAAAGGAATGTGGGTGGTGTCCATGAGGTACACAAGCCTCCATTCACAAGGGGAGGGGGCTGGTACGAGAAATTTCGAGCTAGTGCTACTTTGCTGCCACGGGTTGTGAAGTGGAAAGAGGTGCATGTGCTCGTGAGATTCATGTCATGATTGCTTCGGTGCAATGTGGGGTGGCATATCCTAACATCCTTGGCTGCATCCATCTGCATGGCCTTTCACTGTCCTACCTTTGCATGCATACTGAGAGTAACCGCACCGGGTAAAGATATGAGCCGACGAGAGCATGTATATTCCCACGTCCTCGACAGAGTCGATGGACTCTGATATGCGAGTTCCCTGTGACTCGGTCAACCTGGGTTTGGAGTGTGGCAGTAAAGACGATGCATTGTGCCGAGACCCTGCAAACGCGCGGTACCTTTCGACTGCTTGAATCCAGTTTCGTTCGTAGGCCGTGAGTATGGCGCATCGTTAATCTAGCGCACGAGGCATGGGACAGGGGCATGGCCCATGGCGCATTCAAGCAAGATTCAAAGACCTCAGAAGACACCAGGAACACACCACCGTGGACTAGTCGTTGAACCTTGAGACATTCAATTGCATTTGCGAAAATGCCTATACAGGCAATGCTGAGTTCACTTGGCTCGTGATTATGGTAAAAGCACCACTGGGAAAACGAAATGTGCATCTCATGAATGAACTTGACGACAAGCTGGTAACGAAGAAAGAGGTTTTCGTCAGGTATAAATCGGTGGGTACTTCGTGCGGGCGGTTCCCGGCAGTAAATCCTTGAAATGAACTCCGCAGAAATAGCCACGAAAAGCAGAAATTGCTAAATACCAACGGCTCCATGACTTTCCATGACTCATTTCCTATAAAGTATACGAGTGTTGGAGTGCGTTGCGTCAAGCGTCAATATCGCAGGACACCTCCGCGGCAGCTTGGTATCCAGCCCTGGATGCAAGAAGCGCTGCTCGCACCATCATAGCAGATATAGTGGCCGTTGGAGCGACGCTAGAGCCGGCGGGAAGATGCTGGTGGTGGTGGGGCACTGGAATGGAGTCGTTTTCGTTGCAAAGAACTGATGAGGTGAGGAGTGGATTTGCCTAGCGTTGAACTAGACCCCGTATCTAACAATCGCTGCCAATACCACTTCAGGTATGTACGAGCTGCCACCCCCGTCTAACGCGGTTGCAAGGTCAAGATCGCACTTGTCCTGTGGTCGTAATAGACGCTATTCCGGCAGAGGTGGAGAACGCATTGGGCTGTGGATTATCAGCAGACGACTTCGGCTCCGCAGATATCGTTCTTGTGGCAGCCGGCGGAGTAATCTTTGAGAACGGAGCATATCATCCGCAAGGGGAGACATGTAGGAGTCCAGGTGGAAGTTTTGCTAGGCTACGGACGGACATAAGTACAGTATGCATAGTAGTGGTAGCAGTAGCATCCACAAGAGTGATCAAGGGGAAGAATCTAATCGGTTGCTGATCCCACTGGACATGGAATCGAATAAGGCAAGAGGCCAGAGAGTAGGCGAAAGCGCGTTATAGCGTGGCGGATACCGGGTTGCGGGTATCTGTGCGATGCACGCCCAGAATGCTGCTTTTCTAGGGAGGGTGGTAGAAGCTGTGGTAGGTGCTGAAAGGAACAGGCGTCCCAAGGAATGCCAGCCATCATGGGGCTACCGTTGCGGGGGACGAGCAGTTCCGATGCTGTTGGTCAGGCTGTGTGAGACGGCTCTTGGGAGGGCTTTTTTGGCCTGTCTGGGGTCAGCGCGATCGAATCGTTCCCGCACCACACACTCAGAGCAGAGGTGCCCACGCAAGGCCGCCACCCTTGCAGCCATGACCCTGGCCTGGTCCCCATGTTTGTGTGATCACCTTGTGAACACCTGGGGCCAGTGATAGAGCGGCGCGCGTCTTAGCGTTGGCCTAGTGCTGCCGTGTTGCGTAGACGCCAAAGCTGTAGCACACTGGCATTGTGCAGTGCTACCGACTATGGCGTCCTATTGCTGCCACTCGTACATAGATTTCGAGATTGGCCGAGCCTGGCAAGCGCCGCCTGGTGTGACTCGGGTCGGGAGAGGATCTCGACACGCATCTGCTGCCTATTCAATATTCCCGCCTCTTGTTGAGCGAGGCATCGGTCTGGATTGTTGAGAAAGGCTTGGGTCAGCTTCCTATCGGCCGCCGCTAACACCATTAGGCCTTTACAGCCGTGATCGGCTTGCTGGACAGGGTAGACGGGAGAGCTGAAAGAGGGGGTGGCCAGACCATTGGGGCTGAAGCGCGCAACAACAGAGACGACGACTGGGCGTTTCGATTGTTCTGAGGCATTTGTTGGTGGATCCTCTCCTGTTGATCAACTCTGTTTAGGCACTACCATGCGTATCGTTCGTTTCGGTACGGGCGAGTTGTGCTTCCTGTTGCCCTGTTCTGGAAGCCTGGTTTCGCGGCGCAAACTCTAATCCACGGGCGCAATAGTGGTTCTGGGGATGGCCTGGTATGGCTGTAGCATGGCTATAGCATGGCATGGCAGCCTGGGGTCGCGTCGTGGCGCTGGAATTGCTCGAAGCTTGTTATTGACAGAACGCCATCCAGAGACAACAATCCCAACGACATGGCATGTCGCAACAAACAATAAGAGATGGTGTTCTCCATCCAAGGTACCGTTCCTTGGGAATCTGCCCACCGGCGGAAGCGCCTGCCAGCCCTGGGCCAATCCTGGCCTGCACTTGCACTTACTTGCACTTGCAAGAGGAGGCCTGCCGATCGAGTTGCGGAAGGCGCTCAAGGCCCTAAGGCGTGTGCTACAGTCGCACTACCTCTAGGTACAGGCAGGATCCTTGAAGTATGAGTACCAGCGTAGGACCTTAGCTCGCTTCGTATATCGCTCTTCAAATCCAAGTTACCGTAGTACTGGTACCCATGCCAGCCTCGGGATGCCGTCAAGTTACACGTGCGATCGAATTTAAGCACCGGCTTATTCGGGCAGACCTTGTCAGCGGTGATGACGGCATCAGCACTCAAGGGATCCAGCATACGGCTACTGACGATTATATCAGCCCTTAGTAGCAAAAACGAGACATGCTCGTGCTCACGGAATGCAAATGCAAGCACCTATCACAGGCCCCTGCTTTTTTCTCTCTCTCTGGAGGCATACGACTACGGCTATATCAAATATCACATCACCATGTAGCACGAGGTGGCCATTGCCCGAACGAGGCAGCGAATCAGATGAGACATCCTCAAATGTAGGTCCCTGTATCTACTAAGGCATGCACGTACAGTACGTGTACTACTACTGCACCTGTGAATGGGGGTCTTCCTTTAGCTCTGGCTTGTTAACAACATCTGACTTTTGTTATTTGATTTGAATCGATTCATGTCTCGGTTTACATACACTTCTAGAGAAGCCACAAGCAAAGGCGACAAGCCAGCATCCGGAAGTGGCGTCTTCATGGCCCGGAAAGAAGCTGAGATGGATATTACAAAGAAGATCGTTGCCGTATTATTGTCCAACTCGGCCGTAAGACATTGAATAGTAAGACGTGAGCCTCTCGGGGAAAAAGACGTGATGGGGAGGCACATGGTCGAGGTCCAGGTAGACCCAACAGACGAGATACTTGCGAGTACCTGCCGGCTTCCCCTCCATCCCGCCCGTCCTCGTAGGTCCCTTCCCTCCATTCAGCCAAAAGCGAGGCTCCACCTCCAGGCCAACTCTATCCGGCCGCATGGCCAATGCGGATGTTGGTGAAAGCAGCGCCATGCAGGAGCCACGCATGAGCCAATGGGGAGGCGGCATCGAGCCAATTTATTGCCCGATACTGACTAGCCGAGCAGGAAACTGACTGTTGCTTCCGACGGGCTGCGACCCAGAACGCCGAGATGACGTCGTTGGCCCAGCTAGCGGCACCGACATGCCAGCCAATGCTGTGACGGCCAAATCATGCAGCAGCTGGTTAGGACTGGGCCATGCAGGAGATGTACATAGACGATAACTCGGAACTGGTAAGTACGCGCAAACTGATTCACATCTGGCATGAACTCAAGGGGCAACTTGGGCCCGATTTGCCACGAAGTATGTCTGAGGCCAAGTCTAACTAAATTTTTTTTCTTCATCACGCATGACCGATGACTCCATGGACTTTCTCACAACACGGCCATCAGCTTTCGAAAATAGAACCGCGCGGTCCATAATAACGTCAGGCCGGGCGCAGACCAACACGAGCTAGTAATGACTGATCACTTCGATGCATGGAGGCGCACGGACGCACCCGGGGTGGCCATAGCGTTCGCCGCTGCTCTGCTCCGTACGATACATGTCTTCCCTTGTCTTTTCTTGTCTACCTCGACTTGCTCCAGAGCTAGCCTCCATGCGATGCAACTTCGGACCTGGGCCTGGCCGGTCACTTGTGTTGTAGTTTTTGTCGCAGCTTTTGATCCTCTTGCGATGCTGCTGCTCTGCTTCTTCTTCTTTTCCATTTCAGCATCCCCCCCTTTTTCGAGCCAAGACATGACCCATGCCCCGTTCAAGTGTTGGTCCGTAGCTGAGCTTGGCCTTTTGCTTTGCTTTGCTAGCTTTCCTAGCCCTCAACGCGGTCACTTGCTAGGACCGAGCTGCTGCGACTCTGCACGCGCGCACGCATCAACTAAAATAAGCGACGCGCAGACTGGATAGACCACTAGTGTCGGTTTTTGAACGTGGCGGCTGTCGTATCAAGGCAGAGGCCGGGCATCTATTTGGGCAGGTAAAACACAGGGCCAAACTCACTTAGATTAATAAATCCCATGAGCAGAAGCAAAGCGGGCAGAGAGGCTGACCTGAAGGATCAATCAACGGAAGCTGCAGTTCCCAACAAGGCACTATTGCCGAGTGCCATGGCGAGCCAGCAGGGGTGTTTTGGAGCCCCGGGTTCGAGGGCATTGCTTGCATATCTGGAGTGAGTTCATTTGACTGCACGCCTTACGGAGAACAGGGCAGCGGTTGGCCGAACCAGCGGAGGCTAACGGGGGTATTGATGGATTATCAATATTTGATGCGCCTTATCAGCTTATACTTGCACACGGCTATTGTCTCTTTGTGTCTACTGTAGCGAACCTGAATTGTATATTCCAGGTTGTAACATGGAATCCATACCGGCTTATTACTGTATTACCTGCCTTGGGTACTACCTTACCTGTATTTGATACTAAACTTGGGGGCGGTAGAGGTAATACTGTACAGGATGTTGCTACTAATAGCACTTTTCAAGCAGCATTATATCCCGGGAATATCAGCTTTCCAAACAGCAGGGTATTTTTGCTGCGGACGGACGGACGACGACGACGATTCCTCGCACGCTTGCATGTCGTATAAGTGGTACTCGTATGTACTAGCAGCTCACGATGGCGAGCTGCAGGGATGCTCCTCTTTGATGCTACTGGTACCGACGAATCCCAAACCCGTGCTTGGATGCTACTGACTCTGCGCACGGCTGAGCTGCAGCAAGACCCCCGGCTCGTCAGAAATAACCGGGACGCTCATCTTGCCATCTTTCCATCTAGCCATGATTCATTGCTGGACTACTCGTACATAAGTCGGTATATTATCCTCGTCTTTTCAGTCGTTGTGCTGCATCTGTGCTGTCATTCCGCCCTTTTAGCATCCATCCAACCCATCCAACCATTGATCTTAGCCACAGGTACCGCTAGCATCGCACAAGCGCCACTTGCAGTACCCCGTACCTGCGAGTACCTGGCATCTACCTGGGCCAAGTTACGTCCATGCTCTGCTGAACCGGGTTGCCTTGCCTTAAACTTCATCCTCCCTTGCTTCACCTTCATCTACTCGTTCCAATTTTTTCTTCTCCCACGCCCCCTCCAACGCCTCTTTTACAAGAGAAAAAAGTCTCCAGCCGCTGCGTCTTTGCAGCCAACCATGATTCGTCGCCATCCGCTTGCAGCCCTCCATCCGCGCATCCACAAATAAAATCCAGCATCGCATCGCACCCTCAACCCTTGGCCCAGCCTTTTTCTTGTTCCCTCTCCCCCGCCCCGTCAAGCCCGCTCTTGTTTCTGCAAGTCTCTGCGACCTCTAGCGTGCGAGAAGCGTGCTAACGTACGACATACCTACCTGCCACTGTCCCGTCAATTACAAAGCTCCTCTTCCATCTCCACCACCACCACCACCATAACCACCCTAAACCACCCTCCCTCTTCTTGCACACAACCTCCCGCCAGACATCGCGCCCACATCCGGCACAAGGTCCCCCAGCTCCTCGCGACTGTCTGCGCTTTTGTTTGTTTTGCGTCGTGCCTCGCTGCGCTACGCTACTACTAGTAGTACTTCTGCCACTGCACTGCTGCGCTCAACTCTTCAGCCCTCTCGCGAGTCTCCACCGAGTCGACTCGAGTCGCGCTGCTTCTAACCATCGCCGATTGCCTCTCTGCAGAACAGACTCGCAGAGACGCGCACGCACGCCGCAGACAAAAGTCGGTCGCCGCTCGTGTTTCCTGACTGCCGCCTGGTGCGATCGTCATCGTTACTGTCGCACACGCGTCGCGCTCCTCGTCCATCAGCTTGTTGGACTGCACTCAACTGAATACAAGGTAACAAGACGAACGAGAAAAGTTCCTTCCCCTTCCCTTGTTTCTACCCCCCCAATCCAGCCCACTGGCCCCCCTCCCCGCGATATCAACCATCACAGAAAATAAAGGTGTATTGTGCCTGTTTTGTCTGCGCAGCCATGGCCGGCTCTTCATCGCATGCCTCGTTGCTCTGCCTCGAGCTATTATTACCTTGAGCTGGACTGGAGCTTTGAAGCAGCCGCCTTGGGCTTGCGCCGCACTCGGGCTACACTACACCACGTTGCTCTGTTCTCGTCTGCTGCCTGTCCGTCTATCCATCCGGCTGGTTTCCTTCGGTTCGCCTCCGGCCACTGCCCGCCACACCCATCCACGCCCCCATGGAAGCCAACCTGCAGGACAAGCCCGTTCTTCTGCACCTCCGTCCATCCTTGGAACTTCGCCAGCCCAACTATTTCACGACACGTCGCCGCCATCGCCGCGCTGCCGCCACCGCCGTTGCTGCTTGTTTGGATCTTCTTGTCATGTACTCCGCACAACCAACAGGCGCCGACGGTGCGACAATCAATCCCGCTGCCCTCAACTCTGGTGAGTTGTTCATTCCTCATGTCATATATTCTCTTGTCAATGTCATTGCCCCTCCATCCTCAACTCTTATGTCGGCCCCCCTCCCCCGCCAGATCTTGACTGCGCGCCGTCTCTAAGAAAAAAAAATCACCATGCGATCTGCCTTTTTGCGCTGCGCATTGCAATCCCCTTCCCCTACCGCATTCACAATGCCTCGCGCGCCTCTTACAGCATCTTTTTTACGCACCTTTGTAATGCTGACCCGCCGACCGTCCTAGACATCTTCAGCGCGCCGCCTCGGGGTATTAAGCGGAATCGATCTCCGGACCTTGTCGACTCTCACCGGCCTGGCGATGACGGTATGTCGGCGAAAGATCTTGTGTAGCTCGGAGTCCTGCGCCGCGTTTCACAGGGCCTGGATATCCTTGACATGTTACATCCAGCCCAGTGCGACGCTGCGCAAGCATATGGCCTTTGGAGCGACGAGACGAGAACCAAGCGACGAGACTAAATAACTTCATGCATGTTGGAGAACGGCGCGCTGACTATAAATCTTTCGCTTTCTAGGTGATCGCTATCTTCAGCCCAAACGAATAAGACCAATGAAGGCCCGAACGACAGGAAGCATTTCCGAGGCCCCCGGGCAAGCCCCGGGCGGACCCGTGCCTCAAGCCATCCCGCCTCCTCAAGCGCCTCAATCGCAAAACCCTGCGATTCCGACTCAGACGACGCCATCCTACTCGACTCCGCAGGCGCAGCTGCCTCCTAAGCCGGCGCCGGCCAAGACGACCCTCAAAGCGCTGCCCACGGTGCGAGATCATACCACTGACCAGCTCAACCCTTCGGGCGACGAGTACATCCCGCGTGAGACGGACGAGTTTGGTGAGAAGAAGGTGATGCCCAATGGCCAGCTCCTTGGCAACCGCCAATACAGGTGTCGCACATTCCTGGTTCCAAACCGTGGAGACAAGCTCTTTATGCTGGCTACCGAATGCGCCCGAGTCCTGGGATACCGAGACTCGTACCTCTTGTTTAATAAGAATAGGTCGCTCTACAAGATAATCGCTAGCCAAGCCGAAAAGGATGACCTTGTTCAGCAGGAGATCTTGCCCTTCTCGTACCGATCCAGGCAGATCGCCATTGTTACCGCCCGGTCCATGTTCCGACAGTTTGGAAGCCGCGTCATTGAAAACGGCCGCCGAGTCCGAGACGATTACTGGGAAACAAAGGCTCGGAAGCAAGGCTTCACCGAAGCCGATCCCGCTGGAGAGAAGCGACCTGGAGCCGCCAAGGCCAGAGAGGCCGCCGAAGCAGCGCAGAACAACGTTCTGCTGGGCAACCCGCATACGGAAATCGTGTATAACAACACGCCTGGACCGTACCCCGGTGCGCCTCAGCCTCACCTCGTTCAAGGTATGATGGGAGCACCTGGAAGCGCGACAAGAATGCCGGCATTAACGGTTGGACCAGACCTCAGTGACAGCAGATCCAGGGACTATGGCGGTATCGTCAAGGGCGGCCCGCGACAGGAGATCACCGGACCCCCGTACCAAGATCAGACCAGGCCCTCCCCTCTGGTGGAAATCCATTCGCAGGCCCATCACGCCGCCGATTTCAACCGATCGGTGAACCAGCAACGTGATATGCGCGACAACTACCTTCAGGGTATCTGGCGTCGGCCACACGAGCAACCTACTCAGTCCGCCCTCGGCCAACAGCCCGTTGCTGCATCGGCCGACCCGACTATTCCCACTAGCCGACCGACGAATTCGCCTCACACCAGCGCTGCTGGCATAGCCCAGCCCGGCGTTGTTTCGTCTCAAAGCCCACAGATGATGATGACTGCGGCCCCATACTCCCAGTCCATCAATGCGCAAAGCGCGCTCGGTCAAGCTCCCATCAGAGGTATGGCCCCTTTGCCTTTAACAACCAAGCTGAGTATCCGCGAACCAACACCTTCTGCAGGGTCTACCGGTAGCATCGGCGCTGGAACGGCTGGATATAGCTATCAACAGCCGGGCCAGATGTGGTCTCAGAGTCCCCAGACGCCGCAAACTAGCTACAGCAGCTATACAACGCAGCCTCAGGCCCAGCATCCTTCCCAGTCTCCGGCATCTCAGCTCCGCCAGACCGGTGCCAGCCAGATGCAGCCGAGCATGCAGTTCCCCGGCATGGGAAGCATGCAATACAGCACCAGTCAGGGCATGTACGGTGCGGAGCAAACACCTCGTCAATACATGCCTCAAACTACGCCTAGTGCGCAGTCAGCCTCTCAACCGTGGTCGGGCCAACACCAACAATCTCAGCAGTGGTGGACGCCTCAACAGCAACAGTAGTGCACCTCTGATGTGGCATGGCGCTCTGAGCGGTTGGCTTAACTAAGGCTTGTTGTAGTCGATATTGTTAAAGCATGAGACGTTACTGCGTTGCTTGCAGCTCTTCTTTTCTGCACGTTCTAGTTTGGAGAACTGGTTGGTTCCATTGGCTTTGTTTTTATTTCTGGGACCGAGCTCCTGCAGTATTCCAGATACCCCAAGCATACAGGTTGGTTGGAGCGGCTTTTTGCTTTCTTGAGCCAGCGGCTCGTTTTGAACGATGCGCAGCATATGGCTCAGGTAGGATAAAGGAGTCGGAGGGAGGTCGGTAGGATGTATTTCTTTTTGCTTTTTCTTTTTTTGTTTTCCCCCCTTCGCTTCTCTCTCCCATTTTCTTCTTGCCTTCACCCTTTTGGGGCCAGTGGTTTTACAAGAACCCTGTACCTTTTTATTGCCTATGGCTCTCTGATGTCTATCTTTGCTCTTTTCTATTTATTTTTTAACGGCCGAATTCTTAGCAGGTGTCCAGAGTGTTCTCTGGACAGGGATTTTATGTGTTTTTTGTAACGGTATTCACGAAGGGAGGGAACTCCTACTTGGCATCTCTTCACGGCTAATTCTCAATGTTTTGGCGGGGCATGTTTCGCGTTTGATGTTGATACCACTTGGTTTGCGTTAGTCGTCAAACACACTTGATGAGAGAAATTGAGATTCCTTCTATGGTTTTTTTTTTGTATGGGCTTGATGGTCTCCCTTGACGATTTGCACTCTTGTGTCTGTAGATTTTTGCAGAGACTTGGAATAGCTGTATTTGCGCTCGTCTTTCGTTTAATGTCTGCTCAGACGGCTCATTTGTGGGTATATTTTGGTGTTGCGTAGAATGTTACTGATTCAGCTCTGTTGATGGAATAAATATGAATGGCTTGATTGAGTTTTTGTCTTGGCTGAAGGCTTCTAAGTCCGCGTGACTGATATTTGAAGCAAGACGTGACGTGACGTTCGTTATTCTGCCTTGTTCGAATCGGAGATCTCAGGGCCTACAGTACCCATTCCAACAGAGTTTGGTGTACGTATCACGGTCCAGATATTATCGTTTTAGGGACCAAAAGAAAAGAAAAGAATAGCTTCATCACAACTCCATCCTTTTGCTCGAATACACGCCATCTACGTACTTAATCGCTCTCATCGCCTTCCAGCGCCTCATCCGCCTCCTCTCTACTCCTCCTCTCCTCCAACGCATCCTGCGTCTCATCACCACTAGCCTCGCCCTCTCCACCATCTTCCTCATCGTCTTCATCAGCAGCCTCTTCATCATCTTCCTCATCCTGAGCGTCTTCATCACCCTCATTCTCATCATCATCATCGTCGTCGACATCATCGTCCTCGTTGACAATGGCATCGACTTCCTCGTCGTCACCGGCAGAAGGGTCGACGCGGGCCTTTTTAGCACGCGGGCCGGACGAGGCGGAGGCTTCTGAGGCAATGGTTGTGTCGGCCATGTCGGTGTCGTCGCCAGGGCCGTGCTTGGGAGCGGAAGCGCGGACTTTTTGGCGGTAAGAGGTGCGTTTTTCAGTTTGTATGGCGTTGAATTCTGGAAAGAGGTTAGAGAGAAGATATAAAAGAATAGGATAGAGGAATGAGGCAGCAATCCACAGAGGTCGATCTTCTTGTGTGTATGAAACGCGAAGATCGATGACGAGAGGAGTCTTTTGTTCTAGGGGTGGAGGGGTTGTGCAAACGTACTGGCAAATTCAGCCTCAAGAGGCTCTTTCAAGAATGAAAACTCAGTGTCATCCAATGCTTTGAAGACATCAGCTGGAAGAATGGTCTTTTTGCCTGCAGCGACGGTGTTTTCGTTGGCGCTATGGGGCCGTAATGTTAGCACCCCATGCCTTGAATGACACCATATATGAAGTTCGACAAATGCAAGAAGAGTATGCTCCTAGTCGACATATTATAGAGAATGCCGGGGGAGCAAGTAGCAGCTAGGGGCAAATCATTGAGATCGATGAAACACATACTGTGAAGCTAGATAGCTAATAAAGACGGTGGCGCTCTTGCTCAGCGCCAGGATTGCGTTGCCTTGAATCTGTGTATTCGGGGGCAGAATCCCCTTTGCCAACCTTGTGATGATGGATTTTGGAAGATTCAAGTCCTAACAAAACATGTTAGCCGGGAAATATTTCTTATAGCTGTTTAAAGCAGAGCATCGACAGAGACGGTATTGTAAGAAAAAGAAACCCTTACCTCTATGGTTACTGGGTCTTCTCCTCCTTTGCCCTTGTCCTTATCCTTGTCCTTCTTCTCCTGTTTATCTTGCTTATCCTGTGCCTGAGGAGCTTTTGCTGGGGGAGACGCCTCCTCAGCGGCAACAGGAGTCAATGGCCGAACGTCAGATTTGCGAGGAGGCATGTTTGCCTTTTCGTTTGGATAATGAAAGAGGGGTATATTCAGAAAGGCAGGAATGAGATTAGGGAGAGATGAAATGAATGGGGTGGGATGAGATGAGTGAGTTGGTTGGTTGAGGTTAATGTGTGGCGTATGAGAAAGCCGGGGTAGAAATCCGGTGACCAAAAAGAAGGACAAGCAAAAGTGGTATATCCCCCCAGAAAGCCTTTATATATCGTGAAAGAAGAAGAAGGAAATCGTCGAAAAATATCGGCAGTTGTGAGAAAGGAAGAGCCAAAAGAGAAGAATTTGAAATGCCCGATCCAAAGTCCGATACGGCCCCTAAAAAAAAAACGACACTCTCACGCTCCGCCCTCTCAAACAGAAAGCAGCAAACAGGGCAAGGCAAAGCTTCGGCACAAAATTAGGCTCAATAGAAAACGTGTAAGACAAGGAGTCGAGATCCAGCAGACTTCCGTAGGACCAATTGGACACGCAGAGGCCGTTCAGAAGCGTCGTAAAGCCGTTGTTGGGGTTTTCTCAGAGTGCTAAGGGGGGAGGTTGAAGGCCAGTATCGCCGCGGAAAGGAAGAGATTTCCGGTTCCTTTTATCTGAGATATCAGACCAAGCAGTTGTGACGTATGAAATGATCCGGTAAGAGCGCGTCAACCCTGGATTACTGCGGTGCAAGTCTGTACAAGTCGAGATAGATGGAGTATGGAGCAGCAGAAAGTCGAAAAAGAAAAGGCACGTTGAGGTTAAGCTTAGTAGACGCGTTGCCCCCGCCGTGGCGCGCGTTAAGTGGTTTTGCACCAGGTCGCATGTACCCCGTACTAAGGCCGCCGCTTACTTTTGCCGTAGCTCGTGGTACATGGTACTAGCAACGCTTCAAAATGCAGTCATGAGTTTACTTCACTTCCAGATTCAAATACAGATGAGGCTTCTTTTCTTGTCAGAGTGGTCAATTTGGCTATAGTATTTTCTCGTGTATTTGCTTCCTTCCGAGCATACCTCACTACCATTCCCCGGTCAACCCGTCCCGCGTCAAAGGACTCATAACCTTTTCCAGCATGTCTTCATGCCTTCATATCCCTCCGCTTCCTCTCTCATATTCCAGCCTCAAAACAACATGTAATAAAAACCTCCATGGCAGTGATATGCGCCTGCTCATGGTACATAAGAAAATGTGGGTATATCCGTCATATATCAAATAAATCATACTAGGAAAAAAGGAAGAATCAAGGCTCAGCCTGCATTTGTTGCCGCTTACCAATGAAGCGGCTAAAGGTGTCTGGCACACGGATCCTCCGCAGGAGTGATGACACCTGCGTATGCGAAAGGAAGAGTAAGGGTACGGAGTAACGCTGATAGAAAATAAAAAGAATGAAAAAAACGTGTGTGGGAAGGAACCCGCCGTGAGTCTGCGACAATTCACGGACGAGGCCTCTTACACCCAAGAAGTGTGAACAAACAGTCATCACTGTCATATTCTCCACATAGGTGGCCGTCAGAACGTATATTTCTCTCACTCGTCTCAGTGAGTGAAGCAAATCAATATCCAAAGTTCATTCATCCTCATTCGTCGTACTCAAAAGTGTATTGAGTTGGACTGACGATGATGAGTTTTATCCTATGGCGCGCCCAATTTCGGCTCTGAGCACCACTGGTCGTGGTGATAGACCAGTCAAGGGGACGTCATCATCGGTAGAGATCTGACGAGAAACATGGTTGGCCGGTGTTGAAATGGTCGCCCTGCGTGATGCCGTCGCCGACTTGGAATAGATATCAGCGGAAGGCCGAGGTGAGTTGCCCTCTGGTGTCTGGCTGTACCATTGTTCACGTTTAGCGCTGGAACCAAAGCTGCTTCTTGTGCTCCGTGAACTTTTGGTCCGAGCATGACGAGGGGAGTTGGTTTTGGACAGACGCGCCGATGGGGTACGCTTTACATTGACGTAAGCCTGGTCACCCCGAACAGTCTCGTCCGTTAGGCCTGGCCGAGAGTTTGGTGCTCGTGCAAGGACTGGTGTTGGAGGGATATCAATGCTCTGCTTCCCCCGAACAGGAGACCAAGGCTGCTTGTCTTCCGAGACCCGATTTTGGTAAACAATGACGCTCGATGACTTTACTGAACCAATAGATGTGCTTGCATGATGAGAGTGATGAACCCGCTTCGGCTCGGTTACAGCCGATTTGGGAGAATCGGGCGGCTTCTCATCGTCGTCAACGCTGTGGGTCCGATCAATCTTCCAAGATTCAATCTCTTCATCGTCAATCGGTGTGATTCCTCGGTTGCGGAATCGAGCCTTTCGTCTTCTAACTCGGTGGTAGATGACGGCTGCCAAAAGAAGAAGGAATACGGATGGTATGACTGTGGCCAGAACGATTGTGACGGTTTCGTGTGAAGAAGATGAGCTAGACATGCTGTCTGTTTTGTTCCGCTGCGCGTTTCGTAGAGTGGTGGCAGTGGTTGAGTGGCGATACCAGAGCTGGAAGGTTGGCTGGGAGCGTCGGTATGCCGGTATCACAAGGCCATTCGGACGACTCTGTATATATCCTGGATCCTCTTTTCTTACTTCAGGGGCAGCGAATGTCGGCTTTGATTCAGAGGGACCTCCTTCTCGATGTCGCCGTTGAATGAATTGGCCACCTGAGATTTGACCCGGTTTACCCAAGCAAGCTTCTTTTCCAAGTGTAGGAACAGTGCCGAGTATTCCGAATAAATGATAACGGTAAGAAGTGATTGATATCGAATACGTTGAATGGAAAAGCGATCGGTTTCCCTTTCTGTAGTAGAAGAAGGGTCAAGAAGAAATAGCGAATGGCAGCTAGTGCCCACTGATTAGCTTTTCCCCTTCTGTTTTCTTTTCTTTTCTTTTCTTTTCTTTTCTTTTCTGGTGTGTCGTTTATAATACAGCTCTTCCGAGACGACGGAAAGAGCTGAGAGATGAATTGCAAATATAAAAGTACGCAAAGCCAGCGAATGATCAACTCACGCTCAAGGCTCGAGAATCATATTCCAACCCTGTATGGACCCAAACAAAGAGCGAGTACTTGGAAGCAGCAGCGTCCAAGTACAAGTGCCCTCAGGAAACAGAGGAGGAGAAGGGGGCTATCTCAAGAAGCGGGTGGGCGGGATACTAATACAAGTGTGTATATGCCAATTCAAGGAGCCGCATGCGGGCGTGGGTGCATGTACCGGTAGTGGTAAAGGTGGTTCTCATGGTGCAGTGCTCCGTATAGACAGTACGAAGCATGTACAAATATGCACCCAACTGGAGACCATGACACCTTTTTTGCACCTTCTGTGGATGGTGTCAAGGTGCGCAGGCGAAGGGACCAGGGGGGTGCAAGACGAGTGCCCACCCGCGATCCACACGACAGCCCTGGTTCAATGCAAAACAGCTCAAAAGTCTTCACGGTGAATTTTGTATATAGAATACGGAGCATTGTTCCGCAGGGACTACTCCATATAGAGTATGGGAAACGGAGAAGGCAGCAATAGTACACACAGTAGTATGCGTAGCTGTGCTGCTGGTACTCGTAATATTTGATCCTACGTAATAATACAAGTAGAATGATAAGGGGATCATGCTCGCTCGTACAGTAGGTCGTAGTGGTGTCAATATGTTGCCATCGCCAGAGGCGGAAGAACTGCTAGTGTGCTCAGCTGGTGGCCGTGTTAGCTCGCCCAGACGAGACCATTGAGCCATTGAGCCATTGAGCAGCTCCTCTCGCCATGGACGCAACGCAACCCATTAAGACATGAATGGTTCGTCAGCCTTGGGTGTGAGTGGGTGTGCACGGCATATCTTTCTCATTCCGGCTGGCTAGTCGACGCCGCGGTTCAGCAACAATAGCAGCGCCATCACCCGCGCAAGACGAACAAAGTCGCTCTCCATCAGGTGCCTCCCCTTTGAGACCTCTTGGCCCTTTTTTGGGGTCGCTGTCGGGGATGATCAGGGGTTAGCGGACGCGTGGGGTCTCGACGAGCGAGACCTGATCCTTGACCTCTCCCCTCTAGCCTCTGGCCCCCTGGTCAAGCCGCAGGGAAACGTGGCGCATCTCGCAGACGTGTCAGAGGCACTACAGCACAGTCCTGACTCGAATGGGCTGCTCGAGGGATGAGCGTCTCGGCCACGGCCTCTGGTTGGAGGAAGCTGGAGGATTGACGGATTGAGAGCGGCCGATCGTTGCGTGTCGGTTGGATGCCGCCTTGCCACGCAGTCACGGGAGGATGAGGAGAAGTTTCGCAGGTAGATTGATTGATTGATGCTGTTGGGTGACAATTGCCCGCCTCGCCCCGAACGCCGCATTCCACCAAGATAGACCCGTCGCGGCCCTTTCTCCTTCTACTCCGAATCTCTCACTTCTCTCCATTTGCCGTACCAGCAAAAGTCCGTTTACCAGCGAGCCCAGGCTAGGGCCAGGAACCAGGCACAGAATCTCACCCCAGGACCGGGCCGGCAGTTCTGTCTGACGTCTGTCCTGTACAGTCGCATTGAGGGCAATCTTAGCCCAAGCTTCGGATGGCCAGCCCCAAAAAGAGCAGGCGGCCGAGTGATTCCTGGAGCTGTCTCGACTGAGTCTAGATTGTGATATGTGTCGTATTTACTCCGTACAGTCGGGTACTTTCAATTGTGTCTTGGTATTGGGGTCGGTGCTGCCTGAGGCAATGACTGTACGTACTTTACTGTACTGCAAGACTTGATATTGAGATACCAGGAGGGAGTGGCACTGGTACCATTTGCTCAAGTCGTCCTATTGCAGGTGCGATGTAATTCATTCACCTAAACTCGTAGTACATGTACTAGTAGTCAATGTATCAATTGATCTCAAGTGGCACCTGGAGAGGGTCGCAGCAACATTGAGCATCGCCAGAGGTACCTCCTCCTCTGTATCACCGGTATCGAGTACATCGCCATGCACCCCAATTGACTTCAACCCATCAAAATCTGTCCAGCTTCACGCAATCCCAGCCGCTGTATCATGGGATGAGGCTATTTGCTGCCCCTTGCATCGCTACGTGACGGCAATGCATGCGACCACCAGCATACGAGCATCACCGTACCCGTAAGTGCTGCTACCCACCACCTGCTCGCTGCAGACTTATCGAGCATCAATCCCTCCATATCACCTCAACGTTGTGGCGTCTGCATCGCTAGCCGTGCTTATTACAGTTGCCTGCGACTGTATGTACTCGTATACAGGTACGCATGCAAGGGCACTCGATCTCTCGCACGCAAGCAGGTCGGATCGGACTCTCTCGGTCACCCAAATCGGTTGCAGGGGCCGGTGTACTCAGACATACATGCATTGGCCCATCGCCATCCGGGGTCAAAGACAGGATAAGGCAGAAAAAGGGAAATGCTTGCACAAGGGAAACGAGTCCGGCCCAAATCAAGAGCGCCTTCCCTCTATTGACCGGAATTGGAACTTCGGCTTTGAGAGTCTTAACCCGCAGAGGAGATGGTTGGAGCTGCGGCCGCGCTTACAAGGACACGCCTTGGATACAGCTATCCATCCTCTCACGCCTCTCAGTTGCTAGACCGGCAAACCCGGAAGCATACTATGCAAGGGACCAGAAGTATTTTCTTGCCTAATGTTCCAATGGTTTCTTCCTCAGCAAGGTACCTCCATCTCAAGCTTCTGAAGGCTTGACTCACCCTCGACTTGAGCTGGTTGATAGCAAAGCGGGCTGCGATTCTATCATATAAGTGATTCCACACGTCTCTGCTCCGTAATACCAAAATTCATACGGGGATGGACAAATTAATATCGAAATGGAAAGCCGTTTAACAAAGGGATCCTGGATTCTATTGCTTTTTCAGCATCCATTGTTGGATATCACCGGAATACGACTTTGACACCCTGCCTACTGCAGTATTGCTATCACGAATGCAAGCATATCACCGACAAAGGTCATCAGTCTCGTTTCCAATCTCTCTTTCTGAGACTACGAGTACCAGCACAGACACCACTCAATAGGATTCTTTGATGCAATGCAAGAAACGTCGGCAGCTGCGAGTCTCGGAAGCCAACATAGAGCTCTCGGTGCTGCGTACTACTGTGAGAATAAATGACTTGCGTTTACCCGTGGCGCTCAAGCTGCATCTCGCTCTCTTGTTCTTCTCCAGGTATCCGCTCGTGGAACGACCCACCGCTGGATAAGAAGGGCTTTCTCTTCTATCGCTAAGAATAATGCGCCGAGATGACGGCGGGCTGAACGCTTAATGGCGTCTGTTCGTCTCGAGGCGGTTCGAGCTAGTGCTCGTACTTGGCGCCCGAATCGATAGATCAGCTGTGTTGCTTCGGCGCAATGACCCCAGCAGAGCAACCCAACCGTTGTTGGAAGCAGTATAGACGCCTGTTTCACCCGCGTCTTACCCCAGCAATCGAGGAAAGCCACGAACATGGACGACAGCCACCACCGCAGCCACCGTTCAAGACTAAGCTCCTCCCGTATCCTGGCGCGTCTGTCTCCGTCACCTAAGTGGTCCAAAGAACCGCCGAGCAGCGAGTGAGCTGGCATCACGTCCTGGGCTACAGCGTACGAGTACTTTGCAGAGTATTGCTACTGCTACTAGCACGAGTTCGTATGAGTATGCATAAGCTAACGAGAGTCTAGCTATTCCCGCTAGGAAATCTGAAGCACTTGCAAACGCCACAGCTCATTTTCCCGTCGATCAGTTCAACATTGCAGAGGCGGGATATGAGGAGTAGCTTCTTTTACTTTTTAGCTCTCCAGAGTGCTTCAGCCATGGCGGAAAGGTTCGGCGCGCTCATAATCTGCCTCTAGTGAGTGCTTGTCTAGGATTCAAGTCGCCCAGCACCGTGTACCAAAATATGGAGTACACGAAGCAGTCATCTCCGATTACCTTTTCAGACGTATAGAAGGCGTTTTACATCGGCCGATGTGCTCTTTATGCCCGCCGCATCCAATGCAGAATTGGGAAAACTGCCCACTTGCTTGGGCACGTTTTTGATAAGTGTGGGTAATAACCTGTGAGGTGCATGTCACTAACACCCCCGGCTTGGTTTGAATGGTACAAAGATTTGGGTGTCTTGCAGATAGCGATCATCACACTCGAGAGGCAAAAAGAAAAGAAAATTCTGCATATGCCTGCAGCGAGATATCCGGCCTGTCTGGCTGCAACTCTGACCTCCCATTCCGCGTGGAGCTGGCTTATCACGGGAGAGGCCGTCCATCGCGAAGTGGCTTGAGCGATCGACTAGCGAGACTTTGTCGAACAAGGGATCCGCTTCTCCACTGCTTTATGGCCAGGAACCTCTTCTAGCGTCTTCGTGAACCCTTGCTCCATGCGATCATGTGCCACCGTTGCTGGCTGGTGGCGTTTCGTTTCACCTTCTTGACACTCTTGTCTTTCTTCCAGCCGGGTCAAACAGCACTTGGGTGAAAGTGTGGAGAAGTTTTGATAATTATGGAGTAGAGACCGGGGCAATGAATGACGTGCGGGAAGGGAAAGGAAAAAAAGAAGATTAAAAAAAAAGAGGGAAGCAAAAAGGGGGCGATAACACGTATGAATTAGAGAGAGAGAAGCGTCCTCTGCATCCTTTCCTCCACTCACCGCTAATTCTAGCGAGATTCGGTCTTCTTTCTTTCCCACCTGCTCACCCTTGCTTTGGTGGTTAGCATTTTTTCCTGTGGCAAAGTGGTTCTCGGAGCTTGAGAGAACGCAGAATCTCGCGCACACCATTGATATTTTTCTCGTCCTCGCGTGCCACGTCTGCAAGGGGCGCAAGCTGACCCTTGCTTTCCAATGCAACCTATCAAGATGGCCATCAGGCGACGGATTTAGGAAAAGGTCACCCGTGCCGTCCATCCCGTTTCCAAGACTCTTGGAGCTGAAAGAGAGCTTGGAAAGAATGGTGGGCATGAGTGCCAGCACATCAACCATCTCTCATCAAGTGAACAGCCACGGTGCGGCAATTGAGGGATTGGCCAGTCAGGGACAAGCTCACTTGCAGTGAGTTGGGGGGTTAATTAAACTGCTTCCTCGCGTCCCGCACCATCCCACACCTGCGCCTCCGTGCTCTTTCTTGCACGCATCTAATCCTTCTGCCGGAAGACATTAGACCACCGGTTGAGGCGGATAAACAGAGGAGATCTGCCGGGTGGCATTTCGTTTAGCAGCAGTGCTTGCAGCGGCTTGGGATCTTGAAACCAGAGTGACGGAACATATGGATACTTTGATATGGCTGGTTCATGCTCAAATCAAAGAGGCCAATGATGGACAGCCGTTTATAACAGGTGCTTCCCGGCTTATCCATCATCACGGTCTCCCAAATTGCACCATCCAAGGTTAAGACATTCTTATCGTTTTGCTTCGAGCAACTTTTCATCAGAGACATTGGTGAGATTAGCCGTACATGAACTAGTCGCTCCATCGGCACACTTGTAGGCTTACGGCGCATACCTGTTGATTCTATTTTTAATCTACGCTGTCTCTTTTACCATCTACAGTACAGTACGAAGTGGTAATGGCACAAATTCTCGCGGGGATGCTCGGAGGATACAAGTCTCATGTTGATAGACACATTCGTGTCAATCAGGCTTGGCCCGCTTTCCCCCACAACGCCGGGCCATTGCGGATGGTCAAAACGCTCAAGATGAAACCTTCTTCTTGTCATGCATTTGTTTCTTACAGATATGATCCCAGCACGTGGATTTTGAATTTTGCACATCGGAGTGTCGCATTTACATGAAACAGACCGGTATACGGATGCACACGGAGAATTACTCCCTTCGCACCTATGATTAAGCCGATCATTTGCGATTCTTTGGTGGATTTTCATTTCGGTGGAACTTGATTATTATATTCGTTGCGGCCGTCAATTTAGCATGTAGCACTCAGAGACGCGGCCGTTTCTAATGGGGACGAGTCCTTCGAATTACTCGTTGACGATATCCACCACGGAGCAAAATGTCATCAGCACCGTGCACAGCCCTATGTAAAAGACGTAAAGGTGAGTTTCCCCTCCAAAAGCGCTGGTACTATTGGATTTTATTTCCATTTTTAATTTCCCCCAGCTTGAAGCTATTATATACTTAAACATTAGACTTATATGATGATAGTGCTATTCGACAATGGCCGGCGCTGGCAGTCCGATGGGACTGATACTGTACTTGGACCGAACTGAACCCAGCGGCCTATGTGCAACGGCTAGTGAAGTACTGCAATAAACCGCCGTATCTACATGCCGATAATCCTTCAAGCTCGAGCAGAGCAGGGGGGAACTGTGCTAATGCAATAATGTTACGAATCTTTTGATGCATAAACGCTTGCGTGCCTCGAGTCCAATCAGAGGCCTCTCATATATGTGTGGCTATCAGAACCACAGAAGGATGAAGCGGCCCTAACGCAAGCTCTGGAATGCGCGTGTAAGAGCTGCATCTAGGGAAGTTGGACGCAAGCCAGCCATTGGCTGGTGAGCAGAAGAGCCTCTTGGATAATACTGGTAGGCCTCAAGCTGTACCTCCCCGAAGGAGCCTAAGGTTCGTCAAGGAAATCGTCGGTGAGCCAAGCTGGCACCCGGCTTACTGTTTCATGTCGCGTGTTGGATTTTTCAGCTGTGCGAAGCATGTGAGAGGAATTTTTGTGATTGATCAAGACACTTGAGCTATTGAAGCAAGGTGAGATGGATGCTGACACGAAGCATTAGGCAATCTGCACCGAGATGCGTGACGGGGAATCCAGTTCGTACACTAACACTCCGCTTGAGCAAGATTGATGCCTGTTTCGTCTCGCCCACGACGTCCGGACGCCGGCAAGAATGGGCAATTGGTCATGATCCAAGTTCCCCCATGGTCCTTCTTCCCGGCGACATTCAAATGCCCGAGCCTTCTTTTTTCGTTCCCGGTATACTTTGCGCTAGCATCCAAGCCTGCAGTAGCAGTGGCATTGACGCCGAAGAGATTCGGGCATCACCCAACAGCTATACCTACGACGCTGCCAATTAGTCACGGCCAAGCAGCTGTGACTTCAGCTGGGCGGCACACACACACTGCTAGTCGATCCAAGCGCCGGCTTCCCCCTCAATCCTCATTTCTTCTTCTAGTCAAGTTTGCGGAAGTCATCGCCGACCAAGGCCAGATCGCACCGGCTCCTCTGTGGCCTTTGTGTAAGCCGGCTCCGAAGCCATGAGTGTTGTCGAGTATCAAGGGATGATCCGAGGGTAGGATTCGTGTTGCATTGTGCAGATGACGTGTAGAAGAAGTAAGTTTAAGGCTAAACTAGATGAACACTTCACAACGAGGGGGAACGTTTGAAGGTGTCCGGGAGCTGAAGTTTGGGGGCTATTGTATCGAATTAAGTGACCCCGTGCAGCTGCTTCGGACCCGAGTAAAGTCAAAGCTCTGCCCGAGCAACTGTAAGCGAGGTTTGGAGTGTGTAAAAAGGAGCATCATGTGCTGGATGATGATGCAAGTTATACGAGTATGTCAAATGACACCCCAAATGTTACGATGCTGCAGCATCTTGTTCAAACCTTCACGGGCGTAGGAATAAGGTCTGTGATAGCGTATATTCTAGCATGAAATACGATTGGTTCCGTGGTCTAGTTGGTTATGACATTTCGTTAACACGTTTAACGCCACCGAAAAGGTCCCCGGTTCGAGCCCGGGCGGAATCACCATTTCTTTTTTTGCATCCATAGCATACGTGAGAATGTTTGTTTCTTTTTGTCTTTGTGACTGTAGAACTGAAAGTCTTCTTCTGTAGCCGAATGACCTGCCGATGGCATGATAGCTCGAGCCGTATCTCGCCTCCGTGGCTACTATCAAGTAGACAGCTAGGCATAAGCTTTACAAAGTCATAATAAATCTATCTATCAATCCGTGTAGGGGGAATGTTCCAATTCTCCCAACTCCTTTTGTGAAACACAAAAGCAATGGGTCCTTCACGAGTACCGCCAAACCCTTTCTTCTACACTCAAGGCAAAAGCCTAGAGATCGTGCATAAAACCGACCGAACTTTTGGATCAGGAATGACGGTGTTGTCAAATAATGACATGGCGTAAAAGATGGCCGATGCACCCGGATTTCTGCAGTAATCATTCCTAAGGGCAAAGTATTAGCCAAACGTGTCTAGGGAAACAAGGACCGGGTTAGGGGATCAAGACAGGAACTTACGAGAAGAGTGTACAGGAAACATAGTAGGGGCTCGGTGGCACCTCAAGTTTCACTGAGTTCACATTGCCGATACTGTAGACTTGTTAGGACTTTGATTTGCTGAATGATTGTGATCTGGGGGAAGGACAGCATACACATTGGCGGGGAGTTGCACACAGTCGTCGACTCTGTCTACGACGTAGGATTCTCCTTGGAAGTTTGGCTCGGAATAGATTGTTGCCTTTTTTTTTAATTTGTTAATACTTCTCACTAGAGAATGTGCGATTATATGTGCATATTGACAACGAGAACTCACAAGGGGGCCGATGGGGATGGTCAGGCCAACTGCAGCAGTAGCAGAGGCTACAATGCCCAGAAGTAGCTGACTGAGATGCATATCTGCTGTTGAATGTGACGAGGAAATTATTAGTGATTCTAGATATTCCAGAATATGCAAACAGGGACACTAAACCCCTTCAACTATGGAACGGCCGTATGTGACATATAATATACCTACTGTTCTATATTTACTCTGCCCAGTATTCTCTTTCTATGTTTCACACGTCATGTATTCTTCTATGATATCTGTGAAATGAATTAGCAAAACTTCGGGGGGTGACTGGCCGCCAGAGACATATCATTGAGTGTCCGTGTCATGTATTCTCTCTTGGAATGTTCCACCAACATACTTGCTGTTTGACTCTTGGCAACAGTTTGCATTTAATCCACTTCTTTCCACTCCTTGTTGTCCGTTGTAATTTTTCTTATTTCCAGTCCATTCTGTTGCATTACCATCACTCTAGGAAACTAGGCGTCGTGTTTATACCAATCTCAGATACAACAATTGACACATGTAAGGCTAATCAAGTATGATGATTCCAAGGAAAAAATATATAAGCTGAATAAACATTAGACTCAATACATACAGCCAGTAGACACATAGCATTAATGTCAGCCATGTTGAAGTATGTAGCCTGTATTTGTCTCTTCCACTTCATTCGTCAAAGTACTCAGGCCGCCACCCTGAGCTCCCCCAATACAAGACACGCGAGTTTGCAGCACCCATATTCCCTCTCTCAAAAGAACAGTAACCGTAGGGATTAATATCACCCTCATAGGAATGAAGGCAAAAACCCTTTACAAGGGATGCGACAGCACGACCATCCGCTTCTAGCGATACTTGCAGTACACTGATCGGCTCGTCAGACTTGCAAAGTTCTTAGGGCTGTTGGTATTTGTGAATAATTCAATGTGTGGAGCGGTACAGTTGGCATCGCTTTCGAGCCACATGATATTAGCTATAGAAGAGAGGCACAGGGTAATAACACATCGTTGGCCGAATATCGAAACTCACGAGTATAAAGTGCAGGCTACAGGAAACGGCCCATACGTCTGTCCCGACGCGACATGGCCATATCTTTCAGTCCTTGTCTATTAGCAGGTATTCATTATATGAAAGATCAATAGTATTAATTACCCGTTATCTGGTAGTCTTAAGCATTCGTTGAGGGACCAAATACCCAGCCTAGCCCCTGATAGATCTCGCCCGCTATGTAATGATGCCTTGCCTCTATATTTAGTAGTGATGACTACAAAAGGACGCAAACTCTCCCATAAATTGAGGATAAACTAACATATTCCGCAGCAGCTACAACTCCAGATGTCGCTAGGATACATGAAAACACCTGGGAGAGATGCATAATAGCAGCTGTTTGATGGGGGTCAAAACTCAAAAAAGGAGCAATGCTAACTTGGTGGCTGTTATAATTAGGGAGAGACAATGTCTTTTGCATAGGAATTGGAGATATACATACCTACTAGCGGACTTTATAAGCTACAATTCTTCCTCTCACTGCCAATGTCTTACATGACGTTATTTTGCGGGAGATATTCACGGATAGACCAGCGAGCCATCGGGACTGAATGGCACCCGAGACACGTTGTGTGTAAACCCGTCGGATACTCTCATTCTTCTCTTCTCCCGCTTTTACACTTCACGGTGCAAGATCATAGTTATGTAGCTCAGTGAAAAGTCTAAAGAATATGAATAGAATAAGTTGTTTGCAGAGATTATGCAGAGATTCACTTGGCTATGTGCAAGTGATTGCACTATTAAGATGAGAAAGTACACTGAATAGGTGCAATTAAGTAGACGAGTAACTGGTATTCCATCATCTCTTCATCTTCTCGTAAAAGCTATGTCATTCCAGGAGAGTCTCATAATAAACAAACTGTCTCTCTCCCTCGTTTCAAACCCGCCAATTGGGGAAAGCAGAGTCCCATTTCATCCAGAGCCCACGCCTTGGCTATAAAACCACTTTTCCCAGCCAAATATTATTTCTGAATCTCTTTACAGAGGACCGACCGTACGTCAGTGTTGCGACGGATATTGACGGGGCTGTTAGATGTAGTCACGTAGAATATAGCAGTGCCCTCATCGCAGGTATTAGTCCTAGAGATAGGAACAAGAAAAACACGTTTTGTTAGCTAATGCAAAGGATGATATCGAATATTTAGGTTGACCCACGAATATAGAGTGCAAAACCTATTAGGGGGTGAGTTTGGCCACAGTTTCGCAGACTGCACATGACCATAGCTTTGTTTTGCAAGTTAGAAACCTCAAGGGCTTGGATTCCAAAACAGTCTTGGAGAAGTACATACAGAGAGCCGGTGACTTTTACGCAGGTGCTCCTGCTCCGTACATCAAATTGGTCTCCGGTCCAACCAAGATCCCGATACAATGTTACCTTGGGATTCTTTTGTTAATATGGAAATAGTAACATTAAGATTATACAATAAGAAACGAACAACTGACAAGGGGAGCCACGGGAATCTCCTCAGCGGGAGCAGCAGCGACACACGTCGCAAAAAAGCAGAAGAGAAGCTTAAACAGAAGCATAGCTGCTGGTTCAAGAAAGAAAAAAAAAGAAAAAAGAGGGTTATAGTCTCAGGTTTTGTCTTCAGATAATGAAGGAAAACACGTTTATATCGTGGGGGTAAATGCGCGAAAACAACAAGAAAGGGGCACACGCCCTTGTCCTGTATATGTATATTTATATGCATGTACTTTTGTTCATCAACCTCGACTTGCTCCTTCTTCCAAGTCATGTCTCACATTACGCTGCCTTGGGTCGGATACATCGAGGATAACATGATGGGCGATGCAGCGGAGATGCAGCTTCCGAGACATATTAGGTGAGAAAGCTCAGCTCCCTTACATGTACTTTGCAGCTATCTTCGTCCTCCCTTGCTAGGCAGCTGGTTGGCTGCTCTCGGAGCTCGTCTTGCACTCATCCCTCTCCCCCCTTTTTTACGGAAGCTAGCTCAGCTTTCTCCCTTTATCTTCCGTCTTCTTATAAAAAGGGAGAAGATATATTTTTATCTATGTCGAGTAGAGGGGAACATTTAGCTCACTCTAAATAAATAATTGGGAGATGAGGGAAAACATTTCGGTATGGGAACATCCTCTTGTCATTTAATCTAGCAAAATCATACCAATTTCGCAGAAGCTACCGCCAACACGTAAGAACCAATAGCTTGGAGTGCATAACTGCGGCTTGCTTTAGGCACTACAGAGGGCTTACATGAATCGATGAAGTGCAGGCATTTTCACCATACCGAGGTTTAACATGACTTGTCAAGTGTGGGCAACAGGAGATATATATATGCCCTATTCACAAAGTAGAACCTGTGATTCATAATGTCTCGTTACGTCTATTCAATCTGGATCGGCTCAACGCAATATACGTGAGAATTTTTGTTTTACCCTTGGTAAACCAGCAAAGCGTCAGAAACATAGGTATATCACACTACCACCCGCTTTCATTTGAGCATGTAACAGAATTCTCTGCCTTGATATGACGATTCATCGTATAAACGATTGTATGATATTATTCAGCAGTCAACATTGCCAACGAAATCCGACATACCAAGAAGGCGCGTTTCCCTCCTTGGCATTGTAGCAAGCTTAAAAAGATCCATGTTATCCATCCCATTTCCTTCCCTTGACGCCGATACTATGCAGAAGCAAACCTAAGCTATCAAAGCAACATGACCATACACTATCTATCATTAGAGGGCTGGTCTTCAGTCAAAAACTCCAGCTGGGCAGACGGATCATCCACCCCTGTCAACAGATTATGGGTATACTCATTCGCCAGGCTATTCCCGGCCGTCCACTCATTGCGGCGCCTGTGAATCTCATTCATACCCTGACACGCCGTCTCAGCAATATAATGCAGCTCATCGAGAGTATTCGGATTACAGTTTGTAAAGACGCCATCGATGCTCTTCTGCCATCCTGACGTGGTGTTTTCCACGGCAGTCTGATACGCGTTGGTATCATAGTCTGTCACTCGCACAACCCCCGGTCTGTCTGTGACTCGGTGGAGGAGGTAATCTTCTCTCGAGTCTTGAGGCAGGTATTCAACAGGCTCTCCAGACGGTGTGGGAGGCTGGCAAATTCCCATGACAACTTCAACAAAACGCTGGGAGAGGCTGCGAGCGAGGCCACAAGGGTCAACGAGGTCAAATTCTGGAGTGGTATTAACGTCTTCCCTGATATAGAGGTCGTAGGCGAGGAACGACGCTCGGCAGATGCGCAGATTAGGCATGGTGCAACGCAGCATCATGGCCATCCAGCTGTCATCCTCTTCGGGTCGCTGATTAGCGATGCCAACCCACAGAACTTTTTTAGAGTTCTCGTTCCAGTCGCGCGATTGCTCCGTCTTCAGGTACACTTCGTTGAGGTACAGCTCCTCCATGAGGGCTCCAAATGCTTCAGCGAACCGTTGAAACACGTCTGGAGAGATTTCCACTCGCTTCAGCTCCAGACTAGTCAGATTTTCAAGCATGATACGGGGAGGCGGCAGCACACGTGCTCTCCACTCATCAACGGGCATTTGATAGAACCTCGTCTGCTTCAGTCCTCGAGGTGGTCTATCGTCATGCTCCATGCCAATTATGCACAAGGTTACCAGGTGCTGTGCATGCTCAATAATGTTCCAGAAGCACGACCCAAACATGCTCACACGCGGCGGATCCGTTTCGTGCCGACGGAGGGCAATCACTAGGTGCTCCAACACGGCCACGGTGCGCATGATATTCATCACATCGCTAGGGTTCATCCAGAGATGGCATACAGCGATGTCGGTGACATTCTCCAGTACCAAGACCTTCATAGAAGCCGAATCTTCTTCTGGGCGCGAAGCCAACGCCTTGAAGGTATTGGCAAGGATGATGGTTGCGGCGTTACAGTGTCGGCCGACCAGTTGAAATGGTAGGCTCAGTCGCAGCCGCTCAACCTCACGGCAGTTGAAGAGTAGGGCCTCGATAGCATCGTAGTATTCCTGCTCGGTAAACGACATCTCGCCCATGCAGTAGAGGTTTTGGAGGGATTGGCAAAAGTCCATCATCCAAGGAACGCGAGCAAAGACTGTGTTTAGAAAGTCGACTTCCACTGGCAGACGCAGAGCCCAGTTAGCCAGGCGAATTCCTCGCTGATCATATCTGAGAATCTTACTTTCATCGCGAAGAACCATCAAGTCGATGTAGAGGCTCTTGCAGTGATACCCAACCGTCTGCAAAGCATCGGTCCGAGGTCGGCCAAGCCGGCTGGTCTTGCTAAGGCGCGAGAATTCAAGCTCGAGGGTACGGCATGCGTAAGGCTTAAGGATCCGGTCAAAAGCTCGACACACGAGGCGAAGGTCGAGGATGGAGTTCTTGGGGCCTGCTTCGACGCATTGCAGCAGAATGGCGTCGACGATCTCGGGAGGCAGGCGATTCATCGCGTCGTCTGGTGGGTTGGAGGCGGGGGGTTGAAGGCCAGAGCGGGATGCATCTGGGCCTGGAAGGGAGGAAATGTACAGCTACAAGCGTCTAGCGGGCGAGGATGAACAGCAGCTGAGTTGGCGAGCGAAGGGCTGTTGCGGCGATGGGAAATAAACAGGCTGCATATATCGAGGCTCACTTGATTGGCGATGACATGACTTGATGCAGCTCGGGAGTCTTAGCGTCGATGGCGCTACCCAGGAGATGCTCGCTATCTTATCGGGGCCTTTTCTTATGTCATGGCCTACCCTGGAGAGTTTGGTCGAGCGCGTGGGGGGCAGCATTGGAAGAATATCTTGCAGTGCATGTGATAATATGCAGCTGATAAATGAGAGGGAATATGTAGAAGATGAACATGGTTTTGGATTGCGGATAGGTGCTGTTGCGTAAGATTAATTAAGAAAGAATAAGTAAGACTTGTGAAATCCTTCGATAGTGGATTGGCTGATACAGCTTCAGAATAGCATTCGTATTGTAAAGTTCCTACAATCAGGGCCGTGATGAATAGATAGATAGCACATGAAGACGCTTGGCAATATCAGTGGCAATCCATTAGCAGATTACACCGTACTAAATACGCATCGATAGTGAGCATCTACGACGGCAGAAGCTTATCATGTGCAAGGTCAGCTATTGTAAATCGCTTCAAAAAACGTTCCCCAAGCTGCACCTCGGGAATGGCCGTTCGTTTGTACATTGTGGGGCCAGTGGCGGATGGCGGCCGCGACTAGCGGCATCTTGCAGGCGGATAAAGATAGAGAACGCTTTATCTTCACAACGGCTAAACTCCCAATCTTTATCAGGGGCAGCACCAGCCCGTTCCATCATCTGCGTGAAACGCGCTGGCAAGTTCATCAAATAATACGCACGGGAACCGACACATGATGCTGTACGGGTTCGTCTGGTGCCACGGAGCACACAGCAGGGATGGGTGTCAAAGGTGTCTTTCCTTAACCTCAACCTCAACCGCGGTGCATACGATACAGTGAGGCAAACAACGGAAATTAAACTGCCGATGACAAATGCGTGAAAAATAAGCTGCGACAAGGCCGGCGTCGACCTTTGGCCCCGTGACCCTCTCTGGTTGAAAAATAAGGAGAGTGGAGTGAAGAAGCCGGACAGCTGGCTGCGCCCGATCTCTTACCCGTATATACTCGTACGCAGCATGCCGAAGATACGATGAAGAAAGAGAGACATGACGAGGGCCACAAGGAGAGAAGGCAATTTGCTGGCTTAGCGAGATTTTGTCTCGAGACGAGAATCAATATTCCGTATAGCAGAGCCCGCCAGGTCGGAGCCGTGGAAAGAGGAGGCCAACCGCTCGCTCGGCTCTGAGGTGCCGGAATGAGGGACGCTTGCAAGGCGCGAAACAGCAGTGACGGCAGCAAATTTGCGGTTATCGATAGGAGCCGGCACGGGAAGCCGAATGGAATATTGGTTGCCAGGCATTAGTACTATGCTGTTGTATGACTGGCCGTGGAAGATAGAAGGTGAAAGATGAAAGACATCACGATCGTGCGGCTGCAGATGCGTTGGTGTTGAGGCGCAGGGCCACAGATACAAATGTCCAGCCACACACCCGATGGCATTGCATGCAGAGACGGCTGCTAGGACTAGGGGCAGATCTCACCAGCTGGTGGTGTATGGAGTCATAGAGCTAGAGAGCCCTCGTACAGTACACGTACAGGCTGAAGTGGTGCGTGGTGACTCGGTCGTGTCTCGTCTTGTCTGAATTGAGGAGGTTTCATCGGTCTCTGCGATAGGTCGTGGCCCGGGCCCCGTTAAATCCAGGGACGGCGCGCAAAGTGCCTGGTCCAAAGTACCTCAGGCCCGTGCAGATGTACCTTTGACCCCTGTCAGGTATCGCCAAGTCTCTGCAAGCGTGGCCCAGGGGAAATCGGCACGAGTTGCGGGGCGCAATTGGCGTCTCTGATTGGCGAGCCCCCTCGGAGCTCACAGCTGGCTTGTGGCGGGAGCTTCCATTTTCTTCTGCCAAGGAGGGAGCTTTTTTTTTTCTCTTTTCCCTTTTGCTACGAGTACGGCAAACCGGCCCCGTGAGGTCGGGGCAAAATCAAAAGGAAATGAGCGTCAGCAGTGAGGCCGTCGCAGATCAGATAGAGGATGCCGAATTGACCCGCGGGAAAGTGTGGGCGCCGACGTTGCGTGGCTCTTCCAATATTTGGTGCGGAACCGGAGTAGTATTTGTACTTGGACTCACGCAACGGGAACGCGGCACTAACATCGGTCTGAAGCAGAGCAGCGCTGAAACGGCCCCTTTGGTAACGTTGAAGCTGCCGCATGACATGCTCCCGCTCTGCGATGACACACTGGTGATGTTGAGAGCGTGAGGTGAGAGTGCGCAGGCAGTGAGTACGAGTACAGGTCTGGCACGGAGGTACTTGGTTGCAATGCCAACGATGACGACAGCGCCCTGCAACTGAGATAGAGAAATCAGAGACAGAGTGTAAAGATTCTTGGCGAGGGAGCCGACGAAAGAAGAAAAACAAAAGAAGTCCATGTCTCTGATGGTCACATGTACAGAACAAAGTAACTACAGTCCCGTACGAGGCGGAGAGGGGGTGCCACAGCTAACCTTCTTTTTATTCGTGTTGCATCGCATAAGACACTGGACGACAGCATCGTCATTCTCGTAGCCGAGGCGGTGGCTGGAGGATAAGGTCGCTAGGGCAAAGTGATTTTCCACCGACTCTGGAACTACTCTGGACTGGGCATGGTTCAGTTGCTTGCAATGGTAGTATTGGCAGCATCATGAACTCAATTGCAAACAGCGGCGCTTCCCGTGGACAAAGTACGAGCAACATATTTCCCCATCATTTCTACTGTAATGCTTCACCATCACCATCCTTATCGTGCCATCATCGCATTGTCCCCCCTGAAGAAAAGCATCCGCTAGCTCGAGTGCCAGTAGCGCTTCGTAAGGGCGATAGACCACGGACTAAAGGCTCCCAGCACCTTGGCGCGCATCCTGGATACGGAATAGGGCCGTGACAACGACCGCCTCCATTACGACATTGTGCTTTTGGTGGGCTCATCTCACGATGCTGCTGTTGCCTCGCCTGCGAGACTCAGTTGAGTCGCCGCCATGGCAACGCCGGACACGGAGCGCAGTTGAGGAGGGGGAAGCACGAGGCATTGTCTCGCAGTACGAGCTGCAGTACAGAGTCCGGAAGGCCTTCAACAAGCCACGTGAATCAGCGCAACGCAGTTACTCGTGCGAGTGCTTGCTTCGTCTTTCCATGACATCAAGATACGTCCGTCGTGCAGAGAACAGAGCTTCAGCCACGCGAAGCCAGCTGCACGCAGTAGGAAGTGAGTGCGGTAACGGTCTAGCAGCCCGCGTCTTTAGCACCAAGTAAAAGTACCGACCAAAGTAGACATCACCAAGACAAGCAGCCGAGTCTCGCCCTCTTCTCCCCCCCCAAAAGACTCCCTTTGTATCCATGATACGGAGTAGAGTACATACGAAAATGCCCACACCACCATGACAGAAACACCCCCGCCAGCCCCAAAATGCCCATCCCTAGTCAATACGGACAACTCGGCGATGGTGGTGCCGTCGAAGCCTGTGATTGGTGCCACCCTGGTGCATGTCTGGCCCTGACGGGTCCTGGAGCCCATCAGACGCCGCGCGAGCATCTCAGGCACTGGGACCGGATGTACCCAAGCTACTTTGGGTACTTGGGGTACTTGAGGTACCTGCATGTGGACGGCGGTACTTTGCCGTCGCGAGAGACAAAGGAAGGCCCAAAAAGAAAGAAGCAAGAGGAAAAAAAAGAGAGAAAAAAAAAAAAGTCGAGGCCGGCCATGCACCACGTTAACCCCATGTCATTGTCCTAGCGGTAATCAAAAACCGTCGCCGCTTTCCCATGGTCTGTCGTCGGCCTCGCCCTTGCTTTCTCTTATTTAGGTGACGGCCCTGACAGCTGGCAAGCTCTTAGCCTCTTCTTCCTCCCTCTCCTCCCGCCTTTGACCACCAGCAAAAATCTTCGACGCATCCTCGACCGGGGCTTCAGTTTCTCTTCTCTCAACTCCCCATCACCGCATCTGCATTCAGCATCAGCATAATAGCCTTGTCTTCTCTGAAGCCATCGCCTTGCGCCCCCGTTCTTGGAGTTGCTCATTTGCGGTCTTTGTGCCCTTTTTTTTTTTCTATATCTCTTAACTTGATACCCTTGTTTGTCAGCCAAACCGCCTTCAAAATGCGATCCTCCGCCATCTTCGTTGCCATTGCCGCTGCTGTGGTGTCGGCCCAGGTCCCGACCTACAAGAGCGCTCTCAACATGACCATTGACCCCAACTCTGTTGCCCAGCAACAGCGAGGTAAGCCATTTTTCCTTTTCTTTTTTGACCTTTTTGTCGTGGAGGAGTAATCCGCTGCGGAATCAAGCCAAACGCTTGAGCCAGGTTTCGCTTTGTTGTTTTTGATTTCACCGTGTTTGGCGCGAGAAAAGGTTGCTAACATGACTTTAGCCGTGTGGTGCCAGGCTCAGACCAACACTTGCCAGGTTCTTTGCGACAACAACGCCGATGAGAATGATTGTAACCAGGTGGGTTTGCCCGCAATCGCGGATCGATCTCTGTGCGGAACAGGGAACATGCGCTGATCCATACTTGTCTCGTCACAGGCTACTCTGACGTACGACTGTACGTGCGCTTCCAACAGCTCTGCTCCCGGTCTCCAGTACTACACCCAGACCCTGCCCACCTTCATCTGCGAGCAGCTCTTCTCCAACTGCATTCAGACCAACGCCGGCAACCAGGACGGTCAGAACGCCTGCAAGACCAACATCCAGAAGCTCTGTGCCACCCAAAGCCCTCCCACTGCCGCCGAGATTAGCAGCCTGGACCAAAGCAGTGCTCCCACTGAGACCACCTCTAGCAAGGGTGTCTCCTCCACTCACCACACTGCTGCCACCACCACTGCGCCCCAGTCTGC